TATCGGAGGCCGTTAGGCACGTAACACATGGAGGAGAACGGATCCATACTATTCTGGAGCTCGGTATGTGGGTAGTGGGAGTGACAACAGGCAGGTAGGTACAGCATGCTGGAATCCAGGCAAGTTGCGTACTTTAGCTGCGAACGCTATGCATTGGCCGGCAGAGGCGTGGTAGGAGATAGATGAAACGCAGCTGCACATGTCAATAGTCCAAAGAATAGGTATCCTTCGTGCGTAAGTACGGAGAGATTTGCAGCGAAATGGTGACGATGTTTTTGCTCATCCACTGCTGCTATTGCTACCGCCGTCGTCTTACCTGACCCCCACCCCTTTCCCATTTTCAAGAGCTACTATCAGGTAAGGCATCTTCCGTGCCTTCTTTTCTCCTCTACCCCCCCTTTTCTTTGAATACGTGCATAGGTATGGGTACTACTCCACCGAAACCCACCGGAGGAAGAAGAACGACAACGATCAATATAGTAGCAGCAGCGGGAGGAACCACACTGAGGCATTTGTGCCAACCAGTGACCAGTAACAAGCTCATATTCATCTATCTTAGCTACATGCCTGTCTAGGTTTTCCCGGTTCACTTTCATTCATTCTTTTCTTCCCCGCTAACTTGGATTTAGAATCAGCCTTGGATCAATGTTTTCCCCCTCTTTTCACGTCATTCTTTCTTCTAGCGAGGATGAACGATGCTTGGAATGGGACCAAAAGGGGGGGCCATCCTCTTCCCACGGTGCTAGCTAGCATGTAGTTCTCCATCAGTGGGGGTGAGTCAAAGAGCACAGGTCACAGGTGGGCAATAGGCGATTAGTTTGTACCACAATCAGACAGTATCAAGTGCAAAAAGGGCCCAGAAAAAAAGAGCTTAGTTGTTCATCCGCCTAGTAAATAGTATCGTCAAAACCATACCGGTGTGGGGACCGAATCGGCAAAGACGCACGGCGGAGGATTATAGGGCGTGGGCCAGACTCTACCACGAACTAATCATCGTGACACAACTTGATGCTGTTAGGGAGACCTGGTACGCATCTAAGTCTGACTGGGATTCGGTACCATACATACGGGCATAGTACATACCTACTACATACAGACTACAGTACCCAGAGTCCGAGACCGCCAGAAGGGAGTTAGATAGCATGTGCGGCAAAAAAATACTCCTATCATATATGGTCCATATGCAGGTGATTCTAATACCTCCAATTTCATTGCTCGCTCGTCTAAAATCTCTGTCAGGGCCTAAACTATAGTGCTTTGGTCATCCATCGCCAGGTGGATCATGCACACTACCGTAAATGAAGTCCTTAGGAACCGCGTCCCTGGGTATTACATGCAGCTACCTAACCTAGTACCTACTACCTACCAGGTAGCCCAACAAGGAAGTTCCCCTTTGTGCCTACCCTTCAAGCAGCATTCTCCTCTTTCTCGGTAGTCTATGCTCTCCCATGCTATTAGAAGTCGTATATACTAGGCGATATTGTTAAAAGTTGGATGACTGATGAGATGAACCTTCTAAGATCTAGCTAGCTACCCAGATTACTCCAGGGACACAACGAAGATACCGATATAGGTTAGCTAAGGAATAAAATGTTTCGTCTAGATATACATAGATACCTACCTACCTGCCTTAAGCACGTAGCACCCACGTAGATCATCCTCTCTGCATAGTACATGCATACAACAAGCTTCTCACTCGCAGCTCGCTACCTACCCAGGGCCCAGGCACTCTCCACGCAAGGCACGAACCAAAAGTGGAGGCCAAGACCACGCGAAGCTTAACCTTGCTAGGTGCCTACCTATTCAATGAAGAACCAAGAACACATTGACACCCGTTGCCCGTTGTACCTGGATCAGCACTAGCAGCCCTGTGACAGAAAGTTTGTCTCTCGGGGCGTTTCTCCGCTGTAGAGAGGTGTCAAGACTCTACCTACTAAAGGTAGATTAGAAGATGGATGAGACAGAAGCAAAATAATAAACTAACTAATAGACGAACTATGTAGAGTCTAGGGCACGGCAAAAAAAAAAGTTCCAGCAACGCTAAATAGGAACTAACTAAGCTTAACGTCGCGGATATTCCCATGTGGAAGTTTCATTTTTTATTTTTTTTATATTTTATTGCGTATTTACTGAAATACTTCATGCATGTAAGATGGTCGTAGAAAGATACCCGGATCAATTATAAACCTGTAATACCTATATGTAAGTGCGCGGCACCTGGGTAGATAGTACCTACCTAGGTGAGCAAAACTACGAACAGCATCTTCAACGTGTACATTTTACACACATTAACAACCACCAGCTACCAAGTCTATGTACCTGACAGCTTTTCCCATCAACCTACCTAACCTACCTAACCTAGTTAAATCCCGAAATAGCCAACCAAAGTGTCATGTAAAACCTCATCAGCCACAACTTCAACTTCAACGACCACTGAGCAACCGCAAGAATACCCGAGCTTTCAATGGCTTTGCCCTACCTATACAAGGTGTGTACCATACCTGACACATACCACCAACATCTAGCTGTCGTACCTAGGTAGGTAGGTATGTATTACCCCACAAAACCACCCCAATCTCGTGCATCCAGCATCATCATCATCATCATCATCATCCTACACACTGCATGCGACGTTAGTGAAGTATCTAAGTGAGTGTAGGTACCAATAACAGGTAATACAACCACTACTACCTAACCTAGGTAACTACTGACCTCACAATGCATTTGTCTGTGTCTCTGTCTCGCCGTCTTCCAATTCTTTCTACATACATACAGTACCTATGTATCTCTGTCAATCCATCCATCCATCCATCCACGTATCGACCTCCCGGGGCCGAGACCCAACGGACCCCTGTCCTTGCCTAGCGTAGGCTAGATGGGATCTCTGCTTGAGCTAATTAAGGTAACAAGGTGCCTTTATACCTACCAGAGTTGGACTCATCGACATCTTATTAGGTGTGATCATTGCGGGATGTATGGATCGATTGACTACCTAGTCATCTTTAACTATTTCTTTTATCTTCAATCTTCAATCTTTATTCTTCACAATCCTCCCTTCCCTGTCTGCTCTCCTTCAGCCAACTAACTTCTTACCCCCTATTCTCCCCCCCCCCCCCCCCCCCCCCCCTCCTCCCATGACCACAATTCACAGCCCACCTTCTCCTCCAAGCCTCCAGTCCAGGTATTTTCCTCTTCTTTTCATCACAAAACAAAAAAAAAAGGAAAAAAAAAAATAGAAAATGAATAAAACATAAAACCCTCTAAAACAGTACCATCCCCATCCCCAGGTAATCCAAGCCCCAAGCCCCAAGCACTAGTTACATAGGCACCTGTAGATCTAGCAACCCACACCCACCAACTAAAGCTAGCGTCTAGTTAATGCCCCCCTAGTAAAATCCCCCAAAAACTCAACCACCCACCCCCCCCTTCCAACCAGTAGACCCAAGCCAACAACGACAGGTACCTACGCAATGTACAGAAGGCCGAAAAATCCCCTAACCCGCCCGCCGCCCAGCCTCTAAGACCAAGGGGCCGACCCGACAGTCTGGTAAAGGGAGGATCCCCCCCCTTAACTAGATCAGGAAAGGAGCTATCGGCCCGCTGGCCAATGATATTGGATTTCAGCTAGTTAACCTACTTACAATAGCACTAGGTATGCACCATGCGCCTACTTATGTTGGTAGGTGGGTGGGTAGGTCTATCAATATGTATGGAGCATAGGACTACAGAAATAGACGAGACATATGCAGTGCAGTGTAAAATTATAATCATGACAGTAGAGGAGACACAACGAAGTAGGTTAGAAGAGTAGTAGGAAACGCAAGTCACATCAAATTGATAGCGCGTCTATGAGGCAGGTACTGTAACGTAAATTGTATGTAGGTAGATACATAGGTAGTGGGTATGTAGACCTGTGAGCAGATCGTTAGGCGCGCTCTCTCTAGCACCTCTTGTACCCCGTGAACCTCCTTCCTTAGCAAGGTCGGTCAACATCCATTTCCTGCCCAAGGCCTAGCGCGTTCTGTTGATCCGACGCGGTATAGAGTAGGCAAGTCCATACCATTCGCTCCTTTAATCCCCTCTAGCCATAGCTGGCTAGCTGCAGAAACTTCAAGGCATGAAAAATAAAAAGCAAAAGCAACATGTGGTATTCGCGCTCTAGTTGACCAGGCCCCCCCCCAACACCACGCACCCCTCTAAACCGAAATGATTTTTTTTCAAGGCAAATCGCTCCCGCCCATAGATAACCCATCCCATGACCTCACGCAAAGTTGCTGGGTTCGGGAAAAGGGTAAAACGAACCATAACTAAGAGAAATAAACCCGAGCATGAAGTAACGAATATGAAACAGTGTAAGTGAATACGCATAAAGGAAGTATAAGCCATGATGCAATAAGACCGTGGTTGGTTGGAAGCCCTCATAAAATGAAATTTGACGAGATATGGATGTCTGTGCGTTATGGCTGATCCCTTGTATTTTGGTCGATTCGGAGGGATAGAATTCGAGAACTAGCGAGACCTCCATAATAATAGTAAAGGGCACTTGTGATGCATAGGTAGGTATCGATATAGCGATAAGTTTCGCTCGGTACCGAAGATGCCTACTGATCTCTTGGCATGTGTGGAATGGTGATAGTTTCGAAGTATTGCGAGGGACGGTGTTTGATATAAGTAACTTCGAGATCAGATCCTCCAGCCCAGCAACGATGTGAAAAAATCCGAATGTTGACCTTCTGTATATGCATGTCTTGAGCTCTCTTGATATCTTTCGTCTCGTTAATGGGAAGAAGTTCATTCTATAAGTCTTGTCGTAAAAGTCTTAGAATATCATTCATCGTGAAAGGCTATTCGGTAACCTCCTCTTGACCTCGCAACTGAGACGAAATGTTGGATAGCAATGGTTGTGAAGCTTACTGTGAGGGATAATGGGTCATATCATTCAAGAGCAAATCATAAAACAAAGGCAACGCTCTAGGTATGCATACTCCAACTTGGGCATGCTATGGTTGATATGCACCTCCGGTTGGCTGTCCAGGCCAATATGGAAATGAAAGGTTGTGGTGGTTGCGACTTTCATTGGGATCGTGGACGGAACTCTCAAAGATTGCGTTGAGGTCCGACTGGATGAGTGGAGTAGTCTGCGCATGGGCAGATGTAGAATGTCCAGGATAGATCCCCGTAACATCTTCAAGGGGGTAAACTGTATCGCCAAGGTGATAGCCTTGATGATGGTTATTTTGGCCATACCCCGGAAAGGCAGAGGGGTAAGAGAAGCTATGCCCTGTATCAGTCGTCGGCAAGCCTGGGGCTTGCAACGGTTCTGATAACATCATATCAGTTGGGCTAGGATCTGGGGGTGTTATTGGTTCGCCTCTGAGGTTTGGAGGAGCCGAATACTGGAGGCCAAGATGCGAGTTGTAAACAATATGCTGAACATGATGATGCATATTGTTGCCGCTAACACTTGGGAATGCCGAGCCGTGGTTTCGTTGGTTTAGTATAGCCCTTTTGGTGGCTGCGGCTTTGGACTTGCTGGCACAGAGACCGCCCTTACGACCAGAGTTCGCTCGCCCTGACAGGTTGGTGTGCGCCCGCCCATGGGAGCTTAGCCCCCCGCGGCGATTAGACGTCCCCTTGCTGCGGTACCGTGTCGTACTCTGTACGCCATGTATGGCCCAGTCTTCCAAGACCCATTCTGACGCCTTCTTCGCTTCACCTGACTCGGTCAGAGGATCCCCAGGACCTGGTTTGCGGTCGCGCTTAACAAATGCCTTTTTGTAGCAAAGATGTCAGTCACACAATTCGCTTGCCATTTACACAAACCCGGGGTAGGCAGTGCTAAAACAAGCTATGGTACTAGGGATGTGCGTGGTAAGAATAAGCAAGCAGGGTATAAAAAAAGACTTACATGATTCATGCTCAAATTGTGCCGGATACTATTTTGCCAACCTTTGTCATCGTCCTTGGCCTTTTCCGTGTTCTCGCGGAACCATTGATAGATTTCTTGGAGAGTCATCGCGTGTGGCTCGCGGCTCATGAAGGCTCTATGTATCAGCTGCGCATATGGCTCATCCGTTTTTTTGCCTTCTTCGTTACCGACCGGTCTTGGCTGTCGCGAAACTTCATTGGCCTCTTGCGAGTTCAAAGCAACGTCTTGCCTTTGTCCTTGTCCCTGTTTCGATACAGGCGAGTTGTCCCGAGATGGCACCAGCGGGTTAGGTTTTGTCAAGGCAGAGGAAATATGAGGTGCCTCTTGTTGCGCCATCGTGTCTACGTCTATGTTAGGGTTGGGATAGATGTGGTTCCCATAGACGGGAGAAGTCATTTGGCTCTGCTGCTGATGCTCGTACTGTAGAGGAGGACAACTCCTATAGTTAAAACCTTGCATTGCGTTAGACTCGTTGAGATAGGCTTGCTGTGAGGTTATCTGGCTAGCCTCTGGAGGTGACCAAGTTCTGGGGCTGGGCATAGACGGCATAGTATGATGTAACCCCCCCGGACCGCTTGCTGGAGAACCATGAAAAGAGTAGTTCTCCATGTCCTCCTCGCAAGCGGTCGAGGGGGGGGTTGGCCATATACTCTGAGAAGAGGATCCGGCTGAGTGGATTTGTGGATATTGGTATTGGGGTAGAGATGTATTGATGGCACTAGGATATTGCGTGGGTAGAGGATGTGACTGAGACTGATGACCTGTCTCAGTCGGCGAGTGAATGTAATAAGTGTCTACACTAGGAAGGGCCGTCGACCCGCCCGTTGATTGTGTTGTGCAGTTCCGACTTTTGCTCATACCTGGACCACCGGGAGGTGAGTAAGAGACGGGCATACCGTCGCCATAGTTTCGTTGCATGATGGAGGCTCCGATCACGGTATGAGGAGGAATTTGATGGGATACCACAATGGCTTTGAAATCTCTGCCACCGACGGCGAGAAAGGATTTCGTGTATGGTAGGGAGAAAATAAGAAATTCCGGAATAGAAGATTGACCGTGTTTCGCATGTAAGTGTGCTTCGTAACAATGGCAAACTTGAGAGTGAAGAATGTGAGGAATGACAATAATAATAATGATAATAATAGTAATAGGGAAGGAGGGCGGCGTGGAAGAAGCCAATGTAGGAGGAGAGGAGGGAAGAGAAAAGAGCGATTTATGTAATAAATATGTAGATGTGCTCTTTTGGTTGACTTTGTGTAAGATGAGGGTATGAGAGAGATGTATGAGGATGAGGTGGATAAAAGTAGGATGTGGAAGTAGGTAGGTATGTAATGTAGGTTGGAGGAATATGTAAGAGGTGGATGAGAAGGTATGTGTGTAATGGCAGAGTGGGTGACACTGGGTGTAGTAGGAAGGTACAGTATGTACTGCAGAGTTAACAGTCAGAGTGGTACGTGCCTGCCTACTAGGTAGTAGAGCTGTGCTTAGTAGACCTGGTAGACCTGGTAGACCTTGTAGTCCTTGTAGACCTGGTAGTAGTACTGGGTACCTCCCACTGTAGAGTGAGTGGATCTCAGAGTTATTGTAGACTTAGGTGCTAGGTGCTGGAACTCGTTTTGTGATCAACCTGAGGTGAAGAATATTCAGAATGATGGGCAGCAGGTACTGATGACAATGTAGACCCTGGTAGCAGTCTGCATCGAAAGTCGATCCTAGGTAGTGGGCATCTGGCTAAGATGTACGCTACGGCAAGATGTGAAGATGGTCTAGGCTTCTTGTACTGGGGTAAGTACTTCGAGGTGGTAATAGTTAGCGGGAAAAGTTCAAATACTCTAATGCTGGCAAGCACTGGGGCTGGCAGGGTTCATAGGGTTGGTGCTAGGTAGTCACGTAGGGTAGTCAGTTACACAGTAGTCATGTAGAACGTTAGAGGAAGAAGGTGCCAGACAGGAGTGGGTAAGCTGGTGGGTATAGAAAAGAAAGGAGGAGTACGGTACTTTACTTACATCAGACGGTTCCCCGAAACAGGAAAGGGGGAATGTACTAATAATGTAGAAAGTAGACAGGGAAACCTGAGAAGCTCACAAGACCCAAGATGAGCAAGAAAAATACTGTCAGTGTGGATCCTTGACTGTGCGAAGTTGTCTGTTGTATTTTTTAAAAATGTTAACCATGAATGGATAATAGTATTAATACTATATGGACGTTGAAAATAAAAATAAAAAAAAGTGTCAATAAATACTGTCATGCCTTTTCGCGAATATGTCGCTAGAACTAGTTGGGTAGGAGTTTTGTATAGTTTCGTAGGCAGGTACTAACTACCCAGGTAGGCAGGGCAGGCAGGTATAGCGTAGTTCGAGGCACTTTCCTTACGCACGCATGGCAAAGCAGGACAGGACATGACTGAACGGAAGCTACTACATACCTAGCTTACATGTATGTATGTATGTATGGTAAGTGCCAGGTGGACGGCGTTTCAAGGCTTTCTTTCCCAAATGGACTTATGGACTTGTAACCTGCCAACTCATTCGGTCGCCTCTTTCCTCTTTTCATCCACGCCTATCGCCCATTGCCCATGAGCTGAACTCCTTTTCCCACAATGTTCTGTTCCTCTTCTTCCCTCTTCTTCCCTCTCCTCCTTCTCCTCCTCTTCTTCTTCTTCTTGTCAATTGTATTCTACTATTGAATTATTATCATCATCATCATCACTATTATTGATCCTTCTTATTATTCTATCAAAGCCAAATATTGGTCTATGTATCTATCTGTAGGCCAAGCTCGATGACTTGAATAGAAAAAACGCTTGGTGAGATGTGAGTGCTCGCCGTGCCTATGAGGATGTAGACATGTATCCTAAGCTTGTAGTAAGTATCTTTCCCAGCGAATACAATCGTGTGTGCGTCTGTGAATGTATTATATATGCGTGCATGTATGCGTGTGTGCAGATATTATATGTGTGCGTGCTTCCTGTACATGTAACTGTGTGCATTTGCATGCATGCCGCATGTTTCTCCTTGTGCAAACGGAGTCACGTTGCTGTGTCTTAGGTCTAAAGTATGTTTCGTTTATAACATGGCTATCGGGGATTTCTTGCCTGGAATGAAGGATCTGAAGAGTACCGGGAGGCGCTGATGCAGGCAGGATGGCATGGAATACTTCCAGAGCATTAGGTATGTATGTAAATAGATATTCAGATATATTGCTTGGCATGACCCTCTGGATACATGGCAATTAGCCGATGTTATAATTAGCAACTTGACAAAGTATTATATGTAGTATGTATGTAGGTACCAGATTGCTTGTAGGGCAGATGAGAATAGAAATATGCTTACAACTTGAAACTCAAGCCACAATGTCTATGTCTTTACCTACATCCCCAGATGGCTCACCAAAAAAATAAAAATAAAAATGAAATCTTCCCGGAAAATTCAAGGCTAGCAAAGCCTTTGTTTAGCGATAGAAGCCACCATGAAGAGCGCGGTGTGCGGCAATAGAGACGGGACTAGGGGCTTTCCTTCCCGCATGCGGCTGCGTGCATCGTGAGTGGAATATGCTCCCGACTAGATTCGCCAAATATAGCCAATCATTTGTGAAATCTTGCAGTCTCTGGCGGGATTATATTTCCCAGCCTTACTAGAAATGCCCTGAAACTATCCCAGCGAAGCGCCCCTGCGCATTCATATCGCATACGGACCATCGCAGCATCAGCATCTTCTAGAATTGTAATGGAAGTCCTAACCATGCAAGGGTGTCCATATTGTATCCATGAGGTAAGAATAGATTGGGGTATTCGCCGTTGAAGGAGTCATTTCATTAGTTGAATGAGTAAAGCCATGCAGCAATTTATTTTCATATCCATCCTCGTCATAGTAGTAGGGGTACCTACCTACCACCTTGGGCATAGGGGATACTGAACTCTGCCTATCTAATACACATCAAACACCAGGATTTCACGCGATGACACTGGAGTGGCGCTGACTACAACTTCACTGCTGAGTTTAATTAATATAGACCCGGATAAGGGATGAATACATGCCAAGTAGATGCCTTGTGGGTCAGTATGTATATATATATACCTAAGTATGTAGGGAAATATCCAAAATCATGCAGGCTATGCTTAGCAGACTTCAGCTCTCCCGCAATTACTATGTATGGATGCTTCTGTACGGGAGCTCCTTCGCTGACGCCGGGCTCGCAAAGGCCTGACTAGGACGTCGCACCTAGCCGAACCAGGGGGGGGAAAGGCAGCTCTCCGGCATTGTGTTACCCAAGTCAAAAGCGAATCATGATCCGCCGCTATAGCTTCACTACTACGTATCTCAGAAGGTATACGCCAGGGACGTGAAATTCATTTACTAGCATCATAAAATAGCATTGTGTTGTTTTGCTTGCCTGAACAATAAAATTTGAAGCAACTGCACAAATTTTATATTGTATGTGACTTGGAAGATATCTACCTAACATGATAGACCCATGCATTTGCCACCGGAATATACCACCCAACGAATAATGCCTTGGACCTCTTATTTTCGGTAGTAAATCTGTGTCATCTATTAGTACTGACAACATTGGCCTAAGTATTGAGCAGGTAGTGAAAATAGTTCTTACCTTTTTGAACTGGAAGTGAAGTTGGAGAATGCCCTACAAGCACGGCAGGTTAGCTGAATAATTCTTCATATGGTTGGGGAACAGGAACAGGAGCAGTAAGGGGAAATGGATGGGGATGTAGTAGTCCAGGAAAGGAATTTCCTGTCCCGCGCGGATGGCGGTAATAACCGGTGTGGCTTGCGATCAGCGTCTCAGAGGGAGTCAAATCAAATTTAGTGGCAGACGCCATCCATGTTGTTTCCCGTGTCCGGACCCCAGCTTTTCGACAGTTGGGTTGTCTCTAGCCACGTGGGATAGCGTGGGATAGATGCAAGGAATGGGGAAATGCAAGCAAAGTATTCAAATAACATACCTTGTCGAAGCTACTCTTGAAGCCGCGATCCTTCTTGGCACTGTAGTCCCATTCCCGATCAACGATCCGAAAGGCGATATCTTCGTATGGTGGACCAGCAACAAATCGAATTAAACAAGTATCCTCCTCCCCTGCCGGCGCGAACGATTCGCCCTTTCTTCTGCCGTGCTCGCGAATGATCTTGAAGGTAGGCGCTTTTGTCTTGTCAATGAGATCAGGATAAAATATATTAAATTTGTAACCTTGAACTACTTTTGGTGGCGGGTTATCGTGGTCATAGTGCGTCTGGTTGTACTTGTTCCATTCATAACCCATCTGCACTCGGTTGAAATACCGTGGCTTTCGGGGCCGGTATTTCTCGGCCCATTGCGGCTTCGTAGCACTCGGGACAGTCTCTTCGGCAGCGAATATCTCTTCGTTTTCACTAATCCCTCGAGCGACCTCTCTCTCGTACAGAGCTTTGGTAGCCTGAGAGAAGTCCTCATTACCACCCGTTGCGAATCTAGCAGTGCCCGGAGGTGGTGCGTCAGTTTGGTTGCTGACGGGAGTAGTTGTCGCCAGAGCTTGTTTTGGCTTGGAAGTAGAACTGGAGGACAAATCCTTCGATGAGATCGATGCGGTGCCTCCAAGCGACTCCAGGTCGGCGAGTGCCTTGGCCTTTTCTGGATTCCGTTCTTTTAGAAGTGCAATCCTACTCTGTTTAATCGACTCGTAGATGTTCGTGAGCTTGGCTTTGGCTTTGAAAATCTGTAGGCTTTTGAGAAGCTGCTCCCAGTAATCAGTGTCCATGACCTCGTCTGAACGTAGCTTGGCCTGAATCTGGCCTTCTAATTTCTCCAACTGCGCCAGGTTCTTTGGGCCCAAAATCTTATCTACATCAGCGATAACCGAGCTGACAGCACGTTCCTCCGGTCGCATAGGCTTCAGTCGCTGCCTTCTATCAGCGCAGAGCGTTTGCAAGGCCTTCCAATAGTCTCTGTTCATCTTATTTGATTCCAGTGTGTAATACGACGTAATATCGCCATCGAGTTCGTCAAGCTCGGACTCTTTCAAGCCATTGATAATGGAGATGGGAGCGGGCACGTCGATATCGACATCAGCTTCGTCATCGTCAAAGACATCGCGGTCGGTGTCGACGTATCGTATGTTGAATGCCAGGAGATCGATAGGCTTTGCTCGTCCCTCTCGAACGCGAATGTCTGCCTTCTTCTTTGACTGCTTCAGAACGAATTTGTCTTCATCTGCGACAAATTGTCGGGACTGTTCATCTTGACTTAGCCAGTTTTGTGTGGTGGGATTTGTCGATTTTGTTGATTTCTGTTGGGTCGGTCGCGAAGGCTTCGTGATTCTGGTATTGGCATCTCGTCTAGGAGATGCTATATCACGGCGTGGGGGTGACTTACGGCCATAGATCATAGCATGTCTAGCAGGGTCCATCTTGTCCGTACTCTTTGTAATTAGTCTGTCTTGGTAAGTGAGTGTGAATGTTGTATTGTGTAAATGGTAAAAATGATTTATTACATTGCTGATGAAGAAGCTTAGAGTACCATACCAGGCCCCACTCTTCAATACCACTGCTGCTGACACGGTGCACATGCCATGGCAGTGGTCAGCACATCAGAGCGCCTCATCTAGCGCCTCATCTAGCGCCACAGCAAAGTTCTAACCAATCACATGTAAGGACTTTCAGAGATCACCTAGATCTGTGGCGCAAGCTTTACCGTGCTTCCTGGGTAACTACCTGAGTACATAACTTCATGATCTAGGTTAAGTCGATTTTCGCGAAAGCCTTGCCAAGACGATTATCTACCTTTGTACTCTTAATAGGGGGTTCTTATGAAATTCCTTATTAGAGCCTGAATGTTTTCGCAATAAGGCTTTAACCCATTTTTGAAAAGGTTGCCATGTTTCAACTATTCTCATGCTAATATGGAAAAGGGGGAAGCTTAAACAATAGTTGAGAATGGGGTTTACGGACTAGAACATCATAAGTAAACATAAAGTCGGCGTTATTCCACTTAGTTATACCTTTAGTTAGTATATTCATTTCCCAAGCTTTTACGCCGTGAGGCTCTCAACCACTTTCAGTTCGAAGGGACATTGTGTAGAATACTTATACCCACAGACAAGTTCCACCCACCCCCGGACGTTTAATTAAGCAATAACCCTTCACATAAGCAATCCCGATTCACTATATTAGATACATACTTGTTCCATAAAGGCGGGAATCAACGTGACCGATAGAAATGTTTCTGCCAATGTAACTAAGAATCCATGCCAACCTTTTTTTTTAACCTCCTAAACCGTAGTGGTGAAGGTCACCGCATGAAGGCCAACCAAAACAGGAGACCACTCACGGCAGGCACCTACCTACTCAGTACCTGCGGAGCATTCGAGAAGCATGTACGTCTAAATGTCTTTAAGCATAACACCTAGACTGTTCTTGGTGACATGAGTTATAGAAGCATGTTACCAAATATACCTACCACGAAAAGCTTAGGTACCTACCTATACATGTGTCCATCAATACGTATAAGTTGCTTGATTATTAGCAGCTACATAAATCGTGATACTACTCATTCCGTATAAGAAAATGTCTACTAGGTTTATGTGTAGGTAGACTAGGTTACCTCAGACCCAACCCCCTATTATTCCAAAGCACGGGCAAGCGAAGAAAAAGTAAAGGGGTTTCACGTTATTTTTCGATGGGCACATCTAGCATCTCTCCAGCTAGCTATCTACACATGGAGAAATAGAAGTTGAACCAAGCTATTGGATAACAAGTCACTTAAACTTTACCCAACTACCTCCTCCCCATGAAAGAGTAGCTAGGCACATAAGACCGACCTACGGGCCGCTCGCTACCTATACAACTCCCACGCCCGTCAGTAAGGCAGAAACTCAAAATCTCTTCCTTTCCCGACCACGAGAATTATGTTTCCAGAGACAGATGACGCTCTTCGACTCGCACCAGCTCTTGACATCCTTCGGCGACACCTCGCCGTCGTATCCCGTCGTGCCCAGGCCCTCGGCGCCGTTCAGCCACACGGTGAAGTCCTCCAGCACGATGGGGTCGTACAGCAGCATCTTCTCGTGCCACGACGGCCTCGCCGGGTCCTGCGACCGCGGCGCCGATATCACCGCTTTCGTAATGTGTCTGAACATGACCGTTTGCTGGTCCGTAGGCGATAGCGCCAGAGACATGTCGGCGTCGTCCGTCATGGATAGGTCTACGGGCGGTGGGGAGGAGAACATCCTGTCCTCGTCTAACGATGTTCGCGGTGAGGATATGGACATTTCGGCATCTGAATCTGCGATCTCGATTACTTTCGCAGCTGCCTTCTTCGGACGACCACGAGTCTTTTTCGGACTAGCTGCTTCCGGGGCCGAGTTTTTCCTCGGGCGGCCACGTCGTTTCGGAGAAACGTCCGGTTCCGTGGGAGGTGGTTGTTTCTTCTTAGAAGCATTCAAATTGGATGAAGTGCTGATCGATCTTGACTGATCCACCGAGGCTGTCGGATTCTTACTGGACCAGCATTGATCAAGAAGAGCAATCATAGCTTGGCGTCTCTTCACTGGCTTGAACCCATACGATGAAACTTTCGTAGCAAGTTGCGCATCGTTAAGTAAACTATAATCTGGCCGCGCATTATGGGTACCAGCACCTAATTGAGGCTCCGTAGGTGCTTCTATACTTGTCTGGGGTTGTTGAAGGATTGAATTGCGTACACTTGCTGGCTCATTGGCATCAGATGGCTTTAGAATGTCATTGATATCAAGGAAATCGTCAAGCGGCGACGGTGGAGAAGAGTCCTCGACGAATCCTAAATCGTCTAGTTTCATAAGATCGCCGTCAATATCTCTGGCACCAGCATGCCAAAGTCCATGACCATCGGAGTCGGAAAGAAGATCGGATTCGGCCTGGTTTGAAGCTTGTATTACCAACTGAAGATCTCTGAGCGTACTAGGCGATTCTTCCCTGACCAACTGACTTGACGTTCCAAAGACAAAGTCTTGATTCGTAGTTTGTTTTAAGGCGGAGCTTGGTGATAAAAGAATTGGATTTTCTACCGTGCCAGACTTCTTCTTGCGCTTCGGCTTTGCGGGTGCTTTCGGTTCCTTGGCTTTTCCTTTCTTCTGAGACATGACAGCCGTCTGTTGTTCAACTAGAGCTTTGACGTCGCCATCAGCGTCGAAATAATTGAGCAAGGATTCTTTAGTTGCTGGTCCTGACAGATATAGTTCTTCGTCTACAGGTAAGGCGTACGGGGCCGTTGCCAGCTCCGTAATCGTCCTAGTTTTCTTTTTCGTGTTGACTGCCTTAACTGGAGAAGGCTCTGTCGAACGACGATTAGCCTCATTACTTGTTGAGACGAGCTCGATTAATTTCCGTTTCTTGAGGATGTCTGCCTGCTGTTGGTGTTCTGACGCAGCTGGTGACGAAGTGTCTTTGCGCGCGTATTGGTGCTGAAGATTTTGGAATACATCTTTTGAGCTTGTTGCTTTGTTGAAATATGATGATAATTCCTGATTATCTGAGTCGGATTCGAGTATAATTGGACTGTTGGTACGAGGTGGCGTCCAGTCTATGCGCCGCCTCAAGGCAGTTTCTGAACAGGATGGACCATTTATATCTAGCTCCTCCAGGTTTTCAATGGATTTCCCCTTCTCTAACTTGCCCCCTGTACGTTTCGCGATGCCTTCCTTTGCAGGAAAATGCCGAGAAACAGTTTCAGTTCTCTCTTTAGCCTTTCCCTTCACGGTTTGTTTTTTCGCTACACGAGCCTTGGGTTTCGATGGTTCCTCAACCTCTTGAGCTGGTTTCTGATTCTTGAACTTCTGCCACGGCTTCTCCTTTGGCAATATATCATTTGATATGGGTGGCTCTAGAGATACCGTAGTGGCCACAGATGTGGGGGGCTTGTTCTTTCGGCTCGTCGTACCGTTGAAATTCGGTGATGGCGAGTTAGTAATCTGCTCGGTTTCTATATCGATCTCGGGTGCGTCCCTCAGTACGCTTGCGGCGTTGGCGTATATAGAGTTTGCCTCATTGAGTATCGTGTGAGCACGGCCTCCAGTTTGCAGGACCGAACTTTTGGGGTTCTTGGCGAATATATCTTCCAAAGAAGGTATAATAGGCGACGACGACATGGCAGAGGAGTCAACCCTTGTATGTCCTGCAGGCGATTGCATGAAGGCATTAGCTGAAGACATGACGAATCCAAATCGCAAGGAAATCGGTATGCGCCACGCGCAACCTATGGTGTTGCTGATCGACAGAATGGAAAAAGGTAAAAGTATTATGTATATTTATTACTCATGGATGCGAAACTCAAGATATTGTCAAGTCCCAAGGTATGAAAACTTGGTCGCGACGATGTTGATTCTTTGAAATTTGCGGATATGTACATAGTAGGGTAGATACCAGGATACCTATCATGCTATGTACATAATTGGTGGGTTTAAAGGTTGTTTTGGTCGTTACACGCAATTGACACGACACGAACACCTCTTATGTGAGTAGTAACAAAAATAGAGGGACAAAGCGCCAAGATCCAACTCCTGTTGCCACGAACCTAACTCGAAATCAGCTGATGATTGTGTCATGGTCCCACGGGCTACTAGGTAGTGACTGTACCTAGGTACTTTTACTCTCACGTGATCGAGACCCGAGCGCGAAACCCCACGCACACCAAACTAACAATTTTCTTTTCGAGGGGTCAAAAATTACCAGCCAATTTTAATTTGCTTCAACCATCACGACAACATTCCACCGCCTCGCGACCGATCGTCCTCCCCAACACATCACCACATAATCCATTTCAAAATTTAAACGTCACCCTCGACAAATCGCCAAAAATGGAGAACGACAAGGGAGATATTGTGGACCTGTAAGAATCCCTACATATTATTACATTCTCTCCATCGATTGATGTTTGAATTTGGCTAATCCATCTCTTCCTCTCATCTAGCTACGTCCCCCGCAAGTGCAGTGCCACCAACCGTATCATCAAGGCCAAGGACCACGCTTCCGTCCAGATCTCTATCGCCAAGGTTGACGAGAACGGCCGACAGATCCAGGGAGAGAACCATGTCTACGCTCTCTGCGGTTTCGTGCGAGCAATGGGTGAGAGCGACGATGCTCTAAACCGATTGGCCCAGCGGGATGGTCTTCTCAAGAGCGTCTGGAGCGCTGTCCGATAAATACCACATGCATTATCAAAATGGTACGTTGGTTCACGCGTGCGGCATTTCAACGTATCGAAGTCCCTAACACATTCTCAGGGATTGGTGTTCATTGGGTGATTCATGATGGTATGGTTGGCATGAGGTTATTATTGCCATTGCATCTAGCCGGTTAGAAGGCCGCTACATCCGCATTTCGGAACGAAATACAAACGATTTCCTTTCTGCAACTGCTGCAACCTACTTCAAGTTTCTGGCCTTCTGTACAATCTGTAATGTGAGATGAACCTGTGCCCGGCTAGCAAAGTGTTCTCGCGTCCACCTTCGAGTGACTCTATGGGCGAGGATTTTGGGGCTACTACGATAGCCTCCGTGCCGAATATTGATAGTGGCCTTGAAAAAGCTGTGATGCTCGAGATGTTCATCATGGCACAGATACGGGTCAAACAAGTCTTGATAAGTTTTGTTCCTCGTCATGAAGTGATTATGTAATGTGATTCGTCGCCTTCGACTACATCCTATATCCTGCCTCCGCATGCACTCTTCAATAGTAGACCTACATCCCAATTAAAGTAAATAACTATTGATTGCTTAACTTACCCTTCAGCATCCATTACGATGCACCAATCTACTACATAATCCACGAAGTAGGCCGAAGAGAAGGTTGGTTTGATTGATAATCTACTTTGTAGAAGTATGAGCTGTGCTGCAACAGCTCTAGAAAGTGCTGCATAGTGTACGGAGGTGGCTTTCAGAATATTCTTCCATGCGACAGTATGACTGCCACTTGCCTGCCCAGACTATTTGGCACCTGGCCGGCACCTGCTGTAGCCACTAATTACTTAAGCAACAAATCCTAAATAATCAAGCCACCTCCGTACTGTTCTTTCCTTTAAAATCCATCTGTGGGTGAGGAAATGAGCCACAGATAAAAATTAGCATCGCATGTGCAGTGGGTTGATGGTACTAGATCCGTACTAACATTAAGATTCCCATAATTCGGTAAGTTAAGCTAGTGTAGTGTAGTGTAGATGCGATGCGGCTGAAAAAGTGGTGAGACGACACACGATCCTTGAATTGCCGGATTAGGGAATTGCTGAGTCATCAAATGGGTCTGGCAAGCTAAAAGTAACGTCAGATGTCTTGGAGCAAGCATCCTGTAGGCTTGCTTGAATTGAAGTAAATGGGATGGAGAGATGCGCAGAGTAGATATGGCCTATTGTAGCGACGGTCCTTGGAGAGGATTTGCATTTTAGTTGATACGTAAAATTGTAATATCAGCTATTTGTCTTTCCAACTTTTTGAGTAGATTGATCTTTGAACGATGTGATTTATAGACGTGTTTTTGTTCTGGCTTCGGATCTGGTACTGGGGTCGAGAGCTGCGTATTAACTACGTATGCATATTGAATAATAATCAGTATACGTGAAAATAAATGACAGGAAGTAATTTGAATAAAGAATCAAAAAAAAAGGGAAAAAAGAAATATCCCCCAGATCCCCGCAGTCGATGGATAGCCAGAGCGTAGCATTGATCATTGTCCACGAGTAATCCAATCGTCTTTATTTCAGGATATTGCTTCTTCCCTCAGCCTACATATGGCATCATTCATGCAATTCCATACTACGTCACTGGATTATAGTATTTATTTGCTAGCTTCTTTCAACTGTATGAGAGGTCTTCAAAACCGGTTAATGGACACTGAGACATGGTAACCTGAGATTTGACATAGAATTTGATCAATATTTATCTCGGTACATTTAATAATTCAGTGTGCCGAGCAAGAGATATAGTATGTTACCACGGTTAAATAAGTACAGCTATTTCTCACTGAATGAACATCACGACCCTAGTCTGTGGTCTTCCCAGAAAAATTCATCATTCAGGTGCCTGTATCTCCATGTACATACCTAGTACTCCTGTAGATAAATAGAAATGAGTAGATAACGTGGAACTGAAGCACCATTAGTGGTTTTTAGTGTTAAGTACGTAGGTACTCATAAGTCACCTCCACGAAAGCTGCCCGGTGCTGAAAAGCTTTAATATGATGCTCATTCCTTAGGTCTGAGATACCCACTTGACACTCGCTGTATTGTAGGTGCTCGTTAACACCAATCTCCCATTTCAATATCTACTAACTACTTATTTAATATTCGTCCCCCCACCCAATACTCGCAACCTATACTTTATTTATTTTATTCTTTCCATCATCACGAACCGAACTATTCCACTTACCAATATACCCAACTTCTTCAGATCCAACACCTTGATTATTTTCTGCCCATGTAAGCATCCCTTTTCCAACTGGTTTATCATCAGATTTCCGCCTATTAGTCCATCCAACACTGGACCTTACACACACCTGTCGTCGCACCCACAGCTTTTACTAATTTTATAATCATGTAGCAATCAACCAACTCGTTTCAATGCCCCAACGAGGTCTTGCCAATCATGTACCTTTCTAAGGTTCTTCCCCGCGCTGGACTCGTCCTTGTGAAGAAAGGACATGTCTTGGGAACCGCTCGCCGAAGCCAATGGGTTCTAGTCGCCTTGGGAAAGATCGGGGTCCTCAAATGGCAAGACAAGGTCCGAGAAAAGCAAAAGAAGGTTGATGACCTTCTCTCCGATCTCTTCGTTCGACTGTGTTTGCCCGAAGCATTCGAACCTTTCCATCCCGGCAGGACACCTGAGAAATTTCTTTCCCAGTTCTATCAGCGTGATCAGTTGGCCCAGCTGATGCCTGAGTCCGTGTTCATCGAACTAGTCTCCCTTCTTATTAAGGCTCGTCAGGATTATCATAGCTTCCCACGCCCTCCGTTCGACATCAACAAGCACTGCAAGACGGCGCGACAAATTGATATATTGCTCGAAGCCTGTGGGCCCGACGGCTGGCTTGACAATGAGATTGCTCTTCTAGAATGTGTAGGATACTTTCTCGATGATAATGGAGAGGAATTCGGAAACGGAGATATCCAAGGCGAAGATGCCGAGATGACCAACGCCGAGGTTACTCAAGTAACCGAGGGAATGGAGAGCATGGCTCTCTGTGACGACAGCAGTGGCGGATTAATGGATGAGATCCATAGTGCTGATGAGGGTGAAGCTATGGAGGTAGATGAGGATATGATGGACCTGGACTAGGTTTAATCAGGAGTTGGAAGAGAACAAATGAGGTACGATATGTGACTCGCATAGTCATTCTACATGCACAAACTAACTAATGTACCTAGCAATAGGATCTGATAAAGCCAATGGCCGGGATGCAATCATGACTAACTATTTGCTGGTTCCAATACGGCGAACACGGTTCTATTATAAGCACATGCACAATTCCTACTACCTATGTATCCAATTCTCTTGGCAAAACTCGTGTCTCGTTCTAGAGCAAATAGGTAGCCCAAATATCAAATGTGTATTCTCATTGAGCAAGACTTCCCATGAGGGTCTTAGTTATGTTGTAACGCCCATTGTAAACTCCCTGTTTGATCCATTCCTGTAAGCACTAAGGTGAATGAAATTATCTAAGCTAAGTGAAGATCACATATTCACTGGATCAGCGACATTGATTCAGTTAATCGAATTGAGATGCGTACTATATTGTTCTACGACTGTACTCTAATTCTAAACCAGAAGATGAAGGAATAATATCATTTTTCCACGAATAACTACAAATCTAGGACCAATTCCTGTAATTACGTAGGTACACATACATGGGATCAATTCCAATGTACAGGCCAGGCGGTGGACTGGATATATTAGTGCTAAGCAGCATTTAAATATCCCATAATCATCTGCCAATATGGTTCTGCTATAATACACAAACATATATGTAGGTGATATCCATGGGTTACAACGCGTCATAATATACCCAACAAACACTTAGTACCCAGAAGCAACTATTATGTTGAATCGAAGTGCCATCATACATGTTCCGTAGATCGTGAGCTTTCCACTACTTAGTCGTACACGAGTAATGTTTTGCAGGTGGGTAAAATCAGCAAACCGCGGGGCTTTCCCTTTTGAATGGGTAATACCTACATCTATGTAGGGTAGTTCGGATGGAATTAGTACATAGTACACAGTACGCACTGCCCAGTAGTAACGCCGCTGAAAACCTCTTCCAGGTCCGCTGCCAGGTGGCAAGCCCAGGTACGTACCTAATACCTACCCGAGTATACCTTATATTTTAAAAAAACGCTTGAATTTCCATCCAGTCCTATGGAGGGCAAATGGCCTAATGGTTTGGCACCCCTTTCACATGCAATCCGCAGGTCGGGGTTCGAACCTCCGGGTTCGAATCCCACTGGTGCGCTACTTTCGAGGATTTTCTTCGAAAGCTGTTGGTCATGGGTAGGCATCGCCGTACTGAGTTTATTAGTAAGCCAATACCTACGCTCGCCCTATTCCATCGACTGTGGGATCTGGGGCGACTGTGGGATCTGGGGGGATCTCGGATTGCTTGATGAAAGGGGACTCTTTTTTTTCATTACTTCTTCACTTTTTTTTTCTTTTTTTTCTATTTTCGTTTCTTCCTCCCTCTCTCCAGATGAAGCTTGACCTTTATCACGGCCTTCCCTGTCATAACCCGACACCCCTTTTGGTCTACACTATTTTCAATCCTTAAAACTCCCATCATTTCAATTGTAAAAAAAGAATCATGGAAGCAATTCCGAACTACGTTTTCATTTCACATTGCGAGATTTGTGTACCTACTAACCTACCACTTACCACAGCGCGTCAATGCTACTACTAAGTGACGTTGGACATGCACCTATCTATACATCTTCGCATTCTACATCTCGTACCTTTTATGTTGCATCTCGTACCTGCACATGCATTTCGTCCTCTTAACAGATAATATATTGCCGTAATTCTTTTTATTTATTTTTTTGTTTCATTTATTAATATCCTCATGTATTATTATTATCTCTTGAGACTCATGAACTTACATCTGTATGTCTTCTGTGGCTGTGTTCTACCTGGAAACATTGTAAGTGCCACAGTTTTAGCGTTGATTGTTGGTTCCATATCGTTGAGGTTGATTTAGGGTTTCAATGTTTCATCAGCGGCTGGTACATAGCACCCCACTGTCCAAGCCACTGCTACGGGATCTAAGACAATCGACGTTTGGATCGATCGGCAGGGGTGCCTGCACGCGATGACGCACAAGACATCCAGCGTCGTTGTTGCCAAAAGCTTCAAGTTACAGGTACCTACTAGTTAGGTACTATGTAGGTACAAACTTCAATGTTCAAAGCACCCAATCAATCAGGTCCAAAGTCAATTCAAAGTTCAACTTCAACGTTACATACATATATGTACATCAATACTACATACACATAGTATGTACATATGATTGCTGCTTCAGTACATGTCAGATACCTACTTCCTGTAAGCAAACACTATGGTAATTTGGTACCTAAAAGGTACCTCCACTTGGAGATAGTTATAGGTGTCATACATATGTATAGTTATAAATCAACCTGAAATTTCCAACGCCGGAAATAGAGCGCGAATTTGGCGATTGGGGATCAACAAAATAACAAGCAAAACACCAAAACAGCGAATCGAAAAATATTTTCCTCCAGAAACCCCAATTTCACTTCATTCACATCGCCTTCTTATTTTCTTTCATTTCATCGTCTTCTATTCTTCGTCTTCAATCTCGAATGATGTAATGTCCGTCTATACCTTGAATCGTATATCCCCTTCCTGTCGATACTCATTCACGACTTGTCTCTTTGCTACCCGCCGTTGGTTTGTCTCGCCTTGTCACGCGAGACCTATATCAAATCAACTAAGCCTTTCATTACTTCAATACCAACAAACCCACCCTTCCCATTACTCAACTATGGTATCTAAACGGGCCATTAAGCAGATTTCCGATAGCGATGATGATATCCACAAATCATCAAGTAAGAAAACAAAACTAGGTGATAGATCTTCAGATTCATTGCACAAGCCACATCATTTCTCTGCCGAGTCTGAAAAGTATGGGATTGTTCTGCGCAAATTCTACCCGCCCGAAATGAGTAATGAGCGCGCTCAAGCTTACAACGACAATTTGATAACCCGTCCGATTGAAGAACTTGAATCAGCGCTAGAGGAAACGGCCTCGACGCATCAAGATGTCCAGGTGAAAAAAGCCGTTGTGCATTGGTTTAAGATGGATTTACGAACAACAGATAACCGAGCTTTGTGGGAGGCGAGCCAGAAAGCCCAGGAAGCTGGTGTGCCATTAATATGCCTGTACATATTAAGCCCCGAGGACTTCGAGGCACACATAGTGTCCCCACGGCGCGTCGATTACATCTTGCGAGCCCTACAAACCCTGAAACAAGATCTAGCAGCGTTAGATATCCCTTTATACATGGAGACCGTGGAGAAGCGGAAGTATATACCCCAACGTATCTTGGATCTCATGGAAGAATGGAAAGCCAGTCACCTATATGCGAACATGGAGTATGAGGTTGATGAGTTGAGGAGGGAGGCGAAGATGGTGCAAATGTGTAGGGGGAAGGGGTTTTCCATGAAGTTGTACCACGATACATGTGTCGTCCCCCCAGGTCTGTTGCACACAGGCGAGGGAAAGCAGTACGCAGTATATACGCCGTGGTTCAGAAAATGGATCGCACACCTCCATGAGAATCCCGGACTGCTTGATCTGTTCGACGCACCAGCGAAGAATTCTTCTAACGCCCGACAAACTTTCGGCGCGTTATTTGACTGCAAATTACTAGATGCTCCAGAAAACAAGCGTCTCTCTACAGAAGACACGAAACTTTTTCATGCCACTTGGCCAGCTGGTGAGCATGCAGCGATGGACAGACTTGAAAAGTTTTGCGAAGAGAAAATAGGCGAGTATGGTAGCCGACGTAATTTCCCCTCCGAAGCATCAACATCGTCGATATCACTCCATCTAGCATCGGGAACGTTGAGCGCAAGGACCGCAGTTCGCACTGCTAGAGACAGAAATAAGACGAAGAAGCTTGACGCGGGTGTTGATGGAATACGAGCTTGGATAAGCGAAGTAGCATGGCGTGACTTCTATAAACATGTCTTGGTACATTGGCCGTATATATGGCAAGTTATAGTCCTTTCTCACATACTTCAGTGATTGTTCCCAACTAACAGAAACTCCCCACAGCATGAATAAGCCTTACAAGCCAGAGTACACAGATATTGAATGGTCTTACGATACAGCGCACTTCGAGGCATGGTGTAATGGACGCACAGGCTTCCCGATCGTTGACGCCTCCATGCGGCAAATCAAAAGCATAGGGTGGATGCATAATCGATGTCGCATGATTGTGGCTTCTTTCTTGTGCAAAGATCTCCTGATCGACTGGCGAATGGGTGAGAAGTTCTTTATGGAACACCTCATCGACGGCGACTTCGCGTCTAACCACTGCGGCTGGGGCTTCAGTGCATCCGCCGGCGTTGATCCACAGCCGTACTTCCGGATCTTCAACCCGCTGCTCCAGAGTGAGAAGTTCGACCACAATGGCGATTTCATCCGCAAGTGGATACCAGAGCTTCGGGACATCCAGGGCAAAGCTATCCACGACCCGTACAACAGAGGCGCTGGGCCTCAAGCGAAGCAGGCCGGATACCCTAAGCCGATCGTGAATCACAAGGAAAGCAGAGACCGAGCCCTCGAGGTGTACAAGGCAGGCATCAAAAGAGATAAGCCCTGAAGCAGCGCAGCTGTCGAAGTGATATAATAAGCCCTATGATCAAATGTACTAATTCAGTTTTGGCTAAACATTGATTTTGGTTAAGTGGTTGGATAACTAATGTTTGGATAATCAATCGAAAAGAGATAGGTAGGAGTCGTTTTGAGATTGTTCACACTAATATACATTTCTTGGTCAATAGTTGTTCTCTATATCCAGGCTTCATCCCCGTGGCAAACTTATCGTCGTTGACAATACGGCTTGCTATGGGAAGAATGGCTTGCACCTGAACATGACCTCGAAACATCCTAACATATTCTTTGTGACGGGTCATGGTGCAGCCGGATACATGTATGCCGTTACAACACGATAGATAGGCCGATTACAAGGTAAGACGCTGTCAGGCTGAGGTCCTGCGCCGATGCATTCGGCTGCGTGCATTATCTTGTATGCCTAGGTACACTAAGTCATGGAACTGCCGCTGCTGCTGCCGCTGCCACGCGCATACGTACATAGGGCGGATATTCACCTCCTCAGTACCTGGTAGGCTGGTAGGTGCATACTAATCCGACCCGTGACATTCTACGTGGAGTGCCTCTCAGATTGTGAAACTCGTCCACAACCACCCCCGAAAGCCCACTTAAGCTACGTCTTTGCGATGAGTTGTAAATCATGCGCAGCGAGAAAACTTGTTTTTATTTATTTCTTTGCCTGCCTGCTTGCATGTTGTGGTGGTGTACTGTAGGTAGGTAGGTGTCCCGTCGCCCGATGTTAAGTAAGCGGTGAACAGTCCACAGCGATTATTTGGTAGGTAACTAGTCAGGTACTTCGTATTGGTGGCGCGAGAAGATATGGGTATTTAAAATATGTCTTGGATTACAATTAACTAAGGTTACTTGGCTTACTATGGTTATGCCCAGGTGCCTACCTACATACCTAATATCCTATAATAATAGTCAATACGAATGAATATTGGGTAGGTAGGTAGATACATACCCAGCATCGTGTCGTGTGCCGTCGTCTTGTCTTGGTCTCGTTTCGGGCCGGTACATAGCTGATAACTAACTAGGTACTAGGTAGTTAGTTACCCGCAAAAAAAAAAACCCCCCCCAAAACCGTAGAAATTATATACCGCTGAGTTGTAGTTAATTGAATTCATATCGGCATGGAACTAGGTTTATGTAATTCTCCGAATTGAAGGACCTAAGCAAACCCCAAGGGCCAAGTGCATATGCCATACTACGGCGTACTTACTTAGCTTGCTGCTGCTGCTTCACTCGGTTCGCACGGATGGAATGTCTGTGTGTTGTCTGTGTTGTGTGTGTGTGTGTGTGTGTGAGCACATGGCAGGTATGGATGGGATATACCGCCGTTGAACGTTTTTTACAGGCATCCTTGCTTTTGAACTAGGTTAGGGCTAATTACAGGTAGGGTAGGGAATAGTTAGCGTGGTTGCTGCTTTTAATTCCGCGCTCAGCTCTGGTCTCAGCTCGTTAGTTAATCAGTCAGTCACGTGCTCTGGGATTGAGAAGTGCCGTAAAAAAAAAAAAAAAAAAAATTTGCTGCCAAGTCGGTAACCGGTTAGGTTAGGTTAACTAACTAGTTAGTTAGTTATTTACGGTTTCTGCTTGGAACGGATGGAGCGAGATGGTTTTCAATTACCGTTAGTTAGTTACCTAGTTAACTATTAGTTAGTTATGGCACACTACCAACTAGTTAACGGTTAACCTACTCCGTATCATATTTTTGGGGGGGTTTCTTTTACGTTTCGACGACAAAACGCCACTACGTCTTGTGAACATAGAACATAGAGCATAAAGAATATATCGACCCCTTTACCTCTCCCTCTTCCTCTACCAGCCGCGACGGCGCGCATACCTAACCTAACCTCAGTACATTAGGTACAACAACCACAGGTTAAGTTCTCCGATTCTCAGCCATTATGGTAGGTAGCTAGTAGTTAACCAGCAACCAACGATCGCGTGCATACCTAGCGAGAGATAGGTCGCTGGCGCATGCGATGCGTGCGGCCTTGCCTCCTTGGCGAAGGGATAGAGATGGAGATGGAGATAGAGAATCGATCAGTCGATGTAGGTAAGTAGGAGGATATCCTCGGTTCCTTTGCTGTCTGCGTTGCCTCGTCCTCGTCCTGTCCTGTCTTTGTATCACGCTAGGTTAGGCGGTTGATGTCAGCGGGGGTCGGGTCGTAAGGTAGGGAGGGAGGGTATGACTTACTCAAGACGCGGGGGGGGGGGGGGGGTTTGGTGGTGCAAGGTTAGTTAGTATCCAGCTCTCCAGGATATCGGGCCAAACAGAGCCCGCTGTTGATTGAGATATGGCTTCTTAGGGTAGGGTAGGGAAGGGATGGGAAGGGTGTCAGTTAATGTGATAGTTCCACCATCTGAATCTGAAGCTTAGTTTAGGCAGGGGCGTGGAGGACGGTTGAGGAGCGGAGATCAAATGGGCGATGGTGCAGTTGGTGATAGCTTCATACGGGGTGTTTCGAAAACCATCTTTGAAGCTGTAAGGTAAAACCTACTCTGAAATATGTGCTTTCATCGGTCTTGTGTAGCTCTTCTTCATTCTATCTATCTATTCCCCCCCTGAAAATCTACGGTTTATCTCCACGACACATAGTGAGCGGAACCAGGTTACTTAGGTAGCTAAGTAGGAGTCCGACATCAATAGCGTTCTTAACCTGCGAATGAGCGTCGTTTGACTCATCCTCGTCTTCGATCTCCAATGGGGGGGCTCTTCGACTGAGAGGAAAACATGATGGCAATCACATCATGTGCTGCTGCTCAGAGCCTACCCCCGTACTAGGTACCTACCTATGGTTGCCGGATCCCTAACCATCCATCCATCTATCTATCCATCTTACCTCGACGGCCTCTGTAGTGCTCGACTTCTGTAGGTACATCCAGTTTTAGATAACAATGACAGACCATTCCAAATTCTCGGCGTCTCGCGTCCGCAGCATCTTTCCATCACCCACCCCCCTTTTCCCCAAGTATGCCACCATTCTAATCGAATAAGACAACTAGACGTCTCCCAGTTCCAACCGCCATCCGCTAATTTCTCAATAACGGGAGGCTGGTTTAAATTCTCCCAAGTCTATAATTAGGTAGGAAATCAGTCTTAACTAGAGGGTTGGTTGGCTGGCTGGCTGGCTGGGTGTATTTGGGGGTACCTGGTCTAATAGGGGTTATGAATGGCACGGGGGGGGGGGGGGGGGGGGGGGGGCCAAGTGCAAATCGCCTTGTGGTTAAACGCCGATTCAAATTTGAGTGCATGTTGTGATTCTAGAAGATCATAATGATCTTGATAGTTACGTGCTGTGCTTTTTGTTTTGCGGTGATTGATGTAAGGTTAGGCACCTATGTAACTCCAGTCGAGGGGGGCGAGACATGATACTACCTACATATGCGCATTTATTTATTACCTACCTACATACCTACCCAACCGACGCTTCTAATAAGACATGGATATGGCCCTTCTGCGCAATAATATCCCATCCATCCATCCATCCATCCATCCACCACGAACCTAATGAGCCTACGCCTCGGTCACTCCTTCAAAGCATCAGGAAAGTCCATCTATCGTGTTGTTGGGGTCAAGTATTACCTACCTTAGTATGCATCTATAAAGGAGAGGGCTTTTACAAAACAGGCTCGCAAAGAGGAAAGGAACCACCGAAGAGGGATTGTCAAGATCCCATTTATAAATACTTTACTCTATCTAATACCTAGCTCTTCTGTTTTGTGGCAACGGTTCAAGCGATTGGCGCTGGCCTCATGCGTAGCTTAAGGGGCGAGCAGCACCGAAGTGACTTAAGTAGGCAGGCATGGCAAGAGACTCTTCCTCCTATGTCATCGCTAGGATCATAACGATGAGCATTGATATCGAAAAGAGGCATCTTGAACAACATCAATGATTGATCGATACGGGAATCTGATAATTACTCAGTAGTTAACTACACGTAGAGAAACTCTGTGTCCTCAAGGGGCTTACTCCCGTATGTAAAAGTAAACGGATTAGTTAACTAGTTAGTTACCAGACGACTTTTGCAAAAGTCAAACGGACTAACCTTACTTCCGCAACGCGAGGAAACCAGCATTAATCATTACATAATACTCCCCAGGCCAAGGTCCAATCGAGCTCAGCTTTAGTTATGTTATTAAAGCGGCAAGCCTACATCATGTGTGCGTGCGTGTATGTATGTATGCGTGGTGTACCAGGTAGTTAGTTATGCCTGAGTATGAGTGCGCGTGGTGTGTGTGTGTGTGGGGGGGGGACTTCGATATTCACCAGGATTAGGATGGCAAGTGGGTAGGGTTATTACATACAATAGTCAACTTAGTGGCCGGGAGGTTAGGCAGTTTAGCTACATATATAATAAGTGGTGTGTGTTATAGGGTAAGGGACCTATATCACGGGTGTGTTATAGTTATGGAGCACTGGGATTGGGATCTCCGCAATGGGGGGTGGGCTATAGTATAAAGGTTATATATACCTATGTAGGTGCCTACCTTACACGTGTAGGTACATAGGAGAGCTCATGGATGTAGTTATTGTAATGTGTAATACCCCGCGCTAGCTCGTCTGGTGACAGGTGAGAAGAAGGTGAAGAAGAGGTGAGTGAGGATGGGAATATTGGAGCGTGGGTTGTGCGATATATGGATGGGTATGTGGATATATGGATGGGTGCAGATGATTATGATGAGCGGAGAGGACGCTCGTTTCCTTGGGGGAGAGAGATTCGGGGGCGAGGTCTACCTACGTGGAATAGGTCTACTATTTCCTGTGGCAAGTTGTTATCTTGCTACGGGAAATGATGTGAGTATGGTTATTATTGCGAAAGAAGTAGGCAATCATTATGGTGGAACCGTCAGCACTTAGATAACTAATGGTTTTTACTTTTTTTTCCCTTGGGAACGGTTCTCGGTAACTGTAAGCTGATATGCGAACATGATCCCTAGCTACCGAGATAGCTGCTGATAAGTTTATGTAGGTGCCTAGAACTGCGTATCTACTCTACGTAGGAATGTAGCAGTAAGTACGTATGTAAGATAACTAAAAGTTATCTTGGGCGATCGATATCGGAATAACATACGAAAGCAACAGATGGGTGCACACTGCAGACAGACAGGGGGGTAACGAGCTCGCTTACGACCATGGTGGTAGTGGAAAGATACATACATACATACATACGCATAATATAGGTTACATTCTTTAGCGAAGAGGCTTTTCTCAACCGCAGGGCGAGACGGTTCGGTAGGATTTGTTGGCGGGATTATCCGAACGACATCACAACGGCTTTTGCAGAAAGGGCAGTTGGACGTATGTAATTGCCTACATTGGCTTACGCATCGACGATACAGATGGAGATTTGTGGGCAGGGGTTAACTAGGTAGATAGGTATGTATGATTAAGGTGGTGGATACCTACTTTTGAGGCAAGGGAGACGACGATATCATACGATTGCTACCTACCTATTACAACCAGAGATGAGGGATTAAGGGGGGGGGGCAGCTTGCGAGGCGAGGCAAAAAAAAAAAGCAACTTGTATTTGGAGCAAAAGGGCATATGGAAGACTCAGGAAGAGAGATCGTAGAGATGATTGCTTCACGGAGGTCCCGGTAGGTTAATCCGGAGCAACATATCTCTAACCTTAGCTTCGTTATTAGTTAAGAAAACATCTTTAACTCAAGGCGTGCAAAGAATGATTGATTCCTCATCGCCGGAAGATCATGGACGATTTTCTTTGCTTTGCTTCCTTCCTATAGGCTGCATTTAATGATTTATTTGTTCTCTGGGCACCTGAGGCAGCCAACCATAAAATGCCACACATTTGAATTACGGACTAAGAGATAGAGGCTAGAAGCTGATTTGTCTGTCTGATAACTATTGCCTTGCCAATGGCGAGCCAACGCTAGAAAAACCTACCTAGGTCGGTAGGTAGGGTAGGTGCGGGATCCTGTACAGAATAGATGGAATGGATGCAATCGTAGAAACGTTTGCCACCATCAGGTTTATCAGGGGAGGGGAACAGTAGTCTATTATGACCTGTCAAGCCGTTTTCATGTTCCATTCATGCAAACGCCGCGTGCTTTCTTCGCATATCATGTATGGATGATGGATGGATGGGTTCTTCGCAATCCAGAGCCGGCCCCCCCCATCCTAACCCCCATCCCTTACCAACACGCGCCATTCGGATTCCTTTGCTGGAGCCGAGAATGCAGCTTATTCTCTATCGGTATATGTATATGTAGGTACCTAGTATGCATGTTGGTGTGTAGCACAAGATCTCGCCTCTCACGATCCTACCATCAGGCAACCCTTATGGCATATGTAGGTAGGTAGCATTGGATTATGATAAGATCAGCCTAGCCTTGTCTCTTTATAGGTGAGAATGATGGAGTGTGATACACATTGCTGCTGCAAGGATGATTGAGTGCCAAGCCTGAACAAAAACTGGAAGCATACTAATAATATGTAAAAGTCCTTGTGACTATATAAACACAGGTATAGTTAATAGGATCGTTAGGTTTAAGATCCGTGGCATGGGTTATTTAATCGAATATTGAACCGGATATACCATCCCTCTCCCCCCGTCCCATGTCCCGCTCTTAGAGGTAAGGGCGTGCTCGGGCGCGTTCGGGCGCATGCAACCATGCAGTAAATTGGTAAGTCTAGATTTCGCAACAGATTATAGGCAGATCTGACTAATTTAGGCAAGAAGAGCGAGGAATGTTCAATAGATTAGAACCACATGCTTGGGATGCGGGAAGAAATCGAGAACATCCCTCTTTCGTGTAACTAGATCTAGATACATACCGGCGCAAATAGGTAACTAACTACCGGTTATCGCTGCAAGAGTGGGCGGCGGCTGTTCACTGCAGGATAACCAGAAATCGACGGCCTCTGGCAACGATTCCTTCACGGCTCGTTCGCTTGGTATCCAATCAAGCAAGGTTTCTGCCTTCTCTCGCTTCGACACTGCGCGTTCGTACCATACCCGTGGGCCCTAGCCGTTCTCTTTTCGACGATCTTCCGGTCAAAGGGATCGCTATCTATCCCAATATGCCTGATCTCATCCGTAAGTAGGGATGAACATTTGCCTTCAGAGCCTGGGCAATCGCCTGCGCATGCACTCGGCAAATGTGAGATCGTCGCCGCTCGCGAAATAGTACGCCAAAGGTCCACAAAGTCAGGTATCCGAGCCAACTGGGTCTTTCGCCGCGTCCACGAGTGACGAGCGCAGATATCCGCGAGATCGTTCGCGTGAACGTAGCCTGCGATGTTAGTATCTTGCGAAATGTTGAAGTCCGCTTTGAGCTCCTTTACGGTGGCTACGCAGTCCCGGACAGTGACGGATATCCGGCTCCTAGTGGACGATGACGACGGGCTGAGGCCGTATACGAAGGCTGGGAAGACGATGACAATGTTGTTTACATCGGCAGACCCAAGACGCGACAGGCTATGGTGATGCGCTCCACGACAGTCGCATCGCTCCACACCTTCTGTAATTCCGCGCGTTGCCCATCCGACCCCTTCCCCCACAAGCAAGGCGCCAGAGGTTTGGATATACCTAGAAGCCCCCTTTCAGCAACGAGCGGAGAGACCCCATAGGATGGCCGAATGGCTGAATGGCTGCAGGAGTCTGCCGCGGAGATAGTCGGGGAACGTATCTTGTTCATGTCATGTCATATTAGGCTTGGCTTGACATGCCTACGCTGCATATATGCGGAGTCTCTTCTGCATGAAGGGAAGGAAGGGAAGGGAGCAGACGAACTTATGACAACGTCTGCGTGCTCGGATTCGCATTCAATGGAGGGTCCACATTAACTATTTTTCATTGTCGCCAACGACTGCTCAAATCTGCTAGGAGCTCTGCTAGGAACTCTAACTCCAGCCTTTTAACTTTATGTGGTCAAAGGTGGGGAGAAGCAGGGTGAATAGGGTGAATAGGGTGAATATGAGAGGGTAAAGACTCAAGAGAGAAAGGAAGAAAGAAGAGAAGACTAATAAGATCGGCTTTCTCGCTCCCAAAGAACTACTAGTTAGGGGTGGAGTCCACGTGACAGTGGATCCAGCATTATAAGCTATCCTAGGTACTACGACGTAGGTAGGTAGTTACTAGGTACCTAGGTAGGTAACTACTAGGTTTGTTGCTACTAGCCTACAAAGTACACTCTATCATTATTTCGAACTATCACACGCTAATTAGTGCCAAGTTACTTGTGAGTACATACGTAAGTTGTTACTCGTAACATATACGCTGGATGTACGTTGGTTATACGCTACAAAGGTCCCCGCTCGGCGACTTATCCAGCGGTAACTGAAGAATGGTAGCTGGAACTTTTTTTTTATTTTTATTAGGAAAGTTAATTTAGTTATTAGGAAAGTTAAAAAAAAACAGAAGAGAAAATCAATCATCGATGGACAATTTGCTATTTTCGGAACTTCTCCAACTAAAAACAGAACATCGATTGCTGGGAACACGAAATATGTTATGTACCTTAAGATTAATCATACTTACATACGGCGTAGGGACGATAATTCCGCTATGAGAAAAAACGTACATATTCCAAAGACCCAAATCCCACATTATTCGCCCTGGTTGCACGAACCAAGGGCGGCGATTTTCCACATGGGGGAATCGGTCTAGGATGGTCCTCACAGTTGCGCCCCCGATGTGGCCGGTAGTAGCCCCCCCCAGACTAAACCCGACTTAGGTGAGAATCGTGGGCGAGTGATGGGATGGGGGATGGGATGGATGTTATTGGATGGATGGATACAAAAACCCACTTACAAAAATACACATCTTGGCCACGATGATATACTGTATGACGGCGTGGAGGGTTTGCGGGTATGGAGAGGTAGGTAGGTGTTCGCTGATTAGGTAGCTATATTACCGCGTTACGAAGATGTTTGGGTGAACGATTCTAGTCCTTATAAGGATATCAGGGTCCGCACCACACTGGGACAAACTGGGACAGGGGGGAGGGTGGTTGAGGAGTGGTTAAACTGGCGTATGACAATGCGAGAAAGGTGAGAAATTGTGTGGGTCGTGAAGCGATCGTTGCAAAGTGATCGTATTCTCAATCGAGTAAATGTCCAGTAAGTAATATACCACGTGCGTGCATGACTTCTAGGTGGTATCATACAGTATACACTAGGTCGGTAACTATTCGTATACTTGGTCGGTTACTCGGTATACCAAGGCGGTATACTAAGTATAGTACTAGGTATGTAGAATAGTATACCTAGTAATACTCATCAGAGTCTCAGATAATACTGTACGTCGTATGTGACGTAGTGGAGTTCTCTAGGGCTATATACTCGATTAGGTTGCAAGTCTAACTACACTGAGACCGAGTATCATGCCTTTTTACCGCATTGGGAACATCATTGTAACCTGGGATTCTTTGAAACTTAGGTACATATACGTAGTAGTATCAAGTTTGATGCAAATGTTACCTACCCTTCTCATCAATTAAATACGATACTACCTGAATACCTAGTATACCGTATACCCAGTTACCGGTGACATTGACCTGCATACAAAACCTTGTAACTGTTTTGAATGTTTTTTTCCTCTTTTTCTGCTTGAATTGGATAACTAGTTATCAGAGAGGGATATAATGTGAGCTGGTGATAATTCCAAGGCCCTGAACAGGCTGAAGTTCTGAACTAATGTTAGGGACTTTTTATATCTACTATTTAACCACCTAGCTTACCTACTACTGGTAGTACCTGGCTTACCTAGTACTATGGTAGTTAGACATTACTGTCTTAATTTAGTAGGAACCTAGTATTCGGGACCATAATGACTATTTAAATATCTATCACCGATCTACGTGGTAGTCGCATCTTGTAGCCAAGGTCTAACTATAGGTATGTACCCTAGGTAGATTCTATGGGATTTCTAGTGCACCGAGCTGATTAGTAGCTCGGCTGGGCGGGGCAATGCTTACACAGCAAACCCTGGTAAAGGTCGAGTAGGTAGTCGAGGGTATGTAGGTAGTGTAGTTGTATGTAGTTGTTCATGTTGAAGATTGATTCAATGATTCCAAAGTGTCATTCATTGTATGTATAACTGCGGGTTGCAATATAAAAAGTTCTCTGCCCTGGAGCGGAGCCCCAGAACAGGGGCTCAGGAGTGTCAGGGGTGCGGAAGAGGTTCCGAGGAGCAGGTAGGTACCTAGTGAGAAGCTTAGTATTATTATGCAGTGCACACTGCACATGTGTAGTTATGTATAAAGTCGGAAGACGTTGCACATACTACATACATATGTATGGACTACTATGCTATGCTATGTGGTAGTGCGGCTGCGTTCGATGCATATGTCTATACTACCTTAGCACATTCTGCTGCATCGTACACTATGCATCGTATGCATCGTGCTACATAATGCTATAATACCGATTGCAAGATGACTGCTGGCTATCCCTATTAGAGTGGGGTTTCTGTCCATAAGGATGTGATAGAGATGCAGACTTAGTTGCAGGTATAGTGTTGATCTATTGCTCTCTAGGGCTTCTAGGCGATAGTTCTTCTCAACTTGGAAAACTTGAAGTTGTTCAGCACCGTCCAAGAAAAAAAATGCCCTCTTAGAATCATCGTCTAAGGTACATGACCTTACTTACCCTAGGTACTTATGCAGTCAGCAACCCATCTAAAGCAGATTCGTTCCTCTTATATCTATCGAAAACCTTGACTAAACCACATCGCCACTTCAAACACAACACACCACACAAGTTTAAGATTGCCTTTACCAAAAATCGTCTCGTTCCATCGCTCCAAAATGTCCAAGGAACCACATTATACCATGCTCCTCTTCTTCAAACGCAACCCAGATCTCAGCCCCGCTGAATTCAGGGAATACTATGAGGCCCAGCACGCCTCACTGGTCAAAGAAATTGCTAAGACGTCCAAAGGATTGCTAACTTATAAGCGGCGCTATCTCGATCACGAAGCTTCGGATCCGTCTCTGGGCAATCCATTCACCGTCTTTTATGAGCCAGCGCCGACGGTACCCTACGACATGGTGAATGAGGTCACCTTTGAGACCAAAGCAGACGCGGTTGAGTTCGCGAGGCGGATGTATGAGATTGAGGACACCTCGAAAAAAGTATTGAACGACGAGACCACGCTTTTCGTCAAGAGCTCAATGAGGGGTATGATTGTCGAGGAGGTTGTTTAAAGGGAGGAGTACCCTAGAATCGGAGTGGTAGGGGAAGGACTGGCATATCGGCACGGAATAGGACCGCTACCATCTATTCGCTACCTACCCTAGGCACTATAACTACCATACATACATACCAGTATGATACCACCTATTACATAGTAGGTAGGTATGTATGTACGAACGGAATATAGCCGCGACTTATTACTACCTAACCTGCTATTTATTTAACAATGTGTGTGTGTCTTAAGTTCTAGTGTACATACTTAGGTTAGGTATGTATGCAGGTGTGTAGTGTAGTTCAAAGGGGGAGGGGGGTATGTATTATTGGCGAGCCAAACCTGACAAAATCTCGTCACGAGGTGGAGTCCTTTTTTTTATGTAAAGACTACAATTATTACACTGTACATAAGGTAGGTAGTTAGTTAGTGTGTGTGAAAGAAAAAAAAAAAAAAAAAAAAAAGTCACCCAGAGAGATGGGAAAAGTCTTGTTGCCAAGATTACCAATTCCCAATTAAGCAAGGCGTTCTCTTAATCGTTGTTCTGATTGCCCAATTGATATGGCACATATTACGATTTCGACGGAAACGTAAGTTTACCAAGTTTGCCATTCGCAAATGCCCCCTCCCCCTTCCCCCCTTCACCTACCCCCCGGGCCTTTTCCCGGCACCAGCTCTGATTTGCGAATTCGATGAAGCGGTGTAGCGTGGGAACATGGTATATGGGAGCATGGGAGCATGGAAGCATGGTAACTTGTACGTAGTGTACTACATAGTATGTAAAGAGAGCATTTGGACTTATGAAGAACATGGGGGGTAAAAAAGAAAAGAATCCCTCACCACTTACCCCCTTGGGAAATCACACAACAACTGCAATGCGGAACAAGTGGATCAAGAATAAACGACCCAGCGATATTATTGCGATATTACCTTATCTACCTCCCTTAGTAGTAGTAGTAGCAATTCCACTACTGCAGACTTGTTGGCTAGAATGAATAGATGAGCATCATTTAGATGAAAATATTTATTCTTTCGACCAACACTGAATTGTTCTGGTTAAGCCGGCTGGGACGGCCCCGAAAGTCGGTAAAGTGTTTGTCTGTACTGCGTATGTTTAGTTATCTCCTAGCTGTCTGTCTATTTGCCTATTCTGTCAGAGTCTGTCTATCTGTTGCCTCTAGGCATTGTTTGTTGGCCATATTTGCCATTGCCATAAACGAGTTAATCAAACGGGAATGAGAAAGATTGGGTTGGGCCGAATGAAGATAATCTTACTAGTACTGTGTGTGGTGAGATGAACTGGGACGGCAGAATTGAGAGACGGAGGAGTGCAGTGACATTCTGCAGCCATTTGGAAACCCGGACTATAACTTGCACCTTGCACGACGCATCACGAAATTCGATTCAAGTCGCCCCAACCCCTCCCCTCCCTATCCACATTAACGTTGGTTCAAAAGGATTACGCTCAAAATTAGATATGTTCCAACAGAACATATAAAGACCCGCAACTCTCTGCAGTAACTAGGTTAATGTAGACCATGGGGGAACAGGGATCCAATGGGGTCCTACATGCCTTGAGAACCCGGGAACTTTCGGTCGTAGACGTCCCTCCCGCAAGGGCCGAACCGGACATCCTCGGCTCCCTTGTCGCTAACCCATTCGCAGCGACTGCTGGACGAAGGGCTCCTCCTCTCCTTGCCTGCTCTTGCCTGCTATGTTCATGTTCCCTGTCGTAACGTGCGTTGTAGCTGCGGGTCAATAACCTGTTCCAACAACCCTTCCGACACCCTAGAATCCCAGACCCTGAAAGACATTCGCGACTCGCATGAACTAGGCAAGCGTCTACCTTTATTCCCATGAAGTGGGCTCGGGCTTGGGAGGAGGGGGGAGACCTTTGAACCACGTGTACGGCTTGCACTGTGGCAAAAAAGATCAGACGAAATATACATACTTACCATAGTACCCATCTCTCATGTACGTGATTCCATCAGGGATATATACCCAGGTTGGTAGATAACGTTGCTCCACCACCCGTCCCTTCGTTGTTCCCGCGAACAGAACGGCCATAAGACACGTTGTTTACTAGGTAACCTTGAACCTTGACCTTGGATACCCGCGATCTGAACAAGACCCCACTCCCTCGCACCTACATAGTACAACTACTAATGTAGATAACATCCCTCTGTAACGACGTCCGGCTCTAATATAAAGTCTTAGTGCGCGGCCCTTCACGAGTCTGAGCGTTATCCGTCCCATATACCCCGAGCGAGTTCGACTAGATCGATTTAGAGAAATAATAGAAGATTATACTTATACCCCCCCTCTTTGTTATACCCCTTATATACCCTTTTACGTACCTCTTTTTTTATAATGATGACGATGGAAAGCACCAACGGCCCCGACTCAGGGGCGTCGACCCCTCGAACGCCGCACGGATTCCTCTCCAGTTCCCCTTCATCACCGTCTGCTGCGACCGCCTCATCAGTCTCCGAGGCGGACTTCCAAGCAGACGATGTAGCCATCATCGGCATGGCATGCCGCACAGCGGGAGGCAACGACACTCCCGAGAAGCTGTGGCAGTTCCTCATGGATAAGAAAGATGCGTCCGGCGAGAGCCCCAGCTGGCGCTGGGAGCCGTGGAGAAAACGAGATCCTCGAAATGCGAAAGTGATCGAGAAGACGATCAACAAGGGCTACTTCATCGAAGACCTGGAGAACTTCGATGCCTCATTCTTCGGCATCTCGCCCAAGGAGGCCGAGCAGATGGACCCGCACCAACGATTAGGGCTCGAGGTGACGTGGGAGGCCCTCGAGAACGCCGGCCTCAACCCCAAGTCTCTCTCCGGATCGGACACAGCCGTGTATATGGGCTGTGATTCAGACGACTATTCTCGACTTCTGCTCGAAGATATACCGAATATCGAGCCCTGGATGGGCATAGGCACGACCGCACACGGAATTCCCAACCGGATTTCCTACCACTTCGACCTGATGGGCCCTAGTGTGGCGGTCGACTCTGCATGCGCATCTTCACTGTGCGCCGTGCACTTCGGGCGGCAGGCCGTCCTCGGCGGGGAGTCCAGAGTGGCAATCGTCGGCGGCGTCAACGTTTGCTTATCCCCTGCCCTATTTCACATGTTAGGCTCAGCCGGCGCGCTCTCACCGGATGGCGTGTGCCTCTCCTTCGACGACGATGCCCACGGATACGCCAGAGGAGAAGGCGCCGCCGTGCTCATCCTGAAGCGTCTATCCCACGCCATCAAGGACGGCGACCGCGTGCTGGCGACCCTCAAGGGCACGGCGATTGCGCAGGACGGTAAGACGAACGGCATCATGGCTCCCAACGCCAAGGCGCAGGAGCTCGTGGCCAGAAAGGCCCTGCAGGTCGCGGACCTCGACCCCTTGTCCATAGGCTATATTGAAGCACATGCCACCTCCACTTCGCTGGGCGATCCGACGGAAATTTCCGCCATCTCTGCGGTATATGGCGCTGGGCGCTCCCCCGACGCGCCCGCCTACGTTGGTTCCATCAAACCCAACGTCGGACACCTCGAAGCTGCCGCCGGCGCCATCAGTCTCGTAAAAGCGGTCATGGCCGTCAACAAGGGAGAAATACCGCCACAGGCGAGGCTGCAGAAGCTGAACACGCGCGTCAACTGGGAGAAGTCGGGCCTGCAGGTCGTGCAGGAGAAGACGGAGTGGATCGAGGAGGGAAACCGGCCGCGACGCGCTGCCGTCTGCTCGTACGGCTATGGCGGAACCGTGTCCCACGCCATCATCGAGCAGTCGCCTGTTGCTGTGCCCATGGCACGCGAGGAAGAGGATCGGCCGACATTGCTGCTGCTTTCCGCTCCGCAGGAGAAGCGGTTGGCGATTCAGAGCGCGGCGCAGGCCGAGTGGCTCGAAAGTTCTGGAAAATGCGAAAGTCTGAAGTCGGTGGCAGCGACGCTCGCACGACGACGCGCTCACCACGACCTCCGCGCAGCGTTTGTTGTGGGCAGCCACGCGGAAGCGGCTGAAGCGATGAACTCCTTTACTAAGGGCACGACGGGCGAGTGGGTCAGTCAAGGCCGTGCGTTCGAGACCGGCATTAGCAGGGAGGCGGTGTGGATCTTCTCTGGCCATGGCGCACAGTGGGCGGACATGGGCAAAGAGCTGCTCGAGAACCCTGTTTTCCGCCAGACGGTCGCCCCGCTAGACGAAATAGTGTCCCGGGAGCTCGGGTACTCTGCCCTCGATAGCCTGAAAAGGGGCGATTTCCAGGAGTCGGACGAGATTCAGGTCCTCACCTACCTGGTCCAGGTCGGCCTCAGCCAGCTCTTGCAATGCCAGGGCATTCACCCTCAGGCTATCATCGGCCACTCGGTTGGGGAGATCGCTGCCTCTGTTGTCGCCGGATGTATCAGCCCGGAGGAGGGCACGCTGATCGTGACGAGGCGTGCACGCCTGTATGCCCGGATCAGGGGCTTTGGCGGCATGTATCTGGTCAACCTACCTTTCTCAGAGGTATCCGCGGAGTTGGGTGACAGGAAGGATATCGTGGCCGCCATTGACTCTTCTCCGTCGTCTTGTGTCGTCAGTGGTGCTGTCGCTCCTCTGGCCCAGTACACCGAGAGTCTAAGGGAGCGTGGTATCAGAACCTTCCAAGTCAAGACCGATATTGCCTTCCACAGCCCCATGCTGGATATCCTGTCGACGCCATTGAAAGATGCCTTGTCCAAGGCACTTCACCCGAAACTGCCGTCGATTAGGCTCTACTCGACATCTATGACTGATGCTCGGGCCCTAGATCCTAGAGATGTAGACTACTGGATTAACAACATGTTGAGTCCTGTATGGCTTACCTCTGCCGTCAATGCCGCCGTAGAGGATGGCTTCAGAACTTTCTTGGAGGTCTCATCCCACCCTATCGTATTACACTCTGTCAACGAGACTTTGGCTGAGAAAGACTTGAAGGATTTCACGACCATCGCTACGATGCGGAAGAACAAGTCTGCGGAGAAGAGCATTCTCCACGCCGTGGCTCAACTGTACATCAAAGGCGCTACCGTCGATTTCAACGCCTTGTTCGGTCGGAAATGGTGCGGACAGGTTCCCGGGTTCCGCTGGAGCCAGAAGCCGTACTGGAAGGAAGTGTCCTCTGGATCGGCGGGGGCTGACATGCTCCACGATGTTGATCTGCACACGATGACCGGTCAACGTACAGTCGTTGCCGGTACCGATACCATTCTCTACACCACCACGCTTAACGAGAGCAATAAACCGTTCCCGAGGCCTCACAAACTCCACGGCACAAATATCATCCCTGCTGCCGTCTATGTTAACACTTTCCTTCATGCCACTGGCGCTACTACCCTCTCCGATATGACGCTGCGTATTCCACTTGCGGTAGGTCTTCGCCCCTTTTCCTTTTTTCTTTTCACCTACCTTTTCAGCCATCCATCCCCTTCGAGTATCTTCATACTAACTTTAGCCCCCTAATAGGTCACCGATGACCCTCGGAACGTCCAAGTCGTCATGGAAGGAGAAAACGTCAAGGTCGCATCTCGCCTCAGCTCATCCGACGACCACTCATGGACTGTGCACAGTGCCGCGAAGTGGAGCGACAAGCCCCTTACCGAGGCCGAGCCATCCATCCCTATCGACGCCATCCGAAGGCGCTGCAACCTACTACCCAACACTTATTCCATCGATCACTTGACCAAGGTCGGTGTCTCGGGCATCGCCTTCCCCTGGGCGGTCACGGAGCACTACGGCAATGACAAGGAGATGATCGCCAAGGTGGACAACGACCCCGACAACAAGGAGACTACATGGGACGTCAAGTCGTGGGCCCCTACCCTCGATGCCGCGTCCTCGGTGGGCTCTACCGTCTTCGCCGACGACCCGAAGCTGCGCATCGTCTCGCAAATCGACGAGCTCGTCATCCACTCCCGCGACCCTCCCCCCAAGGTCTACTTCCTCTACGCCACGGAGACCGACGCCGCTGCCGCTGATCCACAGACGCGGTCTGCCGACGTCTCGATCCTCAACGTCCGCGGCGAGGTCCTCGCCAAGTTCCGTGGACTAAGACTAACCGAAGTAGAGGGTGGCTCGGGGATCAGCAAGGGCATAGATACCCTCGTGCACCACATGGCCTGGATCCCTGCTCGTCTATCCGAGAAGCCCCTCCTCCTGAAGCAGGCTGTCATCATCTCCTCAGATACCGAAAGGTATGAGCAGTACGCGAAGGACTTGAGCCGACAGCGGCACATCTCCAAGGTAGTCAAGGTCAACACTGCCAAGGAGCTGCAGCAGGCAGAGATATCCGCCATGCTCAACGCGATGGAGTCCGCCGTCGTGTACTGCCCCGAGGCCGTGCAGCCCTCCGACGACATCGCGCGCGCGTCCCGGAAGTTCATCTGGGAGGTCGCCTCCGCCGTCAAGTTCATCGCGCAGAACAAGCTCCCCGTCAAGTTCTTCATCATGACGGACCGCGTCTTCGCCGCCGAGGACGCCACGGCACTCGCCCAGGGGGCGCTGTACGGCCTCGCGCGCATCGTCGCGTCAGAGCACCCCGACATCTGGGGGGGTCTGATCGACAACGAGGGCCCGCAGTTCCCTATCCTGCCCTTCAAGTACGTCCAGGAGCAGGACATCATCCGCTTCGAGGACGGCGTACCTCGCATCGCGCGCCTGCGCCCCTTCTCCGCTAACCAGCGCCACCCCGCATCCAGCACCAAAACCCTCCTACCCAAGCCCGAGGGGACGTACGTCGTGACGGGTGGTCTCGGTGTCTTGGGTCTCGAGACCTGCGACTTCCTCATCGCGAAGGGCGCGCGCCGCATAGTCATCCTCTCGCGTCGTGCCTTGCCACGCCGCAGTCAGTGGGCCAATGCATCGGAGAGCATCGCGCCCATCCTAGCCCGCATCCAAGCGATGGAGAACCACGGCGCGAGCGTGCACGTCGTGTCTCTCGACGTCGGCGCCAAGAACGCGCACGAACTGCTCCTCGACGCGCTCGACCGCCTCTCGCTTCCCCCCGTCCTCGGCGTCGTTCACGCCAGCGGTGTGCTCGAGGACAGCCTCCTCGTCGATACAACCGAAGACTCATTCGCGCGCGTGCTGTCGCCCAAGATCTCCGGCGCCTTAGCATTACACAAGGCCTTCCCGCCGGGAACTCTGGACTTCTTCGTCTTCTACTCGTCCATCGGGCAGCTGGTGGGGACGTCGGGGCAGAGCTCGTATGGATCGGGGAACGCTTTTCTAGATACCTTGGCGGCGCACAGGCGCAGCCTCGGGTGCAACGCGGTGGCGTTCCAGTGGACGGCGTGGCGCAGCATGGGGATGGGGACCTCGGCGTTCCTGACGCTCGAGCTGCAGAGCAAGGGCATCACGGACATCACGTGCGAGGAGGCCTTCAGCGCCTGGGAGCACCTGTCGAAGTACGATGTCGAGCAAGCCGTCGTCACGCGCACGCTCGCCTACGACGAAGGGGAATCGGCGCCTTGCCCGCTGATGGAGGAGATCACAGTCCGGCGCCCCCGCGAGAGGGACAGCTCGTCGTCCGGCGCCCCTGCAGAAGGGGCCAAGGGCGAGAGCGCGGACCGCCCGACGGACACGGCGGAGCTGAAGAAGTGGCTCGACATCAAGATCCGCGAGTCCCTCGCGTCGATACTGAAGATTGGCGACATCGAGGACATCGACCCGCGCGTCGCGCTATCGGATATCGGGGTTGACAGTGTGATGACCATCGTGCTGAGGCAGAAGCTGCAGAGCGTGCTGAAGGTGAAGGTGCCGCAGACGCTCACGTGGAATCACCCGACGGTGACGGCGATAATAGAGTACTTCGTGAAGCAGTTCCAAGGGGAAGGGAGCAAATAGGCAAAGGGAGCAAGTGGCAACGAGAGACGGGTATCTAATGTCAATAATAGCATAGTAATATTAATCATACTTTCTGTTCAATCTTTTTTTTTTTTTTTTTTTTTGTAAGACAAAAATAGAGAGAAATAATTTAAAAAAAAAGTTACAAATGAAAAACCCGCAATTTGTTGCCTACGTGGATATGATATCACCTACAATAGTTATGGAGGATACCTACCTAATAATCAGTGCCCGATGAGGTAGTTAGGCACCCCGCCGGCAGTTGATATCTTTTTGGTATGTAATTATGATGGTGGTACAGAAGGGCGGCTGTGGCGTCAAAAGGGAATGATTAGTCACTATTCTTACTAATCTTGTAATAGTAACATTGTCTCTTTACTCCCTGTTACATAACTAGGTATGTACTGAACATTCATTATACTGTAACAATGATAGATTATGTAAGTTACATGTAGATACAATACATAACCAAAAAAGGGGGACGATGACCAGTCAGAAGTTAGTCATCAACAAACAGCTCCTCATTTATTGTCATTTAAATATTCCACTTTGACAACTTTCAGCCCCATTTCCAATCCAACCACCCATCCCATTGTAACACCGAAATGTTGTTATATCCTCCACAATTATCTAACTTACCAATAAGAACTTCTATCACACCTATCTTGAACAATAGAGAGTTTATTCTGAAGGATTTTTTTCGCTATAGCCTGCGTTTTAGCGGAACTCATCGGGTTGTTACAACTCAGCGAACCCGACCTGGAGATACACCAATTCGGGTGTGTACATTATCGGATGGGGCCAAACGCCGGTCTGAAAGGTTGAAGACTGGGCGAATCCACCACCATCACCACCATCAGCTAGGATACTTGGGATTTCCTGGTATGACAAAGCAGACGCACACCTTGGCGGGAGAAACAGTGAAAGAGAGGAAGAAGCAGACACCGCCTCGACCAAGTTCGAGCGTCGTTCTGTTGTCTCCGGAAAACCAAGTGTTATTACTGCACAGAGTGAAGACCTCTTCGGCATTCCCCTCTGCGCACGTATTTCCTGGGGGGAATCTCTCTGTATTCCACGATGGGGAGGTTCCAAGCCCAAGCGATGCCAAGATACATGAAGACTCGCTCTCGTATAGGCTAGGCGCCATCCGGGAAACTTTTGAAGAAAGCGGGATCCTGCTGGCTCGTGAAGGGGACATAGATGGGAAGCCCTTGAGCATTCCCACCGTCGACCGCGATCAGGCTCGTCAAGCGATCTACCGAAATAAGGTACGCTTCGTCGAGTGGCTGGCGAGCGTAGGCGGAGTTGCAGATACGGGTAATGATAACCGTGCCCGAGCGCCACTCTGGACGCCTTGACATTGTTTGACTAGGGAAAAAAACTAAACCTTGGATTACAGAGAATTTGTTGCCGTTCACTAGATGGATAACGCCTCTCGCTCAGCCGCGACGCTTCACTACGCAGATGTACTTGTATATGCTCCCGCTTTCGACGATAGATGACACCGCCATATCGGCCGCGCGATCCGAGGCCATCATTCCTACCCCTGATGGCGGCGCGGAGATCACCGCTGCGCGGTTTGACGATGCAAGCACGTGGCTAGAGAAGCAGCGTAACGGCGAAATTGTCTTGTTTCCACCCCAGTGTTTTCTACTTCACCTGTTGTCGCAGTTTATGGTAGGCCCCCCCGCGGATTCGCCCAGTCCCTCGGAATTGGTAGAGCATTATCGCTCCCAGCGAGAGAGGCTGAGGGGATTCTTGAATACCGTGCCAACGGCAACCGAACCCAGAGCTCTGAAACATCCCACGGCCCAAATTCCTTGGGGGGAGAAAACCATTAGTCCTACTACTCTGGGCATACGGCAAAGCGATAAGAGGGCAATACTGGGACTTGATAAGCCTGGTCCGGAACTGAATGGTTCGGATAAGGGTGGGGATTGGGAAAGAGTGGTATTGGTAAGATTTTCCAAAGGGGTAGCCACGGAAGTTGAGGTGAGGGGTAGAGAAGAGGTCCTGGACGAAGAGAGGCGCCTGGAGAGGCTGAGTAAGGAGACGAAGTTATAATACAAGAGTCTCGAATGATGGTATGAATTCATAGCTATGACTAGGTACATTATCACTCAGACTGACAAAATGTCAGGTGGAAATCATATTCTTCGAGCCCATGTGTCACGGTTTCCTTACTCACGGGCCAGTTCATTTCAGCATATGACTGCATCGGGACATGACGCGAGAAGCACTTGCTAATTATAAGACCACATTTGAATGAAGCGTAGGGACTCCAACACGAGTTGGCTCGCTGGCGCTACTTCTAATCTCATCTGCGTAACCTGGGACACAAGTGCATGCTGGAAGCACGTCAGGGCTATACTTTCTACACGCAAGCTCCTTTGTCAAATCTTGCGTAAGGCTACCTCAGGGGCACCCTCGATATAGGATTGTGTACCTATAAGTCCTAGATATTGGCGCTCAACCACGGGCTATATAAAGCAAAGCCCCCGAGCCTTCCAGAACCAGCCTACCTACCCCAGAAACCCTCGCACCCCCATCAAAAATCCTCAACCAACAAACTATCACCAAAAACGACTAGTCTACTCAACTCCCAATGGCAGCCATGAAATTCACCACCTTGTTCCTCTACTCCCTCACCCTCTCCCTCTGGCGCCTCGCCAACGGCACACCCATCCCAGACCCAGACCCAGAGCCCCCAAAACCCAAACACACCCGCGCCCGCCGCTACACCTACAACAAAACCGACGGCGTCGGCGCTGGCACGTACACCTTGCCGGACTTGGCTGCGTATAACGCTACCAACCACCACTACGGCCACGTCCCGATCCCGCTCGTAGCGCTCCCGCACGGAAACGTTAACGCGTCGGATAGGGATTTGGTGGTTATTGCGAATTATACAACGACGAACTACACGATCTCGATTTATGAGCCGGGGCCGGAGGATGGGAGCGCCGGGGGTGGTGCGGCGGATGAGTAGGGGTGTTTTTTTTTTGTTTTACCTGACTTCACGGTGTGGGGCGGGTGTGGAAGACAGGGAGGAAAGGGCTTAGGGGCTTGAGGGTTGGGAGGTTTGGGGATGGAAATGGGATGGTAAAGAAGTTGGATACTGCGGGAACTTTTCGGTATACGGATGGTGGTGCTGGGACGGCGGTCAATTGGGCGTTCTATCATGCTTAGGTTAGGTAAGGGGTTAGGAGCTAAGGTTAGGAGTTGATAAAGGGGGTAGGTAGGAGAACTTGCTCGTTTGTTTTTGTGTCATTGCTACATACACTACATTAGGTAGGTTTAGGTAGGTATGCTTTCGGGTAGAAAGGGGTTTAACCAAAACAACAATACTATCAAGTCCCCATTTCGAGGTGATATTGAAGCTTTCGGTGCATCTTGAGCCGACCTGAGAAGTGCTTGAATCAAGACGAATTAATTACTGTTCCTTACTGGAGAACTTTCGCGGTAAGACGCTTACCTTGGTACGCACATTAACGCAACAGTCTATAAAATCGCCGAAAGACCGTAATCCCCTCTCAGGTAAGCAAACACGGCATCTATTCCCAACGTATACCACCACAGTAGATCAGGCACCGTGCCTATCCTATATCCACACTGTCCGGCCTTACTCCGGCCCTACCGCATCGCCGTTATTTGTACCCCCCAAACCCCGGTCCGCTTTCGGCATTGTGACAAACATCGAATTATCACCTACCTAGGTATTTTTCCGACTTTTTAAAAAGCACGCTATCAGAGACGCTAAATAAATCTACGAGCAGTGATTAACACGCCGGAAAAATAGCTTAGTCGATACCAAAAAAAAAAAAATGCAGGGCCCGACCACCGCACCCCCGTACTCCCCCCGCGTCGGCGTCGCCGCCCTAGTCCGCAACGCGCGGGGCGAGTTTGTGTTCGGCAAGCGGAAGGGGGCGCACGGCGCTGGTACGTTACTTACCCCCTTTCCCCTCCATCCCTACCCCCCCCCCCCCCCCCCCTACCTACCCACCCAGAAAGCCACCCAACTAAAACAAGCCACCGGGTGGGTGGTCAGGCTCCTGGCAGTTCCCCGGCGGCCATCTCGAGATGGGCGAGTCTTTCTTCGAGGGCGCGGCGCGCGAGACGTTAGAGGAGACGGGGCTGACGGTCGCGGGGGTGCGGGTGGCGGGGGTGACGAACGATGTGTTTGATGCGGCGACGAGGCACTACGTGACGGTGTTCGTGGAGTGTCGGGTAGAGGGGGAGGGGGAGGAGCCGAAGGTGGGTTTTTTTTATTTCTTTTTACTTGGTGCTTATTTCCTATCATCCTTTTCTCTCGCTCCCTTTTTATTGTGCTTTTCCTCCTTTGCACTTTCGTAAATACCGAACTAGACAGTGAGCAGTGAGGAGTGAGAACAAGAGCTAACTCGAGTAATCCGTGATGGTAGGTCATGGAGCCGGATAAATGCGAGGGCTGGCACTGGATAGGCTACAACACGATCCGGCAGTGGTGCGAGCATCACGACGACAACGAGACGCCGGAGTGGGCGCAGAATAAGTGTTTCTTGCCGATCAGGAACCTGGTCAAGGATCATCCCCAAGTAGAGAGTTTGATACCATCGTTACGGGAGTGAGGGCTAGAATATGTTACTAGGTCATGGAAACAACCAGTCACAGCGTTTATGTTGAACTATACCTAGGCAATGAAATATTAGCCCTGAAATATTTACTCATGCGTGCTTTCAAACTGCTATGTACAGTGCTTGAATCGTATCAACAGTTCCTTCTTCCAAGGACCTATAGACTACAGACTCTTCTCGATCTCCGCCAACTCCGCCATCTGAGCCTCAATACTCCGCTTCACCGCATCCGCAGGCTCCAAATACGGGCGCCTCGGTTTCAACTTCTCCACCGCGCCCTCAATGCCCGCTGCCTTCGCCGTATGAATCGCAGCCGCGTACTTGGTCGACGCAATGCCCGCTTTGCAAGGCTGCTCGGCCAGCGCGGCCTTTTGGTGCAGAGCGAGCGCTTCCTGGTACTTCCCCTCCTTGTACAGCGTGTAGATCTTCACGATGGCCTTTGGGAAGACGTTGCCGAACGCGGCGATGCAGCCCGCGGAGCCGACGCTGAGGCCGCCGATCAGGAAGTCCGACTGGCCTCCGAAAGTCGCGAAGCGCGCCGCGGGTAGCTCGGCAGCGAGGCGCGTGATCTTGGCCACGGAGCCGCAGGTCAGTTTTACGCCTACGATGTTGCTGTGCTGGTTCGCCAGCTTCGTTATCGTCGCCGAGTCCAGGTCGACGCCGTTGCAGACGCCGGGGAAGTTGTACAAGATCACCGGAAGCGGGCTCTGGGTCGCCACGTCGGCGTAGAAGTTGTCTATGACGGCGGGAGTAGTCGCCTTGCCGAAGTAGGCGGGCGGGAGAACTAGCGTATAGTTTGCGCCGGCCTCTGCGGCGTCGGTGATGAATTCGAGGACCTGCCGCGTGGAATGGCCACCGCAGCCCGCCATGATGGGGAAATCTGGTCCGACTGCTTTGCGGGCTGTTTGCAGCAGCGTTCTGCGCTCCTCGCGGGTAAGCAGGAAGGTTTCGGCATTTGTTCCGAGGATGACAAGTCCAGCAAGACCGGTTTTGGACAGATAGGAGTAGTAAGTTGCTTGGGATTCGGTGTCTAGAGTGTCTGTCTTGGGGTCAAAGAAGGTGACGGCGGGGGCCCAAATACCACTTGGAGGGACCTTGGGGAACGACATTGCGAAAGATTTATATCTGGAATTATTCGCTCCGTTTCATATATTTCATGGAAGTTGAGTATAATAATCAACACTGGGAATATCAATGTCTGCCCGGGTACTAATGAGGGGCGCGGGTTGCGTTTGTTCGGGGGATTTGAGCCGGTCTTGTTGCAGCTTGGCATTCCGCTCTCGGCAGCCGCCGAAGATTCTTATAGGATTACATATCAAGATAGGTACCGTAGTATTCATCACAATAAGAACTTGGAAATCATTATACCGAACGCTACATGTATACCATACTGTTAGACCTATGAAGATAATGGGAATATATTCACCTTAAGCGAATGAGCTGAGCGGAATCTCAAATCAAGAGAATCTGGAATAGAAAAGCAATCAACAATGCGGAACTCTATTCTCACTCAATTTATATTAATTAATTGTTGTTTTTGTTGGGGGCTTGATACTTCGTAGACTGGGTAATATTCGGCAGCAAAAGCCAATTACGTAACCTAGATGATTGTACAGTACCTAGTACCTACATACGTCTGCCTACGTCTGCCACCTGCGCAATCCACTGCGCGTTGACGCATCCTGCGCATGTGTCTTAAGAAGGTGCAGCTTGAACTGAACTGCATCCACTTTAGGTGCTAAGCAGGTCCCCACCGCGTCTTTCCCGAATACCGGGATTGTACTTGTACTACTTAGTTACCTAACTTACCTCTAGCATTTAATTCTTTTAACGTTGAATGCTCATCACCGAGCGCGTGGTGCGACATGACTGGACTATCTTCTCAGCAAACTACAAACTACTACTACTACTACTACTACAAGCTTCCAAGATTATTCTAACAACTAATACAAAATAACAAAATAACACCTCATTTAGCGAAACACTCAAATCATATATGGGCTGATTCGATTCGCCGTCGTCTTCTCTTTACGAGAATCATGACGCTACTGAATTCTGTAGTTACAGTGGCTAAGCCGCGCCATCGACGATATGTATAACCAACGCAGGATCGTGCGGAGGCTGCTTGGCCGACAGCTTACCGATACTCCTACCGATGGGAATATAGCTGTCACTAGCTCACCCGTTCCTCAATCTTATCGACCTAATGCCTCTCAAAATGCCACATACCCCTCCGCTGTACCAATAGCCTGTCTCGATCGGTCCCCGGATGGTCATGCCGCCGTGCTCGGTGGCCGCCATGTTCTCAAGACAATTTATTTTGATGGCCTGAGCATTAAAGAAGGTGTCGATGTGCGCTCTGTCATTACTGCTCAGTTCGCAAACAAGAGCAACGCTGCCAGTTCCGTGTCCGATCAATTGTCCATCAAAGACGTCAAGTTAGCCCCCAACCATGGCAACGACCTTACTGTCTTTACCGCTTGCGCCAACGGAAAGATCTTTATGTACGACATCGGTCGCTTGGGTATGGGATCTGGGCTTGAGTTCATCCAAACCAAAGAGGATTCGCGCCAGATCAATACACTAGACTTCAACCCTCATAATGGAACATGGTTATTATCCGGAGGGCAGGATGGCACGGTGCGCTGCTTCGACGTGAAAACGCCCATACCTGGACGAAGTGGTCCGACTTTTCGTAATTGGCAGGCTTTCCGTTGCAACGCCGATGGAGTTAGCGATGTAAAATGGTCGCCTAAAGACGGTATGACTTTTGCCTGTGCGACAGATTCCGGCGTCGTTTTGAAATGGGACATCCGGAAATATTCCGCGCCTCTCCTCAAGATTAACGCCCACGATACGCAGAAAGGCGCCTCCTCTATATCATGGCACGCCGATGGTGAACATTTGATCAGTGCTGGGTTGGACAGTAAATGCTACGTTTGGGATTTGTCGGATAATGCCGAAAAGAGACAGAAGCCAAAGTGGACTATAAGTTGTCCGGCGCCCGTCACATCCGTGGTCTGGCGGCCTGGTCTTTGGTCTGCTACTGCCCGAGGGCGACGTGCAGCTCAGGTCGCTGTATCCTATGATGAAGGGGGGCATGTTAAGAAATACGGCATTAGCTCCGTGCACATCTGGGATTTGGCACGTCCGACCATGCCGTATAAGGAGATAGATATATTCGATAACTCGCCTAGTGCTCTGCTTTGGCACGACCAGGACCTTCTGTGGACTGCCGGCCCTGATGGGTTTTCCCAGTGCGATGTTGCGTTTGCCCCCAAAGTTATGGACCGCCAATCACTTTCAAGTCTTGATTTCTCCGCTCGGGGAGAAGTGCTCATGTTTCTCGAGGAGAGGATACGATTACCCCGACCACGCCCTACAACAATGGCGCATCAAGGCATGCCAACTTCTTCTTACAGTTCTAGTCCTACTGGCCAGATGCTCAGTATTAGTCGCAGTGACTCCGAAGAGGACGTTATAGGCAGTTTTCTCGGCACAAGACGGCGCGTAACTGAGAAACGCCGAGCGGGCAATCGCACTTCTCAACCCATCAGCATGACACCCCGTTCCAGTTCGGGCATTGAGGATCAAGTCATTTCTTTGGACCAAGCAATGAAATTGACCGACCCTTTTAGGCCACAACAAGTCATGGCCATCGGCCAGATTCCTGGTGCCCCAAACATACAAATTTATGGTTATCTATCAGCGCAATATCTGGACATCCTCGAACAGGATTTACCACGTACGAAAGGGGGGAAACCGTTGAATGAGAGAGTTGTTGGCATTATGGAACGATATGCGCGAGCTTCTGAAAGCGTCAGCCAACACCGCCTAGCACAGACGTGGCGTATATTAGCTTATGCCATTGACCTACTATTATCACGGAGGTCTTTATACCACCTAGAACACCGTCTATTTCGCCGTGAGAGGCCTCCCGCCAGCCCCGATCATGGTCCATTTGATTTTGGGTTGATGATCCCGAAGACAAATATGTCACCAAAGTTAAAAGTAGGTGGGGATGATACACCAAGAAAGCCGTCGTCCGCGGCATCTCTAGACAACCGTCATCCTCTAGGGAGGTCATTCCTTGCAGAGGATCTCGATAGCGAGTCGAATGTCCCTACCCCATTAGCTCGGCCGGTCAAGGAAGATGCTAGCAATAACTATAGACATGCTGATGGAAATAAGTTAACTACGGTTCACGAAATGGAAAGCTTTACTTTGCCACCCACCATCCTCCCAGAGAGCTTCGGTCAGCGCAAACGGCTCGATTCAACATCTCTCTCAACATTGAGTCCGGATAGTCAAAGGTCGAACACGGAGGGGTACGACTTCTACGACTTGAATGCCATCGAGAATATCCCTGCTGGAGCGATTGACGTTCCGATGAAGAAGGGCTCCCTGACTCTTGGTAGCGAAGAACCAGGGAGTCTAACCGGGGGGCGCAAACCAATGCCTAGGACTGACTCCGACGAGAGCTATGCTCCAATATTTTCTCTATCTGTCACAAGTAGGCAAGCATCGGTCCTCACCGGTTCATCCGGCACGACCATTGATCAAACACCCCGAAAGTCTAAGCAGAATAACCAAAGCCCAGACGAAACAGAAGAAGAATACGGAAGCAGAATTAGAGGTAAACAAATTGGAGAGTCACCCGATGATATAAGATATTCCTTTCGGCAGGGGTTGGAACGACAAGATTCCGATACCTTAACAGACTACAAGATCTCTCAAACTACCAGTGATACTCTTGATAGCGCTCAGTCACGAGACCTGGATAAGCACCATTCTATAGAGTATTCAGTCCCAAAGCTAATGTTACCAATATCTTCCCCTACAGCCCAACCTGAAGACCACCAATCACCTCATATTACGGAGACCGATTTTCTTCCTTGGCTAGACGATCCTCCATACCCACATCCCATAGCCATTGAATATAAGGCAAAGGTGCCTATTCCGCCATTCAATCCGTACGATGTATTATCGCGAGCTCTGGATTTTGAGTCCAAACGTTCTGCGTTAAATGCGTCTGCCATCGTTCTTCTCCTCAAACCTCTTGTCCCCGACGATGTGATTGACCCCTATCAAGCAGCGGCGATTGTCAGGAAACACCATAGCCGACTTATGGGCATGAAGTTATTTGTTGAAGCTGCTTTGCTGCGTAACATCTGTGTTCGCGGCTGGCCCAACGGTCTGGAGGCCTGGGGCGACAATTATACTTCTGTTTTTGCCCCAGCGCAACAGCGAGTTTCAGCAGCATTTGCCTGTTCTCAGTGTCACAAGCCTCGAGAAATCGACCGTTCGAATCCGGATGGTCCTGGGGTATGGAAGTGCGAGCGCTGCCGCGCTGTAATGGCACCATGTGCCGTTTGTGGACACCGGGACGCTACGGCCGATCCACTTCCGCCAGCGTCGGTGTCGGAAGGTTTGGCAACGCCTACATCCAACCTATCGAAGGAGCCGATACTTTCCACTTGGTGGTACTGTCCTGGTTGCTCTCATGGCGGGCACGCGAACTGCTTGCAAGATTGGCACGCCCCCGTTGGGCCAAAGGAAACCTACTCGTCTGCATCAGTTCATCCCATGGACGGCCCCTTCCCAGAGACAAACAGCGACGGGTGCTGCCCCTTCGACGGCTGCGGACACGCATGCCTCCCCGGGAGATGGCGCAACGAGAGCACTACCTCCCGCACAGAAGAGCTAAACCGCGTAGTACGCGAACAAACCCGCAGCTCCATCGGCAGCGTCATCGGGTACAAGAAGAACAGCGCCAACGACCGGAGAGGTTCCGGCCATCATGCCAGAGACTCCCTAGCCGCAGCACAAGCCACCACCATCCGCGGCGACGCCATCGAAGTCCCGCAAAGTAGAGCCGTCGAAAGCGTCAGGGAAGCTCTCTCCGCGGCTGATATCGGCGGCGGTGCCGCTAGCGCTGGCAGTGGCAGCGGAGCGGGCCATAGCACGACCGCAGGAGGAGGGGGGGGACTTCTCGGGATCCTGAGCTCGAGTCCCGGACGCGCGACTATTGGGGCCGGAAGCAGTGCCCCGGAGCGCAGGAAGAGCGTTAAATTTGCTGGGGCGGGGCCGGGGGATAGGCGATAGGTGGTGATGTAGTGTATATCTACCTAACCTAGGTGCTGAGGTACATATGCTTGTACAAACCTGTATATTGAAAACGAGGATGTTACACGGCGTTTTGCTGGTTGTGTTGTTGAGTGTCTTTTCTGAGTTGAGGGGTGGTGTCAGCGCTCTGGTTACTACATACCTAGGTACATACATAACTTACTTGCATGCCCAGAGAAGCGAGTGCAGCGGGTTCGAGCCCGTGTGGCTGATGTTTGCGTTGTATTGGATTGGATTGGGTTGGTATAGTTGGGGTGTATGAATAGGGGGGTACGATGGAGCGAGATAGGGGTAGGGTAGGTAGTGAGTGAGTGTATTATATGTCATACCTACATAGTATACCGAGACCTTCTCAACAAAGGGGGGGTTAATAATTCGAAATTTTTAATAGGTAAGATTAGGTATCGTCGATTCAATGTTTGGAGGAGGGCTGCTTATTTGTGGGCGTGTCTAGGTACGGTGTGGTATGGTACTCTAGGTATGTAAGTAGGTAGGCTAATTGAATCAAGATCGTGGTGAATATTATAATAATAACTTTATGTTCTATCCTTAAATACATATTAGGTAGGGTTGGTAGATGCCTACTGTACATACCTATGCTGCCCCTCTCCAAGCTTAATTGGCCGCAAACAAGTGTATAAGTCTAGGTACATAGGCATGTAGGTATATACCTGGTTACCTAGTAGGTATGTAATATATTAAGGGGTATCTAATCTCACCTCACCTCACCTCATTCCTCTTCACCTCACAACACCTCAGAACGCAACACCTTGCTCGAACATTACCTCGCTCTAACATGCTAACTTCCTTCCTTCTTTCTTTCTTTCTTTCTCTCTTTCCTTTCTTCTTTCCTCCCCTCTACCGTTCGATCACTTTTCCTCCACACTCCACACTCCACACTCCGGCTATGTACCTTATCTAATACAACACCGACCACAAGCAAAACGAGCAAGCAAGCAAGCAGTTTACATCCTCCCTTCAAACCCAACTCAACTCAACCCAACTCAAGCCTGCGCAACAGCCCCAACATTCTCCCTCAGCCCCTTCGTGCGCAGTGAGAGCATGGTAGAGCCTTCGTCGAAGGGGAGGCCGACGACAGAGTTACTGCTTCCGGGTGATCCGGTACCACCAGCACTACTGCCAAAGCTACTATCACCCCCAACACCAGCAACGGGACTTAAACTACTGCCATTTCCATTCTCTTTCCCCATAACCCTCCCCATCAACTGCTCCCTATGCTTGTTGACGCCACTATCCGCGCTGCCGGGGCGACTACCCGCGGTACTTATACTCGCGGCGTCATCCCTCGCATTACCACCACCACCACCACCACCACTGCCAGTCTTCCTCAGCCTCCCAGCCCAAAGGCCCCTAACGCCTCCCCGTTTCCTCTCGGGCACCTCCTCGCGGCCCGCGCTGCAGACATACAAAAGATACTTTAAGTTTGGGAGCGTGTGTCGTATATCCACTACTTTTAACCCGGCGGAGGCGACGCAGAGGGTCTCGATGTCCTTGTTGAGGAGGAACCAGGCGTAGTCGAAGCGGTACTGGGCGGTGGCGCCGCCGCGGATGAAGAGGGGGAACTCGCGCTGGGAGTCGGGCAAAAGAGAAATATCGTCGCGGATGCTGCTGCGGGAGCCGAAGGGGCGGAGGGGGTAGGGGAGGGGGACCGAGAGGTAGAATTGCAGCGCGTGTGTGAGCTGCGCGACGTAGCCTAGGGCGGCGGAGAGCGAGTCCTCGGTTGACGTGGAGAGGGTGGGGTCGTAGTTGGTGTTGGGGAGGGGGACGCCGCAGATGCTGAAGGAGAGGGGGGCGCCGGAGGGGCTCGGGGTGATGGGGAAGATGTGCGCGAGGTCCTCGCATACGCGCCGCCGCTGGCCGTGGATGCTTTCGCGGTTGGTGGCGATGAGGGCGCGCGAGGCGGGGAGCTTCGACTGCGCGTGCTTGACGTCGTCGGAGGCTCGGGCTTGCGCGGCGCGGCCGTCCCGGATGGCGGTGCGGCGCGCTTCAATGGAGGCTTGGAGCTCGTCGCGCCGGGCTTGGGCGGTCCGGAGGGCACGCATCTGGGCGGAGACGTATTTGGAAGCCAAGATGGCGGATTCTTGGGCTTGGGGAACGGCATCGGGAGGTGTTCGCTCGAGTATTGAGTTTATCTGGGCAGTAAGTGCTTCACGGGTGGCTAGGGCATCTTGGATGGAGTTGTCGAGGTTGGAGAGTTTCATCAAGGCATTATAAGTGGAAGTTGGTAGGGTTGGGGCTTGTTTCGGTTCATGTTTCTTGCTAGATAGCTCGAGGGAATATACACCATCAACGAGGTGGAAGACGAGGCAATTGGGGGGGAAGTGGTGGTTCCGTAGGGTGCCGAGGTAGTGCAAAGAGCGCATGTCAACGTGTTCGGTAAGCAATAAGGTCCAAATGCGCTGCCGCTTGGCCCATATCTTAATTATGAATCGAGATTCCCTCGTAATAGAAGGGCCGGTTTGGGATAGGTCGAAGAAGCGAAAGTTGAAGTTAATTGCACGCTCGCTAACTTCGCTGAGGTAGAAGGGTTCAGCATCTTGGTCGCAGTGCAGGGAGAAGAACACGTCAGCAGCTCTACTCTCGACGGTGTACTCCAATTGCTTCTGGTGGGTAATGGGGTTCGCATTGGTCAAAGTACTGCGACGTCTAGCATTGACCTTGGTGGATATAAGACTCTCGGAGGAATGAGCATGATGAAGCTGAGGCGGCGGACCATCGTGTAAAGTTGGGGTCTTGGTGGATGGAAGGTATGCGTCGAGATCGTCGGCGGCTCTGCCGTGAGGTCTAGTAAAGCTCAGGTTGCGCAGGTATATGCCCTGGAGATGTCGTAGGCGACGGTTCTGTGGCAGCATAGTTTCTTGGGCTGCTGCGTGGGCAGCGGGCGCACGAGGAAGCTCATGGGTAGAATTGGTTGATGGGGAAAGTTGTTCAGATTTGATGACGAATTTATTTTTAATTATTCCAAATGATCGACCTTTAATTAACTATCTCCAAGTACCAAAGTACCAAGGTACCTATGTACAAGTTGTATCCCCGTACCTGCATGTACCTAGTACTAGGTACCTAGTATGCTTAGATAAGTATACTGCTTTGTACATTTCCCCGTCTAATGGAATTAGCTTATGCTTTTATCGAGCTGCTAATAAGTTGACTTAATTGAATATTTTCGAAACCTTCCCTTTTGACGGAACAGATCGATTCAGCCTACCTAGTAGTAGATGTAGTTAGAAGTATGGGCATTAATTGACTTAGTATTTCACATCATTGAGCCATTTGTATGCCTTACGATAATATACCTATGAATGTGGAGATTTAGTTCTGCTTGTTCAATCTAAACTGTACTGTTTCAAAGAGTTGCCCTGGCCCCTTTTCTTCAGAGATGAAGTGGTAGATGTGTGTCAATCCCTATAGCGGCTATTGGGAAAATCTCGCTGAATGTTATAGTGAAGCCTTGGTTGGAATTCTGTTACAATTTGACTACAAGAAGGAGTTTATTGTCATGGATGATCGTGGCGTTGGAAGATATCACACGGAGAGCATCATATTGTTCATGTTCACCACATGTTTTGTCTTTCACATAGGTAAGTTAGGTACTTAGTATCTACCTAGCATGCTCTTTGCAAATCGTACGTGCTACATCAACCAATCATACGTTGATGTTCCGCACAGAACCGAGACTGGGGAAATGTCGCTCAAGTAAAACACAATTAGTCCCCTGGTTGCGAGAGTTCGCTGGTTTTTATACTACCTACACCACGGCCCCCTATAACCTCCATCCACCACAGCTCATACCTCTCAGCAAATACTCCACTTCATCATAAGCTACCTAAGCCGAGCTCAGCCCTTCCTTCCTAGGTACCAGCACTATCCCCCTTACGCTTCCGCATCTTCAGCGGCCGCACCTCCCGCGGATTCGTCTCGGACTGGACTCGTCGCTTCAACTTCATACTACGGGAATCGGATCAGCATCGACAATGATAAGCACTTAGCCCACCTAAGGATAGGTGGTACTGATTTAAAACCAAGTACTGGCTTTCTCCTCTTGGAAGGAAAGTAGAGGAATGAATGGGATGGAGCGTGAGAATATGAAAAAAAGGGGGTTAGGTGGTGGAAGAAAGAGAGAGAGAGAGACAGGGAGAAGGGGGGGACAACGCACGCCCTATGCAAATTCTCCAAGTGTTCATCCGAAGTCGTGCCATCCTCATCCTGCTCCGACCCCGAAGACTTGATAACATCCGGCAGTTCGCCCGCGGGCGAGCTCTCTGCCCCCTCCGCCGCCGTCGATTTCTGGGAACCTTGCTTCTCGCTGACGTTTAGACAAACCGACGACATGGACGACGTCGCCACGCGGTTCCGCGCTGCCCCGTGCACGTGCGGGTACGTTGGCGGTTGCGGGGGGGTTCCTGGATCGAGGTATTGTATGTCGTCGACTCTGATCCCGAGGGCAATGAGTTCGTGCGTTTGTACGTCCCGGAGGTATCGAGTTAGAGGCGGTGGTGGTGGTGGTGGTGATAGTGGTCTGTCACTTGAAAGCGTAGGCCGTAGTTTTGGGGCGAGAGGTTGGTGGTGGCTGGGTGCTGGCAGGATGGTGGAAGAAGATTCTGCGTCTCCGCCGAGGCTCCGGGGTTGCAAGTGAGGTGACGGTTCCGTGAATCCGGGGATAGGAGGAGAGGAACTATCAGGATGGTGGTTAGATACCAGTGCTTATCACTTGCGTGAGCGCCGTGGCCGTTAAGTCTTACACTATTTGTCCGTCTTCGCCTAGGCTTACGGCCGTCTCACCGGGAGTATAGTCCCTAAAGTAACCCTCACTTCCGACAGAAACATGCCCCTCTCTTCCGCTACCCCCATACTCAATGTCGTGAGATTCCGCCATGCTCAACGGCGCAAAATACTCAAACCAAAGTCGTAGCAAACGAAAGGCATGCGGAGCTGCTTCCACTGTGAAATCTGGTCGCCTCGCATCTCTTATATATACCTACGTCCTAAAGACAGCCGTTCTCTCAAGGGAGAAGCACGGCTGGGGTAGTGAATACCTCCATCCCATCTCTACTACCCAACCTACTAGGTATCTACGCAATACGTGCCTGCCTATCTACCTACCAATTGACAACACATATGTCGATCCCCATCCCGTCCCATTGGCACTGCATCCGCAAAAGTTCTACAAGGTACGTCTACATCGAAAAAAAAAGTTTCAGCCGCATCCCCGCGACCCATCATCGGACAGGGGCAGGGAAAATTAAGGCGGCCGTTGAACTAGTTCCATCGCCTCACCAAGCGCCCCCCCCGGCCCTGGCCTTGTCGAAGGATACCCGGCGGTCTGGGCCTACGTCTTGTCGTTGCATATGAGTGGGTTCCGGGGGAGCGTTCCCGCACTGACTTAAATGAGGGCCAAGGGAAAACGGGAGGGGGGGTTTCGGTGGCTGTGGATAGCTGTCAATGGTTCTGCATCGTCTGTGAGTGGTTGATGCGATGTGTTGACAAGGGGGAGGGAAACTTCAATATTAGGTACTAGGTAGGTCGATGCTACGTGGGAGCACCTAAATACAGGTATGATGGCCGTGGGAGCACCTAAATACAGGTATGATGGCCGTGGGAGCACCTAAATACTAGGTATGATGGATGTGTACACATGCAAGGTATGTATACATAAAGTTATCACGGCCGGGTGGGGGCTAACCAAGTAGCTGGTATTCGAAAACCCGGTGATCTGGAACCGGCATTGTGTCAGCAAATCTTACGATTCCCGTGCTTGCCCGTTGCGCCGTGGAATTTGCAGCAGGGGAAGACAATGATGGATGGGATGGCGCAAAGAGCGGTGACACTGCAGGAATTTTTTTATATTTCTTTCCTCTCTTATTCTTTTCCCTAATAATTTCTCTAGATGTAGGTAGGTACCTATGTAGCTTCAATCTGTGGGTAGACCATATGATTGTTGGGCCTTGGAGTCTATGTATGTAAGGTGTTAGTGGTGGCAGATCGGTAGCTAAAAGGTTACCATATCTTGATTACATTTCTCTTGCTCGAGTACTAGGTAGGTACCTAGGTTAGTATGTTCTATATCCGTATGTGTGTAGGCAGTTTGTTCCATATGAGCATCTTTGACGATTATTTATCACTATTCATGTCAGTTAGGTACCTACACCCTATAATCGTAATTTATCTTGGATGTCTCTACAGATGGGCATCGGTTAACATGTTCCAAGTCATCAAAACCAAATTCATTACTGATTCATTACTGAATTAGTGAATTGGAGCAAAAAAGCAACCCACCTTGTTTCCGAATTCCGAGAATCAAGTAGGTGACAGAATCCCAAGACCATGGACCAGGGTGAACTTCCTGCAGCGTCACATCAAGCTAGTTTCTGCACATACACGTATGTACCTATATATGTACGTACATATTTGTAATACCACCCACTATGCGGCCACAACTCCAGTACCTAGGTCGACAATATGCAGCATCAGGGGTAAATATTCACATTTCATGACGCGGTAATAGACCGCTAAAGTCCTATCCCCCCTTCCCCCCCGACACAACGCCAAAAGGAGAAGGTATAATTTGTCTCCAAGAACTTTCTAAAATGACGTTCCATTCCATCCCGCATCGTCAAATGCCTGACCGCGTTTTTAATCCCGCTCCCCGTAAGTGACAAGGTTAATAAAGAGCCCTTAATATATCAGTCACTATTCTTAGAAGTTGATATGCCAAGTACCTTAGGTACCTACCCAAGGTACTTCGCAGGTTATCAAGGTATGAAATATCTTCATCTCCTTGGTTTTCTAAAAATAGAACAATTGACCTGGTACCTACCTAGTAGATACCATACCTAGTACTCTGTACTGAACACCTAAGATAGGTACTTGGGTGCCTAATAATATAGGTAGGTTAGGTAGGTGAAAATGTTCAGTTTAGCTGGAAGGTAACCCTGAAGTCATTGATAAAGTATGCTGCCAAAACGGTAATGGTTCTCACAGTTGGGTGTTTGGTATAAGCATCAGAATGTCTTATTGACAACAAAGAAGAGCTTATGTATACCTAGGTAGGTAGGTATATAGGCCACCCCCTTCCTGCATATTAGTCCACAACTCTTCAAGTACATAATGACTGCATTCTTTTCATACAATTCGGTCTACCCATATGGCCAGTGTTCCTCGTGCAGCTATGAAACTCCCTAGAGATTAGATATACCTGATAATATTTGAACATTAAAACTTTTCGCAGCATTTTATTTGATATCTTGTCCTCTGACCCTTAATCTGACGTTCCGTGCTTAGAGGGTACCGTTTCATCATTATCAATTTGCCGCGCTCTTGGGTGGCGACGACTCCGTTGGGATATCTTAGATTGGAAAGGAATATAGCTGTTAGGACGTGGATGGACATGGAAAGGAGATATGTTTGCAATGAAGGTGGTCAATGAATAAGAATGGGACGGTTGTTGATTCACCCTTCAACATGGTTATACATGGCTGCAGGAGTATTCTGAGCCGGAATTTCTATATTGTGAGAATGGTTGAAACTGCTATTGTGAGAGTTTAGTGGATTAGGTAGGGCCGGAGAGGCTCCAGTCGTTAAGAAGCTTGCGGATCGGTTTGAAAAAAAGCTCTGACTCCTGTTGAGACAAGGGAGTTATCTCCTCTGGTTGGGTTTGGAAAGGGGAAGATGAGCGAGAGGTAGATATCGAGCTATGCTGATCTGTAGATTTTCTGGGTGAGCTATCGCTGACCCTTCGGTAGAACCGGTATTGTATGGTTGGTCTTCCGACCGTAGGTAGAGGTGCTACCAATTGTTGGACTTCAATCGTCAAAAGAATGAATAATAAAAGAGAAGAAGAGAGCAGAGCTTTCGACCTCTCAGGCTAGCTATATATACATGGACAGATAAGGTTCAGCAATAGCTGTGGCGGCAGCAGCTATGGAGATGCTCATATGGCAGTGGCTATCCTTATCCATCCATGTCCTAACAATAGCAATACGGTGTGGTATGGCGATATTATTATCGATATATTCCATACACTCTGTTAATGCATTCGGTGACTTTGGTGGAATTCGGGATGGTTCGGGGTTAGGCTTGGGTGTCGGATTGGCCCAAGCAGGATTCGCATCATTTCAGACATCGAATGAGCAGCTGACTGAGTCCCTTGTGGCATCCGAGTCGATTGAAGCCGTGGAAATCCAGGAACTTCAAGTCAAACTTTGACATGGATCCAATCCTCGGATCAGATAAGTGGGTGTGTAAGTCTGCCAGTAAAGGAAGGTTTGTGCCTGACAGGTCTTCCTCTACCTTGCCATAATTTATCGTCATTCTCAGTTCGAGCCAATGGCCTTGGATGTCGGCATCTTTGTCTTTATTTACCAGTATTGGCAGGGCTGTCCAGTCTGAAAGATTCCCATTTGCGGCCATTGTGGACTAACACATAGGTACCGAAGTTTTTGATGAATCCCCATTCGTCCAATTGAACTGTTCCAGAAAGGCAACAACCTTGTACAGGCTGTTCCCTTCTGGTGACATCTTATGTAACTATTTTCGCATGGTTAAATGGGTGTCGCAGCTAGGTACACACACCCTGACTTGGGACGGGCCGAGGCGTCGGGTGTGCTGGATGGAAACAGGAGGTCTAGGCAATAAGCTTTATTGCTCGAAATATGCTCAGGGGTCTTTCAAGGAGGCATTCACCAACAGGCAGGGCCTTGTTGAAGGTGAGGGACTTCTCTTATGTCAAGAAGCCAGAAAAGTCGATCGCCAAGTACGGCGTCCAACGTTTGTTGCCATCCTAAGTCAGGAAATCCACCTTAGGTGGCGGCAGTGCTTTGAGTCTGAGCCATTGCAATATGCTGATAGAGAGTAGGTATATTTATTGAAATATGTGCAATGTGTGGAGCAGGTCGACTGAGTTTTGAGACGTACGTTGGCCGCAGCCGTAATATCAATGGGAATACTAGAGATTCCCGCGTGAAAACGATGTTGTTTCACGTCTTCTAGGTTCCATCTTATGGAAAGACAGAAGAAAAAAGGGAGAAGAAAAAGGAATCTTTGCGAGAAGATTAAATAATGACACTTCAGAGCTCAAGAGAATTGGCAGGGCTTGTGTCATAATTCAACCTTTTGGGAAAGAGTCATGTGGAAAGCCTATCAATATAGCAATAACTTGGAGATAGTTGACACGTACATTGTATCAACGTAAGAGGGGGAGAGGGTCGCTGTCTCCTCATGTGTATACGTTGTATGTAGCAACTACTATTTGGATTACTGGCTCTGTAGCTCCTGACAAAAGTAAAGGTATCTATTCACGCGGTATGATTGAGTTTAAGACCCTGAATTTGAAGGTACGAATTGATACCCATCAAGTCTTACTTCCTCACATGGCGTATACCTGTAATAGTTACCCCTGACTACCCCAAGTACCCTAAGTAGGTAGGTAGGTAAAAGCTTGATTTAAATCTCTCTAATGCTTACTTTGGCATTAAGCTTTGTGTCAACACGTTTGGGGTCAATATGCTTAACGCCTCCAAACCTTCCATCCATCCACAACAACTCCAGGAAAGAGTAAGCATTGAAGATGCTGCCAATGGCAACTGCATAGCTCAAAGAACTTAATTCTGCTCCTATATTGGTGTCAAACTGTGTTTTCCCGTCGTCGAGGCAACTAGCTCTAAACAAAAATAAAAATACGCATTCTTCTGGAAGGTTTCGATCTTACCAGCACCCCCCTCCCCCCTTTTCCTTCCCCTTTTCAGACGGAAAAAGGCATCTACCACCTAGATTACAGTTTACAGTTTTCTATCAACTCACCAGCTCTGTTGACATTGTCATATTGACATAAAGCATAATTGATGCCATCTCATTCCGCACGAAGATTGAAGCCGCCCCAATATGGCTCCCGCCGATCAAGCAGCCCAAATATATTTCAGGGGCTAGCGAAGCGAAATTGGAGCGCAAGGGAAGCGATCTTGTCAGCTAGATACACGCGATATATATCGGGAAAAGTATAAAGAATTGACTTATTGTAAATCAGGTAGCCTCGTAGTTGATAGATACATAGCGCACCAGAGACGACCGCAAGCAGGTTGTCCGTGGCGCCATGTTTCGAAGCTAGATACGTAGTAGAGGAGCCCCCTGAGAAAACGGAGATCTCAGGACTAATACAGAGTTTTGAGCGATGGTAGTCTAAATCTCGTTGAGCGGCGTGAAGCTTTTCCTTATAGCTTTTCCAAGCGCCAACCATGTGTCCAGTAGTTTGTTTACTCGGCCTGGAAACCATATGTTGAAGAGTTTATTTCCTCGATCTAAAGGACTTAGAGAGAGCTCCTGGAAGAGTATATAAACATGGCCTGTCTATGTCTCTCTCTCTCTCTGCTCTCCTCTCTCTCCTCTCCTCTTATATTCAAGCCCAATAAGAATCAGACCCTCAGTTCATCACATCGCCCCTCTTGTCACTGAGACTTTTAAACCCTCATCGATATCCAGCAACATCCAGCGTTGACATCTTCGAACCAGAGGATACCTACCTATCTTCCAGTGTTCACAATGTTCAGCCCTTTTGCAAGCTACGCGCTTCCGAAGCCGAAGCCAACTTCTGCTCCCTCGGAGTCCCTACCCCGAGAGTTCATTAATGAACTATTTCGAATAATGATCTGGCCATGCCTCGACCACTTGGACCATATTTTGATTAGTTATGCCACGGAGTGGATTTCCCCCCTTAACTACCTGACTCAAAAAGAAGTCACTTCCCCCACCCACCAAATGGGCATGTTCAGACGCGACAACTTCCAGGACCTTCAGAGCATGGTATTTCGGGTGCGTAACCTCATCTCATGCTATTATATAGGCATTGACTCTGCCTTCAAAACCCCCCTTTACCACAAGACATTCTTTCCCGCTGTCCCGCGGAGTGATGTCGCCCAGGCCCGCGTCGCCATTGCTATCTTGATCATATTTGGCTTTGGAGCATGGCTCGAGCGAATCGCGTCAAGTGGCCGGGGGCTGGCGGTCGGCTCGAATATACACAGTTTTTACTTCGATAAGTTGCGTGGGATAATCGGTTGGGGAGATTTGCAAGACGGACACTTAGCATATGCTTCTGTCCCTCGTGTCCGGCTGTACCTCATCTATCCACCTGAGCCTCCGGCCTCCGAAAATATCGACAGCGGCGCCAATGACGATCAAACCGACGGCGAATATGATAGCGCATACGACAGCGAATATGGTAGCGAATATGACGGTCAAGATGATAGTCAAGACGATATCCAAGACGATAGCCAAGACGGTAGCCAAGACGACGATTATGTTGAGGCTGAGTCGGGTCCCTTCAATAGCCCGGCTGTTGATGCATCCATTCGCGAGTGGCTGGAGAACACTGCCGACCCAGATGAGATGAAAGATCCTTTTATAGCCGATAATATCGGGCGCGACGGGTTTTTTAATATCCCCTACGATCCGTTTAAGGATCACCTTCCTGGCTACCGTCCTAATCCCTTCGCCAACCCCTTCCTCAATCCCTTCCTGTATGCACCTGTTAACCCCCCCACGGATAACACTCCGGATCCATTTGATGATGAGTACTATGAGGAGATGGTTGCCGATTTGGTCAGTGATCCCATCTGATGATCCTCCCGATGTCGACAGCGCCTCTGGATTGGACGATCAGACTCCCTTTATCAAACCGCATATAAAAGACTACGGCAATCCAGGGTGATGAGATGGATATCTCGAGCAGGCTTTGTAAGATATGTCTAGGAGACCGCGTCCAATGCGGGCCTTCCTACCTTCGGAAGGATGCAATGGCTGGCGGGGGAGGGGTAGGCGATATTATGATTAAGCGAGCGGAGGGAGTTATGATCCACCACAAGGACAGGAGAAATGTCAAGAGGAGCATTATGGCTTGATGGATGAAGGATGCAGATTATATGATATGCGATATTGGTGCCTGGATAACTAGAATGATCACAATCGGGAACAGTACTATAAGAGACAGGTGACGGTGCCAATGAAGCTTGGATATGTAAGCAAGTCTAAATTGTTTAATTTATTCGGAGATTCTTGCTTGAAATCGACGTTCATTTGATATGTCTGTGATGTCTGTGATGTCTGTGGCGTCTTTGACACTGAGTGAAAAGGTTAGCCATGCAAATGGATGAATCAATTGGATTGCCCCTTTGGTACGTGTTCCATTCCGAGACGAGATGGGCACTGCATGATGATCTCAGCTTAACGGGTTGAAAGTCAAAGCCTTTTAGGTGCCTAACCTAGGAAGTAGTTAGGTGTAGCCACAAATGCAGAATGTCAGTTTGTGCAACCGTTTTGGTCATCTTCAGGTGATACAGCTGGAAAATGCTAAATAAATACCTGTAGGTATTATACAAATTAGGTAGCCTTCTAGCGCATACTTAAGCGAGACAAGGCGAGTTGAGACAGGACAGCGCCACAATCGTCAATGCCATGTCTTTTGACCCCCTGCAAAAACCGAGTCCGGTCTTGGTCTGAAGTTGGTCAGGTATGATCGAATCGCCATTCCAAGCACTTTAGCCAAAGCTTATTTGTTCGAACGTGGTAAAATGAGGCTTAGCCTTAAGCACGTAACACTTGAACTTGAAGCTTGGGTTGATACAAGCTTTGGAAGAATTCCATTCCATCTGTACCCCGTTCTATCCGTGCATCGCCCTAGGATCTGAGCTTGACCGTTGATCTACGTTATCGATCGCAGGCAGCGAAATTCAACGGGTAACGTACTACTAGTACAGTAAGCTTTACGAACATTTGAGGCTGTTGAGTTACCCAGACAGTTTACAGTGGTGAGTTGCGGGATGTCATTTCAAGCTTTCTGGGCTAATGAACTGAACATCGAAGATCAATCAGGGCCGATCCTTGCTAACCCTGGCACATCGGGGGTCACAAGCACCTATCAAATTGATGGATGTTAATCATTTCTTTGTGACAGTTTGTGTACATGTAAGTTACATGGTAGTACTACTACATAGTACATGTAGTCTGTAGGATTAATACGTCACCCCACAAATATCAACCTGGAGTCGAATCCTTCTATTCTTCTTCCACTTAATCAAGTTCAAACATCTTAAACATCTTAAACATCAGATTCAAAACATCCTAACTATCAAAACCAGCTCGCCTAATGCTTCAACCTAGATTTATGCCTAGCACTTTAGCGCTCAGAGCTGAATGTACAAGCCCGAGCAACGTGGCGTATCGACTCGGTCCCCCTTTTAGCATATCTAGGGAGCATGTGGTGGTATCTACGTAGATGATAACTCCAGGCCCATTCCCACAAGATACTCCGCAAGCCACTGAAAGCCGCTAGTGCTGCTTACAAGAATTCGACTCCAAATGCTTTTAAATCCCCCCGAGCCCCTACCTGTTCGGTTTCTGTAGACAACTCTCACATGGGTCGCATATTTCCTGGGTAACCTCTTTTCCAAGCAAATGTTGAGAGGAGCAACTTTTCTCACCTACTAATGACCTAACGCCTTCCTCGGCGGTTGCTTCCTTTATTCCCATTCATTCTAAAAACTCAGGCTTGGCTGTCTAGCCGCAAATCATCTCATCATCTCATCATGGCCAAATCAAACGGTAATGCTGAACCGGTTGGAGTTGTGAACGGGGAGAAGAATGGCGACGCGCCGCCACAATACAGTGCAGAAAATAATCAAGCACCGACCCAGCCCGAGGACCCGTCCATCGACGACCTAAACTCGGCGTTTGCCTCACTTAATCTCCCATCCCAAACCAAGGATGTTACCCCCGACACCTGTCTAGCACATCTAAAGCTTCTCGCTGCTTTTCATAACCTTCAGGAGGATATAGGCTATACTGACGGCCTGTGGGGTCTGTTCGACAGTCGCGTCCTTTCGCAAGCAGATAGAAAGGCCAAGGCTGTGGAGAAGGGCCTAAAGCTCCATGAGAAGACAGAACAGCGCCTAGCGAATATCCGTGAAAAGCGATGGGCTCTATTTATCGCCAGGGCCGTGGACCGATATGAGACGTGGTGGGATAAGCTCTCCACAACATACCTGACTGAGAGTGATATGGAAGATAAGTCCGAGAGATATACCGATTTTACTACTAGGAGTAGTTTTCTTTCATGGGCCGAAAACATATTACCTCCCCTAGGTAAGTTTTTTTATCATACCATTCACTAGGAATCTCATACTAATTCACATAGATGTGCTTATGGTCTGGCATGCTCATATGCTCAATCCTAGGGCCTACCTAGAGGATTGTGTGCTCCATGGTTTAAATGGACTTTGGATGAGTGGCATGCCATGGGAACTCGTCAACAACGCTATTGATAATGACTTCAACTACAATGTCTCTCCAGAATGCAAATCTGCATGGGAAAATATCATAGGCCGAAAATGGGACAATACTGAGGATCCGATGGCCAAAACTCTCAAGTGCCCCAGCTGCTCCAAAGCTCACCAAGTCCCATGGACCACCACCTCACTGCCCGAGGATTGCATGGATCAAGAGCCAGGCTTTGCTGGGGAGGGTTACGGAGACGGCAACTTCTCGCATAAATGCTCAAAATGTCAAGAGAATATCACAAGAGAGCTTCTCGAGGTCAGAAAGTTTGTGAAAGATGCCCGAGAGCTGCTTTATCACCACCGGCCGATGCCAGGGACTATCTTAGATAACGGGACAGGAATTCCAACTAGGCTCCCCGAAATTGAGCGAATTAGAATCAAGGATGGACGCACATTCCCAAACAGGCTGATCAAGAAAAATATTAGTAAATTTCTTGAATTGCTTCAGCCTAAAAAGACACAGTCGATGGAAAGCGTTCGTCTTATTATTGAGGAAGCATTGAGGGACAATAAGCTTCTCAAGGAGGTCGAAGGCGTAACAGGTCGCGATGCTTATAAGCGGTACCGACTGGGCTCGCAAGCTCGAGCACATGTGAGGAAAATGATGTCGCGATACTGGGGAAACCCCTCGCCTTTTGCCCTCGATCTTAGCGGCGCTGTGCTACGACAGGGCATTTTTACAGAAAAGATGCACAAGGTATGTCCTTTATTACCCCTTTAATACCCCTTACGGTATTTATGCTCTTCACACACGGTCGCTCATTCCACACAGATTGACTGGTTACACAGCCCAGCGGCCAGGGACACGATGACACGACTAATTGTAAAGTACACGCGCTTCGTAAAAATCATGGCCTTACATCCAAACCAAATCGCGGTTCCTACATTAGATGTAGACTTAGCGTGGCACACGCATCAACTTAGTCCTTCGGTATACGCTGCTTGGACTTCGGGAAAAACTCGCCAGCTAATAGACCACGACGACAAGATTGACGAGAGCAAGCTATCTACCTCTTTTGAGTGGACAAGCAAGACTTACCAAGAAATGTACAACGAAGTCTACTCAGAATGCACGTGCTGGTATTGCGAGTCAATTCGTGCCGCGCACGTCTCAAATGTTGGCAGCATCTTTCGGGTGTCTAAAAGTGACAAGAGTACGTTGTGTCTTCCGCCTTTTCTTTTCTCCTCTATTAGCTTCCATCTCGCTGGTACGCTTCTAACCCTACCATAACAGTCACCGAATCCTTCCACAAATCAGGCCAAGCATCGACATGCCCACCTGACAAGAGCGCCCACATCTCGGCGCACAACTCGGTGCTATTCCACGACGTGAGTAAATATCGAGACATGGCCATCCGCCGCGCACACAAGGCACACAAGGATTATCTCGACAAGAACTACGCCAAGGCCCAGAAGCGCGCGAAGAAGAAGGGCCGTGAGATCCCCCCGCGCGACGAGTACTATCACAACTACTGGGGATACCCGTACATGATGTACGGCCCCTTTGTCTACCCCGTCTACTTCACCCCCGCGTACTACCCCTGCGGCGATCCTAGTGGTGCCGCTTCAGGCCAGGGGGCGCAGGGCGGATGCGCGTATGGCGCTTGTGGACAAGGAAGTGGTGGGTGTGGCGGAGCTGGCGGGTGTGGTAGCAGTGGTGGTGGTGTAAGTTGTGACTCTTTTAAAAGCCATAGGGGCTTAATAATGGACGAAATCGTGCTAACTCTTCTTCAAGTGCGGCTCTTCCGGCCCGGCGTGTGGGGGAGGTGGGGGAGGTGGTGGATGCGGTGGTGGCGGCGGATGTGGTGGAAGTGGCGGCGGTGGCGGCGGTGTAAGTCCAATCTCCAACCCCCCCTTTTCTCCAAAGCAATTTTCCTTATCATCATTATTGAGAAGCAATGCTAACGTCAATACAATAATAGTGCGGTGGTGGTGGTGGTGGATGTTAGGGACGCTGGCTGTCGGCCACAACCCCCAGATGCTGACTGCATGCCTACCTAGGTACTTACGTGACATCGGTATTCCCAGTATGCATACCAACCTTGGAACTTACCTACCTACTTAATAAAGACGAGCGACGGACGACGGTAGTGCATTGTTATGAGTTAGGATTATGATGAGCTAGGATTATGAAGCGTGCCGTCCGTATTGTACCTTGAGTTCGATGAAGACCTGTATTTTTCAAGTAGGTATACTTAATTCTCATTAGGCCTTTTGATATATTTTTACATTGGCAGTGTGTGTTATACCTATTCTGCCTTGTATTGATTTGGCGTATGCTGGCTGCAAGATGGCGGATATTTAGGAGGCAAGTAACCGTTCAAGTAAAGGGGTGGGTGAGCCAACACTCAAACTCTACGCTTTCATACTAGCTGGACCTATCACGAGAACAGCATCTGACGCAAATATATAAATGTATTTTACTGTTGAATAATTCACACTACAACGCACTACCTAGGTAGTATCTATCACACAGACCCAACATCTCCCCATTCAATAAGAGTAAACCGATAAAAATAACAACAAAGAAAAAGGAGAACGAGGACATAAAAGAGGAAATAGCTACAAAGGGAATAGAAAACGGATGGGACATGGCAAGACAGCCAGGTCACAGCGTGGCTGATGTTAGAATTCCGTGTAACGAGGTCGGTAGGAATAGGGGTTTGAGATGGGGGTGAGTATTCCAAGTTCCAAGCAGCACGGAAACGATCTCTGCGTGACTCGAAATGTCGTTGGGAATGTGGTCATCCAAGACGGATATGGGATAGGTGTTTATCTGGCTAGGTATGCGGCAACCTGTGCGATGGGAATTGGTATCCGCGTGGCTGCAGTGAACCTAAAATGAAATAGACTTCTAGAGTTGCCAGATCTTTGAGGTAAGTATCTCGTTAGCTCCGCATCTTGGCAGGCAGCTGCAAACGAAGCCTGCAAACGAAGCCTCTGGAGATCAATGTCATACAATCGGCTATAATCCCATATACAAGGCCACGTATTCAGCAAGATCTAACGAGTCGGTCTTTTAGGCTTTAGTGGAACACAAGTGCTGACGAACTTGTTGTTGGTCTGTACATAAGTAGATACGTGCTGACATCCAAGCATCAATCGATGGAGGTTATATCATAAGTATTGGACGGACCTTACTGCTGGGAACTTGAAGGGACATGAGATCTAAAAAGTCGCCTAGTTAAGTGTAAGTTTTGCATTATGGTAGGAGACTCAAACGAGAAAGCTTCATAGTCAGAATTGGTTGGCGGAGTGACTGGAAAAGGGGCTAGTCTTGGCAGCTAGACGAGCCGTCAGCCAGTTGGCAAGGTTAGCTAAAAAAAGGCAAAATATCCATATGGTCTGTGCTCTGTGCTCTGTGCTCTTGAATGTAAATACCGGGTTTATCGCCGGGTTTATCGCGTTCTAAAATTTTCTCCTCTAACAAAAACTTCGAAAAACTTGTCAAGTCAACTTTCTTTGTTCGAACTTCGAGAGCTACATTGTCACAGTTATATCAAGGTATAATTGATAAATGTTAATTGTTAAAGTATATGTCAAGATATATGTTTAAATTTAGGTCTGCATCTTTCATTTCATTTCATCTCAGTTTATTTCATACTTCTACTTCATACTATATCGCAGCAACCTGGCTCCAGTCACTCGATTTATCCTACGAGTCTTTCATCTGATTGATCTTTTTTCCGTGATGCGTCTTGCGTCGTGGTCCTAAGAGGGCTTGGTGATCCAGGGACGGATGATGTTTACATCATCTGTTACTATAATGCTGCAAGAAAGAAGAATTATTTACGAACCATCATAGTCCACGCTCATCTTTGTATTTACAACCTATCACATGAGCGAGGCTCCAGGAGCTCCTACATTTCCATCATCATCTTCATCATCTTACCTGTCTAGGTACATAGTAGGTGCCTCTAGTTCCAACTATGTACGTTCAAACCCCCCCTCTTGTCACATAGCACGCTTTATCTTATTCGTCAACTCTTCCTTGGATTGTTGCACGACGTCATCCTACCAGGGTTTTATCTTTTGTTATATACCTAAATTCCGGTTCTCGCATCACACGTGCAAGTAAGCTTCATACCTAGAGCCCATCATCTTGAATGCTCCCTAGTTACCCTCATGTAGTACCCTCCTATGAAATACCGTGCTACATATATAATTGGACATGACTCTTTGTTGTTGTTACTTCTCACTCCTAGAAAACCAAACTACTACCAAGTAATATAATAATAAATATTTTCATGTATCTTATCCGTCCCTTCTTGCGAACATTGAGACTTCTTCATCCCAATCGCGTGACATTTCATACCACATCTACCATGTCGGCGAATACTAAATCCAAGTTCTCTCACCTGCCACTGAGTACCAGTGGCCCAGTAGAATGCGCCGTGTCCGGTACCGTCTTGTTGAACACGCCATACTTCAACCGTGGCTCCGCACACACAGCTGAAGAGCGTCGCGAGTTCAATTTGGCTGGCCTACTACCTACTAGCATTCAAACCCTCCAACAGCAAGCCGAACGTGCATACCAGCAGTATGTTTCGAGACAAGATGACTTGGCCAAGAACACCTTCTTGACTTCTCTCAAGGAGCAGAATCTAGTCTTGTACTACAAGGTAAGATTACCTGAACGATGCTACCATGCTTATTCGCTGTAACACCAACGTCCATATCAAGGATACTTATATCACACTACTAACCACATACCTACGCATAGCTTCTACAAGACCATATGAAGGAGATGTTCAGTGTTGTATACACACCAACCGAAGGCGATGCAATTCAGAACTTTTCCCGGCTATTCCGTCGACCCGAAGGATGCTTCCTCAACATCAATGATCTTGATAGGGTCTCTCACGATCTTGGCCAATGGGGAAAGCCTGAAGACATTGACTACATTGTTGTGACAGGTATGAATCGCTGCTTTCATTCTAGATGTATTGTGTGATAGGTACACAGCGCTCACCAAATCTAGACGGAGAAGAAATTCTTGGGATAGGGGACCAAGGAGTAGGCGGAATACTCATCTCCGTGGCGAAACTGGTGCTTACCACTCTATGCGCTGGAATCCATCCTAACCGAACCTTACCGGTCGTCCTGGATTGTGGAACAGACAACGAGAAACTCCTAAGTGATGACTTGTATCTCGGCCTGCGCCAAAAGCGGGAACGGGGTAAGAAGTACGATGAATTAGTCGAGACTTTTGTTAAATCGGCGCGGAAGCTGTACCCGCATGCTTATATCCATTTCGAGGACTTTGGGTTGACAAATGGTAAGTTACCTACCCCCCCTACATAGAAACTCACGATATGATTCAAAGGACTAATCCATAATTCTAGCACGCCGTATCTTGGACCATTACCGATCAGAAATCCCCTGCTTCAATGACGATGTCCAAGGGACTGGGTGCGTCACCTTGGCTGCCATCATGGCCGGACTTCACGTGTCTAAGCAGAAACTTCGGGACGCCAAGATAGTCATCTTCGGCGCAGGAACTGCTGGTGTAGGGATTGCAGATCAGGTTCGCGAAGCTATCGCTACCGAGAAGGGTATCAGCAAAGAGGAGGCGGCTAAGCAGATATGGTCAGTAGCATCCTTCACCTTACCTATACATACCACCTACCCATGTACTAGTTACTAAACAACTCACAGGCTCGTAGACCGCCCCGGCCTCCTAACCACCACCACCTCCCTCGACAACGGCCAACAAGTCTACGCCAAGTCCGGCTCCGACTGGGCCCACAAGGACACCTCCCTCCTTTCCGTCATCACATCCGTGCACCCCAACGTCCTCATCGGCACCTCCACCGTTCCCAAATCCTTCACCGAGGAAATCATCAAGGAAATGGCCCGCGGCGTCGACCGCCCCGTCGTCCTGCCCCTCTCCAACCCAACCCGCCTCCACGAAGCCGTGCCCGAAGACATCCTCAACTGGACGAACGGCCGCGCGCTCGTCGCCACCGGGTCCCCGTTCGCGCCTGTAAAAGGTCCCTGGGGACCCGATGGGAAGGAGGTGGAGATTGAGGTCGCCGAGTGCAACAACTCCGTCGTCTTCCCCGGCATCGGCCTCGGCGCCGTGCTCGCCCGCGCCACCAAGGTAACGGACAACATGCTCGTCGCCGCCGTGCGCGGCGTCTCGCAGCTGAGCCCCGCGCTGCGGGACGACACCGCGCCTTTGCTACCGGGCGTAGAGCACGTCCGCGACGTTAGCGTCAGGGTTGCGAGAGAGGTCATCCGCGCGGCGGTGGAGGATGGGGTCGCGACTGAGAAGGGAATTCCCGGGGAGGATGGGGGCGAGGCGGGGCTGGATGAGTGGATTCGCGAGCAGATGTGGGATCCGGTGTACCGCCCGCTGAAGCGCGTGCAGCCGGAGGGCGCGAGCAGGGCTGCGAAGGCGGAGTTGAAGGTTGTCGGGAGTTTGGGGAAGGCGTGAGTGAGTGAGTGATGGATTAGGATAGGCAGGAAGTTTGACTGTGCAGCAGAGAAAGTAGTTCGTGTTTTGGCATTTGGTTCGATGCCCAGTGTGTATGGAGCTGCCAGGCGCCTGCTGTGTGTGTATCGGGGGCATGAAGGCGGAGGTCTATGTAGGTGTAAGCAGAGGTGAATGCCGTAGAGAGGGTCAATCAATTACGCATAGGTATAATAAATAAGTTGCGCGCCTCCTAACCAGGTATGTACTTAACCTAGTATAATTGAACAACGTTTGAGAAAAGGTATGGGACTGACTTATATTGGCGTAAATACCTATGAAATATTCCCCCCTTCCTTGACATCTATTCCCTCAGTGTTACCCTACGTACTTCCAACATACCTACATACCGTCCACCTGCAAGCCCATCCACAGATAGGTACAATACAATGATCCGGTTTGTGAAGTTTGCTAATTGATATTGCTGCCACTGCCTTCAATTTATGTAGCAGTGGCACACAGCTCATCAACAAACCAATCGACCCAATTACTCACGTATATATATACCTACATATACACATATGTGTTTTCATTTTCACATATATAGGTAAGTAAGTATATGGCTTAATAGATTGAAGCTACCTACCTAATAGTTACCTACCTACCCGCCTCTACTCTGTCAAACAGACGGGTAGGTAGGTACACAAGAAGTAACCACACCCCCCAAAACGAAAAAAAAAAAAAGTGCGGTGTGGTGTGGTATCCGCCTATATCGAAGACACCTACCTACCGCAGGCACGTACGTAACTATATAAGAACGTAGCAGTATTGAAAATAGCCCTTCCCATCGACTCCATAAGTGAAACTGTAAGACCGTGAAACAACGAGTGCCTACTTATCCCCCTGGGTATCTATCTAGCCTGCCCAGTAGGTTAGGTTAGGTTAGGTAGTCCCTGCTATCCGCCTTGGCCTGTTCAATCCATCGATGGCCACTAACCGCCGCCCGCTACCACCAGCCTTGAACCACCATTATACCATCCCGCCAGACCAGACAAGAGCACACCATCCCACACTATCCCACACATCAACTCCTAATCAAATAACCCCCGCCCTCGCCGCCTCACCAGCACCCTCCTGTATCAGCGCCTCCATCCTCTGCTTCCCCTTGCCCAGCCCCCCCTCGCCCACACCCATCCTCCTCGCAACATACCGCTGCGCCACAACGCCAATACTCAAGCTAAGCGTTTCCTCGACCCACTCGGCGACCCATTCGCGGGGATCCACGCCGCCGTTCTCGACGATCTCGCGGATCTCGTCGGGCACGGTGAAGGACGAAGAAACATCGGGTCCCTCGCTCGCGCTCTCGCCGCTAGCGGGAGTGAGGGGCGTGGGCGCGTCGAGCCAGCGGATCCACTTGGCGGGGATGTGCTGGCTGATGGTGCTGTAGATGATTTCGTGGATGGGATCGAGGACGTAGACGGCGAAGCACACGTGCGCCTCGGTGGCGCCGTCGTCGGCTACGGCGCTGGTTTCCTTCTCAGCCTCACCGGCGGTGCTGCCCGCGAAGAGCGCCGGGTCCGCGTCTACGGTGATGGGCTGGACGGCCAGGAAGATGTCGCTCGTTCGCACGGGGTTTTCCTCGCTCACGGGCTCTAGGGCGCGCTTTTGCGCTTCCACGACACCGCCGCTGCCTGCGAAGTAATCGTGGGCGTAGCTCTCTGCGCTGACGCGGCAGAGTTTCGTCCCTTCCACTAGTCCTTTCACAGCCCCGAGATCGCGAGGCAGGTCAACCTGTCTCCACCAGGGGCCGTCGCGCCAACCCGCTGAGCTCGAAGCTCCTTTGTAGAAGGCGTCGGAAGAGCGTCGCGCAGTGTTTTCGTGGCCTCGTTGAATAACGAGAAGATCCCCCCCTTCGACCTGGGACATAACCCGACTAAAGACACCGTAGATGAGGGGGTCAAGAGAAGGATAGCCGACGATGTCGTGGGTAATATGGATGAGAAGTCGTTCGTGCGAAGAGATAGGCGGAGCAAGCGTATGCAGGATGTTAGCGAAAGTCGGTAGGGCTCGGTGGCGGATGCCGTCGCCTATTATCAGATTGTTAGTAATTAGCCCGAGAGAGTCTTCATGGCACACGTTTTGAGGAAGGTGTGTATTCTTAAGACATACCTAGACCTTTCAAAGCCCCGACATTTCCCTTTACTTGGTCGGCCCATTTCTTGGCCTCTTCATTTTGTTGAATTTCTTTGTAGGCGGCCTCAGCTTGCTTCATGGCCGCATTTGCTGTAGCACTCGCCGTAGCAAACAACCCACCCCACCATCCACCTCCAGCCTGCGCGGAAGTCTCCTCAACTGTTCCCTTCTTCTCGGCATCCTGAAGCTCGGAGCTAGTAGCGCTCGGGGTGAAACTTGTGTGGAGAGAACGGGTGCTGTCGACGGATTTGCGTACGAGGTTGGCTGATTTGTCTTCCGAAACTCGACCGGCGCCGGGCGGAGGCGTTGCTGTGCTGTTTCGCTTGGCGGCTGCCTTGGATGAGGATGGCTCTTTAACGCGGGGCGTATGGGGTCGGGCAACCTCTTCGCCTTCAAGCTCATCCTCTAGTTCGGCAAGAATATCTTTCTTAGGCTTGTCGCCTCGAGTTTTGGAGACAGCGGATTTGGATTTGCCTCCGGACTTATTCACTGTTTTCTCGTCGCCGATCCCTTCAAATAGTTCGTCGAGGTCATTGGTAGCTTCCTTTGATCGTTTCCCCGCCATACTGAACAATTTATCGGGATTCGTCCAAGACGTTGTTACAAAAGGGTTTTAATTAATTATCGATGGAGAGAGGTATGACGATATACTTCTAGTAGCTTTGCGGTATGCAGCTATCTAGCAAATAAGAAGAGAACAAAGAGTTGTTGTAGTCAAACGGTGGTAGCTAAAAGCTAATGTCGTTGTAATGGATAAAAACTAAAAGAGGCTAAAGCAAAGAGGTCATGTATGTATGTGGAAGTGGTTCTGTATGTAAGGGCCAGGGAACCAATAGTTTCGCGGTATTCTGCTGCAACTAGGTTCATACAACTGCACGTATTCGTCCCGGCAGATGCGACAAGGAAACAAACACTACTTCGACGACGAGATAGGAATGAGATGTGATATTCGACTACTTAACCCACTAACAGTGTCAACACTACAAGAGTTGGCGGAGAGGTGATTTGGTAAAATTTAAGACACAGGTTTTGAGGGGTGTATGGCAGTTGAAGATATATATATAAGATACATGTGTATCGTGAGATGATTGTGTGGTGGAAGAGATTCGGGAAAGGGACGGGAAACGGGAGACGTCACTGGACGGGAAGACCCACCGGGGCCAGTGAACGCACGAACCAAGTTTCTTACATAACTACCTAACTAGTACTAACCACACTATGTACCTCAAGGCTAGGGTACCTAGGTACGTAGTTAGCACTGTAGCAACTGAACAATACAGTAAAGGCAGTAACTACCCTAGGTGGAGTTTGGATCAGCTTTGGATCAATGTGAGCTTCCAAAAAAGGTTACAAGGGGCTACAGGGGGTTACAGAAGAGCTGCAGGGGTACTGAATCTAAAAAATCACCAAAAAATTCCAAAAGTAGCCTAGTTGGGATTATGGGCGAGTTGGTGTTATCCCATTGGCTAGAGACCTTGGCCCAAAATGTATTAGTGTGGTGGCTGGTGTATACAAATTATACAAATTAGGTTCAAACCTTGATGCCACTTAATGGGATCTGATCTGTGGCTTGTGAATGGGCCTAAAACCGTAGAAATTAGCAGTAAACTTACACTAGGTAGGTACCTTAATAGGTACCTACTAGTGTTATGACAATGGAGACGGGAGAAGGAAATACATCCATACATGTACAATACAAAACCCTTAGGAACCTCAATGGGAATGGGTACAATACCAGATCAACCAGACAGCAAGACGGCGAGACAGCAAGACAGCAACCTTAGGTATCACTTCCTAATCCTAATCACTCTGTCTAATTCTTGGTCTACATAAAATCTTTTCGCCCACCATCCGTCTTGTCTTTCTTACCTTTTACATCGTCCGAAGTTTCCAAGCAATTTAATTTTGTCCACCCAACTGCAACAACTGCAACTTTCTGACAACTTGAACTTCTTTCATCTTACTCACAATCACTACTCATTCGTCTTCCCAAGACAACAAGATTTTCGCGCAAGCAAGCAAGCAAGCAATTGTTTATTCAAGTCATTTAAATTATTCCACAGTCATTCCCCGTCCCCTTCTTCATCATCATTTAAGTTAAGCCTAGTTAAAGGTCGGATCAAGTGTACAATCAAGCTTTGGCGGCTACATACCTACCTACTATATAGTAGTAGGTAGGTATTTTTATGAACTGCTTTTGCGTTCTACATACGAATATATCTGGCAGTCAGCTTTTAGTACATCGATCAGCCTTTAAGCACAATACCCAATACCTTACACCTATCACCTCAATAACATATACCACCTTCTACCTCCTACCTTTTACCTTCTACCTTTTACCTCCAGTTCTATTGTTTACCTAGGCTATTATTATCTGCCAGGGCACTATTGAGATAGGTACAAGTAGTTACCTACGTTACCAGTACAGTACAGTACATACATACACCATACCCGGTTTTTTTCTTACAACCACATTTACATCTCGCGACTTACCCATCCTCCCTACCCTCTTACTCCCACGACATCCGGATATCTTCTTTCGAATTATTATTGTTGTTGAAGAACTAGGTAAGTTATTACTTGAATTCCTCTTCTATTCCTTTTTTTCCCCTTCGTTTTCTTTTATTTCCCCTTCCGTCCCTGTCATTTTCGCAAATATACATCCTTCAGCCATTTCTTAGGCCTTTCCCCACTTACATAATCTCCGACCCAAAACTTCTTTCACCTTCACCTTTAATGCATCTCACTTACACCTACACTTACACTTGCACTTACACGAATACTCACACTTTTACACTTACATGCCCGCGCATCTATATTCCCACTCGCATTCAAATACATACTGGCATATGCTTACATTCATTCCAGATATACACATACACCTCTTCTATAAAGATTAACAAGTTCATCTTCCACTAAAATCCCCTTGAGTCTACCACCTGAGAAAGTTTCGATATGGAAGCTTCTACCAGTACTCGGGGTCGAGGCCGAAAGCGTCTCGCTATCACTGCTCCCTCTTCCTCCAACATCTCATCCGAGGCCAACGAAGGCTCCTCATCTATCACGCCTGTTGCTAGTATGGCCCCTTCAGCTCTCATCCTTGAGACACCCAGCCCGTCTGCAGTCAGAGAGACTAGAAATCGCTCTCGCCAAACCGAGCCCGGTAATGGCTCTCCTGATGATTTGAGCAGCAAGGGCGGACGCTCTTTGAGAAAGCGTCCACGAGTGGATTACACATTCGATCAACTAGAGGACATCGACAGCACAAATGCTCAAGCAACACCTGGCGCTACCCGCTCAGTGAAGCGACGACGAACTGATATAAGTTCAAACGAGGTTGAGATCGACGAAGAGGTCGAGTCCGGCACTAAAAGACGTGCTTCGGAACAGCCTACATCAGCATCTTCCCGCAGACGCAACCCGACTAGAAAGTCTACCGCGGAGCCTCAGATGCTCGCGTCTGAACCTCAGGCGGATGAGGTCGAAGTCCAAGATACCATTGAAGTTGGCGGACACCATAGCGAAGCATCAGATGAATCGCATAATTCCATGCCCCAACATGCTTCTATCACTCAACAAACCTCCACCCTTCACCAAACCCCAGCAAATAATGATAATTCTATTCCCCAGACCACTTCTGTCTCGCAAAACACTCTTGCGATTGTTCCTTATCATAGTACGAACTCAGAAGTCTCTAACGGCGTCAATGGAGAAGAAGGGGCTATATCTCAACTATCAAAAGGCAAAGGAAAGAGCACTGCAAAGGACCAGACAGCTGGCCAGGAAGAAATAGAAATCGAAGAAATCGAAGACGAAGAAGTCCGAGATGACTCTCTAGACCATCTAACCCCTTACATCGACGGCGCCTATGTCTACTACCCAGAGTATGAGGAGGATGAGCCCGAAGCTGAAATGGATCCAGAACAAGAGGTGGAAGCTGGGGTTGAAGCTGAGGCTGAACCCAATGGCGAAGCAGACCCCGAAGTTGACGGAGAGGTCGAGCTCAACGCGGCCAAGGAAGTAATTGCCGAGGACCAAGGAGACGGCCCTGCAGAAGAAACTCCTGCAGATAGTGCTGCAGATTCGCCTTCTATGGAATCAGAGTTACAAACTCAGAAGCCCGTCGATAGATTCCAAAAGAGATTCCGCCAGGCCAGAAGTGCAGAAGAGTTCACCGAGTTGTTCACGGACATTAAGTCACTATCCACCAAAGACCTACATTACCGACTAGAGGTTGTGAACCGTGCTCTAGTAGCGTGGCAAAATGAATTCAAGGACCTCAAGCGTATCACGGACGACGAAGATAATGCAATTCGTTACCAGAGAGAAGAGCAGGCTTTCCAGCGGCGCTACAAGACCGCCGTGGGAAAAAATCCCGATGCCAATCCACTCAGAAAGGATTTCGTCCCTAAAAGTGTTAGAGTCAAGCATCCAGAAGACCCAGAAGCTGAGTACATTCGACAACAAGACAGGATTGAGGCGAGTGTCTACGGATTTGAATATGATCCTCGAGCAGACCGAATGGGCAACCAGGACCCAATTGCACAACGGACAGGCATTGGCCGCGCAGGAAGGCTTCGCGAACGACCAAAGCAGACCGCCAAGGCGGCAGAAGCTGAAGAACCTGTCTTGCCACCGAAACGAACCAGGAAAGCACCAGAGAAGTATACTGGAGGTGATGCCATTAGCAGAGGCTCTACCCCAGCACCAACCCAGCGTCGAGGCCGGCGCGGTGCCCAGGTTCAGGAGAATGGTGACGAAGTCCAATTACTAGCTCCAGCTGCGACTGTAAATGTCCCCGCATCAGCTGCAGAGGCAGAACCTCCAAAGAAAAAAGGAAAGGGTGGCCGTCCGCGTAAAAATCAGGTTAAAGAACCTACTCCCATATTGGAGGAGATAGAAGCGCCAGAGGCTATTCCAGAACCGGAAGCTGAGCCTGAGCCTACCAACAAATCGCGACCAAAGGCAAAACCCAAGGCAAAGTCCAAAGCAAAGCCCAAAGCGACGCCTACGCCTGCTGTAGAGCCTACGCCTGAGCCACAGTCTCCACCCAAGAGAAAAGCCGAGACCGTTGAAGAAGAGTCATCTCGAAAGCGTCGGCGTCGAGGTCCTGCTTCTGTATCTACCTCTAGTCCCCCCCCTGCCCCTGCCCTCTCCATGGCCGCAGAAGAACAAGGCGTATCAAATGGCACGGAGATAGGACCTCCTGCAAAGCCAATTGGTCGTCGAAATAATTCGCGAAAGCCCTCAAATGCTGCGGCTTCTTTTAGTAGTAGTCCTACTACTTCCTCAAAGAATGATGCGGAGGAACCTCGCCCTCCAACGGCATCATCAACAGCAACGGCTGAAACGACCGTTTCCACAAGCAACTATTCGTTCCGCGAGAAACGTCAGAGAAAATTTACCAACGATATTCCTGATGAGGACTTGATTGAGCTACCCAAGGCCAAGCGGGTGCGGCGAGCTGCTCCAACGAAAAAGGTCAAGACCGAAGAGACGGCTCCTAGTATGGAGCCACCTCCAGAGCAGTCACAGGGTCCTACCGCACCAACAGCGGAAAAGCCGCCCACTCGAATTGTTCTGAAATACAAAAATAGCCCTCTACCCGGATTTGCATCGACAACTTCAGCTGCTCCTCAGTTAACCTCAAATGCAGCTGCGAACTCAACCCACGCGAGTGGGATTCTGAACGGAGGTGCCAACAGCCACGGCACTGTTAATGGAGCTTTGGAAGCTGTCGGGGGTGACGAGGATGCCGAGGCGGAGGCCGAACCCGCCAAGGACTACAACTCGATGACAAAGTCGGAGAAGATGTCAAACAGCATGAAAGGTAAATCTACACCATATAACCTTCGACGTAAACCACGATAGTCTGCAACCAAGTGGGTGTGTCGGGAGAAGTAGTGATGTGCCCCCAACCTACTACCTCATAAGAGGACAGATCATCGCTTTGCTTGATTTACGCGTCTCCTTTCTTTCATTTTGCTTCAAGATTTTTTACGACCCATACAAAAGCGACGACCAGATTTCTCCGATGATGAAAGGAACCAAGGCTAACATTAAATTACAATAGCTCGTTGGGCATCAGGGTCTATGAACGCGGCGGTAGAGAAGCGTCGGGCGACTCTAGCTGCGAAAAAGCAGATCGCGGCCACCAAAACGCCTACACCAACGAATGGTGTGGCCCCCGAGGCCACATGATCGCCTCACCACCACGACCGGAAACGAATTATAAAAAATATGACCTCCTAACAACATAATTCGACTCGTCTCCTAATTTTCTCCGCCCTCGGCCTTTCCTCCCGCCCCGCCTCCTTCCCACTATACAGGGCGTGACGGCCCAGAAGGGAGGGAGGAAGGGCTGGGGGCGCCAAACGACGGGTACTGCTCATCGGTAGTGTGTGCGTCTTACGCAGCACACTACTAGCAGTACCCGTCGGTCTACAATGGGAGAGGGGATATTGGCAATTCAACCCAATATCCCCCGCTCTGAGGCGGATGGATGAGGGTCAATTTGCAACGACCTGGCCCTCATCCATCAAGGAACGGAGGGGGTGAATGGTAGGCTGCATACAACTTAAGCAGCTACAATTCACCTTCTTCGTTCCTGTCTCAGGGGTTGGGGGCGCGGCATGAGGAACTATACAAATCCATGTTTCTTATGCCACGTCGTGTGGATAGAGGAACCCAGAACCAACTCATCTGGTTCCTGCCATCTATACGAAGGATGGATGGATTAACAGACTGGCGATGGGCTCAACCTTCCATCGACCAATCCATGAATCCATCCATCCTACCCCGTTCTCTCATCCTCGAGACTACTACGAAGGAGGGAGGCAGTTGTGTGGGCACGGCCCAGCACAAAATTGCCTCCCGAGGCGATGGGGAAGATATGGAGAACGGATAGGTGAAGGAATATCGGAGGCTTAGGGAGGCTCAGGGCAATGAGCCGGGGCATTTGTGGATATAGATGGATGGATGGATGGCTAATGTTTGATTACTTGGGATGGTTTCCGGTCTACTTGCACGTCTGTCTGCCTATACACATACACATACACATACATACGACGCGAGCATATACATGCACATACCTACATACTTACACTCACGCATTCACACCAATACCATACCTACCTAATGGGTCGGGCACATTAGCGATCGGTGTTGGATAGGGGCAGAGCATTTGTACTACTTGTACTCTATCACATGGAACGGAACGGAATGGAATCCGGGCTATCGGAAGGAAGGAAGCATTAGAAAGGACTTCAGGGCTGTTGTCTACATGGAAGTCTATAGGGAAAACAAACAATCGATGATTGTTTACCTACATTTTTCTTTTTTTTTTGGAATTATATCGCGTAGATGAACTGAGCGCTTGTTGTGATTAATTGTAAGCGTACCTATGCAAGTAGAAGTGAACTGAACTGAACCGAATGACTGTCTATATCCAGGGTTTACTCGCCGTGACAAGTTTGTTCGGGTTCGGATGGTGGGCAAAGAGGTAAGGGGGGTGGGGGGAGGGGGTTAGATGATGGGGATGGGATATGATATGATCAGTTAGGCGCCGGTATACATACCTACCTACCTGTCTAGGTTACAACTTACAACGTAGGATATAACACAAAACACCATCCATAGCATAACGTAACATAGATGAAATACCTAATCACCCCTACACCTGAAGTTTTTCAACTGCGAGACATGAGGGCGTCGGGTAGGTAGGTAGGTAGGTAGGTAGGTAGGCACGTAGTTAGTATTCCATTGGCTGACCGTTGGTTATCCGGCCATCTGCCTGTGTACCTACCTAATTGGTAGTACGTACGCACGTAGGACAAACAACGATCGATCAGGTTAATAACTTACTTCCCTCTATCGCTTTAAATGGACGACAGCTTAGATGTACCTATGTGCCTGGGTACTTGGTAGACACGTCTATCCTAATCCAATATCCATGGATACGCACCCAGGTAGGTAGGGAGGGAGGTAGGTGTATCGAGAATCCTACCTAGTGGATAATGATTTCCATGGGATGATACACGAGAAATTCGTGGAATTCTCGCAGGATGTGAGGATATGAGCTGCTAGCTACGTGGGAGATGAAGTCTTCACCTAATCAAAAAAAGGTCAACTAGCATTGCCAGATAGCTATTCGAATCACGAGAGAATTTGCAATGAATCACGAAATATTAGGAACTGAACGTTTCATTCAGAATGCAGTTTTTTTTTGGTATGTCTCCATTACGCCCCGTAGCCGAAATGCAAAGCGACCAGTCCTCCTACTAGACACGCGCGCAAATAAAATGTCTGCCGTCGTCATTCCTCTTCTTTCGTCTATCGTGAAAGTGGCTGGCCATGTCAGTGTATTTCCATCGTGATGACTTTGTCGTCAATAAAGTAGGTAGGCAGATAGTCTAGATCCGCCTCTCCCCAGTGCGTGTTCGCTCTCCCGAAACGCTCTTCCTTTACATCACAACACCGGAGTTGCTGGCAATACGCTGTGTCACCCGAGTTAAAAATATGTAAATATGAAGGGTTTTGGATGAGATCACTTACGGGCCATAACTCAGCAGCTTCCTTACCGACGGGGCCGGTAATGGCAGAGCCCTTCATCTCACCCTTGGGGTTGACGATCTAGCGTATATGTTAGCGTTGGGTATTTTCTAAATACATAGGTTACGTGTATGCATCAGGTAAACTCACAACACCAGCGTTGTCCTCGAAGTACAAGAAGACACCGTCAGTTCGCTTCCAGGGCTTGGACTGTCGGACGATAACGGCGGGGTGGACCTTCTTTCGGAGCTCGGGCTTTCCCTTCTTGACGGTGGCCATAACCATGTCACCAACACCACCAGCAGGCAGTCTGTTTAGGCGGGCACCAATACCCTTGACGGAGATGATGTACAGATTTCGGGCGCCGGAGTTGTCAGCGCAGTTCATGATCGCACCGCTATTAGATCTGTTAGTGGACTGGGGAATTGATCTTGCCTAGGTGGGTTTCTGATGCTTACACAGGCAGACCGAGGGTCATCTTCAGCTTGCCACCGGGGGCACCACGCCTGTGAATCGAAAAGTTAGTATTTACGTTCCGTCAAGCTTGCTGGTTTGAAGAAAGTCGAGTTGTGCGCCTCTGGTAAAGCTCCTCTGGGACAATCGCAATCACGACACAACTTGGTAGCTTTTTTCCATGATAGATTGTCGCCATCTTCCATCCATATTTATTTGGGAAATTGCTTCCTCTTGACAGGCGTTCTGCTCTCCAAATTCCTCTTCCTCCTCTTCCTCTTCAACATACCCCCACCAGAATATCGTTTCTTTCCCGTAGTACCCCTCCAAACAAAGCGAAATTCGATAATCGAGCGGTGGAAATAAACTTACGAGATCTTGGCCATTTCGAAGGTATTGTTGGAATATTGTTAAGGATCGGGAGTGGTGCTTGGGTTGAGACTTGACTTGACTTTTGGTGGTCGAGGGTTTGGCGTTATCAATTGTCACGGACGGAAAGTTTCAATGGCTCCAAAATTCTTTGGGGTCGCAAGTACGGAATTCGAAATGTGCGGCTTTGCTTGAAAAAAAAAACCCTAGGGACCCACAAGTTCCTGGAAGCAAGCGATTATGTACTACCAGAATCATCAACCCCATAATTCACGTGATATAGCATGGCCTGTGCGTCCTCCACCCTTAGAACGGAATCATTGAACCTTGGCATTTCCATCATTCAAGTTGACAATATCAAGCATCGTTCTTATGTTTTCACAGCGAGCATAGTGTAGATACATGTATGCATCTTAACAAACTCACCACTCTCAACATACTATACACCAGTACAAATTACATGGAGGTATTACTGTCTTATTTTCATATTAGGTATAGTTACAACTTTCAAGTAATTATGCATGAGAACGTCAACGCCAAGTTGGATTTAGTCTACTTGAGCAGTTTGAAGTTTACGGATTTTGGTTGTAGCTAGAGAAGCCTCTATAGCTACGTACTTCAAATGCTTCTATCTTAGGCGTAGAGTTGGTACGTTTAATAGTTGTCTCTCTCCCACCACGGCTTCAAAGCCTCCAGTAGTTTTAGGTGCGGCTCAGGATCTCCTCCAACCTTGATACCCTCCTGAAGCACCTCTTCGCTTATGCTGCGAAGGAAAAGCAGGGCTCCTCCCCAAACGAAATCAGCGAATCCCACCGTCTTCCCGTCGAAGAACGGGCCTTCGGTGTTCTCCTTCAGCAGGGCGGTGACATTTTCGAAATACGGCTGCGCGGCCTTCCACGCCTTCTCGCCGCCCCTCTCCTCCGACAGCTTCTCCAGGGTCATGCCCACGGCCTCCTCGCGAGTCCGGCGGAAGTAGACCTGGCTCGGCTCGTTCAGGATCTTGTGCACCCCGGGCACGAAGATGCCTCGGATGTTGCCGATTGCGCCTGCGACTAGTTCCTTGACTTTTGGTAGATAGGGCGAGTCGAGGTGGATGCTGGGCTCGGGGTACTTCTCCTCGAGCACGTCCGCGATCTTCCACGAATCTATCACAAATTCTCCGCCAGGCAGGATGATGGCTGGAATGGTGTATTCCTTGTGATCTGCTGGAAGACTAAAAATATTCTGTCAACGAACAGTACCTAATTAGCGGTTGGGAATTTCAAGGTGTAGACTTACTGGTCCTTGAACCTAGGCTTGATGTCCGGGTACTCGACCTAGCAATAAGGTTAGCGACATTCGAAGCATCCATGGATATATCCCGAGTAATGATGAGTCGTACCCATTCGGTCTTGTAGGGAAGTCCCTTGTAGTTCAGGACGAAGCGAGCTGTTTCCCCTCATGTTAGATTCTATAATTATTTCTCATGATGTTGGTTGAACGGGCGGACCATACCCTTCCATGGGTTCAACGACCATGCCTTGTTCGGCGGCCTAGATGGTAAATCGAAGAGGATGATCTCCTGGTTAGACATCACGGGTATAGATAGATATCGGGTAGGTATAATTGTTGTTGTGAATCTTAGCAAGGCCGATCTACGGAAAGTTGTTCACGGGAGAGATGTGAGAGAAGGTAAGACGTGGTTGAAAAGGAGGGGGAGTATGGCTCGATTTATGCTAATGGCAACGTCCCAACGAGTCACCTCTTAAGACCTAGGCAGACACATTACCTACTATGTACCCAGCTGCCACCGTTAATGCACACTCAATTTTCCCCCGTATGCAGGTAGTGTCTCGGTGGTTAAAGATTACCGATACGGTACTAGCCGGTAGACATGCGGCCCCACCTCTATATGCACCTCAGTCCCGGCTTTCTGGAGTTTTTTTTACGCAGTTGGGAAACACGATTCCACCATCGCCGGCTCTGCTTACTCGTGCGAAATTCGATATTGCAACATCTCGTTATTGACTTCGCCATTATGGCTTTGCGATTGCGCGTGCTCATCATTATTAGCATCATCTCAACATTGACTTTTGTTGATATTGGTCTCTGTTTTTTGAGCTACCTACCTACCTTCTATCTACCTTCCCAAGTCCCTAATAACCACACAAGGGTACGTCCCTATCCCTAAGTAGCAGTTGCGTAGCCGTCATCACGGTACAATTCTCCACCGCCATAAGTAGCGTCAAGTCTTAGTTGCGTTGCGGTATTATTAATCTCAGCAGATTAACTCCCAGCTTACAAAGCCACCGATCATTACTAATTATCCTCCCTCTCATGAATTTCAATCTTGCGGTATATTATTATTCCAGGTATGTACGCTTACGTACTCGTCGTAGGGTCTTTGAATGGCCTGTTATACGGTTGGCCGTCCTAATGAAGACAGCGATGAACTTTTTTATCTTTTACGAGGGGTAGTCGTATCTTATATCGCTAATCGTCGTGGGAGAACCATTACCTCGTACACCCTCCACAAATGTGCCAATGGTAGAAGATCAATTGAAAGGGGGATCCTAACACACTATTCCCCAACAATAGTGAATGAGTCACCACGGGCATCGTCACCGATATCATCGCCGATACCCGCCTACATATATAGATACCTAGGCATGGACATCTCCGCATCTCCGATCCGTGTCCCCGCGCCTTTCAGTTGACATGAAAGCTTCACTTACCTTACCCATATAGTATATCCCAACTCCTTGTACGGTCTCGGCCTTTGATATGTAAGGTAGGTAATCAATGCCGAGGATTGTCCGTTCGTTGTCTGTATCGCGGTGTCCTGGTTTAATTGAGCGTCTCGTACGCGGTTGTCTGAGGGAAAGGGCGTGGTGGATCGGGTGTCATAGTGTCACGAGGCGGAACCTAGAAGCCGCAGAGCAACATTGTTGCTGCGCGGGGATCTCTGGCATCTCCTTGGGGGGTATGGAGGCTACATATATATGTAGCAGTCTTTGTCCTAACTACCCCCAAGGTGGACCCTTGACATCTCGCACTCGATTGTCAGAGGGAAAGAAAAGGGGTGGTGAAGTCGTTTCGACAGCGTATCTACCGGCTAGCTGTGGAAGGGATCGGTCAGTACTGGATATCCAGACGATGACTTGGGTATGCGTATACATCGAAAGTCTTATCCCTTTGGCCGGTGAGCACGTCGATGACTTCTAGATCGATATCCTATCCTGGATCATGAGCTGGAGAGAAGATGGACTTGAAGCAGGTTTGATGACGCCAAATAGCTCGAAGGGTTTGAGGCATCTAGTGGAGATGCCACGTTCCTTTTGTTAAACACACGATAGCGTTTTGGACGTCATCATGTTCATGTCTGCTAGGAGCTGGTGGCTTGGGCTAGGTGTGTATGTTAGGAGTCTGGCAGATATGGGGTCTCACGGAGGTCTCGGGGGGGGGGGGGGGGGGGGGGGGGGGGGCTCCCGAGGAACATAGAGAGGCCTTCATATGTATAGACCGCATCCCTCACACATAGGCCTATAGCTCTTCGCGTAGACAGCCCTGTTATGTTGCGGAATTTTGGTTTAGCCATGTGGAGTGGAGTTGATAAGGATCTTCTCGAGATGGTGCTGGCTTTTCTAGGGTCTTGATGAAGAGTCCAACGAGATTCGCGAGGATACGAAGTAGTAAAATAGGACAAGCATGTTACTGCACCACTAATTGCTACTAGATAGGTATGGAATCATGAGATTAAATGCCTATCACGTCTTATCAGGGATAGTTCATACAAAAGGACTGGCGTCATCATAAACATAGATAGTAGACTACGCCACCTCTCTGAGGGCTACTTAGTCCACCAGATGTCTAAATTGACACATCACGAGTATTGTATTGTGGATTAGTGGCTCAAATAGCCCGATTATGAAGTCTCGACATTGAGTTTGTGAAACTTGGCTGCATATTCTAACCATATCCATGCAATAGGTATCGGGGAATTATGGAGATGCCCAGATCTTTCCCAAAAGGTAACTTACATCTCGAAGGTGGACTTGGAATGCCTATACTTAGAATAGAACTATCTAGATTTGGGTGACATGGGTGGGCATATACCTATTTGCGTCAATGTTTAGAAGTGCGGAAGTGCGGGTTCTCAACCTGACGCTTTCATCGTGAGGCTGTAGAATACCCAAATATGGTATAATGTGTATAATGTTATTCTTCTCGGCGTATTTTTTCTTTTAACTACTACGCTTATATAATTATGTGCCCAAATTAGTATATAAGCACTATCCGAGGTAGGTAACCCATCACCCGTGTGTTGATATGACTGAAAGCCATTGGGCGTCAGTATCATTCTCTTCCCCAAAATCAGTATGCAGCTTATGCTACACCTTTTGCCGTAAAGGGCTAACCGCATGACTGAAATAGCCCCGGGGTAACGAACTATACCATCAAGACTCTTAAGTTTAGAATACTTCTTTCGTATTTACCAAGTTCGCCTTTGCTCTTGGCAGCGGCGGCTCGACGAAAAATGAGTCTGAGTATGCGCGAATTTTGGAGTTGGCAAAGCAGCGGTATATAAGCTCTCCTTGCATATAATGAATTATCTGGTGTAGCACATATAAGGCTTCCGGAGGATTGTTGTGTGACTATCTCGTTATACTCTCGTGTTACACGTATAATTCCTTTACACTCTCGGCTCCGACCAATATTGATACGGCGGGTGAGATGTAACCTAGGTTAAAGATTCCGAGGAGCTACTAAGACGTATAATACCGATCCATGTTGTAGTTGATACAATGACATTAGACTATTGGCTGTAACTGTGGATTTTACTCTGGTAAAATACAGACGGTTCGATTGGGTAGTACAATCATCACCAAGTGGCTGTGTCCACTCCTATAAGGAACTATCACCTCGACTTGCTGTTCAACAACACTCTTACTCAGCTTAGAATACTCCTACGTATATCAAATCAATAGCCAAGGCAAGGGTGAAACAGCAAGCCGACCTTTCTCGTATCCAATCGATCTTGTTCCTGCATATCTACCTAGTGCTCCCATGTAATAGTTACGGTCTCTATGTCTTGAATATACTTGTAGCGTTGACGAGCTAGAACATGTGCTGACAAGGTGGTTTAAGGGCTTTTTTCGGCACATCTCAAATATGTTCGATAATTGGAGCCATTGCTGATATTCTGGTGTATCCCAAGAAGCTAACTAAGACATAGAAGTGAGTACGGGGTTCCCGTGAGTCCTTAGGATCCTGGTGCGGGAACATGGAGTCTAGCCCGAGCATGTGAAAAGAGTCCCATGGCGAGAATGCATAAGATAAGGAGATATATGGTTAATGAGTTCGTATATTTATTAGTTCTGGGCCCCCTTGACCTGAGTCTAAAAACTCACTCCGTGAGGCGCCTCTTCTATCTGCAAAACAACTTATAGTTTCTTTGAAATTACCTTCAAGTCTTTCGAAATGGAGCCCCAGTTTCGAGTGAAGCCAATACTCAGCCATTCTTCTACTATGGCACTTAAATCAGTTTCGAATCGCCTCGTGTACAATATGCACACAGGCTATCTATTTGTCTGCAACGACATAAGAAGCAACGTCCTCTTGGCTCTATTCTTTGGAGCTCTGGGTGCCTCCGTTGCCCCTAGCTTGTCTATGGGAGAAAGCCGGTCCCTCAGCCATATAGTGGCGTCCGCACCTCGGGCATTGTTATGGTCATGGGCAAACCTATTCCTATTCAACCTCCACAATCAACGTCACTCAGCTGCAATCGCAGAAGACGCCATCAACAAGCCATGGAGGCCCCTCCCCGCCAAGAGACTTACACAGGAGCAAGCTACACTGGTCATATATGCCATGTATCCGACGATGCTAGCTATCTCCTTGACCTTCGGTGGCCTAGTGCCTTCTGTACTGGAGGCCTTCTTGTGCCTGTGGCATAATGAACTTGGCGGGGATTCAGACCCCTTTCTTAAAAACACCCTGACTGCATTCGGACTCGCCTGTTTTCTAGCTGGGCCACTCGAGGTTATTACCGGCCGATCTATTTTCTCCGGGAACAGTGAGGCGGCTATATGGCTATTCATGATTGCTATTGCTATTGCTACAACCGTCCATGCCCAGGACTTTCGAGACATGGAGGGGGATAAGGCTACAGGGAGAAGTACGGTGCCTCTCGCAATGGGGGACACGGAGTCAAGAGCACTACTGGCTATTGGGGTAGTAGGTTGGACATACGCAGCTGGATTGTTCTGGGGAGTTAGCTGGAGAGAGACCATAACAGGTTGGATGTTCGGGATGGTGATGGTGGGAAACGCGTTGCTTGATAGAAGTATGGATGGCGATAAGCGGACGTGGAAGTTATGGACTTTTTGGATGTTGGGATTGTTCCTAGTCCCTTTTCTTAAGGAGGTGAAGATTTGAAGATGTGAGTATTTTTTTACAGCTTAGATCAGAGTTTTATTCAACTCGATACATAACCCTAGATGAAAGGGAAAAAAAAGAAGGAAAGAATAATATGCATTATTCGACGATAGATACATAGACAGTTATAACTGTATTGTGCAATAGTTAATGCATAATTGTTTGAATTGTTGCACAGATAATAGAATCTGCACATAGTTATGGACCAATAAGAGTAATGGAAATACTTTTAGTGCATCTGCTGATTCTGCTCATCTTCAATTGTCTATCAAACCTTGTGCAAATGATCTTGGCTAAATAAGTACTAGCTCAGTAGGCTAATGCTATCGATAAACAGGGGTGTCTGTAGTTGGAATTCAGATCAAGCACTTCGCGTAGCTTAAGTTTCACTCCTCCACCTTTCCACCTTTCACCTCTCACCCTTCGTCTTTCATCATTCTTTTTTTTTTCTTATCCCCATATGTCAACCAGCAAAGTCACCGTTAATCATGGCGCATGCTCCTGTTGATATTGTGAATGGCAATGGTATCGCCTTGGGAGCTTCGTCTCCCAAGAAGGTAGCTTACTTCTACGATTCTGACATTGGCAACTTTGCCTACGTCGCGGGTCATCCTATGAAACCCCATCGCATTCGGTTGGCGCATAGCCTTATTATGAACTATGGCGTATACAAAAAGATGGAGATTTATGTAAGTGCTATTGACTTGCTATGTCACCACTCAAGCTCAGATTTACTGATTACTTTATAGCGCGCCAAACCTGCGACCCGACTGGAGATGACCCAATTTCATACAGACGAATACATCGATTTCCTCCAACGTGTCACTCCTGAGAACATGGACAATTTCCAGCGTGAGCAAGGGAAGTACAATGTTGGAGATGATTGCCCTGTATTTGATGGCCTATTTGAGTTTTGTGGCATAAGTGCTGGTGGCAGTATGGAGGGCGCCGCACGCCTGAATCGACAAAAGTGCGACATCGCAGTGAACTGGGCTGGAGGGCTGCACCACGCGAAAAAGTCCGAGGCTAGTGGCTTTTGCTACGTTAATGGTATGTCTTAGGACCTCAGAACCCCTCTCTTCGGGACTTTCCATCAGTACTAATATCATCGCTACTCAATAGATATCGTTCTTGGTATTCTCGAACTCTTGCGATTCAATAAACGAGTACTCTACATCGATATCGATGTTCACCATGGCGATGGCGTCGAGGAAGCTTTCTACACAACAGACCGAGTCATGACCGTCTCTTTTCACAAATACGGCGAATATTTCCCTGGCACGGGCGAGCTTCGGGATATCGGAATCGGCCAAGGGAAGTATTATGCTGTTAACTTCCCTCTCCGAGACGGCATCGACGATTCATCTTACAAGTCTATATTCGAGCCCGTTATTTCTAGTGTTATGGAATTCTACAACCCTGATGCCGTTGTCCTCCAGTGTGGTGGCGACAGTCTGTCAGGCGACCGTCTCGGGTGCTTCAATCTGAGTATGGACGGACACGCAAATTGTGTGAAGTTTGTGAAGAGCTTCAATCGCCCCACCTTAGTCCTTGGCGGAGGCGGGTATACAATGCGGAATGTCGCCCGCACCTGGGCTTTTGAGACGGGCTTGCTGGTAGATGCTGAGATGGACCGTAAACTCCCATTTAATGAATATTACGAGGTAAGTTTAGTAAAAGGGAAAGAAAAGCAGAAAGCAAAAAAGCTTGATTGATTCAAGTACTGACTAAAGAACTAGTACTACGGCCCAGACTACGCACTGGATGTCCGCTCCTCCAATATGGAGAATGCAAACAACCCAGAATACCTTGAAAAGATCAAGAACCAGCTAGTGGAGAATCTTCGCCGAACTGCACATGCACCCTCTGTACAGATGCAAGATGTGCCCCGCCATTCGATGGGGGCGCTCTCCGACGAGGAAGATGCCGAATTGGATGACCTCGACGAAGATGAGAATAAGGATGTCCGTATGACTCAGCGACGATGGGAGCAGCGAATAGAACGCGACAATGAATACGAGGAGAGTGATAATGAGGACTTGGACCGGGCAAATGGAGTTCATCGTAACGGCAGCACTCGTCCATCTTTCCTCGACTATCGCAATTCGGATGCCGAAGCTAACAGTGGCGCTGCGACACCTGCTAACGGAATCGTTGATAATGTTGTCAAGTCCAAGGAACTTGATGACGTTGTTATGGAGGACGTAGATAGAGATCTCGACCCGGAAACGGAACCTCGTGATGTTTCGTCCAAGCCAGATGAGAAGGAAACTGAACAAGTTAATGCAACCAGTGTTCCTGAGCCTAAGGAGACTCCGGCTGAAGCACAAGATGCCCCTAATTCGACCGAGGACAGTCCAAAGAGCGAAAAGCCCGCTGCTGAAAACGGCGTGGAGACCGACAAAGTGGAGGCAACGAAAGAAACCGATGAAGCCATGCACGATGATGACGAAGCCAAAGAAAAACAACCCGTAGAGACTGCAAAGGAGCCTAGTGTAGCGCCCGAAGCTAAGAGCCCACCAGAACCTGAGAAGGTGGATCAAGACGGTGATATTGATATGGACATGCCCACCTCTACTGAGCCAGCGAAGGAGGATGGCGCGGAGGTTAAGAAAGAAGAGGCAGCGGCTGAGAAGGCGGCATCTGCTCTACCCTCAGCAGCGGCCGCTAGTCCACTCAACACGGTAGACCTGTAGGAAGTTTTATCGATCTGGCGTGGCCTCTAGCAATCTTTTCTCACAAGCAAGCAAGCAAACCAGCAAGGCGCTGATCTGGGTATTGTAAGGAGGTTGCGCGGAGCGGAGGTCTGTAGTTTACGTTGGTAGGTCACAGGATTTGTCACTTGATTGGTGTAAACCAAGGTAGCTAGGCGAGCGGCGTTCAGGTTCCGGCAGCATTGTCGAGGGATAGAAAGACGGCCACGGCCACTTTCGCCTCGATGTGGTTTGGCACTTCAATATTTGACTTGCTCTATTAATTCTTATGCTACCAAATGAGATTGCATTCGTAAAATTTTAAGGCTATCGAAGGAGACTGTGACGAGCAATGTGATCATAATTGCTCATAGATATGTGATCATGTTAGGGGTATTTGCCTATACTGATATTATCTGATGTTATGATGGACTGTAATGCGAATTCAGTTATATACATTCGGTTGAAAACTAATGGTTTGAATTTCGATAGAAATACTCGGAGTAAACCCTGTAATAGTTCTCAAATACGCAAGGAAGATCGCCTCACTTTGGTAAGTTAATGGGACCACTGTTTGCTGATGTACTACAGCATACGGCATACATTTGCACTGACTGAACGAAAAAAGGATCAACTAAATTAAACGGCATAGATCCGGAGTTTAGCTTTGGGATTTCGATGTTCATCCCCGGACGGAACTAGCTGCATAGCTCGGGAGCGGCTCGGAGTGACGCAATGGTCTTCCGTTTATGGCAATTTATCTGGACTAAAGATGCAAGGGGTTGTGTGGTGAATCTGGTGATAAGTGTGGCTGGTGCTGGGAAGGTTGAATACAATTGATCACGTGCGATAAGAAATGGCTCGAGCTCCTTTATCGATTGGTAGCTGATCAGTTGCCTTAGGTAGGTGCAGGCAGGCAGACCTGGGCCTCGTCAACACGGCACCTGCAACCTTGAAGCTTGCACCGGTCAATTTCAACGTTGTGAGCTTTAGACTTTGTACATCATTTTTACAACAACCCAATCAAAATACCACTGCAAAACTACCACCCTTCGTCTTTCCCCTCCCTACTTTTACTCAAATACTTACATACGATTACCAAAGTCGCGCAGCCTCCTTACACCTACCGTATTAATCTTTGCGATAGCGCAACACACCAAGATGGACCGGTTGAACAGAATGCTTGCCAGTGCCCACCCCATGGGGGCCCCTCCGGGAGCTGTAAGAAACTTTGCACCCCGAACAAGTGTTGGTTGATTAATGCTGATTTATCTTGATAATGGAATAGGACAACCAGAACTTGATCGACAACTCGGAGACGGTCTACATATCCTCCCTTGCGCTATTGAAGATGTTGCGACACGGACGAGCAGGCGTACCTATGGAAGTCATGGGTCTTATGTTGGGAGAGTTCGTGGATGACTTTACCGTCAGAGTGGTCGATGTGTTTGCTATGCCCCAGAGCGGTACCGGTGTCAGTGTCGAAGCTGTCGACCCGGTATTTCAGCAGAAAATGATGGACATGCTGACACAAACGGGACGGTACGGCCTGGCCACTCATCATCCACTTTCTCTATGCTTTGACTAATAACCTATACGCAGACCCGAATCCGTCGTCGGATGGTACCACTCTCATCCTGGATTCGGATGCTGGCTGTCCTCAGTTGATATCAATACCCAGCAGAGTTTCGAGCAGCTAACACCACGAGCTGTCGCCGTTGTCGTGGACCCCATACAGTCCGTCAAAGGAAAGGTCGTCATCGATGCTTTCCGTCTTATCAACCCACAGTCTTTGATGCTTGGTCAGGAGCCAAGGCAAAGTACTTCCAACTTGGGTCACCTCAACAAACCGTCGATTCAAGCCCTTATTCATGGCCTGAACCGACACTACTACTCAATCGGAATCAACTATCGCAAGACTGCTCTAGAAGAGAACATGCTCATGAATTTGCATAAGCATGTTTGGACTGAGGCGCTGCAGATGGAAGATTTCCGACATGAGGGCGAGCACAACAAGGAGCGCTTCCAACAATTGGTGACGCTGGCTGATGGTTACGAGAAGAGAGTTAAGGAGGAGACGGAACTGACCAAGGACCAGCTAAAGACGCGCTACGTTGGCAAGCTTGATCCCAAGAAGCATCTGGAGGACGTCGGTCAACAACTCATCGAGGACAACATCGTAGCCGTATCACGGCAGATGATTGACAAGGAAGCGACAATGCCGAAAAAGGAAGTAGTTTCTTCTAATGGCCAGTCGAATGGTGAGCGTATGGACGAGGACGAGGAGCTATGAATTCACACACCGGAACAAATTTTAATGTCGCCTGAGGTATCGGACTTCAGTAATGTATCATAGGCGTTGGAATGGCTAACGAACCCGGTCAGAAAGCATCGGCAATGGATGGCTTCTTTACGGCCTGTTCCCACAATCATACGCGAGGATATATCCTTCTATGCATACCATTATTGCTTCGTCTTTTTTCTTGTCTTGTCAACACCTTATCGTTTCATGTCATGGAATACTAGTGTTACACGTGTATAATGCTTTGTATTGATTGTATTGTGTAGGGTCGTTGTATCATCCGATATCTCAACAACAGCTTTGTCGCCTAGTAAGGTATTGGCAAAGACAATGCGCTGTTCAAGAACAAGGACACGGGTTTTTTTCCGTGTCAGATCTTGTTCAGCCCTTGGTAAATAAAGGCCTAAACAAGTGGACAAACATCTTGTTTAATATCAACAAAGGGGCCGACGAGGACTTATAATACTCGTGCCCACCCCTTCTTTCTGAAATGTGTATCCCAAGCACTCGATAAAGGCGGCATATCTTGCATTAACCCTAGAAACGTTTACTTTGACAGTAAGTGCTTCTACACCAATCCAAGAATAATAACAAGCGAAATATGCCTTCTAGTACTGCCAACGGTACATTCGCCGCCATCAAGGCCTGTGTGACCTGCTTCCCTAAGCCGAAGGTGCACCAGCCATCCCCCCTGCTGTATAGCTCTAAGTACAGCGCCCAGGTAAGACTCAACCTTAACCTACCGGACCCAGCCATACAGCTCCCACGCGTCGAAGTCGACCCGAACGGGCGAGTGACAACGATCGACCAGTACAAGCCGGAGGCAAGCCCTTCGCTCCGAAGCCTAAACCCGCCAGATATGCTAGAAGAGCCGGGGTCAGCAATGACGGCGAGGGGGCGACACATTCGCCAGCGCTTTCCCACCGTTATCAAGGACGATCCACGCTCCCGCTGGTCTACAGCGACCCTCACCGCGCCCCAGCTCGCGGAGCTGTTCGCCGCTATCCATGATACGCTTGAGCATGTCCCTTACGCTATTTGTGGGCTCGGGGCCTTGTTTGACCATGGCTTCACGACGCGACGCCTGAATCGGGTCACGATTCTGTGTCCAGCGTACGCGAAGGATAACGTTCGTGCGTGGCTGGCGACCCGCGGGTATGATTGCTTTGCGGACTCGGCGGGGATCCCGATTAGTGCTGGTATGGTTGAGGCCGACGGCGAGGGTAAAGGTAAAGGTAAGGGCAAAGGTAAGGACGACGGTAAGAGTCCAAGCGAGGGCGGCGACGGCCAGATCATCGTGCGCACACGCATCAAGTTCCTCGCCGACGGCTTCGAGAAGCTCGAGCGCACACCGTCGCGCATGAGCTCCGGCTGGGTGCTCGGGCTCGCGAGCCAAGCCGACCACGCGGCCGCTGGCTTCGTCGACCACTACCGCCGACTGGAGCAGCTGCAGAAGAAGCAGAAGCAGCAGGAGGCCAAGGACAAGCTCAGCAGCAACTTCGGCAAGCGCAGTAAAGAAGACCGCGAGCGCATCCAGAAGCGCGCCCTCGAGCTGCGCCAGACAGAGCTCGGCCTCAAAACCATCGCCCACGACATCTTCTGGTGCCTCGCCAAGGCCCGCAGCGAGAAGCACCCGCTGCCCGAGCATTTGTTGCCGACGCTGCTTGGCAAAGAGTTCTGGGACCCGTTTACGCGCCGCCATGAGGAGGCGCGCACGGAGATGGCGGCGGCGGGCATAGATGTGCAGAAGGTGCTTGCGCGGCATAACGCGGAGGAGATGGTTGCGGAGCACCGCGCGATGCTGAAGGAGTACGGGGTCCAGGATTACGAGTACGCGCCGGGGAGGGATAGCGGCGTCGCTGTTGCTGCTGATGACGGCAATGGGTTTAGAACCGTCGGCGTCGTCGGTGTCGGTGGCGCGGGAGTCATAGCTGAGCAGCCCGGCCCCTTCGAGGGCATGCGCACGCTCGCGCACAACAACAAGAGCGTCTACTCCCTCAGCCCCGACCGCAGCCGCGGCGGCTCCGAGGCTAGCACGGCGGCGGCGGAGGTGCTGTCCATCGACCCCACGCGGCTGACGGATGTCCCGCCCGTTCCGCCGCTGCCGCTCGTGATCCCTACTTCGAAGGGGAAGTTCTTGGGGGGCCTGCTGTCAAGGAAGCCGAGCCAGGAGGGCAAGAAGAGTAAGAAGAAGAGCAAGAAAGCGAAGGCGGGGAGTCGGAACAAGAGTCCGGATGATAGTGGGAGTAGTGGGAGTAGTGGGAGTAGTAGTCCTGGTGGTGCAGGCAAGAAAGAGCAGTCACTTGGGCGCAGCTTGACGAGGAAGAAGAGCAGTGCTAGTGGTGGCGCGTCGAGAAAGTCGACGGAGGAGAAGCCGTCCGCGGAGAGGCCTGTGCCTGAGCAGAGATTCTCGGCGGACGTGGAGAGGCCGGCTGCGCAGTGGATTTAGAATTTGTGTTCTTCTTTTACATATCTCTCTTTTGTCGATTCTCTCCTTTTGATGAAGGGGGGGGGGGGGGGGGGTTTAGTCAGTTAGGTAGGCATTTTCTATTTTATAGCTACCTCGAGTAACTAGCTACTTATGTATCTACTAAGCGATTAAAGGATGTAAGTCTTATTTGCCTTTTCCCTCTGTAGCATGTGTAAGTAGGAGGTGGGTGGGCAGACAGTACTGTAGACTCAATACATGATGTGAAGTTCCTACGTTATAAGTCGTCTCTTCGTGCTTGAAATTAAAGGGGGTAAAAGCAGGAGGAAGTTAATAAGACCGAGAAAAGAAAATTAAAGAATTTTCCCTTTGATAAGCAACTAGTGACTCGTTTGTAAATTTATCAATCTGAACACTCTATCTTCACCGTGGTAGTAGACACCCACCCATACACAACACCCTACCTACCACCATCCTAGCCGGAGCTGCTCGCATGCTTCTTCAAGAACTCGTTGTAAATCTCGTAAAACGTAGCCGTCTGCGGAAGCGTGGGGATCACAGACGGGAAGCAGTGCGGCAGGCCTTTGTAGCTGTAAATCGTTACCTCGACGCCCGCGGCGCGGAGGGCGTCGGCGTACGCGAAGGCCTCGTCGCGGAGGATATCGAAGCCTGCGATCTGGATTACTGGGACGGGGGAGTGGCGAGGGCCGGTGGTTAGCTTTGCCTGCCTTTCTAGTCTATTCGGAGGGGAGGGGGGGGGGGTTGAGAAGTTAGATGGGGAGGAGAAGAAGAGACTTACAAGCTGGCGGAAGCTTCGCCAAGGACTCCGCGAGCAGCGGCGAGTGTCTGTGGTCGGGCTTGGGATCGGGGATGTACGCCTCGTAAAAGGCATCCATCATGGAGGCGGTCAGGACGCAGTTGTCCATGTTCTGGATCCAGCTGCCGTACTCGTACTTGTCCCAGGGGAAGAACTTGGGGTGGCAGGTGGTGGGGAAGTGAAGCACTTGGGCGACGATGCCGGTTATGCCTTGGTCGCGGGCCATGATGGCTAGGACGGCGGCCTGGGGAGGGGTGTTAGTGTGTGTGAGTAATGGATGGCTAGGTAGGTCTTACAAGGTTGGCTCCTGCGCTGCTTCCGGCAACGATGATCTTCTCCGGGTCTACACCAAGAGTTTTCGCATTTTTCTTACACTAATACCATGAGTTAGTGGATATGGCCTTGATACTGATGATAAAATAGGATGGATCGGTGAACTTACCCATACCAAGCCATCGATGCAATCGTTACCTTGTAGTGGAAAGGGGAACTCGGGTGCTCTTTTCATATTAGCTAGGTCATGGTTCTTTACAAGCATGAAATAACATACAATCGATATCGAATGCTAACAACAACGATGTTAGGGTTTGTGGCGGCGTATACATTCTCGGCACCATCAGTCTCGTGCCCTCCAATCGCGTGGCCTAGATGAATATTAGCAGGTTATTCATTGCTGAGTCCCTTATCCCCTCCTAAAAGGGGGCAGACACATCTCATGGCCAGCTAGGTACATACCACCACCGTGCATACGGTACATCAACGTAGCATTCGGCTTCACCTGAGGCGACTTATAAACCTTCAGCTCGACCAGCTGGCCATCGCGGGCGGGGAATTGCAGCAGCTCCGTCGTCACGTCGCGGTACCGATCAGGTCCGCCGGGTGGCATGACGGCATCAGCGTCGCCCGCGGCCTCGCGGAAGGCCTGGAAGTCGGGCAGCGCCCACAGCTGCTTGTAGATGGCGTCGATGGCTGGCTCGGCGGCGACGAAGTCCGGGCACTTCTCGGAGAGGTGGCCGTGCTCCGGCAGGGGCCTGAAGGCGGGGTCGACGGCGACGTGTTGGGGCTTGTCTTTGAGCTGCATTTTGATGTTTTCGTCTAGGATACTACTGACTGAGGAATACTCGGGATGGATAGTGATGAATGAGCTTTTGCTGCACCTGCCGGGCTCAATGAGGGGTCTTATAGTTGCCCAGGCGGGCACGTTGGCATGCTGGCATATCGGCATATATCCTATTCCAGTGTCCTCGTCGTAAAAGAAAACCAACCACCATGCCTTTGGAAATGGAAAGTGGACATCTACCATTGGCTTTACCTAGGTAACGTTAACCGAAAAGGTGAGTTCATTCTGAATGATTCCTTGGTTGTTTACTTGGCGAAGATTAGGTACCTATGTATGCTGCACTTTGGGTAGATGGTGCAGATGCTCAGCCCCTTGAGGCTGCTGACGGCGGTCAATTATCAACAATGCCTCGTCACTGTGAATCATATCTCACTAATCTTTTCCAGTTACCTAATCCGAAATTTGAAAGCCATCTTGACCGCTCACGGTGAAGCCAGGAAAGAAGGGGGTGGCTAGGTTTGAATGCTGGTCACCCGGCGAGTTATACGATATGCATGATAGGTAGGTATAAATACTTTGCAAATGCCCCCATCCGCAAAGTACCTATAACACCAGGATTACACAATTCTTAGAAACGACTTGATAGCAAATTCACATCAGCACACATACCTACCTCAATGACCACATTCACAATCCCCTCATCGCACCTCGACCTGCGCCCCTCATCCGAAATCTTCTCAGGCCTACGCTCCTTCCGCCCCGTCACCTCCGAGAAAAACATCTGGGCCTTCTGGGACAAGGGTCTCGACGCCATGTACCCGAGCTACCTGCACACGGCCATAAACTGGGTACGCAAGCACAGCAGCAGCAGCCCCCGCCCCCCCGGACCGTCCGCATCGTCGACCTTTCCACCAGCCCACCAAACCACGTCTTCCGCTTCGTCGGGCCGGAGTGGTTCCCGCCGTGCTTCGTAGCCCGCACCATGGACGGCCCGCACGCCGCACACAGCATGCCGCGGACCTCGTGCGCCTGCCACTGCTGCACACGCACCTGGACCGCCTCTTCTGGGACGCGCTGACGACGGCGGCGGCCTCGCCGTACGAGATGGGCGCGTGGATCATCGCGGGGCAGCTGCGGCGGCCGTGGAGCGGCTTCGGGAACTAACTACCTGCTCGCCGCGCGCAAGAAGGGTTGCGTGTTCGTCCGGAACCGGCACGATGGGGTACAAGGCGCTGCGGGTGGAACGGGCGCGTCGTTCTTCGCGGAGAAGGTGTTCATTTCATGGTGGAGGGGGAGATCCGCAACGGCGTGCTCGGCGCCATCAGGACAAACTACGACGGGGAGCTGCTCACGACGCGGCTGGACGAGCCGGACATCGCGAGGCGGCAGGAAGCCGAGGATTTTGTGGTGGAGATGCTCGAGAGGTCGCACGTGCACACGGTGTAGCTACCACAAGTCGAGCGACGGGCTGCCGGCGCTAGGCGATGTGATTCAGAGGGAGGGGTACGTACCGCGATGCGGATCACAGGCCGGGCACTTTTGGCGAGGTGTACAGGTATGGGACGGTGCACTGGGGGCGACGCACGGGGTGGAGGGGCTGGTGCCGCGGTTAGAGGAGGAGGAGGAGGAGGAGGAGGAGGAGTTGATTAGGGCTACGCCTTCGACGCCGAGGGGAGGTTTGGGGAAGGGAGGGGATGTTGCTGCTATGATAGGGACAGGTGTATAAGGGTAGAACTTGTTACGTTATAATATATGGCGTCGCTTCATTGCGTTGGTAGTATTGCAGAGAGTGAACATCCCTTACATGCAAATTCATTCGCATTACACAGTACCGCAGATAATACTAGTCCCTCTCGATAGGACATTCTGTAAATGAAGCTAAAAACACTCACAGGAAAGAAAAAGAAGACGAGGTAGTTATCGTGTCACGCGCACTCCCATTTCATTGAGAGCCAAGTCTCCTCATCCATCGCAAAGCTAAAATTCGTCGAGAGAAATTTATTTCAGTTGAGACGATTCCATCCATCAATCCCTCCACTCATCTGTCCTTCCATCTAGTTATACAATCGCCATCTAATAAAATAGTTGAGATCAACACATCATCAAAACCATCCTATTGAAGAACGGCTTTGCGATGCTTAGGTCGTCCCTTACACGTAAGCCGACGATGACGACTCCATCAGCCGACGCTGATAATTACCTTACACATGTACATAAGTATGTTTCGGATCTACAGATGAAGCGGCGGTAGGATGTTTAAGGTTGCCGCCGGTGCCAGATCCCGCGAGCCAAGCGGTGCCCTATGCGGCGTGCAGCACCGCCCGCGGTTGACGGATGGGACGGATGGGACGTTGTGTGCATATACGCACGCAATGTTTGCTTGGTTAAAATCATTACATGCCTAGGTTAGATACCTAATCAAGTAATTCAAATTATTCAAGGTGAGAATTAGTTTACCAGGTACTATATTCTCGGTGTGGCGCCCGGGTGGATGGTATGCCAATCATCAAGGTTCGATAGGCTAGGTAAATTACCTACCTGCCCGGACAGGTATGAAGCTGTTTGGTAATCGTGATCGCAGTCGAGCGAGCACATAAAAGAATAACTAATATTGGCATCTATCTAGTTATTCCTTAGTTAGGGAGGTCTCTTTTTTTTTTGTTCTAGCCAAGCATTCGAAATTTATTTATTTCCACTAAAAAAAAAGAAAAGAAAAATAAAAGAGCTCAAGGGGGACCCAATATAACCTAACCCAAGCCGGAATGCCCTCGTACAATTTTACCTCATATTAGCTCACCACCCCTACTACCCAGTCTACCCTACCAGCCTGTGCCAGGTACCTAACCTCGCATGGCTGGCCCAATTCTAACCACCACCCCCCCCATTCACTCGGAAATTATCATAGGTATCCATATCCATGTACATCACTAGGTTTGCCCAGACCCCTGTTACGTGGAATGAGGCTCGTCGCGAACTCAATCGAGGTGTGGAACACTGGGACAACCAACCGTACGATAAACTTTTCTCCTATCCGCCGGCACCTGGGGAGAACCTATATATATACTGTACCTACATATAGTTGATCAATACAACATGAAAAGAGCACTGATGATGGCGTGGCAGTACATGCCATTTATTTGATTTTCTCTTGTCCTATGTCATTCTCTGTAGACGCTTTGAACCTTTCCACTTCTTCAACCACTGGGGACAATACCGACCAGCCTACACAGTATAGCGTTATAGCTTGGGCTGTTTCAAGTCTGGCTCGTTGAGATGACTATATCATTCCTTATTACCTGCTCTACAAACTAACTGGTAGACATAAATCTCTGAATCTTGCTTGGCCTTCTGGTGAACAGGTACCGACTTAGGTAACTACACAACCAGCTATACGTCAGTCGCCAAAGCGGCCAAGCGAGTGCTAAGGAAGAACCTGAGGTTTGATCACCTAGTCACGAGGACGTTGGGATTTTTTTTCGTTGTTGGGGATCAGATTTGCAGTCGCTGGGTAAAGTGACAAACAAGATGACTGGGAAGACCAACTCAAGATATATCCAGGCATGTACCCCGGATCCCCAGGTTTACATCATCTAATCTCCGTCTTTAGGAAACCACAGCCACTTCTTCTCCTCTTCTTCTTTCTTACAGAGGGTAATCCCGTGTCCATCACGAGAGTAGCCGGCGATAAGCCTTAACGCAAGCTACCTACTCACCCACCATCACCATGGAGTTCCCCCACGAAGGAGCATCGATCTACTATCGACATCAAGCTGCTTTCGCCCGTGATCTCAACGGCAAACTGCTGTATTGCATCGGACCGCAAGAAAGCAAAGTCCGGGAGAACTGGCACCTGATTAACATCCCCCTTGTAGCCCGGAACCACGCGGCCACCAAACTGGGAAGGATCGATTGCGTTCAACTCGGCGATGAATTGCAGGGCCTCACGTTGTACGAGGTCCGCCACTTCTCCAACGGGCTCGTCACCGGCATGATCCTTGATGAAGCACTGGGAAGTTGCCCTCTCGAGAGGGACTTCGAGGCCTTTTTCTGCCACCTGATCCTTCACCAGGCCAGCTTCGGTATTACCATTTCACAGCTGAAGGTGAATCATGCTTGGGCCCATGAAAAGGCGGTAGAAAAGATTGTCTCTCTCTTCGATACCTACCTTCGGTATCAGGGGGAAAATGACAAGTGGGCTGAATCGGGACGTGCCTATTTCACTGATCGTGTCACCCACTTCACGTCTCAGGCGCGACAGATTGAGCTCTGTTTGCCTGCCTTTCCTTGCAAATCGTCCAACTTCGATAAGGTTGCGGGAAAGGATCCGGATCGTGGCGAGCAACTCGCCCTGGAACGCTTACACAACTTCGTGGCTGCCATTGAGAAGATATATCAGCCCGGCGCAAAACTCTGGATCATCAGCGATGGACATGTCTTTAGCGATTGCAGTACGTTTTCTACTTGCTTGGGTACCTACATATTATTTCGAAAACGCATGCTAACCAAGCGTAATCTAGTTGGTGTCAATGATCACGACGTGGATGTATATGGGCGAAAGCTGATTGAGATGAATCGCGCTATCGGCATCCGACTGGGGAACCCAGATCGAGTAGGCTTCAAGTCGCTGGTTGACCTCTTCGAGCTGGAAAAGTACCGAAGCCAGGCGGATCTCTGTCAAATCCCCGGTCGATTTAAAATTCCCGTTATCGATCACCACGTCCAGACACTGGTGACGCTGGAAGCCGAGATCTCTAGACGTATCCTCATGGCAGGATGTCCATCCCAAAGAGTCCCATTGCGAGAGCGTATCGAGTCGCAGGACCCGGCTATCCTGGCGTTGTACCGCGGCTTTTCGCGGTTCATGCTGGAGGATCTAGAACACCACCCCTTCACGCGAAATATGACCCGCTCAAAGCAGAAGAAGCTCTCCTCGAAGGTTGCTTTCGAGATGATCATGGTAAGCCACCCTCCTTACCATATTCTGAAGTTATCCGAAGGCGACCAAACTAGCTGACCGCAGCCCTTAATTCTTGCAGAGAAACCAGGCATATTCCAACCTCGTCGAGCTACTCTTTCCCAATCACATCCGATTATCGATCCACGCGTGAGTGAAATGCCCAACACTGCGGCAAAGAACCCGTTTGAAATATCCGTGCAAAAGCCAGAGATGATGTCCAGCCCAAACTAACCACGCATATCAGCCACAACAACGCCGGCCCCAAATTTGGCATCCAGCTCTTCGACCCCACCAGCGTCCGCACCGTCGAATCGCTCTCGCCCAACGGCCGCCTCATGACCTCGCGCGACCTGCTGCACATCCCCACGCCGTGGCACAACTGCGTGGTCAGCGTGGCCGGCAGTAAAGTCCTGTACGTAACCAAGGCGAAAGTGGTGCGCGAGGCCCTCGCGGAGGGCAGCCTGCTGGGCGGTCTTATCGGTGAGGTGGATGCGGGTGGTGTGCAGGACACCAGCCGCGTCGACAACCACGGCGCGGTGTACTTCTCGGTATGCCACGCCCTAGACCTCGATGATGCAGAGGCGGATGGGAGGAAGATATGTGAAGACGAGGAGAAGCAGCAGCTGAAGGCTGAAATGCAGAAGGTGGTCGTGTACAAAGAGGGTATCGCCGGGTAAGCAACACCATATCCTGAATTAGAAAAGGCATTGCCTATCCACGTACCTAATTAGGTAGGTAACCTACCCTAATCACAGCATGCTGACTGGAAAATATCTACTTTTAAGGCTTAAAATCTCCCCGATTGTCAACTTGGCTACTGGGACCGCTGCCCTTGCCTGTGACGCCGATTATGTTTTTGTATGAGTGTTAGGTAGCCTACCCACCTACCTAAGTACCTATCCTAGGTATCTGGGTCTTCATTCTTGGCCGGAAAGGGGGGGAGGTTGTGTTATGGGACCTCGCTGGTTGGTTGGGGTGTAGGCAAGGTACCTGGGTATGGGGTTTCGCTGGGACGCACGGGCTGGTATTCATGGATTAAACTTCATGGTATCTATTTAAGAATATTTGGGTTTAATAGATGACTTTCTCTGGAACGGTATGGTTGAGTCTTGTGAGGATGTAGTAGGATTGAGTTGTAAACACGCTATACGATAAGTAACTCAGCACATAACTCTTTCACGTGGTATTACGTCAGTCCATGCGCGTTGCCGTCTGGTAGGTCAAGTCACATGACTTTGTCCTGAGTAATCGGCGGCCACCAGGGAGACTACCATTATCTCATATCTGAAGAGAAAGGTGTAGATACGCTACTTACCACCATCATGCCCACTGAGGAAGATGCAATTATGCATGTGCAGAACTGAGCCCATCAATTTACCAATCGCGTCATGATCGCCATGGCATATCTCCAAACTATGGCTTGGCATCCTCGAAGCTCGGCCGCGGAGTTATTTGTAAAGAATGTTGAGTTCATGTAGAATCTCTCAACGAGGATTCAGACATAACAGAACGAGATCATGGGCATTTCTTTTTCTTCGAAAGTGTGGAAGCGCAGCACCTCTGAGCTGAGAGCGAATGAGGGACACGGTCTATCAATAAGCCAGAGTTTACTCGCCGCGGTGGCTACTTCCAGCAGCTGGATTCTGTCGGGCCCCCTGCACGACACATTAGAACGTGGTTAATACAAGTTGTGCCCACGACACAGGGAATTGGTGTTTTGTTTTGACTTGAGGAGCCTAAGGACCCAAGTTGAACATCACACGCCCCAACGCCATTTTATGATGAAAAAAAGTAATAGGTATCCGACTAGAGGTGCAATACTGAAGGTGGTGGGAGTTGATTCCTGAGGGTCGTATTAAGGGTATTTCGTCGTAGACGGATGGCTCCACAGAAAAGAAAAACGGCACCTAAGTAGGCTGAAAGGGCAGCAAGTCGTGTAGGATATGGCCCGGTATTACCAGATGGCCGGGGTCATGAGATGACTTCATTTGGAACACGGAGAAAATGTCGTACCCATACTCCAGGATTGGTATTGGTGGTTACCTTGTGGCATAAGACACGGAACACAGAGGTCAAGTCAAGGGCGGTAAGTAGCATGGGCAGCACAACAAGACGTACCTGAAAGGGGCTTGGAAGGTAGTCATAGGAAGGTCATGATACTGGGTAACGTTGAATGTCCAATGTTTGGGGTCGTGTAGGCACTTAAGGATCCTGATCAATATGTAGATCCCTTTTCTTTGATGGTGACGTTTTCTGTCTGCGTAAAAAACTTAACAGGCTTGGTAATGGAGGTGGAGGTGTTTAGGGTAGGTAGACGAGGTAGAGGGGACAGAGGGGATAGAGAGGACAGAGGGGACTGCGGAGGAAGGTGGGAGGTAGGAGGGAAGGCACAAAGCTGGTAAGACGCCATGAGTCAGCAGACTGGCACTCTCCTATTTTGAAGTTGCTACCTTGGGTAGGTATTGTGTACTTTTGTACTCCCGTACCCTGGTTGCACATGTTCGACATTTAATGTGATATTTCTTTTCTGTTGACCTTTTAGTCTTCCGCCTTTTATTTTTATTTTAGTCTTTCGTCACCTTCATTCCAACCTTACTTAACTTCTCCCAACTTTTCATCATTCGACTTCTTGTCAATTAACTCAAGTCAAGATGGACATGGGAGGCATGACTATGTCGCCTACTATGGCTATGCCAATGGCAACCACCACGACTACTGCCGCCGCGGTTACTACTACTGCCATAAATATGAGTGACATGGACATGGGCGGAATGGGTGAAAACGCTCATCACTGCAAGATTTCGGTACGTAAATTCTGAATTTCCAATCCAGTGTTCACTCTTTGCAAAATCCTGCTTGGAATCGAGGAATTAATTCATTAACATGATTCGTTCAAAATAATAGATGCTGTGGAATTGGAATACCATTGACGCATGCTTCCTGTCGCCCACCTGGCATATCAAGTCCCAGGGCATGTTCGCTGGCTCTTGCATTGGCGTTATCCTCCTCACTATTGTGCTCGAGGTTCTTCGCCGTGCTGCTAAGGAGTACGACCGCTCCCTCATCAAGAAGCACGCTCAGCATGTCGCCCTTACCAGCTCTCATACTAGCAATGTCAATGATGCCAACAAGGCCAACCAGGTTCATGAGGTCAACGACAGTGACCGACCTTTTCCCAACGATGACGGACAATCGCCATCCAACGGCCCTGTGTTCCCCGTCGGATATCGCCCCAAGTTGCTCGAGCAAGCTATCCGCGCTCTCCTTCACACGGCTCAGTTCATTGTCGCCTACTTTCTCATGCTGTATGTATCTACTCTACTCTACACTATTTACACCGCACCATATCCTGCATTTTTTCACGTGGTAAATGAATGGAATTGATACACTAACAACACAATTAGACTTGCCATGTACTACAATGGTTACATTATCCTCTGCATCTTCATTGGTGCTTACATTGGCAGCTTCATCTTCCAGTGGGAGACGCTTGGCGGGTAAGTGCCCTGTGAGATGTTCTTTAATGGCCCTTTCTGTTTGCTAATAACGACAATAACAGTGGTAAGCAGACCAATGCTGTCGGTGAGGTTACCGTTTGCTGCGGTTAAACTGAATGTCTCCATGAAGAATGTCACTAAGCTGTCGACAAAGTGCAAGCTTAGTTGATGTCTTTTAATGCAGGTGAATGGTTTATAGTGAGCTGGATTGATTCTGATCATTGAGATATGGATTGCTTTTTGCACACGTTCTATGCTGGTTACCAGATAGTTATTGAACCATGCTAGATCTTGTGATTTCCCACAATCAAAACTTGATAATGAAGATTTTCATGACTGAACTCAGATTGCTACAAGTGAGGGTACCATACCTAGTACCTAATACTCTGAGTACCTTTGTATCTTGGTACTAGGTAGTCCATTTGCTTTCTCTGAAGTGAACATGCAACAATACTCCTGTGAGTTCCCCAATGTATACCGTGGTGGACTCACTGAGACTTTGTTGCCATTGCGGTATTGCTCTCCATGACTTTTCCTACTTGCTGCTTCAGAATACACGTAGGTAGCACATAGTTATACTTTACAGTCATCTGCTTCTTTGAAACTACTTGGCAAACATAATCATATAAGCACTAATAAGTTAACTTCTTAGAAAAGGCGTGGTAGCTTAAGTAGATCAATTATGTTAGATGCTAACCTAGAAGTTAGCGACGTCGTCGTCTAAGAAGAGGCTGTTATGTAACCAACCCCACTTCCCCACAGATTCTCACATGGGAAATAGTCACGTGACTAAAGCTTCTTTTATGGGTCTCTAATCGCGTCTCTAAAATTTAACATTCTTTTTTTTCTTCTTCATTTCTTTCCACACCTTTAACAGTCACCCACTATAACCTTTGAAATGACTTCTGTTAAGGATAGCTTTATTGACCTGGAAAGGCACCGCCAGCTGCTACAGGAAAATGTCGATAAGCTTTCCAAGGCGCTGGACCATTGGAAACAATGGAGGAAAGAATACGACGCCTTGCGCATCGACATCAAATCACTGCCATCGTCAGCGAGTAAACAGGAGCTCACAAGCGTGCGCAAGATATTCAAGGGAGACCTATTGAATGAGAAGGAACTGGTTGATATCTTTGGCCGCGATGACTCTAAAAAGGTAGAACAGATTGTTAGCACGCTTAGTAACCGGCTAGATTACGTCGGGAAAAACATCAACACACTGACTAAGCAACTCGAAGAATCAGAGAATAAGCTTGCCGCTGTTACGGTCATTACTAACCCTGATGCGACTGATGAAGAGGGATTGCCTATAACGGAAATTTTGGAAGAGCTGGACGATGACGACAATATTGTATCCTTTAGCTTACGAAGGCCTGGGGATAGTCAGCCACAGATTCTGGAGGCTCTCCAAAAGGCTGGAATTACCGACTTTTCATCAGCACCAGATATCTCCGAAGTACCAGAGGCCTCACAAGAAAGTTCGAATAGCGAACCAAAGGCTTCGAAAGACGCCCCAAGCCCATCCTCTCAACCACCCAATGAGTCTCGAAGTGATGCACTATCAAGCCATTCTTTGGACTCTTCAGCTCAGCAACATAACGAACCAGAAGTACAAGACAAGCCACAAGGGAAACCTACAACCAAGAAGAAGAGCGTGACCTTTAGCGAAGACACAAAACCAGACACCCCGCAAGAACAGTCCGAGACTGCCAAGAGGCTCGAAGAGATCCTCCAAAAAGCCAAGGACCAACAAAGCATAATATCAGATCCTATACTACCTGCCGACGAGTCCCCTGAAGATGCGGAGTTGCGAGAGGATATGATTCGTTATAACAAACAGACGATGGAGTATGAAATGGCCCCTATTGTCGCGGAGCTGCAGTTGGAAGAGGGATCATCCGGCGACGACACGGATAACTACAGCGACTACGATGACGACGATGATGACAGTGATGAGGACCAATGGGGCAAATCGAAATTAAAGGTGGATGATGAATGGAAGCTTGAAATGCTGGAGCTGAAAAAACGTCTAAGCAGTCAGGCTTTTGGCAAGACTCGAGCGACGGATGACGAGGATGAGTTGACAGAGGGCATTGGCCGCATCACCATCCAGCGTGAGGGTTCAGACGTTTCAAATGGTGAGGCCACAAGTCACCCAACTACTGAACCTCAAGTCGAAGATTCGCCACCACCTCAGAGCACAAAGAAGAGCGTCCGATTTGCTCCCAGTCTTGATATCGCTGAAGACTCTCCAACTACAACTTCTATACCAGTCATGCCGATGCACCCAGAGCACTCCGAGGTGGATCCTGTATCCGATATTGTCATGGAGCGCAATGCTGCAGCGCCCCGGCCAGTACCGGCTTCTACTAAGAAAGCCTCTCGGTTCAAAAAGGGTAGAGCTACCGACTCGCCTGTGAGCACGAAAGTCCCATCATTCAATGGCATTCCCATTGCCCCAGAGAAACCCGAGAACTATGTGAAGGCTGTCCCGACCGGGCCCGATGGCCGAACTCTAGCAGATGCCGTCCTAGAGCACGAGCCATCTTCCGAGGCTAAAAGCCCAGATGAACTCGACGCGACTCTACTTCATCAGCAAGTGACAGAGGAGTATCACAAGATGCGCAACAAGTTCGTGCACCGCCAGGGCGGGTTCATGAAAGAGAACGAGGACCCCATACAGCCGCTAGACGAGGAAGAGGGTGGACCGAGACGAATGAGCCGTTTCAAGGCGGCAAGGCTAGCCAAGTCTTGAATTTACCCATAGCGCGAACGCTCAAGTTAGGTAGCTGGTTCCTGGTATGGTATTATCTGCGAGTGCGGTTTACGGTTTTTTGATGCACTACGTGCCTTTTTCCTGGACGTCATGCCATGACTCTTCCAGGGTCTGCCCCCCCCTTTAAAAAGGGGATATATTGGTAGTATATGGCCATCTTGGAACTTGATACCTAGATAGTATCAATGCATTCTCAAATGCCCATGGTCTATTCTTTTTTCTACACAATCTTAAATAAGATGTCTGTCTAGTCAACAAAGGTGGGTGTTTTCGTACTATGTGTCTGCTGTAAGTGGCCGGCTGGTTTTATTATCTCCCCATTCTCTAGATGTCCTACATATTTACTAGTAGGCACATCATTTTACAGCACATCACTTCACACCCTCATCTCTCTCACTACGTCAATATCACACGGAACGCTTTGTCAACTTGACAATTACATAATACATAGCAGCCACCCCCATCTGCTATGCCATTACATCAGCGATTCCAAGAATAAAACAAGAAAACAGGGCTCTCTGACGCCATTACCCTTTGGCACTTTTTCGGCCATCGAATGTTCGTGGTTTCGGCGATTCGTTTCACCCTGTACATATCTACCTTGATGATGTATATATCATTTTGTCTGATTTCAACTCTTTCGTGTGCTATTGTTAGAGTACAAGACGCACGTAGCTAATGAGACGTGAGACCTTAAACCATATTATGGTGTTGCTGTATCGTGACTCGCTCGTGATATGTTATACTGAATATTCTTTCCTTTTTTTCATTCATCGTAAATACATACGCAAGTACCTAACCTAGGAAGGTAGGTACATATCAAGCCACCTAATACATGTAGCTAGCAGTTTGCCTTCCCTTCCCTTCCCCTTTCCCTTCCCCTCTGCCCTTTCTTTTTTAACCCATCTTCGCATTACTAAAGTCCATCTCCGGATGCTGCTCCTGGAACTTCTTCAGGATATCCGCCTTCTTCTGGTCATCCGACGACGGCAGCCCCTTCTCCTTCTGGCGCTGGTCGTACATCATCTTCTCGACCATGCCCCGGGTCTCGCCGTCGAGCTCGCTCAGCTTCGAGTTCTCGGGCTGGATCTTGGTCACGTCGATTTTTGGGGCGGACGTTATCACGTGCGCCCACCACTCAAGCTTGTTCTGCTTGTCCAGGTGGATCTCGATGGTCTTGGTGCCGTCGGGCGAGGAGGTCAGAGTCCAGGTCGACTCTTCGGTGCGGATTATGTGGGGGAGGTCGCCCTGGGGTGGAGGTTAGTTTTGTGATTCTTCTCTCTCTATCTTCCCGTGCTTGCAAATGCTGCTTTAGGCGCGGGTTGCGTGGGCATACATCAATGATAGGATCTTGGCCCTTGATGCCAGCCTTGAGCTTCTGCTTCTTGATCTCGATGACGAGGTCGCGGGCTTTGAGGTTGCCGGGTATGGTGATGGTGATGTCGAGGTCGGCGATCGTCTGCTCCCATTTGTAGGGCAGCGCTGCCTGCTCTGCTGCTTCCTTGGCGCGGGCCGCGGCTTCTTGCTCGGGGGTGGGATCTATAGCTTTTGTTATTGTGCCTGAGGATAGGATATATAATATGGCTGGTGATGGCATAGTTACCTGTGTCGGCCATTATGATATTATGTGTCTGTTAAGCTCTTGTATTCCTCTTTACTTGATGTGTACTTTTATTTTTATTTTTTTACAAAGTCTTATTTGTATGCACTTATGTCATTATGGTTCATGGAAGGAAGAAAAGAAATAAGAATGGATCAGAATTCAAAGGAAAGAATACTCTAGAGCTTGTACCTACCCTAGGCACGTAAAGCTTCCATGGAGGGGCAATTGTTGGTATAGTGGGGTTGGCATATACCCCTGTTGCAGCTCCTGCATTTACTAACCAATCAGCTGTGTGTTTTCAATGCAAGTCAGCAAAGACATCCTGGAATTGTTTCCAGCTCCACTATTAACCATCCTTGAGGTATCATGTAGTTATGTACTACTACTAGGTAGTTAGTAGTACTTGCGTTATGTAATTTCAAAGTTCAAAGTTCAATGCTCAATGTTTTTGTCGAAGCTTCAACTCTTTCTTTCTCTCTTTAATATTTACATACCTACACCACCTGCAGTCTGTGCCTCTCAACTGCCTTTTCAGGTTGCTTTCAGATGGAGATCAATTTATAGTCTACTCTGAAAATTTTGAATGTTTTTCTCTTGCCATTATTGGGCTAATTCGACTGATTTACTGACGATTGTTGGACTATTCCCCGAGACTCACAATTAACGACGTGGTCTATACCGCTTTGTTAGGTCCGGGCCTTGAACGTTGAGCACAACAGTAACGGCCACGATAACGACACCGAAAATTTACATAATACCCTCCGTCGTATACGAATAAACATCTCAGCAACCATGTCTCGAAAATACAACTACAACACCGTCGGTCGGTCCAATGCCGAGCCTTCGGCAGCAATCCCTAATGACTTTTGCCCAGTATGCAAGCGCGTGCGATACTTGAACGCCGACATGGAGTTTCTCATCAATCCCGAGTGCTACCACCCCATGTGTGCGAACTGCGTCAGCAACATCTTTAGCAAAGGTCCTGCCCAATGCCCTTACGTTCAATGCAACAAGACCCTCCGTCAACGCGGATTCCGCTCTGCATTCTTCGGCGATCTTACAGTCGAGCGCGAAGTCGATGTGCGCCGCCGCGTCCAGGCCGTCTTCAACATGACCCAAGATGACTTCACCGACCTCCGCGCCTACAACGATTACCTGCAGCAGGTTGAAGACCTCACATTCGACCTCGTGCAGGGCAACGAGAACGACCGCAAGACCGCCGAGCAGCAACTGCTGAGCTACGAGCAGAAACACCGCGAAGAGATCGAGAAGAACAAAAGACGTGGTCGGGAAGCCGAATCCCAACGAAAACAGCGCGACGCCGCCGAAGCTGCAGCAGCACGACAACGCAGACTGGAGGAGCAGCGGGAAGAGGAGCGCGCCCGCGCCGAGGAAGCCACCATCAACACCGAAGTCATGGAGGCGCTCGCACGAGGCGAATCCGGATCCGCAGCCGAAATCCAAAAACGCATCGTAGCCCGCAAACGCGCGCGCGTCGCCGAGATCTCCGGCTCCCACTTCTCCACTCTCCTCAACACCGCCACATCCTCTTCCTCCACCGCCCTCAACAACACCAACACCCCCTCTACCAACCTCCTCTCCATCCGCGGTCTCAGGGACAAGAATATCCTGGACGACGCCGAGGAGTACGCCCGCCGGCCCTACGACCCCTTCGCCGGCTTGGACCTCGAGCCCACCCGGTACACCCTCCACGGCCAGGGCGATCCCGAGACGTACCCGAACCCCTGGCTCGACGACGCGCGCAAGCGCGACGACCACCGCGTCCCCGGCTACAGCACCCGCGAGTACGTCGCCCGCGCCCTGTTCGAGGCCTTTGCGGGCTTGGGTGTTGTTGTGGGGGATGAGAAGGCCGATGCGCAGAGAGGGGTGGGGACTGTGGCGGCGGCGGAGATGGCTGGGGCTGGTGCTGCGACAGCTGGCGGCTTAAGTGTTAAGATGGAGGTTGATGATGTGTTCGGTTGAGAGGGAAAACGAAACCCCTCTCCACGTCCCTATTCTTATTTACTGAAAAGGGGGATGCAAGCTGGGGTATAATGATACGTAATACGCAGGGCAAGACAGCACATGACAGCATAGAAAGGCACAGCACACAACGGCATGGCAGGGCGTCGTACCTGCCTACGAATTTTATTTGCATCGCGACGGCGTTTAGAGAAAGGAAAGGGGTTGGGGAGGTCTAATGTTGATATGATATACATACCATGATACATACACACTACCATTGTAGAAACGCGATGTACTACCTACCTACCTACCATGTGCCTACCCAAGTTCACTGTCATTAGGTATTGTACCAGGTCCCAGACTTCAATGCTGCATTTATTCCAAAAAGAGTGCGCGCGCCCTGGAAGAGAGAGGCGCATTGCTACATAAAAAAAAAAAATGTAGATACTGCCATACTCACTCATACATCGGATGGGATTAATGAAGTTAAAGTATCAACGCCTGCCTACCTACCTACCTAGATACCTATTTAACCTTAGGTAGGTTAGGTACCTAACTGTGACTTTGTAGGCAGCTAGGAGATCAGAGTTAAGTAAAAAGTCCAGTGTTCCGCTTCTACATCAAGCTCAATGATCTTTCACTTATCTTTTACGTGTGTGTACTGTACTACTTACTAAACATCCGTATGTGTACCGCGTTGTATATTAGGTGATGTATAGTTAATGCATTTATTTATAGTTACATGGCGATGGACAAAAGAACGAACGAACGAGCGAACTTACATAGGTACATACACAACATGGCATATCAAGTCATCCGGCCAGCTCGCGTCTTCACATCTTCACATCTTTCCTTTATTTGCTTGCTTGCTTGTCTTCTTGCATGCTAGCTAGCTAGCTCTCTAGCCTGCTCAATTCTTTCTACAAAAGTTCTTGCAAATGGAATCAGACCCAAAATCCACTGCCCTAGGGATGACCCAGAGAAAGGAGGGAGGTACACTAGTGTAAAGAACCCCTAGGTAGGTAGGTAGGTAGGTAGGTAGGTAATACATTGGGAAAATCCTAGTTTACAGTTTTACAGACAATTCCCCCCTCCATATCCCGTGGATGTCCTTCGAGGATGGTTTTCGTGGGTTTATTTATTCGTTATGCCTTGCCTCTGCCAGCTTTCATCAAGCGAGGAGGCGCCTCTCTCTTTCCTCGGCCGAAGTGTCCTAGTCTAGTCCTAGTCCTGCGCATGGGGGAATCACGAATTCCAAGCATAACGCCTTGCTCTATGCGTGCCGTAACAAATCAAAAGGGGAAAGAATATCTAGAGACTCAATATAATCTCCTTTCTTCGTTCTCTTTAGTTTTTTCAACTACTCCTAAAAAGAAAAAGCCACACACAGCGACACTATTGTTGCCAAGGTGTTTGTGTGGCCGGTCGTGGAAATACGGGCATCGTCTCTATCTGGTCTAGGCCTCCTCCAATCGGCTGCTGGGCGTGCTGCCAACCCATCCCTGTCTGATGATTTACAAAGGCGCCTTGTCGGAACGGATTCGTACTTCCCGTAGGCTGTGGCATGAGTCCGCTGCTTGTCTGAGGTCTCTGTGCTTGGGGTTGAGCTTGATTTTGCTGTTGACCAAAATTGCGGGCAAATGGGTTGGTCCCAGTTACCGCCGACTGAAGCGGTGCGGGCTGAGTTGGAATGGGTGGGGCCGACGGGAAAGGAGAACTTGATGGTGGGTTCGAAAAAGGGGTGCCTGCTTGAGGGGATGCTCGGGCAAATGGGTTTGTATTTTGCCGACTTAGGCCGCCGCTCGGAGTTTGCGGCGCATTCTGCGGCGAGAACGAATTGTTGAGCGCTCCCGTTTGATTAGCCATCATCATGGAAGCTCTAAAAGGGTTCGTCGTCTGTTGACTAGGCTGAAGACCTGTCTGCATTCCTGTTTGCATGGGGGGCGCCAGTGTCCCGGCTTGGAAAGGAGCCAGAGAATCTTGCGGCATGGAAGGCAGGCCACCCTGAGGATACTGTTGCGGCGTGTAGCCACCAAAACCAGCACCAGTAAAATTCGGTTGTATCTGGTTTGGCATTTGTTGCTGCTGGGAGAATGCGCCAACGTTCTGCTGTTGGAAGGGACCATTATTAGGTTGGTATCCGGTTGGTTGAGGTAGAAACCCATTGCCTTGAATTTGGCCGGTCTGTTGCAATCCAAAGCCCCCATTCGAAGGGAAAGGATTACCTGTGGGCATCTGTTGGTTAATCTGGCCCATTTGTGCTTGTGGAGTCGGTTGCACGGCCATTGTAGTCTGGTTCTGTTCTATCGAATCGAAGAAATCGATGAGATCCGGATCGGGTCCCCTAGAAATTTGTGGTAGCGGTTGTGATGACGAACTCGCTCCCTTCGTTTTAGCGCCCGCAGCTTTCGAGTCGGCGCCCTTGTCTGTCTTCGATGATAGTCCAGCTCCTCCCTTTTTCTTAGCATCAAGTTCTGCAAGATATTGTCTCCTATGGATTTCGAAGTCGGGATCTTTCAAATATTCCTCTAGCTGGCGGCGCAAATTGATCGGCGCATGCTTCAACTTGGGAACCTCGACCCTAGTATGAGGTTCCCATTGTCTTGCTACAGCCAGATATTGTACCACATAATCCGTCTGTTTTGTGAAGTTTTGGTATATCTCCAAAGCCCTTTCCGCATCTGGTCTCGACATCTCAAAAAAGTGTCCTGGGATATGATAAGCCTCCCGTGTAGTTGTCGGAACAGCGTTTTATAACTTACCCAAAATGTTGATCATGGCTTGGTTAAGCACCTGGAATAAGGACAACAAGTCCAAAACTAGAAGTCGGAAGACGGTGATGGTAATTTCGTTTTCGGGATCCTCCAAGACCTGTGCGGTGTCAGCGTCCATCTTTCTTTTCATCATATCCAGATTTCAACATACATCGCATTTCAGCAGACCGATTAGTTGATGTTGAACGACCTCGGTTTCTCGGAGTAGACCTTTATCGACAGAAAGCTTCTCCAGTCGCGTTTCTTTGCCGCGAACCCAATCCACCTTCGTATCTCTATATGCACGCACACGTTCTGCAAGGTAGTTGGCATAATGTCGTATGTTTCGGCCTTGGATTTGAGCTATCGCGTATACTACGTTAGTATCGCGGTGATGGAACAATATAGAATAGTGCGCTCACCGTCAGTGAAAGAGCTGATGGCCAGCTGGTTTCGGTGTTTTGCTAGATAGGACAAAGTCGCATCTGGAGAGCCCTCCCTGATCATCAAATGAACAGTTATCAAGCTTTTGAGTACGACGGTCCATGTGGAATCTCGTAAACGATTCTGCAGCGCCCTGAAGACCTCTCCAACTCCCGCCTCGCCTGAGTGCGTGGCCACTAGAATATGCTCGATATATTTGGTTTTCGGCGGTGCGGCCTATTCATTACTCAAGGCATATCGTTAGCCATTTAGGCGACAAGCTAGTAATACACCTAGGTAAGAAAATATATAGGGTACTGACCTTGATTTTGGTTGCGCCCTTGACGGACTTCTCAAAAGAGCTCGACATACTGCTGACCCTAGTGGAGGACAGGCCGGGCCTCAACTGGCAACTGGGGGCCGCTGTTAGGGGATGCTTCTGATTGGGTGGTGGCTTGGCCGGTACTGTCGGGCTTTTCGTGGCCTACGGGGGAGCGGGGGACAGAGGACGGGAAGGAGGAGCAAAAAGAAGGTAAAGTAAGGTAAGGAAAAGAATTGGTAGAGATTGTGTGTCAATGTCGGACAAAGGCGACAATCATAATCGGGGGTGCGACGTCAGGGTTGGCCAGATGAACAGATGGAAAGTTGGACAGTTAGACAATTGGCTAGAGCGAGTCGAGGTCGATGGGTATCAGCTTGCTTTCGTGGCGGCGGACCAATTCCAAGTGGATTGATGAGTCCAGATAAAGACTTACAACAGACTGGCGAACTAGTAAACTGAGACTATTCCATTGCGAACGAAGACGAATAAACAAATCCAGTTTGCATGTGATTATTAATACATTGAAATTCTTTTTCTTCTATTTTCGTAATTCGCGAATGAAAGTTGGAGTTTTGACGATAATACGCGTCCTACTAGTTTTAGATTGGGTACATATGAAATATGGGGGATATGGGGGGGTTGAAGAAAGAAGTGAATTGAGAAAGATGGGAGATTGGAGGAGTAACGCCGGCCGCAACTAGGTGAAAGATACTAAAGGTTAGGTGAAAGATAGAAGTTGGATGGAACTTTGACGTTGGGAGACATTTGGTCAGTCGGGAAATCGGGCTCCCAAATACTAATTTAAGGTTCACTCCATGTCATCCATCCATTGATGTCCATGTACATCAATGTACATCAATACATGTATCCTTTTCTTGCCCACCTCAACTTGTTTCCACCCATCCTTGTCTTATCGATAACTAAACTACGGTACCTTTTTTATGTCTTGCATTCATGTCAGACAGAGTATCATTGATGGATTTATTCATAACACTCCTGAACTCGACATGTAAGAAATTCAGCAGTTATTTCTATTGTGTTTCAACTTAAGTACTTACTAAGCACCTGAGTACCCTAGGTAGCTCAGGTGTGTATCCAAGATAGAGCAAACAAGGTTTCTGCATGGAGAACGGATAGAACGGCTATGAGGTCATAGCACTGTTGACCTTCATACTTCAAGCCTCCAAAGGTCAATATAAACCACATATTCTCAGATTCAACAACTACTTAGTGCACAATCATATATTGGAAGTCTGGCATAAAAACGTAGAACGCACATAAACGGTGGATATCTCATTTGAATACACGTAACTAAACTAGGGGATAGGGGCGTGCGGTTAAGAGGATAAAAAGGTAAATACAATAATAATGGGACAGGGCAAAAGAGAAGGTATAAAGTGACGATGTTGGTAATAGAGGTAGAAGAAAGATTCAAAGAGAAGAAAGGAAAGAAAAAGGGGAGGGAAGCTTCCAAAACGTCAAATATTTATCAGAGTTGCCATTTCGCGTCCGAAGTATAACAAGGTCCTTGTGTGTCGAACACTTATTTCATGGTCCCAGCCTTTCGTCACAATAGAACCACTTAAGCCCTAGAAGGGAGAGTTCTAAAGCTTGGAGAGGAGGAACACATCATATAATACACGCGGCTTTCATCATCTATAGAAAATGAGGTTAGTATATGGTAAACGATAATTTAATACAGAGATGTATTGGCGCTGGTAAAGACTCACTTTTATTTGAATTGGAAGGATGAAGAGGAAAGGAAAGAAAGAAAAATAAAAGTTCTTGCGGGAACGCAATATCTAGCAGATTAGATTTTGCGCCGGGACGGGATGGCAATTATCCGTTAGAGCTCCAGTGCGCCCAGGTACCATCGATAGGTATGTAGCTCCCCTAGATGCATGTGCATGTGGGTCTAAAATTAGGTACGGGCGGTACCGATGATTGATGTACTGGGTACCTAAGACCACTGAAGATTTCAATGTTCATCAAATTCTACTATGTACATAACTATAACACAAAATATAAATCATCTCACTCAAGACTTCTTGCTTGAGAGGGGAGGGGATACTCAAAATTGAGTAGCCATGGTTCGGTTTTTCTCACATTTAGTAAGACAGAATGTCCGTAGATGTGTTCCCAGCATCAGAGGGCAGTATTTGCCTCGCCAATACCAGCCAATTCTTCATATGAGGTCCCTCCATGATGAAGTCCCATCTGAAGACTTGGATCGCGATTCACATGAAGACCCATATGCCCAGCACTCTAATAATAACCCATTGCTAAAAGAAGCACCACAAGGACCATTGGTAGAGGACACTGATATACCGATATTTTTTCGGACCAAGACGCAGTCATCCTTTGATAATGGTAAGATCAGATTTCTGTCCGAGTTTGTTCCAAATCGACTATTAATATTGCTTATCCAGCTTTCAGATTTCCAGCACCTACACCACCAATGCACTATGAGCCTGACAAGGTAGTGTATATTCAAGGCTTCCTAAGAAAGCGCAAGGACGTAGGCTCCCGCATGACCTTCTGCGATGTAGACCTCGGCAGGACATATCCCGAAGTTCAGATCGTGTCTACGTGGGAAGAAGAGGGCTCATATCAACATGTTGCTCATCAGGACCTGAAGACTATATCGCCCCACAGTCCAATAACTGCCATGGGAACTCTCAAGAAGTCTGAGAAAACTTCCGGCAGTGAAGACTCAACCAAGCAGAGATTTGATCTCAAACTGCGACATATAAAGGCGCTGAATACGTTTCCCAAGGACATCATCGTCACCAAAGATGCCCTATGGCCACCCAAGTTTCGCCACTTACAACTGCGGTTTGACCCTGACCTTCGAGATAGATTACGTTTCCGCAGCAGCATTCAATTTGAACTCACGAAGCAATTGATGAGTAGAGGTTTTGTCAATATCGAAACCCCCCTTCTTTTTAAGTCGACCCCTGAAGGGGCTCGGGAATTTCTTGTCCCAACCAGACGGCCAGGGTACGCATACGCTCTTACACAGAGCCCACAGCAGTACAAGCAGATTCTGATGGCCGGAGGCATCGAGAAGTATTTCCAATTCGCCAAATGCTTCCGCGACGAAGACCATCGTGCCGATAGACAGCCTGAGTTTACCCAGCTAGATTTGGAAATGTCCTTTGCCAGTGGAACGGATGTAATAAATAACGTCTCGAAAGTAATAGAAAAGCTCTTCAACCACAATAAGTGTTTTGCAAAGGGGGCAGATGGCAAGAGCTATATAGTCTACTCCGAAAATGAGGTGGAATCCCTCAAAGAAAACCCGGCCAGTTTTAGTCGCTTTGGTTTCCAACATAATGCAGGCAATATGGTCCATATGAAGTACAAAGATGCAATGGATCAGTATGGCACCGACAAGCCGGATTTGCGTATTAAAACACCATGGATGTCACCTGTGAGCTACTATCATAGCCAACAACAGCGTTCGTCCCACTTGCTGACAAGAGCAGATTCATCAAATAACGTCAGGGCACGGAAGTCTATTCCACGAATTCGTCCCCCAGCTCACAACCCTACGTAATTTCTCTATAGAGGGTGTGAAGCTTCGCCTAGGCCAAACCCCTGATGCCGCTAGAAAGTTCATGAAGAATTTCATGAATAATCTCCCGAGCACCCTCAATCTGACGCCCGGGTGCACGCCAGCCGTGTTCGTCTACGACTCCAAGCTGCCTCTTAACGGCTTCTCGGATCTAGGCGAGGAAGGCGCCTCCGTTATCGAGAGGATGAGCTCAAGCACTTGGCCCAAGTGCGTCGACGGCGATATCATCGTGATGCACGCCCGCAAGACAGGCCGCCACGTTGGCGGCTCCACCGACCTCGGCAGGCTTCGCACGGCCCTTTACGCAGCCGGCGTAAAAACAGGGTTTATACCCGCGGACCGCAGCCTGCAGTTCCTCTGGGTCCACAGCTTCCCCCTCTTCACCCCCGACGACGGAAAAGACCCGGGCCAGGGCGGCGCCGCCGGCTTCTCCGCCACCCACCATCCGTTCACCGCGCCCCAGACCGCCAAGGACGTGGACCTCCTCACGAAGGGCAATCCCCTCGCGGCGCGCGGCGACAGCTACGACCTCGTCGTCAACGGCATCGAGATCGGCGGCGGCAGCCGGCGTATCCACGTCGCCGAGCTGCAGCAGTACATCATGAAGGACGTGCTGCAGATGAGCAACGCGCGCATCGCCGACTTCGCCCACCTGCTCGAGGCCCTGCGCGCCGGCTGCCCCCCGCACGCCGGCTTCGCCCTCGGCTTCGACCGCCTCGTCACCGTCATGTTCGACTTGCCGTCCATCCGCGACGTCATGGCGTTTCCAAAGACCAACAAGGGCGAGGACGTCATGGTCGGCAGCCCGTCCAAGGTCACGCCCGAGCAGGAACAGCTCTACCATATTGCCCAGCACCCGCGCTTCAAGAAGAAGTCGCAGTCGGCGGGCGGCAAGGCGGAGGCGAAGCAGCAGCCTGAGGCCGAGACGGAGACCAGCAACCCCGCAGCTGATTCAACAACAGTAGCATCTCAGGAACCAGCACCTACGCCCGAAGAAAATCCAGAAGAAACCAAAATACTAGAGCAGCCCACGGAAGAGGAGGAAGCGGCTAAAGTCAAGTGATGGAAGGCACAGCGCGATGTCGATTTCCCCGGAAGTCGATGAGCTGTTGGAGAAGCAGGCTGCGCAGTTTAGGAATCGGGGGAGGGAGTAGGTACTGATACTGATACTGATACTGAAGAGATCGGTGCGCTGGGAGGGGAGGGAGGGAGGGAGGGACGTCCTGCGGGAAATAGAGGTGGGTGCCAAAAAAAAAAAAGGATTCGGAGGTTAAAGGAAGGGGAATTAGGAGGCTGGATAGAAAGGAGGGGGTTTGAAGGGCGTCTTTACGTCGGATATATGCCCAGGTCCCAGGTGTGTATAATAAATGGGTAGGTGTAGAATACGATACCACGAGAAAGAAAAGTTATATTTCAACTCCATCTACTTGTACCTACCCAGGTATACATATATGTTCTTCTCGATAATACTGATGCTTGGTGTATATGCATAGGCTGTGTATCTACATACCTATCTATGTATAAATATTCCAAGATCTACACATAGTACCTACCTAGTACCTGCCTACCTAAGCATATAGTTTTCTCACAAGTCACGACATGTGGTAAAGAATACCCACCATTGATTCCTATTGATCCAGTCGATAATACTTCAGAATGCCTACCCTTTTAAACCAAATATCGTGTCCCTGGTACCTGGGTACCTAGGTAGGTAGGTATGTAGCTTACCCCTATTCCACAACCACCCCATCAAATCGAAGGACATCGATGCAAAAAAAAAAAAAAAAAAACAGCACACAGCATCTATTCAAATAACATGTAAGAACTTTTAGGATAATAGTGTTCATGTGTAGGTATATATACCTATGTTCCAAAGCCAGGTAGGAAAACGCACAAACATAAATAGGTTAGATAGTCCGAGATATTCTGATACCCCCAAATACACACCCACCTATCAGATACACAATAAACCGACATCATATTAAAAGAAAACCACGAAAGCCCCCAAAAAGATATGAGTCATAAAAATAATCAAAACTGCCATTTCTCTAAACAGCTAGGTTAAAGGGTATCAATATTCGTGTATCTTTTTCTCTTTCTTTTTCTTTTCCGTCTTTCTCTCCCTTGCTGCCTTGAACCCCGGCCGATTCTATCACCAACACTTTCTACTCCAACGCCCCCTTTCATAAGTTCGTTTCGCCTACCCACTATCACTTGGGTAGGTACTGGCAGGACTGTTCATCAACCCAACTTCGACGGCCCACCTCCACCGCCGCGACCAACACTCTCCTGTGACTTCATACTCTCCTCCAGCGCGCGTCTCAGCTCCTCGTCCATGTCAACATCCCCACTAGCACCACCCTCAGCTCCCCTTGTTTTTCGGAACTCCGCTTCCGCAAGACTCTGTTTCTTGACGTATTCGAGTACAATGTCCTCTTCAGTGCGCAGCGACGAAGCCCGTGCCAAGTCCTCCCTGTGCGCTCGTTCCGACTCCTCGATAGCGCGACGTAGTTCTTCTTCGTCGTCGCCGCCGTTAGTATTTTGCTCGGCTTGGGAAGCCTCGATAGCTTTTCGAAGCTCCTCTTCTTCGTCAACGCCGTTGTTTTCAAGTTCCTTCTCCGAAATCTGAATTGCCTTCTTGTATTCCTCATCGTCTTCATCGTTTTCGTGACTAAGACTACGGTCTGTCTGAGATCGCACGAGAGCTTGCTTAAAGTCCTCATCCTCTTCGCTATCGTCAGAGTCAACTCTTCGCGTTCCTCTATGCTGCGAATCCGAGATACTAAGGGCTACCGCTTGTTCGATTAGGGCCTGGTACTCCTCATCCGTAATATCCAGTATATCCTCTGGCACATGAGCTGATCCCGGGGCATTCTTATTAGCTTCCTCTAGTACGGGTCGTTTAATGTCGGAAAGGTATCCAGAGTCCTGGGCGCTAGAGGCTCGGGAAGAGGCCGAGGCGAATGACTGCATTGTTGTTGATCGTCGCCTTATTGCTTGTACACTAGACCTGATGGCGTGCTCGATCCTGGAATCCTCGGTTGCATCTCCCTTAGAAGTTTCTCGTACAGCAGTCAGAATCGCTTGCTCGAACTCGTCGTCATGTTGATTTGCACCATTATGGCCAGAAACGGGACGAACCTCTTCAATAAATGTCCCGCCTCTCGCGGCCGCTCCTGCTCGTTCATCTTTCCACGACTTTTTCTGTTCGTGCAACCGCGCACGTTCTGCTGGAGTCATATTCCACGAATTTCGCCAACCCGGCCTTTGTTCGTTAGTCGCAATGCGCTCCGTGATAGTAGCACCATGTTCCTGTGGAGCCGGAGATTCTTCCTTGGCTTTCCCCTTTTCTTTCTGTTTCCAAGAATAGAAGCTCTTCATCTTTTCTTTCTGGGCAATCCATCGAACTTCAATATCCTCGCGTTCCTGTGGTGATGCTTCGTTGAAATCATGCTGGCCTTGAGCAATCCGGGAAGCGATAATATATTTCTGAGCACTTTGGGCGAATAAGCTCCGAATTTCTGCGTGGACACCCTGCATGGTGTATGCTGGAATGGACCATAAAGCTATAATACCCGTTAGTCCTTTGCCCCATTAGTGGTATAATTGTTAACTCACCCGCTGCGGGCTTCAGCATAAAGCCTCCAATACCCTTGCTGAACCCTTTCAATAATCCCATGCCACCGTCCTTTTCTGCGCCTCGGATGGGCTGAGTCACCAAACCAGTGATTCCATCAAAGATTCCGAACCCGAATTCTTTTCCGGCAACCTTCAGGCCGCTGGTGAAACTGGTGACCTTTTCCACAGGACGAACAGTATCATCATTATATAGGGTTGGTGCATTCCGGAAGCCTCTTGCGAGCCCTAAGCAAAAGTTCATGGGACTCTTCATACCAGTCGCCACAATATTGTTAAGACTCCTACCAGCACCGAGAGCTCTCTCTAAGTTCTCGTTCTTGCTGCCAGCACGTTGGTGGGAGGCAGGATTTGACTCCGAAGGTGTCCTCGAGTGCCCCGAAGTACCCGAAGCAGGTGCCAGACTAGGTTGACTACTATTAATCTCAGGTTGCATGCCTAGGGCATTCGACGATGCACTACCTCCGGAGGATTGAGGCAATGTCGCAGTTGAGCCTGCTCGGCTTGCACGAGTAAGTGCATTGCTATCGCCGTCTTGTGAAGTCTCTGCAGATGGGTCTTCCACTAATTTCTCTGTCGATTTGCCTTTACCTCTTGCGGCTTTGAAAACATCTCGGGGAAAGTCTGCTGCGGACATGGCAATAGTACTAAAATCACCCACAAGCGCCGACGTACACGCTGAAATAGGATCTGTCGGATGGTCCTCGGTACTGTATTCGTTTGCGCGAAATCTAGAGTGCAGAATTAGCAAACCAAACCATACTGCCACGGAAAAGGGAAACTTGGACTCACAGCTTCAGGTCAGAGTACCGAAGATATCCGTGTTTCACAAGAACTGCTGCTGCCAACTGGCTAAGATGGACGTGGGTGCGTCGTAGTCGCCACACAGCAACCCGACTGGGAGCTAAAGCACAGCGGAGCCTGTCTACCTTGAGAAATTTGTGAAAGCTCTGGGCTCCAACGTCAGTGCCCTTTTCTTCCCTTATTCTTCGTCCCAATTCACGAGCTCTCTCCAGGGTTTCTGGTTTAGTCGCGAATTTAATAGCCTCGGCTAGATTGTCGGCAGTAAGTCTCTTGTAAGGGATAGGGTCAGGCCCAGCGCCGGCCCTGGCTACCATAGCACCCCAGAAAGGTTGATCTCCGAAGAAGGGCACGACGATGGTAGGCTTCCCTGCATTAATTCCTGCAGCTGTAGTTCCGGCACCTCCGTGATGGCAAACGGCTGAGACGTGCTGGAACAGCCAGTCATGAGGAACATTTCCCAGCATATAAACGCCACCCGGAATGCCGACTGAGTCTGCTCCTAAACCACCCCACCCTTTCGAAACAAGAGCTCGACATCCAGTCTCTGCAACCGCATCGAAAATCGTTCGAGTGAGGGCGTTGGGGTCATCCACGACAATGGAGCCAAATCCAATGTAGACAGGGGGCGGTCCTGCCTCGAGAAACGCTGCCAATTCGGGATCTGGTACATAAGATGATGCTAGGTTCAAAAAGTAGAATCCAGCAACATCGATGTGTTGGCCCCAATCGTTCGGTTTAGGGATCAGAGCCGGAGACCTATGTTATGTATGAGAGCTACGTTACACCTCGGAGTAATGACAGTTGAACTCACCAGCAATAAGTGTAGGGGATTTGGAGACGAGTTAATAGAGCGGGTGCCCAGATGATAGAGAGGGGCTCAAGATCAAGAATCTTCGTCCGGAACCGATTGATTACGTCTCCGAGTCCCTGCCATGTCATCATTTCCACCAATGTGTAGGAAAGGAAATTCGTGGTTACCGGGTCCGTGTTCGAAGACTGAATGTTTGCCAGCGGTTGTGGAAATGCCCTTGTAGGTGACCAAGGCATGCTGATAATTGATCAGTAAAAAAGGTATTCTCACAGATGTAAGATACTTACGTGAACATCAAGTGCAGAGGCACTCCTAGCTTTTCTGCCACGTGGATATGGGCAAAACTCGGCGGGTTTGCTATGATAGCATCTGCAACAAACGGCTTATGCCCTGAACTCTCAACTGAGATGTCTATAATTGGGTCCGAATCGTCTTCTTTGCCTTCTTTGCTTCGACGGTCGAATCGTGGTGGTGGGCCAGTGCCATCTCCCGTCTCTATACAAGACCTCCAGCAACCGAGAACAATATCTTCGATACCCTTCCTTCGTTTGGCGATCTCTCCGCTTTTAAGCGCATCAATACCGGGCATTAGTCCTGGATTCTTCACCATAAAGGCCATAAGCTCAGCAGGGTCACCTCCAATGTTGAAAAACTCTAGGCCGTTCTCTTCAACAAACTTCTGGAAAGTGCCGTGCGTAGCCACTCTGACCCTATGGCCATATGTATTCTTGAGGACGAGCCCTAGTGCAATAAAGGGCTGTACATCACCCCGTGATCCTACAATTTGAATGACGACATTTAATCGAGGTGGAGGGGTCTGGCCAGGTAAGCCACCCAAACTAGGTGGAATGTAGGCAGGTGGCAAAGGCTCAACCTCAGCATCTTGTTTTAGCTGAGTGCGCAAGGCTGGAGCGAGAATGTCTGCCAAAAGCCGGCTCGTCTGGTTGATGTTGATGTCGACTCGGCCGTCATCTATTCATCTTGGTAAGTTACCACAAATATTCACAAAGCTAAGTCAAGCAAATAAAGTAAACCTACCCGTAACAGCAGCTCCAGCGTCGAAACCTGCTTGGTGAAGAGAGAATTGATCGTGATGCTCGCTATACGCTGGAGGAGCATCCTCATCGACAAGTATAGGATCATCTGGGATTAGAGAGATGCTGTTTGCATTGCGGCTATCGGTCATGACGACATCTGGAGCGGCCCTGTTTGAAGGCGCAACAGGAGGAGGAGGAGGGACATTTGAAGGGGCGATATCTGGTGTGACAAGCTCTGGAGCGTCACTGAAGGAAGTACGAGGAACACTTGGTGGAGGACGAGTGGCAGGAACAGCCTTGCGACGTATACCAGCTTTCTTCTCGTCGATGAGCGTCATGACTGTAAGTATAGATGATCAAGACGACAACATGGAACAAAATCTACTAAAAAAACAAATTTGTAAAGAAGTAAAGATGTAAAGATAGCGAAGCTTGAAAAAAAAAGAAAAAAGAACTTGGGGTATCGAGCTGTGACGTAGGTATAATAAGAGGGGTGAATGACTAAGGAGGGAGGGGCATCAGTATTACATCAAGCAATGCCAAACAGGTATTTCCTTTGAAGTTATAGATCTATGAACTTTCTTGAGAATCTTGACAAGAAAAGTTTAGGGACGTATCATAGGAAGAAGGAAGGTAAGTGAATGGCATCTGGCTGGAATTTATCGAGTTATATCGCTCGGGCGCACTATCAAAAGTAAGGTGTCATTGGTCGATCGAGAAGCTTTTCGTGCCGCTGATTAGGATGCCACTTATTCGTGGGTACAGCAGTGCCAAGAAGGCATGACAGGAAGGCTGCTACTCTGCACCGTCGATTTGAATGGCAGAAGTGGGTGCCTTTGGGGGGCGTAGTGTGTCTAGGATCATTGAGACTTGTAACTACTAACCTACTATGTACAGCACTGAGGTATCTTAAACCATGTAGGTATTATACATACTAATATGTGATAGTACCTTCTACAGTCTGGTACACATCATGATGCATGTACATATGCAGTTCGCGATTATCGCATGGCAAGCGAATCTCGGGCCGTATTCAGCCTCCGCACTCAGGTCTGTTTTATATCGCCAGTGAAAAGTGGTGACGACGACTAGGGAGTTATAATGTGAGTACATTTCTGCAAGTTTCATCAAGACACAGCCTTTTTCTCATAGGCCTGATATCACAACATGAGAGAAAAGGTTGCGTGGCCTAGTACACTGGTTTATGTTGCACGAAGGATTTAAGGAATGCGATTGTAAGAGTATGGTTGGTTTGATGATGAGCTGAGAAGTGGGACATCTGAATTCAACCTTGAACCAGCAAAGGGCGTGGGGTCCAGACTAATCCATGCAAGTGGGGTCATGTAGCTTACACGCAGACTACCTAGTACCTAGTACATAGTATGTGCCTAAGTACAGTAAACCTTGGCCATAACGATTCGGTAGACAACGATATTTTTGTATAACGATATAATTTTGGGAACATTGCAATTTTGTATGGGAAATAACGATATTTTAACCTTAGCGATATATCGTTAATTTTTTGACCGCCACCACCAAGATCGTTATGGACCATGTGTAAAAAACCGTTTATTTGATAAATTTTTGGTGGAATAAGTGGAATTTTGCGTTTGGTAGCCAATTGGACTGTCCTTTTTTCAGGTAAATCTAATCACCGCCACGATATCTAATCGCCGAAAAATTGGCTTACTGCATAATATCTATTGTACAATATTTTTCATAAAATAGTAAGTACCTTTTCCAATAAAATGGCAGTAAAGGTACAACGGCATTACACGGACCATGACAGTGGGTCCATCTCTACATAACGATACCTCTCTATAACGAATTAAGAGTGGTGTTTTTTCCATATCGTTATGGCCAAGGTTTACTGTACTATACATAGTGTAGACGCTGTGCTGTGTGTACCATGGAATCCCCTGTAAATGACGACTTGTAGCCTATGTATAGACCTGTGGCTATGCAGCTCAGCCTTATTGGGTCTTGGAACCCTGGCTGGCAGGTGCCAATGTAGTGCATACATAGAAGTAACTAGCCAGTAATGTGAGGTAAACTTTGATTTCTTAAATTCAGTTCTTCACAGAGAGCGGCGAGGTAGTAGCCTAATTACACAAACCCAACATACATACAATATATATAGTATGGCGTATTATGATAAATACTGGCGGTGGTTGTGATGGACGCCAAAGGTTCTATGTTGTATTGTATGTACATACAAAGTAGTTACATAGGTCTACGGTACTGCCACCTGTCGGTTACGTAACCCAAACGGGTTCAGGCGGTGTTATATCCTAATTTCGCTCTTCATCGCATTGGAATCCTATACGCGTATTAGGACAATTTTCCTACTTTGGGTATGAGAAATGATAGTGCATATAAGGAGACCCCGACATCATAGCACGATGGTGTTTTAACTTCGACGATGCGATCCAACCATAATATGTACCGTCTTATCTTGCAGTGAGGGTCGGGAGTCTCCGTTTTCAACCCACCTAACTTTGTCCGGGCCTCATACTTTTTTTAGGCTCAAATAATATGTCCCTGCGTTAAGTGTTGATGATAGCCGAGAATGATTCCATCCATATTAATGAATGACCATGAGAAGACCCACCGATAGACTTCAGTATTTACACAGTGGATGACTTGTGTTAGAAATCGAAAGCTCCCTGCAATGTGTACCGACCAGAGAATCAGCTAATTTTCAAATATAATAGGGGAAAAAGATGCATATGAGCATGGGGTCATATCTTTGGTGGCGTTAATATACACACCACAGTTTTCTGAACTTTCGTGGATGACAATAAGGGGGTGCGTTTTTCTCTATCACGGCAGGAAATACGGCGAAACACCTTGAGTCCGACGGCGTTGTTGATAAACGCCGGTGGCAACTTTCTTCTAGGTATCTGGTTACCGTTATAAATCCAGGGAGCTTGCTATCTTTGACATTGCTAGCAGCTTGAAGGGAATGCTTCAATGCTTTCATTGAAATTCTTGCACTCTTAAGTCATTGGGAGGCACGGTTCTTGTGTGGATCTAGAGGCCTACCAGAAATGCCTACCGGTAATCAGATATCTACCTGCTACCTACATAACAGTCATTCGCCTACATAGATTACTCAGACACATACCTACCCTGTTAGGAAGAGAGATTTAAGTATCACATGCTTGATAGACATAGACACTATTGCGATAGATAGAAGGTCAGGCCACCTCCCTATGCATAGGACCACTGCTCACACGAGACCATCTCCCATCCAGAGAAGAAACGATAGCGTCCCGCCACAATAGCTCTCCTTGTTGCATGGAATATTGGTTTTATCTCGTCTCAATTAAGGCAAAGAAACTTTTGCGCAAACCTGCCAGTATTTGATATGTTACAGAGACCAGTCGACAAGAACCCGAGTGATGATTCCAGACTGGTGAACGAGGTTTGTTCAACATCACTACTGATGTCAATGATGTCCTGCCTCCACCGACCGTCCCCGCTGCGCATCCAGATGAGAGTCGCAGTTGCTTATCACCGCGCCATCCCTATTGGCCACGCAACGCCGACACCCTTATTAAGACACCAATCCAATCATCACCGCCCATTTAGTTTGAGAATCGTCGAGTAATCTTCGCAATAACTGCAAGGTATATCAGTATTCGCGCGCTTCCAAAAGTACAATAAAGCAAGGTTGACATACCGTGTAAAGCAACAACACTGAAGATGAAGACTAGGGAAAGAACCAAAACGACAACGGGATCAACCTTCAGGCCAGGGGATTCGTCCGTGTAAAGTCCTAAACAAGGTTAATAATGTCCCCCTTATAGAAAACTTATATTAGACATACTCAGCATCGTGCTGCTGCTACCGCCAGCACCCGCGGCTCTGGTGCTGCTCGGTCGTGCATTGGCGATCTTCTCCTTCTGATCAGCGGCAGCTCTTCGTCGAATGGCAGTTCGTGCGCCTCCAGGGGGGACGGGAGATGAAGGTCGGCCGGTGCTCGAGCCAGTGGCGGCCGGCGAGTTAGCGGGAGATGATGCTCGTGGAGAAGACTATACATATTCCATTGATGTTAGCACAAAGAAATCCAAGTAAAGGTGGACAGGTAGGCTATCAATGGATCATTCATAAAGCGCAACAAGCATCAATATCAAAGATTGACATTGGCACCTGCGAAATGAATTGGGTTGCAGTTATTAAACATACCATTGCGAAACGAGAACCAAAGGATAACTGAGAAATCAAGAAGAATGATGAATGAAGAAGGGATCCTCTTCGTAAAGTTGAATGATTAGGAGTTGAATGAATGTACTATGTAGATGAAAAAGTTAAGGTAGCGTCGCGCGTAGAAATTGAATTATGGTCATTAAGGAGCAACCTGTCACTGAGCTGTCTCCAAAAAATCCGGGGTTCAATTGAGGCCACGATTTTGGTAAGCTCGGACCTTCAAAGATAGAAACAGGGGGTGGATATTTGGTTTCTCCGAGTTCCCGGTTCTTTGCCAAGTTTTACTGCTAGGCCCGGGTAGATAACGTCAGATGGCGTCAGACTGCAAGCCACAGTAGACCATCAAAAGTGTAAAGCCACAAATAACTAAGCTCGGGGCTAGACATGTGAAGATCAGGAGTGGATTACTGTACCAAGACCGTACATGAACCCCTCCATGTTTTCTTTCTCTCACTTTGCGACCCTTCCAGTCATCCGTGGTGTTTGTGATGTGGGGTGACGCATCCTGCGATCTACAACCTGCAACCTGCAAACTGCAAACTGCAAACTGCAACCCAGACGACATATTCTCGAACTAGACATATAAGGCTAGCCAATGAACTGAGCTATTTTCTCTATTTTCTATGTTTCGTTCTAACTTCTCAGTTTGCATTAATGAATTTGAATTTCTGGATATGAAAGACGAAAGAGAGTTGTAGAATAAGAAAGTCCAAGAAGCGCCATTTAGCAGCATATAAATCACATAGCTAGCCGGTACCCCGTAAGGAATAAATACACGCACCAGTCTCACCCAGCGCTCGCAACATTCCCTCACTACCTCCTCCCACTTCACATCATCTCTCAAAACATACGATCACTATGGATTTCGACTGGTCGACACCTTTCCCGGAGGGAGTCATATCCTTCCTCGATACCGATCTATACAAGCTCACTATGCAATGTGCTGTCTTCAAATACTATAATGACGTCCCTGTTACATATGCCTTTACCAACCGTACTCCCGAGAAGAAACTATCGCGCAAGGCTTTCTCATGGCTCTGCGACCAGATTAGCAGTAAGCACCTCTCCAAAATCAGTTTGGCGCATTCCATTACTGATCCTATTACTGACTGGTGTGGTTTAAATCAATATAGAGCTTGGCAACATCTCCTTATCCGACGATGAGCTCCGATATCTGCAAACGCATTGCAAATATTTATCGGCCCCCTATCTTAACTTTTTGAAGGAATTCCGACTGAAGCCTCGTGAACAACTGAATCCCACCTTCCATGCCGTAGGTGCAGATACTGGAGCCGAAGATGAACTGGGCGACATCCATATCCAAATCAGCGGCAAATGGGTAGATACCATCCTTTACGAGATCCCGCTGCTTGCCTTAACATCTGAGGCATACTTCAAGTTTATGGACACAGACTGGAATTACGACAATCAAGAAGACAAGGCGTATGACAAGGGTAAGCGGCTTCTTGAAGCGGGGTGTGTATTCTCCGAGTTCGGCACGCGTAGACGACGAGATTATCACACCCAAGCATTAGTCTTCAGGGGGCTCGTAAAGGCTAGTAAAGATGCGGAGAAGCGCGGCTTAACCGGCCAACTTTCAGGCACCAGCAACGTCCACCTAGCTATGCGATTCAACTTACCACCAGTCGGAACCGTTGCGCATGAGTGGTTTATGGGACTCGCCGCTATCACGAATGACTACGCAATAGCAACCGAGGAAGCTTTGCGCCACTGGGTTGGCTGCTTTGGAGAGGGTGTATTGGGAATTGCTCTGACCGATACATTCGGCACTCCGAGCTTTTTGGAGGCGTTTGGGAAACCGATCAGATATCTTCCCGACACCCCAAACCTCCCACTTCTAGATGATGGGGCCCAACCTACCACTTCATCTCGGACCTATGCAGAAGTCTATGCCGGTGTACGTCAAGACTCGGGCGATCCAGCGACCTTCGTTAAATTGATGCGTGAATTTTATGAGAGCCATGGCATCAAGGAAAAGAAGACGATCGTGTTCTCTGACTCGCTAGACATCGACAAATGCATTGAGTACAAGCGGGTATCCGACGAGCAAGGCTTTCAACCAACTTTTGGTGTTGGCACCTTCCTGACTAACGACTTCATTCAACTGAGCACTGGGAAGAAATCAGTTCCACTTAATATTGTCATCAAGCTAAGCTCCGCGGCTGGGAATCCTGCTATCAAAATTAGCGACAATATTGGGAAGAATACAGGCGACTCATCCAAAGTCGCAGAAGTCAAGAAATTCTTAGGCTATGTAGAAAAGGATTGGGCAGAAGGCGATGAGACGTCGAGATGGGGAAAGGCCGATGATGTTACTAAGCCATAAATAGCGGGATCTTGCAACTAACGTAGACGGACTTCGCGGCACGAGTCAGTAGCCACGTTGATAAATATGTTGTTTCCGGGGTAGTTAGAAAGACGGCATCGCCACTCGGACTATCCGAGTCGCGCTCTTATTCCCGCCTGGCCATAACTGGTGGTGGACTGCTGGTGTTATGTATTAGACTCCATGGATATATCAATTTTTGGGCATTTACTATACTGGCGTTGCCGGCGGCCACCCGGATGAATGACCCCAGTATAGAAACTCAATAGAATTACCTACGTAATTGACTAGTTTGGAGCAATCTGGGGATCGTGTAGAGTATGATTTCCCCTAAAACATATAAAGGAGGCTTCTCGCGGACAAGTCTCGTGGCGAGTTTTTCGCTATTTTATTGTATACCAGAGAAAACATAACTCAATCATAAGTCTTTCACTTACCTCGTATACTATTATATTACATTCTTTAATTACCTTCGCTTTCGAATGACTCGACTTTCGTTCAGCATTTTCTGGGTGTCTACGATCATATCCCTCGCTTATGGCGCCTTCAACATATCCGGCAAGAATAATGTTGCTGTCTACTACGTATGAACCCCTTTTACTTCGCACCAAGTAAGCAGCATCGTGTTTCGGGGTTCCATTACTCACCATGATCAATGACAACAGGGCCAAGGCGCAAGCCAACAGTCGCTAGGCACATACTGCGCCGACCCGAACATCGACGTCATCATCCTCTCGTTCGTGAACCTCTTCCCGGCCCAAGCCAACGGCTTCCCGGGCCTCAACTTCGGCAACCAGTGCGGCTCGACCGTGTATCCGGGCCCCGGCTACAACGGCTCCACCAACGCGACCACCAACGCGCTGTACCAGTGCCCCAACATCCAGCGCGACCTCTACACCTGCCGGCAAACCGCCCCCAACAAAAAATTCCTCCTCTCCCTCGGCGGCGAAACCCCGCAGTACCAGCTCACCGGCAGCCCCGACGGCACCAGCTTCGCCAACCTCCTCTGGGGCCTCTTCGGCCCGCGCACCGCAGCCTGGGTCGCCGCCTCCCAGCCCCGCCCCTTCGACTACAACGGCGTCCCCTTCGCCGTCGACGGCTTCGACCTCGACATCGAACACCCCCCCACCGACGGCTGGGCGGGGTACACCGCGCTGGCGACGCAGCTGCGCGCGAACTTCGGCGCCGGCGCGGGGTCGAGCTACCTCCTGACGGCGTCCCCGCAGTGCGTGGTCCCCGACGCGAACCTGTACGGCGTGCTGCAGCGCGCGGTGTTCGACGTGCTGTTCGTGCAGTACTACAACACGCCGCAGTGCAGCGCCGCGAGCTGGGTGGGCGCGAACCCGGGCTACGTGCCCGGCGCCGCGAGCTTCAACGGCGCGGGGTTCACGTTTGACGCGTGGACGTCGTGGCTCGCGGGCACGCCGAGCAAGAACGCGCGTCTGTTCGTCGGGCTGCCCGGGTCCGCGCAGGCGGCGAGCGCGGCGTCGGTGGTGACGCCCGCGGGGGCGCTGAGCCTGGGGAGCGCGTTCTTCTGCCGGGCGAACTTCGGCGGGTTCGCGGTGTGGGAGGCGACGTATGGGGCGAGCAATGTGGTGGGCGGGCTGAACTTCCAGGATAATATGAAGAAGAATTTGAATGTGTCGGGGGCGGACACGAGGTTGGCGTGTGTGGTGAGTTTGTCTTTGCTTTGTTTGCTCCCTTGCGTGGGGGAAAGGGGCGTGCTGACCTATTAATAGATCCCGGTGGCGAGTAGCACTAGCTCTAGCTCGTCGAGCTCAACGTCCACGAGTTCGTCCATAACTTCATCTCCGACTAAGTCGACTTCGTCTTCTACCCAGACGGCGAGTAGTAGTACCAGTAGTACTCCGGCAATCTCAACCAACAACCGTTGTGGAAAGGGGTTCGGCACCGCGTGCGGGTCTGGGATGTGCTGTAGTCAGTATAGCTATTGCGGTACTGGAAGCACGTACTGCGGCACGGGATGTCAGAAAGGGTTCGGGACGTGTACCTAGGCTACCTAGGTAGTTTAGCTCAGGGTTCGGACCAACCCAACTACATCTCCGACCCCCTCTGGTGTAGTTGGGTTGGTTATAATACACGACCACCTCCGGTGTAGTGTATACACGACCCCCTCTGGTGTATTACACTTACGAAAATTGCTGGTGTACATTAAAAGCGGGGCAAAAGCGCTCGCAAAATGAGGCTATTTTACCTACCTAAAGTATCATCTCGTGATAAAGTTTGGTGTTTTGGCTATGACGTAATTGCCAACCTGTTGAAGGTATCGCGAGCGCCACTGTCGCCATAAATGAAGATATCATTGTAAATGAAGATATCATTGATGATGATTGAAAATGATTGTTTAATGGGCAGATGCTTAGGCTTATATATGACAAGAAGGGAGGTTTACTGATTAGAAAGACCTGAAAGGGCTTGAGTGTTTGATTTTTGTGATTGGCTAATTTAATCAAAAAGGAACGGGCGTTGAATATCAAACGCGTTGAATACAATCAGTAAGTGGGACTTTTCAGAAATTTGAGGGCAAATCTCACGATATTTCCTTAGGTCTCGGGCCATCCCAGCCTTCTTTTAATATTTCAGCCTTACTGTTAGTGTTTACACCAAAAATACTAGTAAACACTAACAGTGGCTGTGCCCTGTGGCTTGGGTGGCTGGTATCCACTATAAATACACGTTATTACACCCAATCCAACTACACGGGACATAAAAGTGTAATTGGGTGGATTTAGAAAGTGGGTCTGGTGTAGTTGGATTGGGTTGGATGTAATACACTTGGTGTACACCGGTGTAATAGCGTGTAGTTGGTCCGAACCCTGGTTTAGCTTGTGCTTGTGGCAGATGAGGCATGGCTGTGTGTCAATGGGAGATATTATGATTGGACTGAGATAGATGATTGTAAGAATAAATGATAACGATATTTATATTGATGAGTGTATGAACTCTTGTAGCCAACGCGCAAGTCTTTTTGTGTTGATAGCATGTTGAGGTGCAAGTATCAGATAGTCATGATTAAAGCACGAAGGACAAGCGTATGTAGTGAGTGAGGAGGATTGAAACGTACCATATCAGATTATCAAACTGGTCGGTAAATAAATATAAGAATATGCAACTGAGTTACTAGATTGGTTATTTACGTTGGCTGCCTACCTAGTATGTAGTACCTAGTAGTTAATGAGGTGGGTAGGTACATGAGCATTTTATTAAATTTACATTTATCCCATATTTTGTGTGAGCAATTGAATTGTTAGGTATCTATATAAGTTCATGTGCTGGAAGCACTGGAATATGTACCGATGTATGGTATGGTAAGTATATTCTAGGAGTCGAGAAAAAAAATACAAAAAAATGGGGGATCTGCTCGAATTGTGCCTTCGTAGGGGGGCATGAGAGATAGTTCGCTCTCAGTCAGAGGTAGCTACCAGTCCTCATCACCCCAGATTCTCCAGGGCTCTTACTGGCAACGACATTCATTTAATCTATTTAAACTCATTCGTCCACCAAGTTGGCTCGGTGGGGCAATCAAATTCGAGCTGTGGTAAAGAAAAGCTGCCCTCCCTCGGAGTCGAACCCCAAGTCTGTTGGCCGAAGTCTGCAGACGAAGGGTTGACGCCTTAACCACTAGGCCAAATGACCCCGAGGAGTGGCAGCTCTTTCTACCTAGGTGATAGAATGCTCTCTTACGGGAACCTATAAGCCTTACTTGCAGGATGCCTACGCACCTAGGTACCTTATGATACAGTGTCGACAGTGTCGTTTACCATACAACTCACAACCTGGTACTGGGTACCATCCGACAATTTACCTCTAGGGCTATTCCCTGGGTGCTACTAGGTACTACTAATAGTATTCCCAGTTGATAGCAATTTCTTGCCATTTACACACAACATTAGGATATTTGGTATCAACCTGTCGCAGGATAAGATTCTCGAAGTATAGTATAGGCACACATGCAGTGTTCTGGGTGCTTTTTCGAACACATTTCTCAACTCCAACTTATATATAAAGTGCCTACGCATTTATTGATGTCACTACTACTTTGAGCATTTGCTCATGGTACAACATTGCATGCCAACACTTACTTGAGGCCGAGGCCTCACGTTGCTTAAGAAAGGCTAAGCTACATATCTGTAGATTTGTCTTCTAGCCTTTTTTAGGCGTGTCTCTAATTAATATTGGGATACAGTATAATTTGTATGATAGCAAGATCGGGAAGACGGTATCTACGAAGTTTATTTGCATTGAGCATGATTCAATTCCACCACTGGGTATTGTTGCTTCTTAGTGGAAACGAAGCGTCAGTTCCATCGGTTCCCCGAGTACCGGCTCGTTTGTGCCATCGCCACTTATCTCGGATGTTTCATCCTTATCCTCTTCCATATGATCTCCGTCTTCTTCCATATAATCTTCGCCTTCGTCCATGTGATAATCCTCTTCTTCCATATAATCTCCGTCTTCTTCCATATAATCTTCACCTTCGTCCATGTGATAATCCTCTTCTTCCATTTCCTCATCTCTGGTGTCATGGCCAGTCTCCACAATTGGGCCTTCCACGTCCATAGGGTCACCTATATCCGTATTTTCATCAATGCCCATGTCTTCTTGACTCGTCTGTACGCCTTTGGTGCCTTCGAAGAAACGTGCTGACGTGGCGTTGGCAGATCCCTCATTATCCGAGTCATCCGTCCACTTGGGGTAATACACTTCTCGGATGTTCGAATTGTGGCCATATAATCTGATAATAGCCCCGGTAAACTTATCGACTACCTCATCAGTACCACCCCAGAAGCGCTTTCCATACCACTCTGGAATCTCGGCGCGGGGGATTTCCATCTCCTCAAAGAAGTCAATCGCGTCATGGAATAGGCGTCGTCCAGAGATGACCCTAACAGAGAAGGTATATAATTCGTGTCCGGTGGTAAGCTTGGCCCATCTAGAACTAGTTCGAGCACCAACGTTGGCCCAGAATTCTGCAGGGTCGTCCAATTCCGCACAGAGATTTGCGAGTTTCGCTGCTGTATCGAAGAGATCAGAGATATTATCGGAGACACATTTGGTGTCCACATATTGTCCAGCTTGTCTCATTGATTTGTAGATGAGACCCGAGTTCTTGTTTGTGATGAGGAGGTTCTGGCCTTTTGTTACCCATCGGAAGCCGTCCTCGGGGAGAAGGGTAATGAATCGAGGCTTAGACATCTGAGAGTTAGGTAGTTAGTTAGAAGGTTACATACATTAGGGTAACAGGACGTTTTCATACCTTGATGTTCTTGGAACTTCCCTTAAAAGACACTTGCCGATTCGATTTCTCGTAGGCTCGTTGTAATGCAATGCGGAGAGTTGGAGGGAAATATTGACTGCTGATGGAAGAACGCAATATTGTTTAGAGATGGGGATGTGGATGTTAAAGTTGGAATTTGTTTACGATGGCGGAGTTGTTGAAAGTTGAATCAAAGCGTGTAGTTGGGTAGTGAAGTTGGTGGTTAAGTTGAAGTAAAAATAGTGTGTAATTATTAGTTAAATATGGGTGAGTTTCTTGGGGGGTATTTGGCTATATAATTTCACTTGGAAGAAGCTAAAACTTTGAAGGTCAGTCCTAGGCTAGGTAATTACTATAAATACTTACGACGCTTAGGAGTAACCTGGGCAAGTACTGTGACGAGTTGCCTGAGGTTGAAATAGAGCATCTGATATTAATAGCTAATGTACCTCAGGCACCTGATAATCGAAATATTGTTGGTACAAAATATATGCCTAAGGAAATATCTAAATACCTGCTTGCAAGCATTCTGCCTTTGGCGTAGGGGTATTTTTCCAACATCTTCTTGGATGCTCTTTTCGTACAGGAAACCAGCTATAATTAAGTGGTGGAGGTGCTTTACCCATTATTCTTCTCACTTTTATAAATACCTAGATCCCATAATGTTTGTGTAGAACGGACCGGATGGTACAAGGTACAAGGTAAGTCATATCTCCGCCCCTTTTACTACACACACACGCACACAGAAAATGGGAAAAGGGAAAAGGGAAAAGGGTATTTCTAATTCATGTAAGAATCTTGTTGTTATTATTGTTGGCCATATGAATCAAGCTGATTAGTTGGCCTCTATATGTCTTAACCAACATTGGTTATTTTCAGAATAGGGGTTGGTTAGTACGCTAATAAATCACGTGCGTTAGCTAACCTGCTGGGCATTTTACGCACAGTCACGTGTCTATCTTAACCTCATGGCATACAAGTTAAGGCTTTCTTTTATGACTACGCTATAAAATACATTCGCTTCTTTGTTTCCCAGTTAATTTAGCCAAACTAGCATATATGTATCTAACTGCGGCACTTCTTAACATATTATGGTTTGTACTTTGAAAGTACCCTAACTACATAGCATTCCCATGTGATTATCTGGCGAGGCGAAACTTACAAGACGCACAACAAGATTGATGTTGCGCTGGGGACATCGACCATATCTTTGGATCTACTTTTCGGGGTACATAAGCATAGGTATAGCCCTCCTCGTTCCAAGTAGCCTCCTATGTAGCCTTCGCTGCCCTCCTGGCAGACTCTTGCTACTCACCGCAAGTACTCACTTCAAGTACCAATTTAGCAAATTACCATGTATCACCCTTATTTACGCAGAACTCTACTAAGTGTGAAGTTCTACACTTTTTACCTTCACCATGAGGTGCTATAGTTACCATTAGTTCACAACATGGACAGAAAAGTACCTCTCGGCTCTAGGCTTCACAGTGCATTTACGAGCTTAGAACCTGGCCTTGACTCAAGGCTGCAACTATGTATTGTTTACCGAAGATCAGAGGCCCAGAGAGCTTTCGACCGATAGCTGACTCAAGACCGTAGTCCCGTGATACCCATCGCGTAAACACGTTTGGTATGCTGTGAGGAGTTTATGTTTGCAGTTGGAACAAACTCATTGGATTGAATAAAATCTGCATCAAATATCGCTAAGATCTAGCAATCCTATGCGAAATTAAATATTCGACCCCAAAGGGTACCACGTCCGAGAGACCTCACGAAGTAGTCATCTGATAGCCTAAGGGGGCTGCCTGCTCCTCCTGCTCCCTTATATCATAAATAAGTCTATGTATCTCTTAGATCCGATTCACATGTACTAGTAGCCCCGTAATTGTAGTTCATGGAGGAATCCTATGTTACTCATAATACCATGTACCTTGTAGCTATTCCAACCTCATGAAACCACTCACACTTTTGGCATTGCTGAACAGTCACACCCAAATTTACATATATGCATTCTTTCAGAACTCCTTGGCAATATATCTCCCACCAAGTTGACTTATCGTTGCCTTGTTACCTTGAGCCCTTTGAAACTCATACAACATAACGACAGTGAGGCACAAGCTATCTTGATTTGCTTTGGTGGATGAACCTGATTTACCTGGCTTTATGTTACCAGATCTACAGCCTTGGCCAAAAGTATTCTGCCACTTGTTGTCCAGATAGGATATACAGGTACCCAAGCAGTTCAGCATACTATTTACATGTCTGCCTCCCCAAGACCAGTCTATCTTTCTTTTTATTGAGAAATAGCACGGACATTGCGTATTATTTCCGTCATTTGTCTTATTGAGATCCTGCTCCTGGGCTTTGCACCAGTTTTCAACTTGATTCTGTGGTAAGCACTGAAGGCAACCACAAATACCAAATAGGAGAGTATCTAACCACTTCAGTATATGAAAATCGTTCCGAATGACGCTATTCTGAATCCGCATTCTATACTTCTGAAGCACGATACACGATACACGATACTTGAGAATACCTTCTATACGTCCGGTCAAGCCGTCAACACTCTTTCGTGATCACCAGCAATAAATACTCAGCCCTATATATCCTCCAAGTACACACATTCCGAAAATTTCTTTCCTCTTCAGTTACATTCGTCTCCTAAAATGTACGGTCTTCAGCATCATATATATTTAGAGCCAGAAAGCTAATGCTGCCCATAGCCCATAAACCCAACATTACTCGCTTCCTTTTAAGATGCCTTCAGCTCCTAGGGCTCTAGTTAGGGGCCTCAATACTGGCCTCCCAGGTGAAAGAAGGTGGATTATCCACCCGAACCCGTCACTCCACCTATTTGAACCCTTCGAAACCAATAGGCCCGTATTGGAAGTCCTAGAGAGGAACACTAGCTATCGTGCGAATGCGTTAAAGAAACGATCGAGAGAGGACCTCAAGAAAGACTTGAGGAAGCGACTTCTAGAATACGTGCCCACGATCAACGTGGAGCTCGCTTTTCTGAGAATCGTCGAGACAGACAATCGTCCTCGGGCGATCTTCAACATGAGAGACCACTTCGCCGCTGTTGATTACGCTGTCCAGATGACAGCCATGATGGAGAACTCCGACGTGCCTCGCATCGTGATGTTTACAGATGGCTCGTCAAAGGATGGCTTTGGCGGATTCGCCTTCACTTTCAAGCGAAAGTATGGGTCGAATGACAAGTGGGTTAATGCAGTCTATGGAGTCAAGGGAACATGCGACAGCGAAGTTATGGAGGTCTTCGGACTCCATAGAGCATTGATGACGTCTGTGTAGGAAGTCCGGCGTCTACTTGAACAAGCTTCCCGAAACCCTCACCGCAAAATCACCCCAGAAGTGTTGATCTTTTCTGACAGCTCAGCGGCCATACTATACCTGCAGGGCCGCTTCCATGGCAGCGGGAAGAAAAGTTTCCTCCACCTCTCCGAATCATTCGCCGAGCAAGCACTAGATCCCTTGGAGGAGCTTCTGCGACTGAATTGCAAGGTGGAGATCAACTGGGTACCCTCGCACGTAGGTGTTGAGGGCAACACTCGCGCAGACTACCTAGCTGCGTTTGGATCAGCCTATGCCCATAAGAACCTGGAATCAGAAGACCTCCCATCGGGAGTTAGACTTGGAATTTTTCCATACCCCGACGTCACAACCACTAGTGGTTCAAAGTTTATTCACCCCTCTCACATCTCTTACCCCTTAATTGACAGTATCCATTGGCGCAGGGAGGAAGTGCAGGATCGTCTGAAGCAGGAACTGAATGACAAGCTGAAACGTTCTAAATATCATGCCTTTGCAGATGTTCGCATGTATATTTCCGAGAAGATGAAAAGAACGCAGGCTAACGTGAGACAGGATCCCGCACCCTCGGGGGGGATGCTACTTTTAACGGAATCCTAGCCGAAGAAAGCTAAGCAAAGGACTTTCAACTATCACGCCGACTGGAAATGGAACTTCAAGGTGATTTGAATAACAACGCGTCTCATTGGTTTTGGCATGGGATGATTTGAAGGATGATGCAATACGACCTCCAATACGACCCTGCTTCATGCATGAATAGGTAAGTATCGATCTGGCTAACCTAGTAGGGATACGGGGATGTCCGGGTCTATCCGGCTACATGTGGGGGACACTATGTCGACGATCATGTACGATCGACTCCGATTCCGGCCGGTAGATTCAATATAACATTGATCTCCTCATAGCTCGTAATTGGGACCATAAACCATTCTGATTATACTAACTACCGTAAAACCCCGATTACCGATTACATCCGCGATGGAGCCTTTCCGATTGACAGCCACCGAAGCCCTCGCTAAAATCAAAGATGGATCATTATCAGTGGAAGCATATGCGCGTTCACTGCTTTCACGGATTGAGCAGAGAGATGATGCTGTTAAAGCGTGGGCACATCTGGATCCCGAGTACGTGATTCAGCAAGCCAAGCAGCTGGACTTAGTACCGCCTGAAAAGCGAGGTCCTCTCCATGGCGTCGCTATTGCCGTCAAAGACATCATGTACACCAAGGACATGCCGACGCAGCACAATTCTCCGATTTACGAGGGGCACGATCCGACACTCGACGCCGCAGCGATCGCGACACTTCGCCATGCAGGGGCACTGCTAATCGGTAAGGCAAGCGTAGACTGTAAAGCTATAAAATTAATTAAACATCCACACCAGGCAAGGCGACGACAACAGAATTCGCTTCCACCGCCACAGGCCCCAAGACCCTGAACCCCCACGACCCCACCCGAACCCCCGGCGGCTCTTCCTCCGGGTCCGCCGCCGCAGTCGCGGACTTCCAAGTGCCCCTCGGCCTCGGCACGCAAACCGGCGGCAGCACGATCCGGCCGGGCTCCTTCAACGGGATCTTCGCCTTCAAGCCGACCTGGGGCGCCATCAGCCGCGAGGGGCTGAAGTTCTACTCCCTCAACCTCGACACCATCGGCTTCTTCGCGCGAAGCGTCGCGGACCTGGAGTTGCTTTCCGACATGTTCAATCTCGAGGACGACGACGCGAGGCCGGATTTTGCGATTAGGGGGGCGAAGTTCGCGGTCCTGAAGACGTCGGTGTGGCCGCAGGCTGGCCCGGGCACGGTGGCGGCGCTGGAGGCTGGTGCGAGATTGCTTAGGGACGGCGGCGCGGACGTCGAGGAGATCGAGCTGCCGCCGGAGTTCGACAGGGTTGTGGAGTGGCACCGCACCGTGCTGCACAGCGATGGGCGGCCGACCTTCTTGCCGGAGTATAGGGTGGCCAAGGAGAAATTAGACCCCTTTATTGCAGACCACGTGGAGAACGGGCAGAAGATATCGCGCGCGGCGCAGCTGGAGGCGTTTGATGGCTTGGCTGCGCTGAGGCCGAGGATCGATGAGATTGCGAAGAAGTACGCGGCTATTCTTACGCCGAGCGTTGTCGATGAGGCGCCGAAGGGGACGCAGTCGACGGGGAGCCCGGCGTTCAATTGCATGTGGACGGTGAGTCGTACTAATTCATATACCTATCTGTTTGGTGCTTGAGTTGCCTCAGATGTGCAGTATTAATGAGTTATGTTAGGCGCTACACACTCCGGTAGTCAACGTCCCGGGGTTTCAGGGGGGAAATGGCATGCCGATAGGGTTATCGTTGGTAGCACCACGATATCACGACAGGCACTTGCTGATCGTATCTAAGGCTGTTGGGGATATATTTGCAGCTGAAGGCGGCTGGAAGTCAAAGGTCTAGGCTGCCGATGTTAGGTGGTTGCTACATACTCTTAGGTATTCCTTGGTAAGCTCCATTTCTTACGGTTTCGATTTACTCAGATTTATAGTACAAGTGCATTTTAGAACAACAACATATCTTTTTATTTAGCATATGCATTTACTTACCTAAACGTGGGTGTTTATGCCAACCAAGCTCTTCAGCACATTCTGAGTCTCCCTTTTCCTCCAGTGCATCGTAACCGTGCTGGGTGTGCCCGCATGGATTGGATAGACCATCTTCGGGCCCCCCGCTAGTTCTGGAAATGGTAGGAGTGCATTCTCGACTGCTAGTCTCAGTATAGAAGAAACTCGGGTTGCGTAGCCGGATCCAATGGAGGCTAACTTATCTGCGCGGTGGTTTCCTTCATCCTTGGAGTGTCCTGGCGTCCAGTGTATCTCCACTCTGCACCCTAGTTCTAGGAGTCCTTCTAAGGGGTCTAGGATTCTGTCACCGAACTCACCAGGTAGGCATTTGAGTATTGGTTTAGTTCCAGAATAGCGTTTATATACGTACCGCATAGCACCCTGGCAATCCGAGAATATTATGACCCTGGGGATATTCTTGTAACTACTCCTCCCAGTTTCAAGGTTTCTATGGATCCATTGCTTTATTTCGTCCACAGCAGTCCACATAGCTCTATTAATGGCGAGCAGTTCTACTGCGTAGCTACTCTTAATACCATGGACTGCATAAACCATGTCGACCCAGTCATTATCAGCACCATAGCTTCGTTTATAGTTCACACTGAATCCGGTGAAGTTATTTCTAGCCGAACCGTCCGTGAACATGACAAGACGAGGGGGGGTTTCTATAGACTTCATAGCTGCTGTTTCAATAGAATGTCGAAGGGCTTCGGCACGGTCACTTGCCTGGAATAAAACAGAAGGACGATAGCGGTGTATCTCCATATACTCTTTTCGAGGTCTGTTTAGCTTGTTCCCTATGATGATATTACCGAGTCGTGGTATCCTCGGGCGTTTCAAGAACGGCGTTTGCTGGGAGAAGAACCCCCCTAAGACTCGGGCCACATTAAGAGAATACATCATATCATCGAGGAACTTGCAATGAGTTTACCTGATTCATTATGCGAGCTACTATACAACGTCCCCTCCTGAACGTTCGTTTATATATTCATTTCTTAACCGCTTCAGGGAGTGCTCTAGAAAACTACCATAGAGATAATACATGAGTGAGTCTAAGGAACAAGCCGTGAAAGAGAAGAACGTTCCAGTTCAATCATAGTATTCACTGGACAGAGACCCTTCTTTGAAACAAAAAGCTGTTAGAACTAAGAAAGTCCATTCTATAGTATCAGTGAATGGGATTATGTGAATGAATGTTCTTAGTTGAAATCAAAATCATTGTTCCATTGGCATAGCATGACCTTAGGTAGTCTTTGTCTTACAGCATACGCTGTGTGAATGTGTGAATTCACTGACTACTACTCGCGAAGCATCATTTCGCAAAACATCGTACGACCTAAATACCACAGCGCCTTCAGATAGGGATCTTACAATAACCAAATCTCTAGGTTTGTCCTATCATATTGCTAGATACCGAGGTTCGCCTAGCAAATAGGGGGAGTGGAGAGATTGAATCTTTACACTGCGGCATTCCTTTCCATACCACAAAAAGGAGAATGCCAACATGTCCGGTAACAAGTCCGGCGATGCCCCAAAGAATGTCCACGGTGGACGTAACGATTAAGGCTGCACCAATCCAGTCGATGCTAACAATTCTTTGCACGAAGCTAATATTGCCATAGTTCAAGATGACTAATTACGCCTGCCTAAACTAAGGGGGAAAAGACATCAAATGTCCCAACACAGAATGCCGGATAGAAGCCAATGCGAGTCTGTTTGTTGGACAGGTACTTTAATCGAGTACATATGATACCTACCTACTACGAGCTCAAAGGTAGCGCCATGTGGACGCGCCACGCGCTCGGGTAACTTAGGGCGATGGATTCATTCATGAAGGAGACGCTGTGATTGAAGCCGTTCCAGGAAGGCCAGTGACCAAGTCCATTTCGTACCCACACCTCCCCCTTTTCAAGGCATCATCCTCGGCACGTACTTACACGATACAGCTTCGGTCCAACGCTACGTCATGACCCCCTACACATTCAAAGACGGCCTGCGCGTCCCAGCTCGTACCGTGGTGTCATTCCCCAACTTGAGATACCCACAACACAGACCACTACACGTGGCTTCGCCCCCGAAGCCGGCACGTTCGACGGCAAGCGCTGGCTACGACGTCGCGCAGGGTTCGACACGAGCAAGTTCCAGTTCGCCTCCACGGCCGAGGATGCGTTCGACTGGGGTGCTGGTCTGCACGCGTGCCCGCGACGTTTCATGGCCGAGATCACCATCAAGCTCATCCTCATTTCCCTAGTCACAAGATACGATATGAAGCTTATCGAGGGGGGTCCGGAACGGCCTGCAGAGTTCAGGCGGTTTATGGATCTAGCGCCAGATACGTCGACCCCTATCACGATCAGAGATGAGCAGGCTTAGATGACTGGGTACCATACCTAAGTAGCTAGAAAGTGCTCTTGAATTTTCGAAAATGAGGGGGTGTTATATTGAATATACACTGTCTACATGGCACAGGAGATTTCGTTATCATATGCTTAAACCTAGATGGAGCCACGCGCAATTATCAACTTTCAGGCTCAGATACAACAGCTAGATTTGTACATATAAATTCTAGGCAACAGCTATATACACTAATGCAACGTACGCCAATGCAATACTAATTCGTCTTAATCACCTTCCCTCTCGGAGAGCCGTCATGCCCATACACAGCCATAACTTCATTGTTTGCCGTAGTCAGCAACCCCGGCCACCAAGACGGCGAAGCATCGAGCAGCACCGGCTTCTTGGACCACTGCATCTTGCCATCCCTAACCCCATTCGAGAACAGCGCCTTGGTAGTCGAGTTCTTAGGCCAATCAACAGTCGTGGTATCCTCATCCGTCATGAAAGTAAGCGCGACGCCATCCCCAAAGTTCGCGATCTGCGGTGCCCCTGCGCTGCGATCCGCTCCCTTGGGGTCGTAGATGGTGCTGCGGTTCCACCAGGACGCGCCGTCGTCGTACGACAGCATGTAGTCGACGTGCACCTGCCAGCCGATCTTGCACTCGACGACCATCACCAGCGTGTCCTTCCCGTTGCCCTGGTCCTTCACGGCAACCACGCTCTGCATCCCGTCGCGGAACTGCCGGCCGAGGCTGTGCACGTGCAGGTTGACGGGCTCCGACCACTCGCGCCCCTCGCTGTGCGACACCGCGCGGAAGATCTCCTGCTCCGCGTCCGTGATCTCGCCCGAGTACATCAGCTGGACGCCGCCGTCCGCGCCGACCCGCATCGACGGCTCCCAGAGCCCCATCCCCTTGCTCTCGGCCGCGTTCTGCCCCACGACGTCCACGGCGTCCTTCCACGTCCTGCCGCCGTCCTCGCTCCGCGACACCGTGATGCGGTAGTACGTCGGCTCGGCGCCCGGCTTCTCCATGTCGTGGTTCCGGTACGCCGCCAGGATGACGGGAGGCGCCCGAGACTCCTGAGCTTGGGGCAGCTCGAGCAGGAAGCCGTTGTCGATGTCCTTGTGCGCGCCGCGGACGATCTCGCCGAAGTAGTCGAACGACTGCCCGTTGTCCGTGCTCTTCGACACTTGCAGTACGTTGTACGACCCGTTCACGTTGTACAGCGTCTGCACGCTCAGGATCGAGCCATCGGACAGCTTCGCCAGCCGCGGGTACGCGCCGGCGGTGTTAAGTTTGACTTCTGAGGAGCTCAGGCGGATGCTGGAGGATATCTCGGGCAGGTCGATGGTTGTCTCGGCGCGCGCTTCGTTTTGGCCGCCTCCCCCCGTGCTGCGCGAGGCGACTTGCGAGAGCACGCTCGTTAGGTTGAGGAGTAGGAACCCGAATAACATGGTGCGGAAATATTTTGCCCCCTTTTTACTATCCGTAAAGTTTGAGTAACCCCGCGAAGAGTAAAGTAAGTGCATGCAACGTTCTTGACGGGCTTATTTATTCCATCTAAACGCCCCTTACAGGCGGTCGGTTAACTTGGTTGCATGGGTTCGCCTGGCCGGGGGTAGGTACCTGCAAATAGACGTGGCTTAGATCTGTGCCGCATCCTTAATATTAGGGTCGATCACTAACCGCTGATTTTGCAGATTTCATAACCATCGTCAGCATAACTTTAAAGTTAGAGATGGTTCTTTTTGCTTGTTATTGTTTGGATGAAACTCCCTTTCGGTACGAAACAATACCTAAACATCTTGATGACCCCTATTTTCTGAAGCGCTGCCGATGCTCGCTTAGATATGACTTGCATTACACCGTTGCTACCTGGTTTGAGTAGACGCTTCATGGTAAGTATTGATCTATCCACCTTCCTAGCTTGGTAGATAATTACCGACATTTCAGGTGGGAAAAAGACCGACTACGTAAACTGTAGATTCTTTTACTTGGGCACTGTGACTTGGTCGAAAAGATGTTTAAGTGTCTTCATACGATGAGAGGCTGGCTTGTGGGCATCTATACGACGAAGAGCTTGGGTGGGCGGTAGCGGCGCAGAAGAGCTAAGTACATATGGGTGCTTACATAGATCTATAGATCTTGCGTTAGAAATGCTTGCCATTCGACCGGTAACGAAGACATTGCTGTTGACAGAAATCCTTAATCCTTTCCAGAGTAAACGTAGCGTTAAAGTTCTGAAATAGGTAGGTACCTGTGTCTATTTATAGTGATAGACTATTCTTGATATAGGGCTAAGCTTGTCGTCAGATGAGTTTGCGGCTCGGACGAGTTTGAGGAGGAAAACCCGCTGCTATAAAAGCCAGGTAGATACTCGTTCGGTGGGCGAATCAGGCTAAGGAATGAGCCTCAGCTAGTAGCCCGTACCTACGTTATTTAAGGACCCAAGTATTCCAACTTTTCACATTTACGACGGGAATCATATGAACAGTAGCACTGCACTCCACAGGACACGGATTATCTGGTTCAAGACAGATCTTTCTGATATATAATCTGGATCCCATCTTGGAGTGCCGCTTGGTGGTAGTGGCTAGTGAGGTCTCTGTTATGCGCATTGCTGTATCGAATACCAAGTAAGGAAAGCCGGAAGAAATACAATATATTCTCGTCTTTTGATGTGCGGATACTCTATGCCAATTCCATCGAGTATTTCTTTGCTAGGCACTTGAGTCTCTGATTGATTGACTTGTTACTTAGGAAGCTGGATTTGAGTGCATATCCACCGTGTACGTTTCTATTTCCAATCACTCCTAGGTAGGTAGGTAGGTACTCAACCTAGCCTCCCTCGCCTGCGGCACAGGAATTCAGGAACATGTGCAACTATAAATACAAGAGAAACCTATCTAAATAGAGTCATGCAATACATGATAGGGTCACGTGGACTTGTGGTCTATGTGTGGTGATGTTGTCTAGAAGACATCTTGGGATTATGCTGTTGTCACAGAAAGTTACAAAGGTAGGGAGGTAATTAATACGACATAGATTACCACGTACACAAAAACTTCCAATGCATATGATGTTCAATATGCCTGTTGATCTAACAAGAACAGTTATGTAATAACCTTGAGCTCTTTTGCGCGTTAGACCTGAAGTCATCAACGATATACGTGTATGGATAAGATTCCGGGTAAATAGAAATTGTTCGGAGACCTCCTTTACCCCCCTGATCCACTAACCTACAAGAAATTCTCCGCACGCTTGTCAGTGCACTAACTCCAGTTGTCTTAGCGTATTGCGGGGAACTGTAAGCGCCTTGTTATTTCCCCAAGTGCCCCAAACCCCAAACATGATGCCTCGAAATTATCCGCAACCGACTCTTGGAAGCTTCTTTAACTCATTCACACCTATGTACTGCCTGTTAGGGAGCATAGTAACAAATGAATCATAAACCCCGATGCAGAGTATCCTGTTTACCCCCCGCCAATTCAGGCATCGTGACGCTTGGCAAGCTACCTGATCTTAGGTAGCATTCCCCTTAATGAATAATAGCCGATCTACCGGTACTCATATATCGCTCTTGCTGTCCCTCTTTTGAAGTCCCAATGTATCATTGCAATTTTGAACATGTCTCCTCATGCGATATATCCATACTTGGGGGTTTCCATGGTCTAATCGATCCGGTGTTACCTATTTTTCAACGTAGAACTCATGTCATAGTATTGGCATCGTGACTCAAGCCGTCGACCATGCGACCAATATCTCTAGTGATCGGGTTCGCGCCCCTCACCGCCGCTCTCGGCCAAAAGCAGATCATCAGCTTCACCAGCGATCCAGGTGCTTTTCAACTGGCTGGTGGATCGATAACAGAACCCCAGATCCTCGTTTCGAGTAATGAATATTGGGGAGTTATTCGCGCTGCGGGGGATCTTGCGAAGGACTTTGGGCGTGTGACCGGGGCTAATTTCACTTTGAGCAATGGGGAAGTGGGAGCGGCTCCTGCAGTGTACGAATATGCGCCTATTACACGGAATTATACACATGTAAGCCAGAGCGTTCTAGGATGGATTAGCGATCTCGATCTGTCCAAGCTTGCTGTTATTCTTTTTGCGCGGCCGAACGGGGCAAATATTGGCAAAGTTATATGCTGACAGATACCAGTATTCTGTGAACGGTACGCAGTATTTTTATGGGCCTGAGTACACTGATCCCGCAGCCGAGAACACGGTCATAATTGCTGGTACACTGGGGCATTCAAAGGTCATCGATGACCTCGTCAGCATTGGAAAGTTAGACATCTCGGAGATCGATGGGAAATGGGAATCGTTCGCCACGAAAATTATTGAAGAGCCCGTTCCAGGGTGTGCAAAAGCTGTAATTATTGTGGGAAGTGACCCTCGAGGGACTATCTTCGGCATATATGACATCAGCGAACAAATAGGAGTTAGCCCATGGTACTGGTGGGCAGATGTTGCAGTAAAGCAGTCCAAAGAAATCTACGTTCTATCGGACGGGAAAGTACAGGGGGCTCCTTCTGTTAAGTATCGTGGCTTCTTCATCAATGATGAGCAACCGGGTCTGTCAGGATGGGTTCAATGGAATTACCTGGATACACCGTATGGAGATGGATATGGCGCGGCCTTTTATTCCAATGTGTTTGAACTTCTCCTTCGCCTTCGGGCAAATTATTTATGGCCGGCCCTCTGGGGGTCCATGTTCGAAGTCGACGACCCGGCGAGTCAGCCGCTTGCTGATGCATGGGAAATTGTGCTTGGGAGTTCGCATACAGAGCCGATGATGCGTGCGCAGAACGAATTTGGCACGTTCTATACAAACGAGGGTCTCGGCCCGTGGGCGTACAATCTCAATAACAAAACAATCGACCAGTACTTCGTGTACGGGGCACAACGCGCGAAGCCGTACGCTCGCAACAGCCTATGGACGATGGGTATGCGGGGCAGTGGGGACACTGCCATCGAGGGCTTAGGAGTTGAATACATCGTCAGCATGCTAGAGACCCTCGTTGAGAATCAGCGTGCCATTATCGAGGACGTGCTAGATGTCGATGTACACGATGTCCCTCAGCTATGGTGTCTCTACAAAGAAGTCATGACGTACCTTCAACATGGTTTAACAATCCCCGAGGATATCACTCTCCTATGGGCGGACGATAACTGGGGCAATGTCCGCAGAGTTCCAATCGGGAATGAGTCGACACGTTCTGGTGGTGCCGGTGTTTACTATCATGTTGACTATGTTGGTGGTACTAGGAACTACAAGTGGATTAACACGATCCAGCTCGAAAAGACGGCAGAGCAGATGCAACTTGCTTATGAACACGGCGCTGATCGGATATGGATTGTCAATATTGGAGACATAAAGCCTCTAGAGATTCCGCTCAGCCACTTTCTCGACTTGGCCTACGATATTAACCTCTGGGGAGTGAACAACGTCAGCGATTGGACTCTTGCCTGGGCAACTCGCGAGTTCGGGCCCGAATACGCGACATCGATAACTGAGATCATGACACGCTTTGGCATGTTCGCGGCCAGGAGAAAATTCGAATTGGTAGAACCGCATGTGTATTCGATTATCGATTATAACGAAGCCGATGCAATACTAGGGCAATGGCAAGGTTTGGTCGACGATGCCCAGGCAATTTACGACCAGCTAGATGAATCGCACCAGCCTGCGTTCTTTGAAATGGTTCTTCACCCTATCCTAGCCGGCCAGATTCTTCATCAAGTCCATATCGGTGCCGCTAGGAATGCAGTACATGCAAACCAGTATCGGAATTCTGCAAATGACCTTATATCAAGAGTCTTGTCAAGCTTTAATGCTGATGGAGATCTGACAGCACGATGGGATGATCTGCTAGATGGAAAATGGAAACACATGCTAGATCGTGAGCAGGCCCCCCCCTTTTTTTTTGTTTCATGCCCTGGAACCATCTAATTGATCTTGCAGAGACACATTTCGGATACAACGGTTATTGGCAACAGCCAATGCGGAATGTACTTCCAGCCATGGCTTACGTTCAGGCGGGAGTGTCTTCGGTGGCAGGCAGCGTTGGGATTGCCGTTGAAGGGTCAAATGCGAGCATTCCAGGCGACGACAGGTACCATCCTAATTCGGGGAGCACCCTCGTGCTACCACCACTAGATCCTTATGGTCCAATCTCACGTTGGTTTGATGTGTTTTCACGGGGTACAGTAGACTGCTACTGGTGGGCAGAAACAGATCTGTCCTGGGTGAAACTGTCGCAATATAATGGTACGGTGGGGCCTGGAAACGGTACAGACCTGCGCGTCTTTGTGACGATCGATTGGACAAGTGCACCGCAAGTTGTCAACTACACGGTAGCCAACATCAACTTTTCGACTGGGTGTGGACGTACCGGATTCTCAAGTTGGTATGGCAAACCAGTCGTGCAGCTCCCTATCAACCTGCGCACGATCCCGACCAATTTCACCGAGGGGTTCGTAGAGTCCGACAAACACGTCGCCATCGAAGGACCACACTACCAGCGAATCTACACACCACTCGATACAGCAGCAGAATCGGAGATCACCTACCAGACGTTGAAGAATTACGGACGCACACTTGGCGGCGTGACCCTTTGGCCACTGACTACGCCACCACAAACGCCCGAGTCAGCGCCGGCGTTGGACTATGATCTTTACCTATTCACCAACACCTCAAAAGCCAACGTGACATTGTATCTCTCACCGACACAGAATTACTTATCCGACAGCACTCCTCTCGAATTCGCCGTGTCTCTCTTCCCCGCCGGCGCAGGGCAAGCCGAGCCTCAGGTCATCCGTCCGGTGGGTGAGAGCATCGGAGCCGGCCTGCCTCCCGGATGGGATGGTGCCGTAGCCGACTCCATCTGGGGACTTGCGCCGGAACACAACACCACGACAACGTGGAGTATCCCGCGGGAAGGAGCATACACCCTTCGGGTGTGGGGGCTGGTACCGAGTGTCATCGTGCAAAAGGTTGTCGTGGATCTTGGGGGTGTCAGGCCTAGCTACCTTGGCCCTCCCGAGAACTTCTTGGTGGGGAGGGATGCGTTGGGTGTCTATTCACAGACAAGCTTTGCAGATGGGCCTGGGGTAGTTGGGGGTACGAGGATCTGCTATGACTGCTCATAAATATGGGGATGCTGTGATAATATAATTTTGGATTTGTATATTGGCCTCGCTACGATGAGGTTACATACTAATTTTATCAAATTCGTGGTGTTTTGCAAAGAAAACGACAATACCGATCTGGACACGCGTAAAGGGGAACATGGATTAGGAAACTATATCCTGGGATATTCGATATTTGCATCATGAGCTGGCTCACCGACTTCTCGGGAACTCCGCTTCGTGACATCGCTTCGTTCTAGTGCATCTTGTCGAAGGTTTAAGTTAAAATACGTTGTGTGTACATATAATAATGTGCATAAGATGCAATGATTTGATAGGAAGATGAGAAGAATCAAACGGTTCAATGCCGGAATAATAATAATTAGTACGTATTTCCGTACCAACTCAATTTACGATACTGAAACAGAGACCCCGGGGTGCCTAAAGGCTTAAAACTCAGCTGGACAACATGTGGCGAATGACAGCTATGATGGCCCCACTAAATAACCTAAATCCAGACAAGTGCGCAAAATAAAGCCAGGTACCGGTTGCTGTGACGACTGCAGGACCCATAATCAACACCAGTTTAGGACGTAAATATGCACGTACCTTCCCACGACGGGGCAAGCTTCTTTTATGACGGCAGGCCATAACTAACTACCTAGTTACGTTTACCTACATTTACTTTCCACAACTACGAACCTTGTGAAATTGACACAATTGATTCTGATCTCATCCCTCCAAATAACCCACCCACCTAAAGTGCGACAAACACGCTCGTTAAAACCCCAAATACCAACATCATCAATCATTTACATAGCACCAACTTTTTATAGCCCAGCCTACTAAAAGTTGTTTGCTGTTTTGATATTTAATTCCACCACACCGTACAAATTCCTCTCTCGACGTACCCACACAACGATTAGTGCTGGGTTCGTCGAGTTTTTTCTTGTTTATGTCGACGCCTCTGAATTAAATTCTTGCCTGGATTTGTTGTAGGAGAACGTGACGAGAGAAAGCAAGACATATAAATTTATCCTAAAGATGGCTGTAACGGATCCTGGGGCGTCATCTATCACGGTCGCAGGTATGCCATTCGTAAAACTTATCCACTACGCTGCATCAGACGGTGTACTAGGTGATGCTGACACTTCATAGTCCGAGTGCGACCATTTACCATCAGAGAAGCCGCACAACTGTATGTTGACTCCAAGGACGAAGGTAGAGAAGAGGACGAGGAAAACTAACACAGTTTATATAGGCACAGGAATGACGATGGAACGATATTCCTAGGAGATGGCTCATTGGCAGCTGCCCCCACACCGAAACTTAAGCAAAGTGGCATTCGCTCCGTTATTAAAGTGGTCGACGACAGGTGTTTGTACGTGCCCATACAATTCATCAAATCATTCATCTAGCGTAACAAGAGCCAACTGACATTTTCATCCTACAGAGTATTCGACCCTCCTGAGGACAGTCCAGTTCAAAGGTTCTCGAGATCGGTGGTACCCAACGGCAAAAAGGTCAAGGATCAAGTCTTCGCATTCGACCGAATATTCGACGACAACACATCACAAACAGAAGTATACGAAGCAACAACCAAGACCTTGCTAGACAGTGTCCTCGACGGCTACAATGCGACTGTGTTTGCATACGGAGCTACAGGATGCGGCAAGACGCATACCATCACGGGCACAACCCAGATGCCTGGTATTATATTCTTGACCATGCAGGAGCTCTTCGAGAAGATTAGCGACCGCAGTGACGAGAAGCACACTGAAATAACATTATCGTACTTGGAGATCTACAATGAAACCATTCGAGATTTGCTAGTTCCCGGAGGCAGCAAGCAGGGATTGATGCTCCGCGAAGATAGCAATCAGGCTGTCACTGTATCAGGTCTCACAAGCCACCACCCCAAGGATGTTCAAGAAGTTATGGACATGATCGTTAAGGGGAATGAATACCGAACGGTGTCGCCAACTGAAGCGAATGCTACTTCGTCTCGCTCACACGCCGTTCTTCAGATTAATGTAGCCCAAAAGGACCGCAACGCATCCGTAAACGAGCCTCACACCATGGCTACTCTGAGCATCATTGACTTGGCAGGCAGTGAACGAGCCAGCGCCACCAAGAACCGAGGTGAACGACTCATGGAGGGTGCCAATATCAACAAGTCGTTGCTTGCATTAGGCAGCTGTATTAACGCCCTCTGCGATCCACGAAAGAAGAACCACGTACCCTATAGAAACAGCAAACTCACCCGACTTCTCAAATTCTCCTTGGGTGGTAACTGTAAGACCGTCATGATTGTTTGTGTCAGTCCCTCGAGTGCACACTTCGACGAGACTCAAAACACGCTTCGATACGCCAACCGAGCCAAAAACATCCAGACTAAGGTGACGAGAAACGTGTTCAATGTCAACCGACACGTCAAGGATTTCCTAGTCAAGATTGACGAGCAGATGGCGTTAATCAACGAGCTCAAGGCACAGCAGAAGGAAGCAGAGCGAATATCATTCGCCAAATTCCAAAAGCAGCTGGAAAAGAAGAATTACTCGGTCAAGGAGGGGGTGCAAAGAATTAAGACGGCATACGAAAACTCGGAAGGCGAGAGGCAAGAGAAGGTTAACATGATGAAGAAGCAGCGCGGAATCGAGCGCCGCATCAGCCTTTTATCATCCTGGATCGCCGCATTCGACGCAGTCTGCGACGGGAAGGAGGACGAGGACGTGATGCCCCCGAACTTGGTAGCAATGCGCAAGACAGCAGTGGGTATCCAGTTAGAACTCGAGGACAGCCGACAACACATCCACCAGAGGCTGAATAAGATGCATTGGGAGCGCGCTATTGACGGAGCTCTCCAACATAGTATCAGCCAACTCCCTGGAGACAGACATGTGGATAATGGTGAAATCGAGAGTCTAACAAGAGAAGCTGAGCTGTGGAAAGCCAAGTTCGCCCGAGAAGCTGACCGCGAAGTACTTGAACAAGATAAGGCAGGTGACGCGGGAATTATGCAAGTTCTCTTGACTGCCCAATTTGAGATCCTCACGTCACTCTCAGAAACGATCAACATGAGTGAAGAAGAAGCAGTCGCCCACGCCAAAAGCATCATCGGCCGTCTATTAGAAGTCGGTTACTCAGCCACCTCGCAAGTCGTCAAGCCTGATGGGGCTAAAATGCCAGTCGAGGCCTTCCCACCTACGAAGCGTGGCACGCCGAAGCGGAAAAAGACCGCCAGTTTGGGTAAGGATGCTTTGAAACCTATCCCTAACCCTGTATTTGGGGCTGTTGCGGGCTCTCTGCCCCAACCGACGTTCGGTTCTCCCATGAAGGGCTCTCCGAGACGCCGTAAAGTCCTTAATACACGTAAGGGTGTTTCGTTTACACCAAAGAAAAAGTCTCCTTCAAGACGTGCAGTGCGATGGCGTGATGATGACGGTGAATCAGGGACCCTAGCAGACTTCGAAAAGACTCCCCAGCGGTTCGATTCATCGCCCCAGCGTATCTCACCGGCGAAGGCGATTCCCACAGCTCCTATCCCATTCTCTCTACACAAGGATAGCTCTGCGGACGAGTCAAGTCCTTCCATTACCCTCCCTGAGACGTCAAGTATCCCCGTTTCGAAGCCTAACAGGTTCCAGGCCGGATTCCTGTCAAAATCTCGTCCCTCGGAAATCGGCGGATCACCTACTGCCCCGACCATATCCATAAACCTCACTTCGTCCGAAAATGAGGAGAAACCTAGCCCGCTACGGAATCTAGATGTATCTAGGGCCGGTAACATCGGCTCGCCTAGAAGGCGTATTTCGTCGCTAAGTCCTTCATCCATACCGCAGCCTCGCTTCACTTCCTTCTCGTCAGATGAAAACCACGCCCCCTCTTCCGACTCCGAGACATCCTTGATTGACACATCTAAGCTTCGTTCCGCTCTTCACGCAAGCAAAAGGCCCAAGCGACTCTCATCGTTAGTAGGAATGGTACCGGGACCGGCTGCAAACGGTAGGCGCGTGTCTTCTATTGGCTCCCTTGGTAGCACCCACAAGCCCAACCACAGTTATTCTGGCCCGTTGGCATCAACCACTAACGGCATATCGCGTCTCCGACGTAGCAGTGGTGAGAGGCGTAGGAGCCCACCCATCAGCTGTTCACCTCCAGACATGGGAGTTAGAGACACCAAGGCATTCACTCCCGGTCAAGCCAGGCGCATGAACCTCAGCAATAGCGTGCGAGCACCTGGCCTGCTGAGCCCGAGCGAACGAAGGGAGATGATGGAAGCTGGAGGGCACGGTGGCCGCAGTCGTCGCATTACTATTGGAGGCGCTGGGGTCACCGGATCCAGGAAGGATAAGGGTTCGGGTTGGCGATGAGCTGATGGACTACCGAAAACATTCTACGGCTAGTGATTGACGAAGGGTGGGAGTTTATCGATTTGGGTGGATGCTTGCTTACTAGGAGTTTGTGGGTTTTCATCAACATATCCTCATTTTCCTCATGATATGATTTGATATGGTGGGGACGGGTTGTTGGCTTTCGACGTTACAGGCTTACATGTTAGTACCCAAGTACCTACCTACCAGTATATTAGGTACTTTGTCAGTTTCATACATATCCAGGAGTGTTCTTTTCTTTTACTTTCCAACTTTTGTCATGATTGTGGATGAGGTGAGATGAAATGAGATCGGATGAGTGTTGGTTTCTGTTTCGGGGACTTGCGAAGTTTGGGGATAAGATGAGATGAGAACGGTTAGTTGCCACGCTACTGATTCGTTTTAATGTATTATTGTACTATTGTTAAGGCTACCTTGGCGTGATGCGGCGCTTGGGTAGGTGGGAGTTAACGAAGGTGAATGAATGAGAGGGAGTTGTGGGAGCTGTGCCTGATAATAAGTAAATGAAATGAAAATGAAATGGAATGCATAACCAATGCTTTATTTGTTCATTGTTCCATTGCTTCTTCACTAAATGATAGCATTGCACTAACTTGGGCAGATGCATATTTCAACGATTCCAGAGTAGTAAAGAGTAAAGAGTAAAGAGTAAGCCGTGGGGAGTTGCTGGAAGCTTGCTTCATGTCGCTGCCATTGGAGGGACTTGAGACTGTCCCTACCCCCTTTTCTCCTACCCTCCAACCCCTGTATCCTTACAAACTACCTAGATACCAAGGACCAAGGTACTATGTACCTACATATACCTACCTAGTACTACCTAGTACCTCACCACCATCCTCTTCACGTGACATCGCGTACCTACCAGCTTCTCTAGTTCCACAATCGCGTCCAAGCACGAAGAAGCCGTCGCGCTCATCGAACATCGCAGGTGGAACGGAACTTGTTTTTTTCTTCCTTCCTTTCTTCCTTCGTCGCCTACCACATACTACTCCTGCGTCTCGTCACGGGCGTTGAGAACCTGCACCCGCGTCCTAGATGGTAAAGCCGGACACACCGGAACGTAACAATAATGGGCTGTGAAGTGGGAGCCGTGCCAGCGGTACCTATCTCGATCGAAGCTAGCATCGTGGTCGCGTGCCCTCACATGGGGTTAAGTGGTAGGTAACTAAAGATGATTGATAGACACGTCGTGATCGATCTCGTCAAGAGAGAAAAATAAGCAAGCACGTACTTACCTACCTATTTAACTTCTAGATTATGGGACTGCACCATGGAATAATAAATCAAATTAGATGCAAAGTAGAACCTAAAACCCAATGTTGCTCATATACCTATACCTATACCTATACCTATACCTAGGTATTCAAACTCAGTCATATATCCCATATCGCTTATCCTTTATCGCTCCCATCAAACGGAACTTGCCTCACTACCTAACATGGTTAGGTATACCAACCACCCCCCTCAAAATCTCATCCGCCCACTCAACTCACAAGCCCCCTTGACCCTCTCAACACCCACACCCACACCAGCATTCACCCCCTCCTCCTCCTCCTCCCCCTCCAACAAACCACCACTGTTAACGAGGCTCCCCGGCTGGTCGAGCGACTCCTGGGAGGCGCAGTAGTCCGAGTCGCTCGGCTCCTCCGAGTACGTCTCGGACCCCTCGGGGATGGGCACCATGGCGGACTTGGTCCAGATGTGGATGGCCTTCGTCCAGTCGAGTCCTTCGATGCACTGTAAGGTGGGGTTGGGTTGGTGGTTAGTTTGCTTGGCTGGGAAGGGTAAGGTTGGGAAGGGATGGGTAGGGTAGTAGGGGGTGTGTGAGAAATAGGGGTTGGCTGTGTGTGTGTGTATGGTGAGATGAAACGGGGGATTATGAGTTTAGGATGTGATAACTTACTCCGCCTTTGACGGAGACGACATTCTTGCCCTGGGTTTTCGTTAATTAGGTATTGCTTATCCATGTAGATAGTTACCGGCTAGGTATGCGATGTGAGGTCAAGGAATACTACATACCTGCGTCGTGTGGAGTAACCTCGTCCCGCAATTGCGACAGAAGTAGCTAGGCAGACAGGCAGGTGGTATTAGAACCAGTGAATGCAGTGTCACGATAAAACGGTCTTTGGGGCATATTATATATACTACTACTTATTTAAATTGGTAGGACTTACCAGTTCAAAGTGTGGCCCGAAGGTGTCGGTCGGCTAGTCCGAGTTAGTCATCTTATGGCTCTCGTTGTAACGAAAAGTAGAGAGGGGCCCTGGGGGGGTATGATGGAAGTTAGAAGTGCAATAAGTGCTACTTACCTATAGCACGACAGCAGCTCAGCCCGTGGCAGGGGGAATCTGGGAAAGATAGCGGAGGCGCCGAAGGCAGAACTAGTCTGGCGACGACATTCGGCACAGTGGCAGATGTACAGGGCGAGAGGCTTCTCAAGCGGCGTCTTGAAGGCGACGGCGCCGCATTGGCAGCTGGCGTCCATGACTCATTTCCTTTCTCAGGGTCAGTTGGGTGGGATCCGGTTCAATCTGTATTTATTTGATGGTTTCTTTTTATTTCTCCTATGAGGTATTTAGGAGAAGTATAGTGCTGTGAAAAAGAAGGCTGAATAGTTGGTTGGTATAGGTATCTTACGTGTTATTCATTCAATTAATAATGATGATGAACCCGTTAAGTTCAATTAATGCCGTATGTGGATGTTGTCGGATAGTGGGTCACATGACTAATCACCTTATGCTGGGTTGAGATGCTTATGTAATTACCCCTTTATGGGTTTGAATTAGATAGATTATAGGGGCATTGCATGTAAGAAAAGCCATTATATTTAAATATGACGTCTGATAAGTTTATACAAGACTATGTACCTATCTAGATAGTTAAACGAATAAACGGAGGTACCCGACGAGCAAAACTCCGAGAGCCTATCACCTGAGTTGAAGGCCTGGTGGGATGAATTGGATCTTAGAAATTGGGCCGGATTGTCACATATCACGCTCATATAGGTAGCATTTTGCTGATGTCTTGACGGACACCGATCATTAATTCAGAAACTACTAGCTTAGAAGAGGGTATTTCAATGGAAAGTGTGAACTGCAGTATAGGGACAATACAAAGCCCCTATTACGTAATAACTCGTTTGACCTCCTTATCCTTTTAGCTTCAGACGCTGGACAACGACCACAGATATAAGGCGTGCCCCGAATGTACTTCGTAGCTTGAACTATCAAGGGTCTACCCAGGGACTGAACACATAACTACTGGAGGAACCGGCGGCAGCGAAACGATCACAACGCCATATCACATGTTTCGAATCAAAATCTCATGAAAATCGAAACAAATCACAAGAAAATGTATCATGGCGATAGGATCAGCTTACTGCTCTCAATATCTACGTATCTAGTAGTGTATGTATGACTAGCGTAAATCTCGTAGACACATCACAACACTTACGTAGACATGAGAGAAAAAGAAAAGAAAAGAACCAGACCATAGAACACCAGCTCATCTATTAGTTATAAAGTCAATGTCGCATGGCCTTCGTTGCCTCCTTCTTCGTCGCAGCCTTTCCATTGCCAGCAGCCATGTTGCCCTTCTGCTTGCCTTCTACCTTCTTGTGCTCAGCCTTTTTGGCCCCAGTCTTTCTCACGTCGACTGTCTCATGGCCATCAGAACTGCCTGGCTTGTGACTGGCATGTTGCGGACGAGAAAGAGTGTCATTAGTGTCATGGTGGGCACCCTTGGCACTCACAACCTGTCCCTTCTCCTTCCCCTCCTCCAAATCTAACCCCCCCGCCGCCTTCTGCCGCGATCCCAGCACCAGCCACCAGCACCCCTAGTACTTGTCGACATAGTGTAGGATCAGCAGCGGGAAGGACACGAGGCCGACCACCATGTATCCGAAGCCATAGGCGAAGAAGCGTATGCCGCGTAACACGTACTCGTGTGCCGACGTCTCCGCGCCCTCCCAGAACGAGCTCACGGCGATGAACAGGCCTGGAATCAGGCACAGCGCCGTGAAGATGACTGTCGACATGGGGAGGTACTCGGTTTCTTCGACAGCGGTATCTAAGAGGGCGGATGCAAACTCGGTGTCCATGAGTTTAGCCAAGTATTTGGTATTTTCTTTCCTTGGTAGCGGGGTGATGTATTTCGACGTAGATAAAAGAGAGTGTAGGCACCTATGAATAGGTTTTCCCTTGGCGCCTGTATGCGTAATCGGTTATTTGAAGATATATATGGCCTGTTGACCCAACGGTGTGTTAGAAGAACGTGACTTAGATGAGGATTATTGTGAAGATGGCAGACAGACAAGGAATACTTGCGCGAATGTGCTCACAGGTGGGCGACAACACGAATATACCTTCCAATTGTGCCTTTCCAGCGCGACGTAGGTGTCAAGCCTAAATACTGGCCAAATAACGAGAGTGGCGATGATTCAAGGGAAGGAATATTAAGAGCTTAGGCGATTGCGATTGGGGAGAGGGTATATTGAATGAAGGAAAACAAAGTCGGCTTATTTTCTATCTTTATTTTCCTTTCGTCTTGGTTGGCTTCGGTTGGCTTTCGTCTTTCACCTTTCCTCCCCAGTCACTTGTTATAATTAAAAAGTAAGAATGGAAACGCGTGATCGCACAGTGTCGCGATAAAACCTGCAGTCGCGAACCAGGTGTCTAATAGTAAGTAAGTACCGTGTATGTACAGTATAGTATGTACGAACTTGAAATGTCAGTGAATTTGGTACCTACATAGGTGCTTCAGTCCAAAACAGGCCTATGACTCCGTGCCTAAGGTACGTTAACGTGGTGGCTAAAAAGGAGACACTTCGTTCCCTGGGCGATTTCTTCGTGACTATTAAGTATTAGGGCGTATTCTCATATGGCAAACATGGATGGATTACAAAAGGGGAGCAAACAACCAGATGAATCTCAATATAGGCAACTACCTACTACGTACATACCGTGCCTGCCTACCTCAGGCACCTACTTATCATCAAGCACCCTTCAACACTACTCCTGGCAACCATTCACTCTCCAGAACAGTACCAGACACATTTCCAGGGCTCCCATACAAATGGTGTACTTAATACCTACTAGGTACCTCTCACCTACCTAGGTAGGTATCCAATAACTACTTCTCACACTTGAACCAAAAAAGAACCCCTCGAAACATATCTATGAGTGTATTATGACGCCTTTATATTTATATTACTGTCACGAGCTACATATAAACACCCCACGTGCGCTTCGTTTCGTAGACCCCCCCCCCCCCCCCCCCCCCCCCCCAATTCCTGACCTAGCCTTTCTATCCCCTGGGAAACCGCGAACGTCGACTCTCTCTAAGTTGGGCGCCATTCTCATAACTTGGACCTCGTAACCGCGCCGTCTAGGACTACCTACCTAATCCTATCAGCCCTTTCTTTTCTTTTTCTCATTAGCTATTTGTTTTGTTCCATTCTTTGAGATAGCCCCTCTATCAAATCAATCCCTCGCCTCCCTCTCAACACACGAAACCCTCACCACCTCCCCCCCCTCACCCCCCCTTCCCCTCCCCTCATTAACCGCCTCCTCCAAGCTCCGGCACCAATCAACCTTCATCCCATCATCCCAGTCCGCGACCGCCAGCTCGACCTCCAGCCACCTCAGCCTCCTCAGCTTCTTCAGCCCATTCTCGACCCACTCCTCCGCGCGCCCTCGCTCATCGCGTATCTGCACCGTCGGCGCCCCGCGCTGCGGCGACCCCGCCACGACCCAGGAGACGCCTTGCCCCAGGACAGGCGACCCCCCCCGTCCGCCCCCGCCCCCGCCACCACTGCCACTGCCACTGCACAGCACCTTCAGCCTCAGGCCCCTCAAACCCCCGGCCCACCCCTCGCACAGGCCCCGCCACTCCTCCTCCGCGTAGCGGCCGCACAGGTCCCGCGACAGCAGCTCGAGGCGCGCGTACCGCATCGCCTGCATCTGCCACGCGCACAGGCCGCGCAGGAAGCAGCGCGCGGCCCAGAGGCCCGAGGCGAACCAGTTGACGAAGACGAACTCGTTGGCGAGGAAGGGGAGGTGCCGCGACTCGAGGTAGATCTGCTTGCTGGTGGTGAGGAGGGCGGTGGGGAGGCAGCAGTGCGGGCGGGAGTGGGAGAGGAGGAGGGGGGACGTGGGTGTGGGTGTGGGTCGTGGTGCTGCCGCTGCTGGTCTTGTTGCTGTGGTTGATGATGCCGCTGACCCCGATCCCCCCTCCCCCAGCGTCACCGCCCTCACATGGTAGGCGCGGCTGATCGGATTCGGGTACCAGGGCGCGAACTGCGTGAGCCGGATGGGCGTCATGAGGTGCAGCCAGCGGTAGACCTGCTGCCTGATCTCGAAGGGGAGGTCCATGAACGGGAAGGGCAAGCCGCCCCCTGCTTCTTCGTCGTTCTCCTCGGACGAGTCCATCTCCAGCTCCTCTTCGTCTTCGTATTCTTCTTCTTCGTCTTCTTCTTCGTCTTCTGCTGAGGACCCCTCGTTGGAGATTTCCCCGAGCATCAGGGCTTCGAAGTCTGTTAGGGCTTCCCGGTTTAGGTCTTTGGGAGCGAGTGAGGTTGGGCTGAAGCTAGAGCTCGGGATAGGGATAACGTCGAAGCTTTCGACGTGGCGCCTGTTGGAGGTGCTGGTGATTCGCCGCGCCGCGCAGTCTTCGGTTGCCCATGGAACGACGTTCCAGCTGCGCCAGCCACAACCATCATCATTATTGAATTGGTCTCGAGCCATATTTATAGAAGTGGTGGTATATATCGTTGCTTCAGAGCTGCAAAAAAAAAAAAAAAAAACCTCAAGAGTCGGTAATGCTGACAGCTGATAAATTATCAGCTTAGAGAGTAGAAAAGCACGAGGCGAGTTCTCAGCCGCATGTCCTTGAAAATCGGGACGAAAAGGAAGCCAATCCAAAAAGCCAATCAAGCGTAGCAAAGCCACTGTCAAATATCAAACTCTCGTAAACGCAGAACTCTTTTGTTTTTTTTCGTTCAGATCAGTCGGCAGGTTATATGCGTTAGGATATATACCTAGATATTTTAAAACAAGTGCAAATGCAAATGCGGAATGAGCAAGCAGCTTCGGGTTATGGTCCCCTGGCCTGGGACCCGTAACCCAATCCCGCGATGTCTTATAAATTAATAGGCCAGACGCTGACCGCTTGACGAAAAAGAGCAGCTTGAACCAATCAGCGTCTTCGGGCCAAGTCAGCGATAGACCGTTGGGAAACGGGTAGGAGGGGATAAGGGGGGAAGAGGTGGGAAAAGCCGCGGGAATATAACATCAGCTTACATACATACATACATACATAACATACATACATGGGGGGACACAATGGCCACAATGGTCACGCTGAGAGAAGAGCCGCCTCTGCCGTCAGCTCCGGTAACTCTTTCATTTATCTTGGACGCACAACAATACAACACAAACTCGTTTCCAATGAGGGTGCAAATCTGCGAGTCAAGTGTCGATCCGTTTAAACGCAGCGAATCGAAGACAAGCCCTACAAATTTCAGAAAATCCTCCCTAATTGGACTTTCATTACTTCAAAAATTCTTGATTTCTTCTCTTCACAATTCAACACGTATTTCCAACACGCATTTTTCCTCGGGCTTGCTTGGGTACGACTGCGTATACGAAAGTGGGAATGGGATTTGCGGGCTTTGAAAAGACACGTGCTAAACTCCAAACACATTTCAAACCCCTTTTCTGGTTCGTCGTGCGGGATATTCCTTTGGTTTAGACCCCAAGTTCTCCACTCTCAATCCTATCCGTCGGGCCGCATCGGGGTTCTAAGTGCAACAAATGCAGCTCCGACGGAACCTTGCGTGAGTAGTCAGATCCTGTAACGCTTACGTACAATTGGGATGGCCTCTTATAGGGCTGAATGGGTGGTACGGGAAGGAGTTCGTGACCGGTCGAGGACCACGACTGGATAATCAATGTGTGCTCGGGCTTACTGAATTTCAATCTAGATCATCTCGCGGCTTACATTCCCAATTTCGTGCAAGGAGGCTGAAATAATGATTTCCGTGTACGCTTTGATACGCATTACATTAGCTTGGGGGGTGCAAGTTTGATGTTGGTAGGCTCAATACCTTCGTTCCATGGCTTATCCCGGTGCCGCCATTGGCAATGCAACCGCATGCAAGTCATGCAAACCGGCCAGCATCGGGTAGTATTAACTATGTCATATCGCCGTATTGGGATTTGTAAAACGGTACAGGAACTTTTGTGTAAAGTCATCATTCGGCGATAACCGGATTCGTCAATATTGCTTTGTCTCCGTATAGCTCTAGGTTTCGCAAGGCCTACACGTGAAGTTATATAGAGTCGTCAAGGCATGAGGATGTACCACGTAAGGTAAGATGCTACGCTGAAGGCTCGCTTTCAGCCGGGGAAGATATCGCAGTGAAACCCGAGCAGATTGGATTCGTCGCAAACCTAGAGGAAGTCTCAACTCATAACAGTCTCCCCACGCGCCGCCAAACGCATGATATTTTCCACCATTGTACCTTCGACATCTTGTGTAACGACGCCGGGTGCGGGTGGCGGCGGCGGACGATCAATCACCATCACATCTTCATCTTCATCTTCGTCATCACCCTCGTCATCATCCAGCGACCTCTTAAGCCCAGTGCGGACATTTTCGATGCCAAGTTGCCGCTCCTCCTCTGTGAATGGGTCGTCTGCTTCATTCTGAACATACTCCATAAGTCTGCTCGTGCAGAATGTACGAGCCGCCTCCCATGTGGCCTGGATCTCTTTTTCGGACCCTTGAGCCATACCATTGCCTCCGCCATTATTATCTCGTGTTCCTAATCCCGTAATTGCACCTATGCCTTGCGTAATACCTGCCGCCGACAAGCCACCATCGCTAGACCCTATGACCATCTTTCTTCCCTCGTCAATGGCGGTGGCGATTTCAGGTTCGGGCTTCTTGCGCAAAAGCTGTAGTAGGATGTGTTCTTGAGTGCGACCGGGATAGTTGGTCGATGGGTGTACGGCGATGCGACTAAACAGCTCGGAGCGCTCCGAGGTAACACTGATGAGCGACTCCATGTTTCTTTGTAGGATGTCGGCTGAGGCTTGCAGAGAGTCACTATATTCGTAACACACAATTCGTATTAATAAGATATTTCCATCCGCTCGCTTAAAGGATGCAGTAGAGATTGGAAGGGGTATCGTACAGGCTCGGTAGTGGGTTGGTGTTTCTGACATCGGTTCTGAGGCTCTGGATACTACTAGATATCTGGGACAGTCGTTGACGCGTCTGCTCGACGGCCTTGAACTCTTCTTGGGACAAGTTTAGTGACGCCATGGTATACAAGCTTCATTCATTATCCACCGATAGGTACGGTCGGTAGGTGAATAATTGATCGATAGCTATCCAGGTAGGTAGTGTAGCGATGAAAGATACCTGGATGAACTAGACGAGAGAGAGCTAGCTCAGTTGCTCAGTTAGTGGGAAGTGAAGATGTTAAAGGTCCCCACAATTTAACTATTGCGGCTTAATCTTTAAATGGAAGAGTGGAAAAAGCGACATGGGATTTCCCAAATGCGATGCGAAAAAAGAGAGGGGTAGAAGAAATGAAGAAGATTGGCTAGATATGATTATCGTTTGTTATTTCCCTAATTGACATATGCTATTTGATTCCTTGGGCTGCTTGGGGAGGTGCACACTGCAGATACGTCCGAAGTAGGAGAGAAGGTTCAATTCAATGTTTGTGATGAACTTCTGCATTGCACTAGTCGGGGATTTCGCGGAGTTTACTAAGCACACCCCCTAACAAACCACCCTACAAAACTAACAGATGTACCTAATAGTGTGTAGGTTAGGTACTTACCCCCGAGATCCGATAGCCGAGTACTACGCTCCACTCATTTACAGGGGTTCATGGGGGCTCTTATCAAAGGATCCAAGATTCTCATTGTCTCCTGACGTCGCATCTTCCAATACAACCCACAATAGCAGCACCAGAAAATCCAGAACAAATTAGATCAAGTCTCAATTCCCTATCTATTGAATCTATTGATTCTTACTATGTAGGTACTAGGTAGTGTTCCTTCCAAGGTTGTATGTACAGCTCGAAATTAACTAAACGCCAACGCAGAAACACATCCAACGATACCTACGCAAAGCGAACCATAGGTATCTTACTTAATGCTGCGCCGTTTTGTATATCCCATCAAATAATCACCCATAACGTCGCTAAATACTCCACAAATAAATACCCAAGACTTTTATGAAGATAGCAAAGCCAATTTCCATAAATATGTGCAGGACTCCACGAGATGCATCGTATACATTACGTATCCATTAAATAAGCGTTACTCGTTGTGTGACCCAGCTTGGTCGATAGTGATGGATCGAGTCTCTAGACCGTACTTATCAACTGGTGGGTATCTAGCTCTTCGTTCCAAATCATCCAGGGGTAGGAAGGATCGAATGTATCTGTTGTGTTATCGTTAGCTTCCACTTCTTGAGCGTAGTCTGATAGATGAAATTAAGGGTCACCTACTTGGATGTGCCATTATCGTTGGGGTTGTAATCCCACGCCTCGAACTTGCCCTCATTTAGTGCGCCCCACACAAGTCTTCTTGTCCGCTGCGATAAAAGCACCTGTTCGGTAATAGCATCAAAATCCCACCTAGCCTTAGCTTCGGCCTCGAATTTCTCAAACTTGGTCTTTGCTTCTTCCTCTTCGGCGGTGAGCCCAGACTTCTTATCTACAAGTCGTGCTAAATTGACGAGCTCCAGTGGGTCTTGCTCTAGGTTGTATAGCTGTGGCGGGTCGGTTGGGCATGTGATATATTTCCAAGGGCCACGCTTGATCATCATGTAGGGACTGATAGTACCTTCGCCTGTGTATTCAGCAATAACGGTGTCGTGCCCCTCTCTGCCTTCAAGGTGGGGTAACAGAGAAAGGCCGTCCATGGGTAGGCCGGGTGCCGGCTTGGTACCCACGAGGTCACACAAAGTCGGGAGAATGTCCAGGGTCGATACATTCTGCTTGACCCGGTGCGGTGTGAATCTCCGGGGATCGGAGAGCAGAAGAGGTACTCGCACAGATGATTCGAAGTAACTCATCTTGTACCTAGATAATAATTTAGCAATCGGCAATCTTGCATATAACGCAGTCTCTTATCTTACCATAAGCCACGCTCTCCAAGCATATCACCGTGGTCCCCGCTAAATACGACAATGGTGTTGTCGTCAAGCCGGCAGTTCTTGAGGACTTTAAGTATACGCCCAATGCAGTCATCAACATAGCTGACAGCGCCGTAGTATGCTCGCCGAGCTCGCTTGACCTGGTCGTCTGAGAAGTTCTCGTCCCAGAGGTCGCATACCTTCATCAGCCGCTTGCTGTGGGCATCCTGTTCCTCCTTAGGAATCTTAACTTTTGGCAATGTAATGTCAACATCCTCGTACATATCCCAATACTTTTCTTCAATAGTATATGGGTCATGAGGATGTGTTAGTGACACCTGTTATTGGTAAATTCGTTAGCCAATATGTAGATAACAGAAATACAAATAAATCATTCCCTTGGGAGTCTCAAAATTTTAAGCTTCTCCAGGGGTGGTCCGTTTCATATTACGTACCGTAAGACAGAATGGTCGTTTGTCCGGTCCTTCACGAACCTGATCGTAAAGGAACTGAGTCGACTTATACATCACTTCCTCGTCATAGTCCAGCTGATTGCTTCGTACGCAAGGTCCTGCTTGCAGAATAGAACTGGAGTTGTGATACCACTCAAGCCGTCTTTCCGGGTCATCCCAGTTCACGGCCCAGCCGAAGTCACCAGGGTAGATATCACTAGTCAGACGAGTCTCATAGCCATGAAGCTGGTCCCCAACGAAGTGCATCTTCCCCGCCAAGGCGGTGTGGTATCCCTTAAGGCGCAAGTAGTGCGCGTACGTGGGCACATCACTTCCAATCTGAGAAGCATTGTCGTAAGCTCCGATCTTCATGGGAAGCTGCCCAGAGATCAAGCTCATACGAGAAGGGGCGCAGAGGGGGGATGGGCAATAAGCCGAGTCGAACTGAACAGACTTCGCTGCCAAAGCATCAAGGTTGGGAGTCTTAATTTGGGACTCCGGGTTGTACATCTTGAGTTGGGGTGCGGCCAACTGATCAGCCATCAGGAAGAGAATATTAGGCTGGCTGTCGGAAGAACCATCAACACCATGAACACTGTTGACTCCATTAGCTCCATTGGTCACCGTGGGTGCCGTTGGGCCATTGCCGTTTGGTGTGGCCTTAGACCGAGGCATGGAATCGATATCAGGAGCCATTGTGAAGAATTATGACTAGATGGGCAAACAGGAGAATACTATTATGTATATAGTATGGTAAGGTTCAACAGAGCTGAGCCAATTTTGACTTTGAGACGCTCAGCACACTTGTGAGGTTAAGTTTTAGGAATGATAAAGATAAAAGTTGATTTATATACGGAGAGAAGAGAGAGAGAGGATGAGTTAAGAGAAAGGGAAATAGAAGAGTATTATAAAATAAAATTGATAGGAGCCAGAAAGACTTGTCGGTCAGAGTTATCAGTCAGTCCAATCTACCTAGGTATATGATTCTCTCGCCTACTATCGGAGACGAAGATCGTGGAGCTGGCTAAAACGCAATATATACGAGGAGGGACCAGTCGGGATGTACTTGTTCAAGATGTGACTAAGTTGCCTACCTAGCACTGACTACCGAGAGCTACTCGGAGAATATGTGCTTTCCGGGGCGTGGAAGGACACGTTCCAAAGAGCCAAGACTTGTAAATATGCCTATATATAAGGATTGAAGCAGGCATCGTTCGAGTAGAAGGTCTATGTGGAAGAATATGAATTGTAAAGGAGAGACTTTGTGGGACAGATAATCGATCGTTACTGGCGTAATAATGGCGATTGATGGCGAAAGATACGCTAACCAACACCGCTCATTGGGCTTAGGTGTTTAATGTGGAGCCGTTTGTTGATAACAATACCCCATACAGCCCCCTATCACTACCAATCGTACCTAGACCATGACTAGATTATGCCTAAAACAGAGTTGGCTCAAGGGGGATCCGCATATAGTCATAAACCAATTGACCCTATCAACGAAAGACTTCTGAGTAACCTTTTCCCCATTCGGCATGCTGTCATGTACATGATTCGCTGTGCAATGCAAGGGGAAACGTCGAGGATCCTCAATAGAAAGCATCACCCCCGGGGGAGTGTACATAAAATGCCCCGTGCCGCAGGTGCAGTAGTTTAGCATGACTTTTATTGCTTTCTAACGCGCAGAAACGCCCAGAAGAATGGGGGAGGAGAGCGTCTAGACTTAAAGTGTGAGAAGTGCTAAAAAGTGACGGTTTGGAAATCTGGGGAATATGGGGATAGGGTCGTCATGTTTCTATTGTTTCCTTGTTTGATTTGTTTCATACACCTTAATAACCAAGCAAGAGGAGTGATAACTATCCGTGATATATACTACTAATAGTACTGATAGTACTTACCTAACCTTACGTATATACATATAACTAGTTATCCTTGAAGACGGAATATGCAATTCCACAGTCCCTCTAAATTCTCAGCCTAATGAGCATGAATTACATCAGCAGTAATCACGTCAGAGACTACCATACTCACGCAAGAGCGCCAAATTAATTAGTACGCGCGTTGATCGCAAACCTTTTGTTCATATATCTGAAAGTCTTGACACATAATATGGAAAAAGAATAAGAATAAGAAAAGGCAAAAAAGAAAAATGATTAGTTGGAAGCACGGCTTTCTCGTCTGCTTAGGAACATATCCCTATGTACGTCGAGTATTAACCTGACTTGCTTACATTTTCTGTCTTTGTATATTAATGCAAACACCCGATGGGATTTATAATCCAGCTTACACCGATATGCTGTGCTAACAACCTCGAAACCGAAATAATCGTCAATGTGGCGAGACGCAGCAGCGTATATCGAGCAACAAAGCAGCAAGCAAGCAAGCAGGCTGATAGACAGACAATATAGGTAAGCTAGTTCTAGCTCATCATCCACCCCGGACATCTGCCTGCCTGCCTGCCTGCCCCGCGAGCTTTTATCAACCCAGCCCAACCCATCCCCTCCCCTTCCCTTCTGTTCTGCTTGTTGCTCGCTCGCTCGCTCGCTCGACCATAAACCCACACCGATGTGACTTCCATATCCGATACATATGCATCGGTTGTCGGCGTGGGAATCCTTCGTGCATACCTAGGTACGCACATACACGCACAGTACGCACATCATCCACATACCTACGCATAATCGACCATGTATTCACTCTATCTACAGTACATGACTGATCTATTTCCCGAAAAGTCGCGGAAGCGGAGACCAAAAAAAAAAAAAAAAAAAAGACAAGACATGGCAAGAAAAAAAATTGCATGTTTCCAAGCTTGCATATATGATGCCTGCCTTTGTAGGTAGGCTATCTGGGCACCAACCTACATATTATTACCTACATAGATAAAACATGCCATGCTGCTCTTCAACTTACTACGCTACTCTTACGCCTACTCCTACGGCGCTTAAGCACGATGCAGATAGGGAAGCATTGAACCCCATTACGGGGGTGATTAATAATAATGGCAGGCCAAGAAGGAAAAAGGAGGGACTGTGACCGTGACACATGACATGTCAGAATCTGATAAGAGGCAATTGGCTTCCCTCCCCTTTCAGACCGGTTGAGAGTAGTATAGGCAAGACTATAACATAAGTCTATTACAATATTAATTATCTAGGTAGGTAGGCCAACTGTTCTAAGTACCACCCGTCGTAACCCAATCCGACCGTTCCGTTTCGGGGGGCATCTCCAACCCTCTATCTAACCCCTCCGTCGCGTAGTCGGCCCCTTGCTCCTGGGCGTAGTCGAAGCCACGCTCTGCTTGCTGGGCGTCGTCGTCGTCGTCACTGCCGGGACCTTCGGCTCCTTCATCTTGCCCCGGACCTTGGCGGATGGCGCGTTCCAGTAGTAGACCATCTGCGCGGCGAGGACGAGGTTGAGCGCGAAGCCGGCGATGAAGCCGTACAGGATCAGCTGGTCGTCGACCTCCTGCAGCGTCGTGAAGATGCGCGAGAGCGAGCCGGCGAGGTAGTTGAAGACCTGCGCGCTTCGTGTTAGCAACTGCTGTTTATCTCGAATATAGAATCAATGATTTAGCATTGGGTAGGTTTCAACTCACAGTAAATGCGCTCAGCTGGCCGGTGCCGCCCTCCTGGAAGATGGCAGCGATCTGCGGCACCTTGCTAGCGACGCCCAAAACGCCCGCGCCAGCCTGGAGGTAGCTCAGCGTCTGCATGTCAAATAAGTCGTTCTTGAACAACGTAACGACAGCCGTGGCAAGAGCGGCAATGAACAGCGCAGCCATGCTCGCCCTGCCGCTGTAGTTCAGCACCAGAACAGTGATGATAACATTCTGGCCGAGGATGAGGGCGGTCTCGCCAAAGGTGCTGAAGGGGAAGCCGTTGCGGACGTTGTAGGCGAGGGAGATGAGGTAGGACGAGGTCTCGAGGAGATAGGACAAAAAGCTGATGCCGGAGGAGGACTGCGAGCTCACGAGCTTGATGATCTGCGGGACCTTGACGATGGACGAGGCGCCGATGATGCCGATGCCGAGCCCTTTGGAGATGGCCAGCTTGAGACACTCGGATTCGGTCGGGTCAAGCTCGAGGATCAGGGCCTTGTAGCAGGTGTCGCCGATGAGAGACACACCAAGCTCGGCGATGGGAGCAGGGAGGCTGTTCGTGAGTGGCCGGAGGGGCTGCAGGGCGTCTCGTAGAGTATCCATCGCGGACTTTCTTTTTTCTTCTTTGTGTCCCTTCCCTTTTCTGACTATCTGACCTTTTTCTTTTTCTCCCCAACTATTTATTTATTACCTGCGAGAAAGGTAGGAAGCAGGTAAGGTAGCTTATGAAAATTAAAGTATAAAAAGTGTCGCAACTTTTCAGCTACCTTGTCAGCCCTAGAGCGAAAGATGTCGATAATTATGTAACTAATGGAAGCCACTTTTTCATGTTTGAGGCCACGTAAAGAGAAAATCAGCAATTAACTAGGTTAGTGTTTGCTGAGGCTGACACGGATCCGTAGGTACATAACTCTGGGGCCTTTGCCGCCTTTCAAGATAAAAAGAGCCAATCTTGGGACGCGACAAAGAGACGGACAGCGCCCTAAGATGTAATCATCAGGTGTTAAACAATGCCAACAGCGAATTAAGCCCTGTCCATATCAATTGATGGCCCTGTCATATCAACACATGTGGATGGGCTAAGCCTAGGTTGGTTTAGTGCTCATACCACTGCGTTGGTATCTTGGAGCTTGGGCCACTGTGCATTGACATTTAAGTACTACGCCGTATCAAGTACCGAAATGATAAATCTTGTTACAAGCCACCTCCGTACCGCGACGTCTCTCACTCATTATTTGCCTTTAGTTTATCAGTACTATGCCGTACATCTAACAATCGGTCACACGTTCAGTTCAGCACATCAAATTGTACCTAATAAAGGTTATCACGTAAAGGAAGCCATCAATGTTATTGATTATTAGGTAAACTATCAAAATGCCTCCATCAGCATTGTACTGTTATCGTACCAGAGTACTAGACTATCAGCCTTTGAGGTTCAGCCATCTGCCTACGCCAATGGCCTAGGTTATACCTAAAGCAGAGTACAATACCCAGGTGCCTCAATGAAGCCAGGAAAAACAGGAAAAACAGGAGAGTATAGGCGTCCTATCTGCCATTAATATGACAAGAACGCGAATACATGACAGGGGTATTATGCCGACAGTGTACAGAAGTCACAGTCCTCACCATATTAAGTAGGTCATCTCTACCGAGAATACCTAAGCCTCCAGATATCTTCCTTCCAGTTCTCAATCCCCCTTGAATCAGTGTAGCGTTCGTCCATCCCCATTAATCATTCATTCATCCGTCCATGGTAGTCCCCTCCAAAGTAAGGGGGTCAGCCCAAGGGATATCCCTAATCCGTAATCGTATCTCGTGACGTCTCATGCATCTCAACTTAGGTAGTCTTAGCCTCCTTGGCAGCCTCCTCAAGAGCAGCCATCTCAGCCGCCTTCTCGGCCTCAGCTCTCGCAATCGCAGCCTGGGCCGCCTCGAACGCTTCTTGGTTCGCGCGTATCTCAGTCTGCTCACGTCGCCAAGCCGCGAGCTTCTGTGGGCACATGCGGTGAAGGACGCTCTCGGACTCCCAGGTGTTGGCCGACATGCGTGTTCCCGCCCAGTACACGAGGTACTGCTTGGAGCCTGGGGCGCCGGTAGCAGCGGGGCGCTCGGCGAGGATCTCCTCAATTACTGCCTTGTCCTTGCTGTTCTTGCGGCGAGCTGGGCCGTCTGACTTGGGACGGAGAAAGCCAACGGTAGGCTGGAAGGATCAATTAGTGGTTAGTTTTCCGGCTTCTGTAGACGTGTGAACTTATATAAGTGTTGAATATGTAAGTACTTACGTGGTTGCCACGGAAGGGAATTGGGCCCGTCTTGGGCGACTTGGTAGGCTCAGCTGCCTTGGGTTTGGGCTCTGAATTAACCCCTGCAGCAGTGAGGTCGATGGTCTCTGCCTCTGGGCGTAGCTCCTCTGCTGGGTTGTCATCTGAGCTGTTTCCAGCCGAACTTGATGTCACGGGACGAAGTGTAGCTTTCTAAGCTCGCTTGGGTCCAGTGACACCAGAAATTCTTGAGAGCTCTTCGTCGCTCTCGGGGTTTTCTTGGGACTTGTTGTCGTCGAAAAAACGGTCGAGATTGCGCTTTGTGTTCCGGGTCGACATCCCGGGGACGAGTGTTTTCTCCATGGGACCCATCCTGCCCTTTTCTTTTAGTACATATCGTGAATTTTCAGGTCCGTAAACGGCTGAAATGAGCTGTAAATGCACAGGTGGAATAATGTAGGTATTCTCGTGTAGTTCAATAAAGTAATATGGAAGAATATCAAAGACTTACTTGTATGACAGCTTAGAAGCTAGTTCTTGTTACGTGAGGGTGGTGTGAAGCAGTACTGGATAAGAGAAGTTGGGAGATGAGGTGAGGTGAAGGAAGGTGAAGGAAGGTGAAGAAGGTAAATTAAAACCAGGTCGGCGGAGACCACAGCTAGATCAAATAAGTAGGGTAAACAAATGCCAGGTGATTGTAAGTTTCAAGGTACCTGTCGTTGTACAAGACAAGGGTTCAAGGCGCCGCTTTTCCATAAACGAATAGCATGAAGCACCCTTAGAAGGAATCGTAGTGGAGTCGAAAAGTGGTGGGGGAGTAGTAGAGGTCTGATCGAAAAGGAGGTTGAAAGGGGACGAAAGCGGCGGGGGAGAATCGGCTTCCATGCACTATGGTGTGAATAGAGACCCGCCAGTATCTGGGGGAGCCTAGTCTTACTGGAGCCCATATTCACAACTGCAACCATGGTTCGTCGTCCTCTGGTTGTGCTTTACAGTGCTTGAACCTCCATTGTTGGCTACGATGCTCAGAGATAGCCCCAGTTTATTAATATTCCGAGGTGAGCAAAGAGTACTAGTGAGAACTTTATTATTCGTCGTCTTTCTTTAATATCGACCCTCAGCTGAAACTTAGGCTCTAATGTTACGATGCCTAGAATTGCTGTGATTACTACCTAGGATACTCAAGCATAGGTATGCTAGATACGACATACAATAAGATAGTAGTCTTTTAGAACGTCTCCTTCTACTTTCCTCTTACATATCACTAATCTCAATGCTATTCCGGTATCTCATAACGACTAACAGACAACATGATTAATCAGTTGTAATCTAGGAAGGTAATCTAGGAAGCTTCTCTTTGGAGCTTTGAGAGAATCTAACATACCTACCTACCTAGATACCTAATTCGATACATTAACCGACCCTTAGGCGAAGCCATGTTTTCGGAATATCGCATTACGATGCCTTTTCAAGAGATAACACAGGGACCTCAAGATCTTAGAGCCGCTCATTCGGAATCTTCATAATTATCGGGCAACTCTTCAAACCTGCCCTCTTGCACGGCTGTTCGCACTGGATTCTCGGCGGATATCACACCATTCGCCCTCAGCCTGTGAGTGAATTAGCAGGGTTCATGCATAATAGATACGAAAATTTACCTTTCAAATAAGACAAAAAGCCTCTCTGCCTCCCTTTCCTTCTCAGCGTCGGTCATCTGGGGGGCCTCCGGCTCCCTTTCAGCGTCAAGAAACTGACCAGTAATAGGATTGATTGGTCTGTCAGAGCCTATCTGAGCATTGCTGAAGGCCTCGGAGGCATTTGAAGGTACTGGCATATTCTTGTTGAACAAGAAACCAGACGCAAAGCCATATCCTACGTTCTCAACGAATATCGATGCATCTTTATCAGACATGTCAAAGAAAAGATTAGAAATCACTTCACGTAGTTGAGGTGCAAGGGGATTTGTAGAGTTGTTCAGAAGCCAAGATGGTAAGGAGTCAGTCCGGCCAAGTACTTCAGCTCTATCGGCCTCAGTGGGTAAAAGTCGTGCACGCATTGAGTTTTGAACGTCTTTTGGCGCATGCTCATGAATGGAACGAATTACACCGACTAGAGGTGTGATACAAGCGTCTAGGTCTTCGTTGTCGTGCGCCGTAGTCGAGCGTGCCAGTAAGTCGATGAGATAATTTGCGAATGTATTGGGCTCGTTTGGAGGAAACAACGAGACCTGAATTTCCTTCGCCCCAATATCCAGGTTGAAAAGAGCATTGATTGCTGAGCCAGTGGGGGGATCGAGTGGCTTCGTAGTTAAAAACGAGCTCTTACATAACACCGTGACGATAAGAGGTATTGCTACTGTAAACGAAGATATCTTGTCCTTGCAATAGTGAGTGATGTTGAAGAGAAGTTTGAGAGTTTCCACGAGTGCCATATCTTCCATCGGATTAGGCACGGGATTGGTTGTAGAGCGAAGCTTCGCGTGTCGTTCGAGGTTTTTGTTGATAGCATCGGCCAATTGATGCTTTTCAATGAGTTCTATCAAGTTTGTATTTGTCCCATAGGTTGTCAAGAATAGGATCCTCGAGACTAAAAACTCATCATCGCAACTGTCACTTCTGAGTTTATCGCATACTTTAGCTTCATAGCCTTGATCGACAAATATTTGCCGAGTCTCTTGTTCCAGGAGCAACGCATTACAAAGGACTCGTAAAGCATTTCTCGAGGTTGAGCTAGATGAACTATCAAAGGCATGTCGAGTGAGCGTTTTGATACCCTGAGAGTTGTTAGCCAGCTAATCCTATGCACTTCTTAGTATCGTGGCTTGCCTCCTTGGTGAATATAGGATCTGCATTCCGAGGATCTCTGCCATATATCTTAAGCTCCTCCAAGGCAGAATCACGTTCTTGTAAATGAAGTTAAATGAGCGAAGCAACTTTTAAATGTCATTTTTATTACTACTCACGGTGCGGGAGTAAAGTGCCAGAAGTAAGATCTTCAGTCAGTTTATCTAATAAACTCGTAACGGCGGCCAGTTTTGCTGTGCACTTAATAAGCATAAGCCACGCCAAAAGACGCTTTAGCTGCTACTAACCAGACCCCGTCAAACTTGCTTGAGCCATTGATTCTTCTGATTTAGCTAGGCAGTGGCTTAACGATGAGAAAATACGCCTGAACGCCTCTTTTCGGCACGGAAATACTGCTGAGACATGGAGAGTTAGACATGCAAAAGTACTTTTCTTGACTGATAGAGGGACACGTAGAAAATAGAAGTCTGGCTAAAGCACCGAGTAGTTTAAATATATAAATATCCGTCAAATATGTAACTTATATGAAGCTAAGTAGTGATAAGAGAGCGTAAGATGAGAGTGTAAGAAGGGGGGGACATATATAGCGAATTAAGATTATTTAGGCCGGTAGCAACACCCAATATGTGGCAAGCGAGACGTGAGTTAAACATACATACTAGGTACTTTGAAATCGGGTTGAAATTAGGCAATTTGTCCAAAGAAGGTTGGAAGAGTATGAATGATGATTGATGGCTGTGTGCCTTTAATTCATAAATGCTTTCACTGTTAACTAGTTGCTTAAAAATAAACTCTAATCAATCTAGCATGACGTAACAGAGATAGTAATGTAAGCATTCACACCCAGGTTCGGGGCTGTGACTGATCTTGAAATATCACTGAGGAAAAAGATTGCTACCTTAGGTACCCTAGGTATGTATGTATCGAATGGGTGAAACTTGATAGATTATGTAACTGGAAATAGTTTCGCATGCCCTGGGCCCATATCACGGGATTTCAAGCCACAAGGCGTTGATGATGCGGGGAACAGCAGGCTAATCGTTACTAAGCAGTTATTTAGTTACACTAGTACGGAATAGGTAACTAGAAACCTGTCAAGAGGTTGGTTAACCGTCGTTCAGATTAGTGGCCGCGTTTGGGTACTTAAAGTGGAGGCCCAAGCGTCTCACGCGTTGATTAGTCTAGTTAAATAGTAGTAACGCGAATAACTATTTAATCGCGTCGCGTTTTAACTTTTTTACCTTCTCGTAAAGGACAGGGGCCCCACAATGTACTAAATTCAATGTCTTGCTTGCCTCATACATGTAGTAACTTGAACTTACATAAATCAACCTCCACACATTGTGCAGTATCCACGAATATTTGCTGAGCACAGCCCTTTCTTCTCATTTTAATCAATTCCCTTTTTTTTTTCGGGTTTTTTCTGTCAATCGTTTGTTTGATGTTCATATCATTTGATTGAGAGCCTTCCTACAAACTTTTCAAGGGTGTCAAGGTATTTTGATCCTCACCGCACATGATACCTGAGGTTTTGGGTGACTTTCTGCCTTGTGGGAGCAATTGGCTGGAGACGCAGCTATGATATCGCAAGTAGGAAGTAATCCAAGAAGTTTGGAATCTCTACCTGCAAGGCCGCCCACGCCCCCTCGAGAAAACAAGCAAGACGTAGTTGCTGAAAATATCCTGTCTAATCGTCTAAATCAATCTGTCGATACCCTACTAAATCTTCATACACCTCCGAGTCATTCTCCCAACAATACCAACACAACAAATACCAGCTCGCGAAGATTGGGAAAGAGGGTTGGGTTTTCGGCTGAAGCCGAGTATCGCGATGCTCCAACGTCTTTCAATAAGGAAAACGTCCGAAAACGAGCCACACCACACTCCGGTTCTTCATCGAAGCCTATCAAATCCATCTTAAAAAGACACTCGAGCCCCTTGTCTCATAGCTCGCTCGATTTATCAGCTGCCGGCAACAGCAGAGTTGGCCAAATTAATATCATAGCCATGTTGAACACAGCCATCAGGGAGCTCGCAGGAGCGGATAGGGATGCCAAGATTGATTCATATATGTCACTAGCACAGGCGCTGAAGACCTCGAACAACTTGCCCGACCGCATTGCCCTCCAGGATAAGATGAGTTTATTCATGCAATTCATACAGCGGGACATCACAGCGAAGAGTTCGAATGGGGATATTGATTCATCCATGGTGAATCATGCCCTTACCTTGCTTTGTACCTTTTTTCATTTCCCTGCTATCGCCTCGATGGTCCCTTCCAACTTCGGCGTCTTCATCATCGACCATAGCATCAAATCCTTCGGCGATCTCTCGGTACCTAAGGATGTGGTTAGGCATTTGATGCAAGTTGTAGCCTCTCAGAACTTCTCGACAAAGGTTATGACGGCCGATCGTGTTGGCCGATTGGTCACTTCTGTCCATGAGATTGAAAATCATCTAAAGGGGAAAAGCATTATCATGTCCCGTATTCTAATATATCGAAAACTAATCAAACAGTCGAGATCTCACATGTCTACACATACCGACTGGCTTCTGGACTTATTCAATGACATGCTTAGTAGCATGAAGGAGATTCGCTCCGGAGCCATTGCGCTAGGACTGGAAGCTGGGTTTACCATCGGTAGGGAACCCCAGTTGGCCAGAAGAGTCATGGAAATCCTTCATATGCAAGTCGAGGATACCCAGTACCAAGAATATTACAGAAAGAGGGTACAGGCTATGACAAAGGACAAGAGCAGCTTGGCCTTCGTACCTCAGATCTGGAGCGTCGTTGTTTTGCTAGTTAAGTGTCCTGCTGACAAGTGGGAACATTTCTGGTCGTGGTTGGAGCTTATGCAACATTGTTTCAACAGCGGAGACCCCAAAGCAAAAATCGAGGCCAACTATGCCTGGAATCGCCTTGTCTATGCGTTACGTTTCCACGAACTGCAATTCTCGAGACTTGTCACTTCCATGTCCAACGCCTTGACCGATCAGTTGAGGAGAAAAGTCGTCAGCAAGAAGTGGCAAGAAGTGCAAAGCACGGTCATGGCTGGCATCTGTAATATGATATACTATGCTTTCAAGCCAAATTTGTCCATAGCACAGGTTGACACCTATTGGGATACATGCGTTCAAATCATTTTCCAGAGTTTAATCTCTTCCACATCAATGGAGAAACGAAAAACTGGCCCAACTAAAGTTTCCGAGAACTTGAACTTGAAGCAAGCGCTTCCAATGCTGAGTGGACTATTCGACTCATCGACACAACGACTATGGAAAGAGGATCGTGTTGCTGAGAACTCACTGATCAAACCGGATGAGCTTCCCGCATTCGATCCAAAATGGGTCAGGCGAAATGCCGCGCGAGTATTCGGTATCGTTGAGCCTATCTTACAGGAAACCTTCCTGGATCTGGCGACTTCGGACTCTCCGTCATACAAGCTATGGCGCACGCTTGTAAGTGCCGTGGCTGCTGCCGCGTCCAAAGAAGTCAAGGTATCTATTGACACGGCAACATTCATGGCACATGCTTTTAGTGTACTCGCTAGGATATGGTCCCAAGGGCTTCATAAAGCGGATATCCAGCCCGAATTACAGCATAAGTTCCTAGATGCTACACACGCTTATGTCTCGACAATGGTCGAGTCTTTGGGCTTATTACCTTTTACAGAAAGGCTCCTTTCCCTCCATAAGCAGAACTCATTCATCCCTATAGCAACACCTTCGCATCGGTCAGGAAAAGGAAAAGGCCAAGGGCTTACACGAACTCCTCTCCATCACCTCTTTTCTATACTCTCTACGATACCTCCTGGCATTCCAGATGATGACGGCTTGCTAAACTTGGTCAGAACCGTTTTTGATCCCTTCGTTATCTCTCGAATTTCTTCCCACGCCAAAATGGACCTTGCTCGCGAATTTTTACAAACATTGCCTATCGACGCAATCTGTCCCTATGGGCCGTGGGTTTTCATAGCTGATATCCTTTCTCTATCCGTAGACAACAGCCAGTCCAGCTATTTGATGTCTACTCCTGGGAGTGATTCAGCGACTATTGGGCACGAATACCGCGACATTGTCAAACACTTAGAGAGAGGTCTTCGATCTACACCTAATCTACCGTGGGAAAATTGGAACACCCTATTCCAATTACTAGTAACTCGAGTCACCTGTGAAGTAGGAGAGACAGGATGTGCCATTGCAGTAGTAGAGCCGTTGGCTAAGAGCCTTATGGAGTGCCACTCATTAAGTCGAGACAAAACAGTGCCGTATATCCTTTTCAAGAGTGGTATTGAGTTGATTATCACTGCAAAGCAACCTCGGGATCGGCAAGCCCTAGATTCTGCTCGGCGGCGCCTGTGGGGTACGTCTGTTGCCGGATCGAAGTCGGCTTCATCCGACCCTTTCGAATATCTTTATCGTCTCACAAACCACTTCCTCGAAAATTCATATACGCACCTGGAGCTTTACGATCAAAATGACATTGTTGTACCTCTTCTTAAAGAGGTTGGCAATTTCCTAGCACGGTGTAACTCTGCCTCCGTTCCCAATCTGTTGGCTTGTTTACGGGATGGCATATGTCATTGGATTCAAGACTCGGACATCAAGTGTGACAGCAAACAACCTTCAGAGGTGCCTAACGCTGTAAGTGTGACTTTTTATATCCTTCTTGCGCATTTAACTCACAAGCTCTAGGTTTCTTATCTATGGGACAAGATCTGCATCCTTTTCTTGGACGTTTCTTCGCCCAGCAATCTTCAGCTTGGTGCTTTTGAAGATCTGCTCTGTGCGGCATTTCAAAGTAAAAATGGATATATCGTTATCGCTGTTTCGGCCACTTGGAACTATGCTTTTGAAAAGTTTGATGAGATTCCGTATCCAGAGAAACTCAAGGAGGTCCTTCTCTCTATTCATCCTTACGTTGATGTCGTCCTTCCCGGCTTGGACGTTGCAAACTACGAGTCTAGCCGACAAGAGCCATCTTTCATAGAATCTCAAGATGATTCAGAGGGTCCGGCCCAGAACCTGAGCGGTGCCGGCCAACTTAATACACCAGAAAGGCTGCTATCATCTGGGCGATCTGGTAGCCCTGGATCTGTTCAGCTTTCATTGCCGACTAAACATCGCGATGACACCACACCTAATATTTCTCGGCCAAGATCCGCCAAGTCTAACGTAACACCTAGGCTAAGACACGATAATTCCCAAATTCAGTTTGCACCCATAGAATCTTCGCCAAGTCACGACGCGAAAGAGTCTCAGCTATTGACAGACCGACAGAAGGAAACCCGCGAACGGCAACGGGAAAATGCTGCTCTGTATTCTGATGTCCGAGTTAGCACAGAGAAGCAAAAATCTCCTCAGCCAATATATCGACCAGCGTCTCAGCATTCAGGCCAAGCACAGCATCCATGCCAACCGCGCGCTATTACACCCCAACTTGATCATGTTGAAGATTACGTGTCTTCTACCCCAACACCCCGCCGAGGTCAAGCCCCTATTAGTTATGAGGATCAAGAGATGACTGATGATATTCCCTCATCGCCACCAAAGCCTTGCCGGAACCTGCTCCCCCAGATGAAACCTGGATGTTCTCAAAACAGCAGCGTGTTCGAGGGTTTCCCAATCCTATCTTCACCCGTTTCAGGGTCGCCAGTGCCAAAGCGAACAATATCAACCGATGAAGAGAACACAAAACAGGCAGTTGCAGGCGATGTCGAAGACGATGTTGCAGACGATATTGAACATGACGTTGAAGAAGATATTGAAGACGATACAATGGAATTCGCAAATCATGGAAAGGTCGATGAATCAGTAGGGTCGAAACCAGAGCTAGCGCTTACACCTGTAGGAAACGGTTCTCCTAGGCATGTTACTCCTCGAGGGACGGCGAGCCCACGCATCACTCGTTCTTCGAGTAAGGCAATGGTCTCATCCCCTCGGTCTGACTCGGAGGCGTACGTCGACGCTCCCAGCAGCCCATCTCAAACATCACGGGCTCTTCGTAGCAAATCAAAGGCCAATCAAGCTAAAAATAGCGAGGCGCCTGTCTCTCAGTCCAAAGACATCTCCTTCGAACTTAGCGATGGTGAAGAAAGAAGTATGGCGCGTTTAGTAATCCCGCTCGATTCTAGTAAATGCGAGCCGCTGCCTGGATACGGCAATAAATCGCCAAAAAAGCTAAAGGAAACGGGTGGTGTGTCCTTGGAATGTATTACGGTCCAGACGGTGTCAAAGAGATTGCGGAGTAGGTCCAAAAAGGGCGAGAGTAATCAAACGTCGCCAGTCATGTCCCCGGCGTCTCCTGAGGTAGAGGCCTCGCATCCGTCGAACAGAAGGGCAAAAAGAAAGAGGAAGCGGCACGCTGAGAGAGACCAGGAATTCGTTGGCAGCAGCAAGAAGCAGAAGCATGGCATGCATGCAGAGCCTGAACCAGTAACTAATAACACAGTTTCTGGGGATATTGATGCAGATGCAATGGAAATGGAAATGGAAATGGATGCGGCAATGGAGGATGGTTTAGAGCTGGACAAGGAAGCTTCTTTGAGCTCTTCGCCTCTGTATTTCAGCTCCAGTCCCCCTGACCGTGAGTCTGACACAGAGGCGGTGAATCTACAAATCATTACCGAAGCATCACAGCAGTCGGGAGCGGGGGCTTCGAGTCCAACAGGTTCCCAGTTGGAAACAGTACTAATTGGTACGGATACTGAGATGGAGGGCCAAGGCGTGGAGGAACAGAGTGCTGCGCCGATAATGCCGCAGGCAACAGAGATTGCTATGCAGCAGGCACCTACAATTAAAGAAGCAGTGCCGGAGAAACCATCGGCAGATGTAATTATGAAGGCCTTGATGGAAAGCCTTCAAGGTCTCCGCACGGCAACGTTGACGAGAGATGAGGTGAACAGGATTGAAGACGTGTTCTTTGACATCAAGAAAGAGTTGTATCAAGCAGAGAGCCGGAGCCGGAGCCGGGATAGGTTTTCATGAGGAAAGGGGTTCGATGAACACTGAGCTGAGGACTGGCATGACTCAGACTCGTTGTAAATTCATGAGAGAATAAGCATGGGCAAGGAGTTTCAGGTGACATTAAAAGACGGTGTGTTCACCCAGTTGAATATACGATACCTAACTAAGTAGTAAGTACCTACTCAGGCACGTATGACTATAAACATTCAATGGTGCTACGATGGAATGCATGGTTCCAGATGATGGTTACTTACCTAGGGTACTAAGTAGGTAGCTACATAATGTATTTTATAATACTCGAGCTACGTGGACTTGAAAGTGAAAGTGAGAATGAAAGTGAGAATGCAAATGAGAGGTTTGGTTTGGCTTTCTTGATGTCCCGAATTAAAACGATTGGTTGAGATGACAAGTTTCAGTTAATGGTAATCGGGAACCTTTCTCCCTTTTTCTTTGTCGATCATGCTCGGATTAGGTACAGCTGCATAGCATACATGTAGGTACTATTAGCACTGAGGTTGCCCGCTAGGTCAGGTAAATACCCTACGGTACTACTAGGTAGGTATGTAATAGATGCCTCCAGTGTCCACTGCAGGCAGGAAGATGGACGTTTCAGGTTATGCAGTGCCACCGCAAAATATACGAATGTATTGTGACACTGCTACTATGTACCTGGTAGCCTAGGTAATAGGTATACCTTAACTACCTAGGGTACCTATACTTACTGTCCATAGCTCAACTTATTACAACTAATAATACTAGGTACTGTAGGTTGGTACGTAGGTGCCGATGTGCACTTTTAATTCTCCGAGGCTCTTTATAATAAACCATCGTCCATCGTCTCCCCAGCATCTACATATATTATTCTATTACTCTATTGACATAAAAGGTATTGATGCGTACTATATTTCAAAAAGAAAGCTTGGAAGTTTAAAGGTACCTGTTTGAAGTTACCTAAGGTACCTTCACAGTAGTAAGTAAAATCCAACATTGAAATATAAATAGCCCTTGTCCAGTTGTTCTTGCCGTCAATCGTCAAATACGATTAGCGATTACCCCACCAACAAGAACCCAGCAGTACGGGATTATATTTACTTTAACCTCTTTTTACCCCGCCATGACATGACTTCAATGTTCCTTGTCCATCTTCGTGCCTCATCAACCTTTCTTTACATCACCACCTGGGCACTTGACAAACAATATTCCTAGTTCCTAGCTACCTATTTACTTACTCCAAACCATCTAGCCTACTCATCTACCTGCCTAATTTAACAATACCTACCCTGGTACTTTGCTAAAGCTTCGCATTCGCAACTAGAACACCTAACTACCTACCTAATCAACTTACGACAATGGTTGACCGACGTAACAAACCTATGGCCTTGGCCACCACCCCGGGTCTACCGCCTCAACCCCAAGTTCACTTCTCTCATGGTAATTCGCGCGTTATCGCCGTCTTACCCACTGGTGATAGTGTAGAGGTGCTATTGTATGGCGCTACCGTCACCAGCTGGAAAGACCGCTTCGGAACAGAAAGGCTCTGGCGGTCCGATGCCGCCAAACTTGACGGATCCAAACCCGTACGAGGCGGAATTCCTCTTGTCTTTCCTGTAAGTTGTGCTTTTTCACCTCCTGGTGTTTAAACCTTGTTTTATTTTTTATATCTGTATCTATATCCATATCTGTGCCTGTATTTTACCTACCTGTCGCAAACAGTGCGCGCAACTTACAATGCGGGAAGCTACTTGCTAACATCGTGCGATTGATCGTTAGGTATTTGGTACATCGCCTGACCACGCCGCAACTGCGAAGCTTCCCCAGCACGGATTTGCGCGTACCTCGCGCTGGGAATTCCTAGGCAAATCGAGCTCCGAGTCAGCCGGTGCGTCTGATAGCTCCGTCAAGCTTGATTTCGGTCTCTCGTCCAACACACTCGACGACAATACCAAAGCCCTATGGCCATACACCTTCTCCATCATCTACAGCGTCACCCTGACTCCGGAACACTTGGGTACTAGCATCGTCATTACTAATGATGGTGATCAGCCCATCGAGTTCCAGGTCTTGATGCACACTTACTTGAGGATTAGCGTACGTATATATCTCTTATATTTTCTCCGCGCACCCGCTACATGTCTGTGACGAGATTCAGCTAACATTCAATGCGCCCCACAGGACATCACCAAGATTCAAGTGACCGGCCTCGAAGGCTCGGACTACGTTGACAAGGTGGATGCTGCCCAAGCGAAGAAGCAATCAGGCGCCATTACCATTGCGGGCGAAACAGACAGGGTATACTCGCCGGCCACGGATCCCACAAAGCCCGTGATTATCACAGAGGAGGGGGAGACAGTTTTCAACATCGTACGCGACAACCTTAAGGACGTTGTCGTGTGGAACCCCTGGACAGACAAGGCTGCTGGCATGGGCGACTTCGAGCCCAAAGACGGCTTCAAGAACATGATCTGCATCGAGGCGGGCTCGGTCAAGGGATGGGTTACGCTTGACCCCAGCGACGCATTTGAGGGCGCTCAGACCATCTCCGATTGACTTGACGATGGTCCAGCTGGCAGGAAGATTGGGGGTAGATTATGAAAGGCAATGATCATCTAGGTAGTCAATGAGCCAGTTGATGAAGGATGAGGGGGGGTTCAGACAAAACTGGCCTGATGTGAAAATGAAAGAGAATCACGGAACTTTATGAGAAATCATTGGTAGAGCTCCTTTTACCTTTGTTTTTTTATGACCTATCATCTCTCTTATCTTTCCTGGTGGAAGGTGAGAAGGTGAGAAGGTGAGAAGATATGGGAAATGATATGATATGATATGATTTGATGAGAGTCGTAACTTAACTAGATTTGTTGAAGCGAGCGAATCGATCTATCCCGATTGGCATGATCTATGTGTGCTTATATATATATATATATATATGTGTGTGTGTGTGTGTGTGTGTTGGGAATGATCATGGTGTTTAATCAGTTCGTGCGTGAATGTGAGTGTGAAGTTGTCTGCCTACTTGTCTATGAGATAAATGGTTTCGATTCCTTCTCCTGGAAGCCGCGCAGGAAGAGGGAAGGCGGTACCTACCTCCAGGTCGATATGATATCAGTAACATCGGCTACCTATTGCTCTGGTTTGGCTAGGTATGTAGGTATCTGCCCACATGATGTATCCGGTAGACTTGGTTTCTTACCACTGGCTGGTTGCCGGGCGCCTAGATGATCAGTACCCGCATGATAGCAGCATCGTCACGGTGTTGTTCTTGTTGAGTAGGTACCTGCTTAACCAGCTAGGTAGCTGACTAAGTTTGGTTCTTCTCTTGATATCATGCTTAGGTATGCACATACCTGGTTAGGCAGGTCGGCGTTGAGCGGATAGCCTTAACCTACCTAGTGTGGCGTGTACTTAGGTAGGTACCTAGATAGGGAGAGGGGAGGTGAGAAAGGAAGGAAGGAAGGGAGGGAGTGGGTGGTTATCCTAGGGTTCCGGAGTGACTGGGTTTCTGGTTTTTGAAGAAGCTGCTTGTTAGTAAGTAGGTACCTGAGTAGGTATCCAGCGCATGTCCGGAGGCTGGCTGGGGCGAGGAGGATATCGCGTATATATTCTATCGCCCTCGTAGTTGCATTTATCCAAAAAAAAAATTGGGGGGGGGGGGAGGGTGTTGGGAAGAACGCCTCGCGGGACAACGACAGCGACGATGACAGCGATGACAACGATGTTGTGATAAGTCTTCGGGATAGTGCCTTGTGCCGTGGTTCGATAAATGGGGGTTGTTGTGTATACTACCTACCTAGGCACCCAGCGATGTACCTACCTAGCCTAGAATAAATCTAGTTATAAAGGGATAGCTACCTAGTTATGTTCATTTAAGACTCGTGGTTTTTATCATCGGGGTGCGTGGATTCATTGGATGAAGCTTAGAACGATTCTCCTGAGTAGGAGGTTCCCGCTACGTATGTATGCTATCCTCTGAACTCTTTACTTATTGCTAGGCACCTAGGTAGGCAGGTACGTGGTGTTGACTCTGTGACGAGGTAGGTATCCTTTTCTTACCTTGAGTACTATTGACTGCCGCAACTGTCACGGGCGGAACCTAGAAGATGTGGAACAAGGTCTATTGTTGTTCCGCGAGGATCTCTGACATCTCCCCGGAGACTACCTATAGAAGCTGCGTATACATGTAGCAGTATTTGTTTTGGCTAGCCGTTGGGTAGATCTTTTGCAGCAGGGTGATGATCTTGTCTCGTGGTAATAGGGGTTTGGGGGGGGTGGGTTAGATGTTGGTTTGGTCCCTTGGATGAGGCGGTGTGATGAAAGGTATAATTTTCTCTGTTCTGGAAAAGTCTATCACTGTATGTGGTGATAACTGTTGGCTAGATATCTACCCAGGTAGTCCATGGCTTACTCTTGAGCTTTAACAGCTTTGCTTTGCTTTTTTATGTTAGGGGTGCCGTTTGTTCAAAAAAGGAAGAATCATCGACTTTGTTCAGGCGACAAGTCTGACGATGTCAATGAGATATTCTAGGTAGTTTTTGCTGACCAAGTTTATCTTATATCAGTAGTCCATGAGAAATGAGAAGAGTCGTTGTTGTGAGAATAAGGTTATGCTAGTTAGCCAGATCATCAACTCGTCATGTGTATCATATCTAGGTTAGCGGAAATGAGCAAGATAGCTTTTCTCAGGGGCAGGCTTATTTTTCCTGATACTCATTGTTCACTATACAAACAATTGACCATCCTACTTGGTCCCGTGTTTCCGTAGACTACATCTGAAAGCCTATCAGCATTACCTCTGTAAGATGTTCTCTTAAATTCATGTCATATACGCCCCCTTTTTGAGCTCAGACCTTTTACATTCGGGGTATGAGAGCAAGAAGCTATCCTATGTGCACGTTAATCTAGTGGTGAGGGTGAGAGACAATAATATATCCCAAAGAGACGATCTATCTAGATATGTTTATGATATATCACTGCACAAAGTTAATAAATGAATAATCCATCGCATGATGTGTTGTAGTCGCTCGAATAAAGTTTACTTAGGCATTTACTAATACTCATGGCAATAAACTTCTATAAGCTCGATATAAGGCTGATATATTCCTAGGTTAGAATGCATAGCCCGCCCTTTTCTTTCTAAGGTTAAGTCACTGTAAACGGATGGTCATGAATGCCTTAGGTACATATCTAAGGTTAGGAGATATATTCCACCCACATTAACAATCATTCTACATTGAAGAGCATTGCCATCTAATAGCATCCTACACCACCAAATCCTCATATTCAGATCTCACGAATGAGGAAGTCATTAAGGTACAACTAAGCCATAATGAGCCTTCCCTCTTCGTCTTCATTCTTTAAATTAACAACACCTTTAAAGAACATCCAAAATCAGCTAGACAACTAGGTAAACCAACATCCCTTTAACCAAGTCCGGAGGGCAGGGGAGTTCCCTAATTGGCACGGACACGAATCCGGGCCGAGAGGAGAGGACGCCCTTTAAACAATAAGCTTTTTTTTTCAATCACTCACTCACAATAACATCACATGCCAGTCAAAAAAACCCTCGTCGTTCGGTTTGGTTTGCCGTTCATGCTGTGTAACGTGTAACGAAACTGGGTGGGCGCCCCATCGCGAAATGGATGTCGTACAGGAATCTTACGTTCGTCTAACGTGGGATATACGTAAGGGGTCGGGCTGGCAGGTTGTTCGCCACCTTCCAGACCTATGGGGAATTTTCTTTCTCTTCGCCCAAACAGGGAGATGGATTTCAGGTTGGGTGGATGGATGTACTTGGATGTATTTGTTTGTATACATGTTATTTGGCTACAGACTGTTAGTGAGGTGAGATGGAAGTGTATCGTGAAAGACTTTGGGGGCAGGTTTACCTCACAATATTGTCGTGATATAATTCTGCCACGGTGCACTGGAAATGCCTCAGGCGTGAATCAAAGTCTTTTATGGTTCACTTCTTCCACTTTATCCCTTCTGCGATGTACAAGGCAAGCAAGTCGTACCAATCAAAAAGCTTTGTAAATAGGTATTAGTTAAGTTGTAAACCCTTTCGTTGGGGATTCTTTTACTGAGAGTTCCAAACGCTTATACCCCTAACTCGTAAGGCTTTAACCACTAACTAAGAGAATGAGGCTCATCTTCCAAAGCCAATTACAGACTTCCAAACTCATATGCATCTGGTTGGTCCCCGATCTCTCAGTCCAATCACGTACATTTATGGTCATTTGAGACAAGGCTACTTACTTATGAGTATTCTTTTGACATATAACCTTATCCCCCAATAATAGATTTCTTAATCATAACCCTAGCTAAGCAGGGACCCAGTAATAATGAATTATTCTTAAGGGGGTGATTCGATGGTCCTGAGGCTACAATTGTCAGTACTTGCCGAGGACTCACATGTTCATTTTCTCTAACTAATTCATAATGAGAACGTTTGTATTATCCTAGACTCTCGTCAACCAAAGTCTTAGATGAGCTATTCGAGGTAGTTCCCCTTGATTGGTTGTCTTAAAATAGAAGTTCTGGTGTTACATTATGACCATAAGAAATACCCCCCTATCCAGTTCTCTATTTGAGGGCATTGTACTTCCACTCACCACCAGATGAATATCATCAAGTTTTCTTAAACGTCCATTAGCCATCTAGGCTTTGAACTCAGTAGCTGGTACCGTTGATTCCAATCATAAGGTTCGAACCCTGAAGTCTTCAGTTATCGCAAAATGTCTTGAGTAGGTAGCACTGACATAAATAGATCACATACCCAGAGTATAAAGAACCAACAAGAATAATATAACTCACATTTAGGCTAGGCCAACTAATAGCATGTTGACCCATCATTTCACACAAAGACCTATAGTCTAGATGCTGCGGAACGAATCAACGCCGTGATATTCTGTTCGCAACTGGCAGGTTCCATGTATCTTCAAATGAGACAAAAAGTCCAGCTAGCCTGCCTAGGAAGGCGAATAGTCCATAGATAAGGCCAACACTATAGAGATGAATATCGGGTGACGGAATGTTGTCGTGTATAGCTCTTCGAAAGACCAATCTAGAGCTGAGAGAGCGTGTTACTCGGGTGTTCGAAGTGAGAGATAACATTAAGATATTTCAATTTTCACGCCGGTTATAAATTCGTTAGATTACCTAAGCTATATTTCTCCTTTGCGTATGTGTTATAGAAACAGATCTGTACATGCAGGTGAGAAGTGACGGCACCAAAGTATTAAGTATACTGGGTCTAGATAGGTTAAGTGAACCGCATCGTAGATACTTACATAGGTAGGTAACAGTATCGCGGACGGATGTCGTTCCCCAGATTGGTCCCCAGAGGTCTAGATCGTGCTCTAGGTCTATCTAGATCTCGCTTGTTACCCCGTGCGGGTGGCCAGCGGGTGGCCAGCATCCGCCGTGTGGTTCCATGAAGCTGGGTCGTCGGGTCGGGTCTGATAAGCTTAATGATGTGATCAGATCATCTAGACTGTTAGTCTTGCCGTCAATACATACATATTACATACTCGCTAGTCACACATGTATGTATGTATGTATGTATGTATGTAGGTACTCCTTATCTAGCGACTACATCATCATGCCATAGGTATCGCGAGCTTGTGGAAGATACTTCCGATGCCCGCAAATCTCATGAGATCGCTCTAAGATCTTAACCGGTGGGAAATCGGCACTACCAGACTGTAACGCGCAATTATACCTGTGAAAACATCCGAACTGTTCTTCGTAGCGCGTATTCGCCAAAATACGTAGCTAGGTAGCTGATCAAATACATGGACAGGTAGCCAAGCGAGTATCAAGACACTAGAGAGACCGATCTATCTCCACATCGCGTAAAGCGCCGGCGGCACGTACCTAAAAGCTGTCTATACCTAGTCGTTTTCCTTTTCGCGAACGCTTGATTACATAGGTATGTATGTACTAAACCGCCAAGCTCCATCCACCAAGATCTACAACAGGGCATGCATGAGGTAGATGTCATACCCGTTAGATTCTTTAGGATTCGAGGCTAAACGGAACATTATTGAAGTTTGATTCAGATTAACTAGGGCCGAGGAAAATCACCCCAATGAGGGAATAGGGGGGGTGTTTCCGGAAAGGGGGGGGGGCGCCATTTTTAGGCAATGGACAACGGGTTAACCCCCAACTTTGGTACATACCTACCTACCTACAATGCCAATACATACCTTTCCCTAGCAGCTTGATACCTACCTTACTATTTATGTATGAGCATAGCAGTCCATCCCCCCCCCCCCCCCCCCCCCCCTCCCAAAAAAAAATCCCTGAATTTATGGTCTGCGTATGGTTACACCAAGGGCCCGTTACGCTGAAGAGTCTCTCTCTACGCACCACCTCCCTACCTAGTACCTACCTACCCTACCTAGGTGCATACATATTATAGTACTATGCTAAGGTTACTTTCTTCCGATCCGCATTTCATGCATGACGTCCGTCTAAGGACCCATACTAGGAGATCAAGGCCAGATCTTCGACATAGAAAAGGGACAGGGGGTCTCATAGCGATACCGAGTATTTAGCGCTCCTTTCTATTATGTACTTCAGATGCGGTAGTTGCTAGGTACATACGTGTAGTTAAAGTGTCAGGGGGGTAGAAAAGTGGTCATTGGTAACATAGTATTAGTTAGTTACTACTGCGTTTCTTTCTTGAAGAATTCGGATGTATGTACGCTAGGGAGTATGTTGTCGGAAGAAAGGTTTTTTTTTTTTCAGGAAAAAAAAAAAGATTGTTAAAATTTTTGACATGCCTAAAAATATCATTGTGAGATGTGATGACTTCAACTTCATGTGTCTTAGCTGCATTGCATCGAAAGCTGTTGTTAATTTAAATAATTCGGTGATGCAGATGGATATGTTTTCCTCCTCTTTGCATACACCAACACGAGCTTCCCCCATTCCACTGTAATTATTAGTGTGCAATCCATCATGTAACATCTCGCTTGTTATGTGCTTCAATACCTACCAAATAGTATATGTAGGTACATACCTATTCAATATATTATATGCCTATACATACATACCTAGTAGGTACCTAACTTGGGTAGGTAAAGTCAGTCTTGAGTATAACTGGAGGTATGTGGATATACTTACTAAGTAACTACTACATGTAGTAGTAGTTCGTTCTACTTTGGTAGACAATGTACCCAAGTATAGGAATGAAGCACGCGAGAGCTAACTACCACGTTGTTGTCTCGGATAGGAAATGAAGAAAAAACGGCCTACCAAGCCGAAGTCGATCCTCCGAGACAATCTCGATCTGCCTGTCTCGTACGAGATTAATTGAGATTTCGAATCCAACCCTCTCCGTTCGCCTTCTGTCGTCATCGTGATCATCGTTGCCCACGCATTCTGTTTTGTTGGAGAGAAAGTTGGGGAAATTTTTACGATATCTCACCTACAGGAGGGCCTTTCGTACAGGTAGGTAGGTAGGTAGGTAGGTAGGTAGGTTGGTTGTTTAAGTTAGGCAGTTATATGCACTCAAAAGCAGCTCTTAGCAGTCCCGTGTTATAGTAACCCCCTTCTTCGTCCTTCCCCAACTCTCCTTTTTCCTCGTGTTCCGTTGCAACACTCCCCGATCCAGCTGGGTACGGTACGGTGCGGTACACCATGATGCGGGATACACTCTCCAATACTCCCTATGAAAAGGTATGGAGCGCGGTACCTATTCGAGGGAGAGCTAGAGGGGTTTCGATAGAGACATGCCCGCCTGAACTTTTTAAACGAAAACTTAACACGCCCCCTCCTTTTCCTTTTACATATAGTACATACATACATACATACATACTCCCTCCCTGAGCCCCATATCCCTCCTCCTCCCTCCTTCACCCCCCTGTCACCCTACCATGCACCTTATTTGTAAAATCGTGCAGGATCGTGGACGCAGGTCCGAGAGGATGAGGTTAAGCGCGGCTCGCGAGGTTGCACATCGTCCAGGGTTTTTCTCGTGGTTCGTGATTAGCGCGGCGCCGTAGTCCACATTGGCGCTCGGTAGTACTACTTTAGACTACGCAGTACATTACGCTACATGCGCTATACCCTCTCGCGTGTAAGTCTGTAGGCCTAGTTACATGTAGATGTATGTAGGACGACATGTGCGGAAAGTCTCTGTGGGAAGACAAGGAATTAGTGCTGCTTGGTTATTCCTCGCACATACATAGTACATACCTACATATCTTGGTACCTACCTACCTACCTACCAGGTCCTACCTACCTACATACATACATACATATATGAAGGTTGTCTTGCTAGTTGACTTGCACTAGTCTTGCAAATAGTTGTACAACGAAATACATGCTTGGCTATAGGTTATAGGTTATAGGTGGGTAGGTACTGTAGGTATCTGCATGGACTTAGCGAGAATGAAACCCGGAGATACAGAGAGGGTGTAGTGTCTCAGCCCTGAGAGCTGTCAAGCTGTGTATAGTTCCCTATTTGAGACTTGCCTACCTACCTATACATAGCCTAGGTAGGTATCATATGTATTATTACTGAATGTAGTTAAGAGGTCATCATAATCATGTCAAGATCAAGGTCTTGGATCGTCATAATCTGCATCTCCCACCCTTCGGCTGCACACCCCCTATATTAGCATACCTATCAGACGTACAGTAAGGTACATTAACCTATATAGGTACCTATATTACCTATCCCTCCTACCTACCTAGCACCTACCAGCCTATCCTACGATTCCTACCTACCTAGCTACCTGCTTACCCACACCTATGTAACCTTTCCAGTAGCGAGGTACATATTCCACCGATGTGATCGTCGATCGAGGAGAGTCCTTGGAGGAGATCACTTTGGGATCTCAGGCTAGCAGGGGGGTCAAGTGCTTCATTGCCGGGATCCTGGGGTGGACACGACCATGGGCCCTTCGCTGCTAATCCGTTCTCTCGTCAGCCCTTTTTTCTCCCCTTTCCTCTTCGCTAACCTGGTTTTCTGAGCAACAACCCCCATCTCACGCGAAACGTTGGTAAGGGTAGTTAAGCAACGCCAAAAAAAAAAAAATCGAGATCGACATCGTGACCGATCCTTTCTTTCCTTGGGTCCCTCGGCTTTCCGCCGAACGCACGCACGCACCTATTTTTCGTTACTTGCCGAACAGCTCCATGACGTCTCTGGGGAGCATTCTTGACGTCGTTGTTTCCCTTTCTCTTCGAAACCCCCGTTGCTCGACCAACCCCCCCTTTCCCGCAACCCCGGAAACCAAAAAAAAAACCAAAAAAAAACTTGACGATCGATACATCATTTTGCCTAGGTTAGGTTACTTACTGATGTACATACATACATACAGACATAGTTAAGCCATATGGATATGGTGGGACAACACACAACGCGCGCTCGCGCAGTGCAGTGGTCGCGTTTCGCCACCAACCCCGGCACATACCTAGGAGCGATGAATGTTCACTAATGCCGGCAGCAGTATTCCGCGAGCGAGCCGGCGAACGAGAGCATGAGGGCCTGCTGTCCCATCCTACGAACCACTCCAATCCTTGGTGGTGAGGGTAAGGTAAGGTAGGTTGTGTCACCCCCCCTCCCTCCCTCCCCTCCCCCCCTTGTCCCCCTTCCCACATACATACACACACCCACACACACACTTACACATTACACATATATGTATGTAGGTATGTACAATACATACATACATATAGTGCACACATATTACATTAATTTACATACAGCACCCCTTCAGCGCAGTACATTAGTGTCGTCGCACCTGCGAGTGATATCGCATTGGCGTAGGCGTTGAACATTAGCGTAAATATGTAGTTGAAACATATCTGTACTATTATATCGTGCAGTACTACTTACACTGCACTAACTGAGTCGGTTGGTCGGTTTGCGCATATACCAAGCCCTAACAACATCTTTGGCCTACATCAGATCAGGGGATCAAAGGGCGCCGATACGATGCCTAGATATGTACAAGAAATAATGCCATGCGCGATAGATCGCCGAATACAATAAAAACCTCCAATAGCTACCTCGGCATATATACCTTGAGCACAATATGTATGTACATTCTTCGCAGGGGTGATTGGACGGATATGGAGATGGAGATGGAGATGGAGATGGGAGCTTGGGGGGGGCTGCTTTGGTTGGGGGGGAGCTTGGCTTGGGGATCAACTGCCAAGACCCAAGACATGCACGTAGCCTCTCATGGGTAATCCTCGCTCGAATAAGGAGCGACCTTTATTTTCCTAAATTAGTTTCCATCCGCACCGCCGTGGTGGGATCGTGGGTTTATCTCCCTGTTTCTTTTTCGTTTCTTTCTCTGCGGGTGACACAAACGAACGTCAGTCAAAATATAAAGCTACTAGGTAGGCACCTGGGTAGGTGGGTAGGTAGGTAACTAATGGAACTGGCTCGGGTTACCTAGTTAAGCCACTCGTGGAGATATACCTAACCTATGGAGGTATGTATAGGTATTACGTCAAAGCCTCCTTTTATCTGCAATAATTCATTGTCATGGTCTTTATTTTATTTTTGGAAGGTGAGAGACAGAAAGCGAGAGACGGAAGCAGGGACAGGGAAAGTAAGTCAGTGAGTTGGTTGTTGGTATCTACTGTATTGTACAGTAAATAGGTGGTTAGGTAATCTTCATGTCCGAAGAGACCGAGACCGAGGCCGGGCGGGCTCCTACCTCCATTGCCTTGCTCTCGCTAGTAGTCCGGAGGAATTCCAACGAACGTGGATCGTGCGTGCGTGCGTGTTGAAAAAAAAAAGTAGCCGAACTAGCATGCGGCTGCTATGTGGGCACTAGACCGAGCCTACATACGCCATCGTATCCCTATACAGCCTTCTCCTTTCACTGTAATGATGAATCCTGTGCAGTAGATCCGGAAAATAAGTTCACTAGCTATCTTGCCTAGGTTGTGTCCCATTACCTAGGAAAGCAGCTCGGCAGGTGGAAAAGAAAATACCTACGTGTAGCTAGCTTGTAGGTAGCTCATGCTTAGGGGAAGTTCAGATTATTAATTACAGCATCCGCGGACGTCGACTAGGGGAAGGCAACAATACAGGTAATCCATGTAACCAGAAACCCAGGTAACGTTCGAAAGCACGCACGATCACGAATCCAGATGGAATTGCGGGGAGGCGAGGTTCGGCCTACCCTAGATACCTAGGTTATACATATTAATTAACAAAGGCAGTCCTTACCCAGACTTACAGAGCTGGTGCTAACGTGCATGGGACTAGGCTAGGAGGTTAACGTGAGAACAAGTGGGACGCCATTCCTCTTCCTCTTACTTCTCACTCCTCTTAGTAATGCCCATTGGCATCTCTCTTTGGTTCTGCTCCGAAAAGTCCCCCCCTCCCAACCAGCCAGCCATCTTGCATAGCGTTTCCCGGGCCCCAGGTTTGAACGGCTTTTCTGACTTGTTCGCTTATTCTTATTGAAGAAGGTCGCTCCGGAGAATGGGAGAGAGAGAGGGACCCAAGATCTGAGTATGGAAATCCTTCGTCCCCCCCCCCCCCCGCTGCCCGGGGATTTCCCTAAACCTTGGGAATGGGTAGCCGGCAGACGAACCCGGTAGTGATAATCTTATGTACATATTTCTTGACTACGACAGTAGGTATCCATGGATTCGGAGTGGTAGTTTTACCTACCTAAGTAAGGTACATTAGAGGTATGTAGGGTAGGTAGGTAGGCAAGGTCCGGAAAATGACCGGCGTGTTGTAAAAAGCACGATGCATACAACATATAACTGGAGTTGGTCTAATGTATGTACCAACATAGTATGTGTAAAAAGTACCCAGATAATAAGTGTTTGATAACTCCATATTTCGGCAAAGGTACCTAGTTACCCAAGTAGATATGTTCCCGAGCCGATATGTAGGATAGGATAGATCGGTATCTAGTTGGATGTATTGTACTTTCCCGTCCTTCAAACGGCGACCTATTATCTGAGCAATTCCGCGTAAGGTGTAGAATGCGGTAAACCGTAGACGGTCTAGACTCGGCTACCGAGCGACGAATGATAGCCCGTAGGGCAATAACTAATGTACAATACCTACCAAATATGGCTCACGTCAGCCAGCTGATACATATTTCCAAAGAGTCAAGTGCCACAATATGCCGGGGCGTAAACGAGTCGTCAAGCTCTCCGACTGGGTCGCAAAGGAGCCTATGAGCTTCTACAGACAGAGCCTCTGGCCTTGGCAACATCGAAAGGGCTGGGGGGAGGCGCAGCGCTTGTTCTTCAGCTGGGCCTGCTGGACCTGCTGACATTTGTAGATGTGATTACCCCTGGGTACTTCTTACTACATCCATCCCTTAAGTAGGACTAGGTAGGTACTAGCTAAATAGGTACCTAGTACCTACATAGCTCCTTTATGGTAAACCCCCCTAAATAAGTTGTTGCTGTTGTCGTTATTGTGACTGTTACCGTTGCTGTCGTTGTTACTGTTACTGCTGCAATTATCGTCACTGTGGGTGGTGCATAACGCCAGGTCTCCTGATGAATGGCTCCGGTGGTTGATCTCGCGTCGGTGCGTGGTTGCATTTTGTATATGCCGCGTCGTCCCTGTATCCGTTGCACGACCTGACGTTGGCATGTCGCGGGGGTGTCGGATCGGTAGGATGGGGAGCGGGTTAGGTTCCCAAGGTGGTATTCCTCGTCGAGCCTGGTATCCCAAGTAGAGGTGGCATCCATCACATCAAAAGTCTTACTACAGCATGCAATACTACGCACCTTTTTTTTCCTTTTGGCCAGCCAATGCCCAATTTCGCAGTTACATGTGAAAAAAGAACAGAGGGAGAAAAAAAAAAAAAAAAAAAGAGGACCCCTTCAGAAGAAAAAAATATTTATTTTTTTCGGCCTCGCATTGGTCTCGAATGATGCCCCTCTAATACATCTATGAGGAATCCGAAGACATCCATGCAGACTAGAGTCACAATCTATCCCTATTTTTGCCCTCCAACCAGAACGTCCTTTAAGTCTTCTCACTTAAACCGTACCATCCATATTTTTTTTCTCTTAGGTAGAAGCCGAGAGTGAAAATGCTGCATGCCAAATATGCGATGCGAGAAACAAATAAGGAGGGGAAAAAGGAAAAGGAATATGCTACCTGCCCGTCCTGTAGGAGCCTCCTCATTAAAAATATCGCACCGTAACCCTGCGAATACGAGTGCCATTAACTCATTCGCTGCATGTTATGCTATACTCCGAGCCTTGTAAACTCTTTCATTACCATGGGTTTTGATGGGATCCCCCCATCTCCGCCGCCTCGACGAAGGTCAGGACTAGGAACTTTTGTGATGGCAGAATAACCGTCCAAATATCCGAAGACAAATACCGTCTTATAGCCTGAAAGCTCTTTGCTGGCCGCTATCCGTATTTCAGGTAAGCAGCCGTATATCGTATATCGTATATCGCATGAGAGTACCGTTTTGACCTCTTCCGATAATGCCCTTTTCAGTGAAAAGTGAAATGGATCATAGATATAACGTTCATGAATCGTAAAAAATGCGTAATGTTTTGTATTTTGTTGAGTCCCTTGGATCATCCGTATAAAATAGCCGGATAATAGGACCACAACAGATCAAACCCCCGCGAACCATTACGACAATCCGGCGACCACAGTGATTGCCGACATCTCGTTCCCACTCTCGAGAAGCGCATCTTTCTCTGAGAAGATACGGGTGTTGCGCGAGCTTCGCGTGCTTCGCGCTCGGTGATTAAGGAAACGATCAAGATCGTCTGATCGGGGTCGAGGTGTCGCCAGGCTGTCGCTGCTTCTAGGGCGACGAGCCATACGTACTGCATCGTTAGCATCACCATCAGGTCGGCTGCCCCATGAGGTCTGTGATTAAAGTCAGCTGGTGATGTCTGAAAACCTGTATTTTGGACATTCCCTACCATATTCAGGGTTAACAATGCGTAAAGTTTGATTAACCCATGAAAGTAACCGAACATAATGGAGAGCGGTAGAAAGATGATGTCGCTCGGGTTTCGTCGAAAGAGACCAACTAACTTAACGACCTTGGTAAATGCGAACATGTAAATGAACTGGGCCCAGAGCCAACGTTGGCGAGTTTCCAAGTTCCATCCTTCGGTACCCCACCAAAGTGAGGCGAGCAAAAGAGGGTCCACGACGAAAGCCAGAGAAGTAAACGTAGCGATGTGGAGGGCGTAAGTGCTCCATGGTTGTTGACTAAACAAAACAATAACACGATAATTAGTAAAAAAGCCGGCGTATTTATTGGGGACTGGTGGGTGCATGCTAGTAGGGGTACTGTGGAGAGAAAATAGGAAGAATAGGAAGAATAGGAAGAATAGGAAGAAATAGCAAAAAATGGCAAGAAATAAGGAATAGGAATAGGGAGAATTATAAACTTACGTAAGCACATATCTCTCCCGGACCAGGCTTGTGTAGTTGCTTCTCCAGTTGCTGCGTGCCCATCTTGAGCACTGATAGAGGAACTTGAGGCCATTCTCCAGGGTAGTCTCGATCTCGCATTCCCGCTCGTATTGGATCCAAGTTTTCCATTGGTGGCTTACTAACCAACGGGTCACAAAGTTATCGTCGTCAGCATTGAGGATAAAATCGCGCCACCGTTCAGTCTTGAACCCCTCCAGGAAATCGTGACTTGAAAGAATTTCGGATCGGTAAGCCCCAGTACGACCGGACATGCAAGAGGTGCCGCCATCCACGTTGTGCGTAGCCGAGATCTCGAAATTGCGGCGCTCGATGTAAGCAGATCCGAGCCAGTTGAAGATCTGGGTAGATAACGATCCATCCGGCTCCCGACGAACACGTTGACAAGTTCCAACCCCTCCAATCTTCGGGTCCTCAAAGGGGGCAAGAATCCATGGCATGAGGGTGGACGGCCAGGTGACATCATCATCAGCCATGATGGTAATTGCGGTTTTAACTTTGGGCAGCGCCTCGCACACCTGTAGTCGTTTGTTCGCAATAGGCGTGAACAGCACACGGATGTTCGGAGTTGATAGAGTCTTGACGAGCTTTTCCAACGCCGCATACTTGTCCACCGTCGTAATAAGGATTAGTTCATAGGGGCGGCAGGCCAGAATACTCTCTAACGAAGGGCGAAGCTCTTCAAAGGCATTATGAATAGTGGGAATGATAACCGTAACGTCGTTGGACATATACGTTGGCTTGTTAGGAATTGGCTTTGATTTGTAAAACCAATGGGTGAAACAATGGACGATTAAACGTAGATAACGATGGATCCTATCAGCGAGTTAGAAAGATTGACGTGACGATGTCATTTGATCGGCCAAAGACTGCCTTTGGCGGAATTGCCGAAACCCGATTTCTGTCCAACTTACCACAAGACCCAGAATATACACCACCAAAACGTTGGTGATGATAAAAAGGTGAATGACGGGTACTGGAGACCCGAGGGAAGAGTGATGATGGCCATCCTGGATGCTTTTTCTCAATAGAGATATTACAGAATCCAGAGACGAGTAATTAACGTATTGTCAAGGTCTTATGAGATCAATGGCAAATTGTTCCCGTCTTGGTTAAGACGTGAGTTAGAAGCAAGTGTGTGTGTGTACGATCCGGTCGTCAGAATGAACCTCAAAAGACACATGAACAGACCACCCCGTTACAGCCCCCAAAGTATATCTATCAACTAAGAAGACTAAACTGGTCAGTTGTTGAAATTTACACTGTGGGGCGGCAGGTATGACGGAGTAAAAGAGTGAGTGAGTGGGCAGGGAAAAGAAGAAATAAGTTTTGCGGAGGAGACCGGGATGTATTATAGATGTAGTCTGGATGTAGTCTAGATGTAGTTTGTTGCTATAAGAGCCGCAGGGTCCGCCAAACACAACCTAGAATCGACCCCACGAGGACAACAACAAGCGAATCGAAGCGGATCGATGATGGCTTGGTTGCAAAGCGAGACCGATGTGGCGAGTTTTCCCAGAGGGCGAGAGGCAATGATTGAGGATGAAAGGGGGTGGGTAGGATATAATGGCTTGCCTTTTTAAATAGTTGTCCGGTATTTCGTTCTCTGGGAACTTGGACACGAGGGTCACGCGCCGAAGATGGGGTAGCGAACCTGACGTGTAGTTTGCGATTAATGGACAGTGGAATTAGGAGCAATAGAGGAAACCGAGACTATGCGCACGGTGGCAACTCTCGATAGTCACTAAAGCGTAGAATAGCGAATCTCCGATGAACGAGCTACTGCAGATAAACGACAGAAAGAAGGAATCCCTGAACGAAAACCTCAAAACGAGAGTTTGTCCTATCTACCAGCTAGGGAGAAGTAACCTCTATAGATTTCGTGACGAGGTGAATCAGAGGCCGACAGAGGTAGAGTCGGGAACAGAATATAATACACAACAGACTAAAGGAAAAACCCTTAAAGAAAAGAAGCCATGATGGGATAACAATGGGCTTCGAGAGGACATAGGAGAAGGTCGTCAAGATGAAGCCAACGGGCCAGACCCGGGAGAGGAGGCAAGGATATATAGGCAGATGGACCCATATGACCCCATTAACCAACGGCCGACAATACATACCTGTCTACTTTTTTTTTATACTATTTTCCCTACATAGGTACGTAAACGATGAACGATGCGATGGGACATATTTTTATGGGACTAGTATGTATGGCTAAGAAGATAAGTAGAGACATAGTTGTATGTAGGTATGTATGTGTGTGTGAGAGCGAGTGTGTGTGTGTGTGTGTGTGAGTGTGAGTATGTGCGTTATGTACGTATGTATGTATGTATGTATGTATGTATGTCTATGTAGGTATGTAGGCATGTAGGCATGTATGTACGTATGTATGTATGTAGGGTAGGGGGAAGCAGATACTAGGTAGGTACCGTGCCTACATAAAGTAAGGGTAGGTAGTAGGGGGTACCTTAGGTAAAGTACTACATTATGTAGGTATGTAGTAGGTAGGTCGACTCGATATGTAATGAAACTGTACATATATGTAGAGTCGTGCTTAGATCGACCCTTTCTGCAGCTTGACAATGATGGGAATAGGTACCTTGCAAAGGAAAAAAAATTATTGACAAGCATACATCCATACATCCCTCCATCCATGCTTTACCTACTTAGGTCCGAGATACATTACTTGAGAAAGCGAGCAAGTACGTATTATTATTAGATCACCAAATAGAAAAATGGCAGAATTTGAAATATATAGGTAGATAGAAGAAATCCCATCCATTGGTTATCAGATTAATATCCAAAGGAACGTGAACATCGAATCATTCAAGATCGATTACCTACTACTTAGCCTACTATCTTCCTAGTATATCTGCCTAGTACTACCACTGTTTTGTACCAGACTACTACCAGTCTACTACCACTAGGTAGTTAGATAGGTACTCGTTACTTAGCCTAGCTAAGTATACTGGGTAGCTTATACTGGGTAGCTATACTAGGTAGGTTAGAGGAGACTCAAGGACTCATGAACTCAAGAGAGACTGGAGTTGACTGGAGCGAGTGAGTAAGGAACAAACAAAAGTTCATAATCACATAGTAAGACACCCTTCCAAGCTCATGCCTATCAGGAATCAAGTGGAAATGAATGTAACCGAGGATATAGGGATAGGGATAATTAGACCGAGAGAGAAATAGGCATGGTAAGGTTAAGCTTAAGAGAATACTAATTTTATTTGTTCAACTGGCATCCAATGTATTTATGTTGTATGTACTGTGAATTTTGAGTGGGCGACTGTAAAAAAAAAATTAAGGGAGAAAAGAAAGAGAGAGGAAAAAAAAAAAGTCAAGCGAGACGCTTTCAATTCAAGATGGAAAAGTAAGAGGAAAAGAGAAAAAAAAAAGTTGGACTGTGCTGTGAAGAACTTAGGATAAGAAAAATTCATGGTTCGGTGCCACCACCTATTACGAATTGGACCAGTTGTAGACGCGGCTGCTACTGAAGAACGTCCGGTTTTGGGGTTTGGGGCCGGGGTGGACGTACCAGTTTGGGCTAGCCGGTTTAATAGACGACTAGGTTCCCCTCTAGATCCCTAACCTACTAGGGCTTTAGAGCCTGGGAGCCTAGGAGGGCGCAGTGGGAGTAAGGTGGGGTTCTTGCTATTGCTACGATGTACAGGCGCTCGACAGGGTACGGGGGTGTGTATATGGTAGCCCAGCGGCGTTAAAGAGCAAACTTGCAACGCACTAAATCGACTACTCACAGGGCTCCAAGCAACTAAAAACACTTGTGCGGAGCACTGTGCAGCGGGTATCCAAGCTCCAGCTACTGCCCTGAAGATGCCTAGGCAGCTAGGATGTCTAGCCCAGGATGCCTAGAGGAAGAACGGGTATCTGTTTATACTACCTAATACAACCCGTACAACCCTATTATGTATTAGCTTTTGAAAAGAAGTCTGTATTATATGATTATATGTATTACATATAATAAATACTCTACAGGCTCTACTACCTGATAGGTAGGTATACATAGTGCTACCCCTACTACTTACATATACATAACTACATTGTATTGTACAATACTTACTAATGTAGTACTATGTAGTACAACCCTTTAGGTACACAACATCAATTAAACCTTGAAGCTTCAAATATAACAACGTCAACTACTACTACTACCTCAACTACTACATCAACCACTATACTACTATACTACTATACTGCTTTCTATCCATACTCCTATACTGCTACATACCAAGTCTACTAACTATACCAGAGTAACATCAGGAAACACATTTCTAATCTAACACTAACGTTTTTCTCAACGTTACCATGGATATTTTCTCTTCAATGGGCTTTTGCGATACAGTACATACAATCCCTCTTTTTCAGCTCTTCCTAGATTATGTCTTTATTTTTATTTATCTTATAAATCTCCCCTTTTCCTACTATACCTACCTAGGCAGATCAGCTACTACCTACTGTAGGTACCAGGTATGGATATAGGTGCAATACCAAGTAGGTAAGTCCGAGACTCGCCTATACGGGTTTTTAGTATTGAAATTTGACACATAGCTATGTCAATATTGGCTCAATCAAATACTTCAACTCGATAGTCTCAAGCGCGTATAACTATGGACCCTACAGCTTACAAGTCACTGGATTCCTTGATACTTGAAGCGAATCAAGCTTGATATAGGGTGCTGTGGAACCCGAATCGATCTTCACAAGAACGGCCCCGTCAACAGCTTCGAACGATCTCGCTCTTGGCATTGGCTAAGGAGCTCGAAGCTGGCCGCTAAACTGTTAGCGCTGATCTGTAGCCTCCACGATGGTCACTGCTCAGTGGCCTTAGGGATTACGAAGTGCAAGGGGCACTCTTCTATTAATGTCGAAGCAAGTAGTCCCGTCTGTTCAATGGAGAATGACACCTTCAATATGCATATGAGCAAAGTTCCACTGCCCGGGACACGCCATGGGTTAGCCGCGTGAGTGGGAAATCAGAGGCTCAGAGCCCGCGGGCCCCCCAGTCTTCATCAAACAGCCGATTCCACCATTGACTGCCTATGGATCCATACCTACCAGCCTACCTACCAGCCTACCTAATGGTACCTACATACCTACCCAAGTATGTACTAGGCAGGTAGATGCCGTGACTGGCTCCAGGTGTCTGACAAAGCTATCAATTATTCATTCATTCATTACGGCACGGACTTGGTACGGTACGGTGCTCCGATAGCCCTCAACTGCAACGTTCCTCAGACTCACAAGAGCTATTGCGGTTTCCTATCCGCGTTCGAGAATACACACAATGTTACAGAGTTCAAGTCGAATTGGAATCCTTGCCTTGGTTGCGCGTTATTGCGCTAGACCATCGTAAAGCACTCGTCTACGTGGACGTGTAGAAACACTGGGTCTGATGAACCGTACTTGCATGTACGCGGGTCTAGCAAGATTTTGGGTTGGATTCGCTGCACCCTTCAATCATTAAGGATCTGGAAAATTCCATTCAACACAGCTTTTTCCAGAAGTCGTCGAATGGTTGGCTCATGCAGAACAACCGAACCCCGCGTGTGCAGGCGCGTGTGCGTGTGAATACATATCTGTGCGTGCGTGGGTATGTTTTGCTATAATAACGATCTACTAGGAAGAAGTACCGGGTTGTCCGGCCCCCCGTGTGGTAAAGTTACACTCCTGTTCTGCTGTATGTTGGTTCGGGCGACGATACCTGCATACATAAGTCGACGTCGGTGTTACTTGTATGTCAACCCCCACAGATCATTATGTAAAGTGGTGGGAGCCCGATATGAAATCCCGTACGAGATCACTTACACGTAGGTACAGAAGATGCTTGAACCGGCCATGTTTCGAGTATGGCCAACCACTTATATTACACGCACTCCTTTACTTGGACGCACGAAGTAGAAACTGCCGTTTTCTACCTCACCAATAGATCTATGGACTCTGTTACTAGAGTGCTACTTAACCCGGAACTTGATATGGTAATGGTACCTACATGTATCAATCACAAGACTCCACGATCCTCGGCACAACGTATCGCAACGCAATATTCAACAACGATGTTTTTTTTTGTTAGTCTTTTGCTATCTCGATCAAGCGGCTGAGAAAATAACACGAGAAAAATAAGAAGAAAAATGGAAAGGAAGAAGCACAAGGTTGTTGAAGAAGAGAACAAAGTGTCTTCTTCATCAGGAACAAGCGATAAGGTACATGCATATTCGCCGCCAAACCCAAGCAAGCATTGGATGCCATAAAGAACCAAGGCTTGGTTTTCCTTCTATGAGGGGTTTAGCAGGCTACTAGGTAGGTAGGTAAGTATGCATTCGTTCCGCTCTATTGCAACTTCAAATTATTTCCGCTAGATTTGCAAGATTTGAATGCAGTGCAGCTATGCAGCTATTCTATGCAAGCCAGAACACGACCTGCCGATTGAAGACTCTGTCCGACAGGGTTTCGTAGCTGCCGCTGCTTCAATCCCGGTTTTCGCATTCAAACTCTCCAGGGCTTTAGTGGAATTCTGATAGAACAGCATCGCGTCTATCGACTGATACATAATAATA